ATTTACTGGTTTCGTTGTTTTTTTCAGCCCTGCCATGCTGAACTAAAGGAATTCACAGATTTTCCTCTCATTCCAAATGTAGACACATTTGGTGTCTGCAGTTTGCTTCTTTTGCTTTTAGCTACAAGGCTAATGTAGCTAGCAAATAATGAAAGCTTGTAGTTAGCAGGTTAGCTTTGTGCAAACTACACACACATGTGCCTCACACTATGCTGAGTAATCACTTGCTTATGTTGTTTCTGAGACTCTCTGTTGTTTCTGAGAATTTATTACTAGCTGGTAGCCGGAAAGTGGAAAACACAGAGATATCAGGCTAGCTAACCGGTTTAGCTGATTCATATAGGCGTTTATGTACACTTAATGAAGTTATTTCAACATCACTATATAAAATGTAAAAAGATATACATTTTGTACTTTAGTATCATTTAGTATCATCTAGTATAATTTAGTAAATCTGGTCAGATTCCTCTGTCTCCGTATCCGATAGGCTGCATTTCTAATACCAACACTATACTGAACGCTGTAATTCAAAAGAAAAATGAGTGCTAATAGCTCCCTCTTATAGAGAACGTCCAGACTGCTGAGTATGGTTTTATACTGCCCTGCGGAAACCATGTCTATCAACAAATTGTGAACTAATCACCAGACCGATTAACCAAGAACAGTTTTTAATAGATTAATTCCTTTAATATTACATATAAAGTCTGAATATGAATAGCAGAACAGAACAGTGTAGTAAAACACTAAGCCAGTCAGACTGTGAATGAAGTGCCGAGTGCAGTAGTCTGATACAGTCTGCACAAACGGATACACACAGAAACAGACAGGCTAATGCAGCGAGCAGTCAGCAGGTAGAAAGGTAGAGAGATTATGATTTCTGATAGAGAGAGAGAGAGAGAGAGAGAGAGAGAGAGAGAGGCTCAGTAAGTGTGTGGTGTGAGATGATGGCATGTGGCTGTGTGAGGTTACTCCTCTACACTAATCTGACAGTGTAATCTCTCACTCTCTCACCCACTGAATCCCTCCAATCCAACAGAGAGGGAATTATCTAGGATTGAGTGAGAGAGAGAGAGAGAGAGAGAGAGAGAGAGAGAGAGAGAGAGAGAGAGAGAGAGAGAGAGAGAGAGAGAGAAAGAAAGACATGGAATGAACAAAAATAGACAAGAAATAAGAAGAGAGAAAAAGGATGATGAAAGAAAGATGGAATAAACAGAAATAGACAAGAGATATGACAACAGAGAAAAAGAGGTTGAAGATGAACGAAAGAATGGATGGATAGATGACTAGACAGGAGAGAAAAAGAAAGGCAAGGATAAGAAAGAAAGAAAGAAAGAAAGAAAGAAAAAGAAAGGAGAAAATTTATGAAAATGAATTAAAAAAAGAAAAAGGAAGGAAAGAAAGAAAAGTGAACAGAAAGACAAGCAATGGATGACAGGTGATAAAAAAGAACATGATTGAGAGAAAGAAAGAGAAAGAAAAAAGAAAATGTAATGGAGAGATAAGGAGACAGGAGAGAAAAAAATGTGAAGGAGAGAAAGAAAAAGAAAGAAAGAAAAAAAGAAAGAAAGAAAGAAAGAAAATGGAAAGCATAGACAAGTAGATAAGCAGTGAGAAAGGAGTTAAAAAGAGGACTACAAAGAAAGAAAGAAAGACAAAGAAAGAAAGAAGGAAAATGGGTTAACAAACAATAGACAAGCAGTTGAAGATGACAGAAAAAGCTGTCAATGATGAGAGACACATAAAGAAAGAAAGAAAGAAAGAAAGAAAGAAAGAAAGAAAGAAAGAAAATAGCAGATGAAAGATAAACAGATTAGAGGATAATAGCATAGATATAAGAGGATGAGAACGAATGATAAAGATGCGACTTAAGTAAATGATTTAAGACATTAATTTTGTGGACAAAGTGTGAATGAGAATGATAGAAGACTGAACAAGACTAAACCTCATATTATACTAAACACTCAGATTAATCAACAGCTAAATCATTAAAGAGGTGCCTAATAACAACAACATGAAGAATCACATATCCGGTTTTATTAAACAGACTCATTTAAGGTCTGCACAAAATGCACTACTTGTAAACAGTGTGTCACGATATTTTCTAAATATGTCACAGTATCAGATGATATTTAAGTTGGCATTAATAAAGTTAATAATTCCATTCTTCCTCAGTGCTGGTATGTGAAAAGAATGTCTTAGAAACCAGACACCACTCGTTTAGAATGGACTATTTTGTTGTTCTGCTTTTTTAAAGTGCCTATATCATATTTTTTCTCATTTTTTTAAATAAAAGAGGCTGATGCAGTATGTAAAAGTGGTTACAGTTTCATGACCCAGTCCATAAAGTCCATATAAGAAAATGAAGCTGTTTTGAATTTATCGTTTTTGTGATGTCACAAAACCAACACATTTACATATATTAGCCTACTCACATGCACACAGACTACTCAGTCTTCAGCAGTTGCATTCATTCATGCTAATGATTTAGTGAGTGTTTCAGCCTGGACTGCTTTTTGAATGAACAGAGCAGCCAATCAGAACAGAGCTCATTTGCATCAGTCTTCAAGGCACAGTAATGGAAACAGCCTATTTAATTCTAAGGGATAAAGAGAGGTTGGAAAATGGTCACTGTTATTAGCGTTGTTGTCTATCAATATCACAAAAATATCACAAAAACATTATTGTTATGTGTCACCAATATTGGTATGAATTATTTCATATACAGTCTTGTGCAAAAGTTTGTGCACCCCAGGTCACATTACAAATTGTTTTGTTGATTTTCTAACTGAAAATGTCTATAGAGGATGTTAACACGTCGTGTACAGAAACACACGTCTGCACATTTTATTGCACAATGAGTGTTTATTCGCTGATTTCAATATATCGGACATAACGGGTCCCGTGCAAAAGTTACAGCACATTTTATATTGTATGTTCTTTTACTTACTTATTTCACTTAGAAAATCAACAAAACAGGTCATTTGACCAAGGGTGTTCCCACTTTTGAATACGACAGCATCACCCAGAGCTACCTTTCACCCCTCACATGCATCTATGGAGACCAAAAGCCCACATCTCCACTATCTGTGTGATCCTTCTGAGCAGCAGAGCGGACGACGTCTGCTGCGTCTGTGCCTCTCTGACTACCTGTCTCTGTCTCTTTATCTTTGCAGCTGGATATGAATAATTCATGAGGACACAAGGCTCCTCTGTTCGAATAACAAAGCCCTGTCATCATCTCATCACACATACAAGCACAAGCGTATTGCAAGTGCACGGCGGCCTTGAGCGCGGGCATCGCTGTGCATTGTTGTAAATGAAGCACCACCAATGCACTTAACTCTCGTCCTATTTTAAACAGTGCATGGCACAGCGAGGGATTCCGTTACATAAGAGAACAGGAACACTTAATGGCCTTTGGGTGAGATCCAGGAGAAATTAACTGTTCTCTTTTTTTTTGTCTCGGGCAGCACTTTCTTCATGGAGGATGTGTTTGTATGGGGGGGCTGAGCAACAGTCACTGCTTCAAGGCCACTCTGTTCTGGCTGTATCTCTTTGTTTTCCCTTAAGCTGAGGCCTTTGTGGATAATGTATCTTCTTACATAGTATCACAACATGCCCCTGAATGACTGTGTCAGTCTGTTTTGTATTATAATTAGGCCTAAAACTACCACTTCATTCCAGAAGGCAGCAACTATATGATTTGCTGCTGGTTTGAGGAACGTGCAGTCATTTTTGGAAGGAAGCCTACCATGATGTGAAGAATGAAGGCTCCTGTCTTAGTCAGCAGCAGAAAGAGCATCAAAAACCATGACAGAATAATGACGTCTGACTTCAAAAGGCCATTGGAGGCTGTGTAGGGAATGGAGGATGTGTCGCCAGTCACACAGTCTCCTTTCTCCCAAATACACAAGAGTCCATTCAGCCAGCCACACAGCCTCCACTGCCCTAAACGTACAGCCTGATTTCCTCAAATCACACAGCTTCCTAATGCAATATTTTATCATTGCTGGCAAGATTTATCCAGTTCAGACATGCTGTCCAGCTCCCTACTCAATTACCCCATGACACATCCTCCTAATAGAATATAATAGTATTACTTAGCATCAAAACAAGCTCTATCCAGTTCAGACATCACAAACATTCCCCTAAACATACAGCCTCCATTCCCCTACCCCCCTGCAGCAGTCAAACACAGCCTTCTAATGTAATTTTTTTGCATTCCTGACAAGCTTTATCCAGTTCAGACATGCTGTCCAGTTCAGTCTCCATTCCTCCCATAACATATCCCCCAATGCAATATTCAGCCTTACTGACAACCTCTACACAAACATTCCCCCAATCACACAGCCTCCAATCACACAGCCCTCCTAATGTAATATACAAGCTGAATCCAGTTCAGCCTCCCTTCCTCCATCACACGTTCTCCATTCTCCCAATCAAAAAGAAACCCCATTCTCCCCTTCACACATCCTCCGTTCTCCCATCACAACCTCCTCCATCCCTCCAATCAATCCTCCTCCAGGAGCGTCCATATCGTGCGTCCTCGTACCTCTTCGCGCTTTTGCTCCAGTCACCCAGTTCTCAGTCACATCCACCCCAGCCCCCGCTCAGCCGCCCCTCCGCCCCTCAGATCTCCCCCGGCAGGCTCCGTCCGTCTCGGCCATCGGCTCCCTCCAGCTCCTCTCTCTCTCTCTCTCTTTCTTTCTCTCGCTCTCTCACTCTCTCTCTCTCCGCTACTTCAGTTCAGCCTCGCTCAGCCTGTGGGTCTGAGCAGCGAAATCGCGCCCTCTGCTCTGCCTGATCAAAACACGACCTACATGCTTTGTTTGTATCGTCACACTTAGTATTTCATTTATTTCTCATATGTTATCACGACTTTTCCCAATTGGTAACATTTTGTTCCATACATGTGTTAATGTTATTGCTATAGTGACGAATTTCGTCGCAATCGATTTAACAATCCGATCAGGAACCAGCCATGATACCTATTGGTCCTGATTGGGTCCTCACCGCATGAAAACAGTTTGTAGTTTTTGTAGTCTCCAAAAAATATAAATCGTTAGCTATAATTAAACGTCAGTTTCGCTCGTTTGCGGGATGGACGCGGATAATGAGAGTCAGTTGGAAAGGTAGGTGGCTTTAAAGGACGTCGCTACGCTCCAATTCGTTTTTATGGGGAACGTGTACCTGCAATGCTAGGCTAATCCATGTTAGCTAGCTGGATAGCACCACAGGGACAGAACTGAACATTAGAGTTAAATGATTTGGCTGTATTACATTTGTTAAGATTTTAACATCATACAGATCATACAGATGTTAACATCAGTAGACGTCACCTTACACGGTGGCGCTCGCGATCTTCTGTAACTACATAGTCTAAATTGTTTTTCTGAGATGTTTGGTGACTTTAAGTTTTAGCTTCTGCTTCGTTACAAATGGAACTGAAGTTAATGTCCATCACTTTAGTGTAAAGACCTTTATGTCAATACAGTGTAAATTACTTATTAAACATTTTATTTCTTCTCGCGAATAATATGCTGTTCATGAACAGTCGAGCACTGCAGGTACTGCTTTTTATCGTTAATTCACTCAGCCGTTATTCGTGTGTTATCAAGTATTGAAATACACTCTCACCAGTTAGAGCAGAAAAAATCACTTAAGTATTTTTGTGTCTTATGGAGCTCTAAAGAATGACATTACGTTCCTTCGCAATAGTTTTGCGTTCCCTTGCGAAAGTTTTACGTTCTCTCGCAATGACTTTGCATTCCCTCGCAAACGTTTTGCATTCCTTCCCAAATGCAATGGATTTTCCAAACTTGTGGAAGGGAACACAAAATTTTTGCGGGAGAATGCAAAAATATTGCAAGGGAGTGCAGCGTCATTGCAATTTTTCCAGAATGGCACTTCGGGAGCTCAGTAGGCGTCTCTGTGGAGGCAGCATGTCAAAATTTTGGCTTAGTATCGCAACATGATTATGTAGCTTCTTGAAATGTTGATTTATTTTTTCAAAGTATTGACAATCTCGAATGACTTATTTTATCTAAATATTGATTTTTTTTGTTGAAATAAGGACTTTTTTAATATTGCATTTCTGTGTTGAAATAATGACTGATGTTTACTTAATTTTTACATGGTATCTTAAATTAATGACTTATTGTTCTCAAAATTTTGACTTGGTCTGTTATTATTCTGGAATAATTACTTACTTTCTTTTAGTTCAATATGTCAAAATCTCAAGATTTTGGAAGATCCAGCCTATCCAGTGTTCCTGAAAACATTCATTATCTAGAGCCAGTTAGGGCTGCAGGGTTGGTGACCACTGATCAGAGGGGGGTAGAGCAACCAAGCTAAATGTTAATGACTAAAATGTAACTAAATAAAAAGTAAATTGCTTTCCTCACAAATATACATGAGTAGAAGTAAAAGTATTGATTTGAAAATTGAAAATCTGAGCTCATGTAATTGAGTAAATATAACTAGTTACGACCCACATCTGTCACTGAATCAGAGTGAGTGTGAGCAACAGAGTGCGTTCTTGCCGCTGAGGCAGCAAGTTCCTTGGGCACCTGTTTCTGAACTGTAGTCAAAGAGCAGCTGTGGGACAGTTGGTGATGCCAGTAAGAGATGATGACTCAGCTCCTGGACCGGGTCGTTGCAGGACACACACGTGCTTTAATTTCCTGTAGTCCATTTTATGGACACTGAAGAAATAATTATTTTTTTCTCCTCACAGACGAGCGGTTGAGGAACTCCTGAAAGAGGCCAGTAGAGCCAGAGTGCGGGCAGAGACCATGGGGCCTGCAGGGTGGTGAGTCAGGATATTTTAAGGGCCGTCTGCAACCTGTGTTTATTTTCCTCTGTGGATTTACAGTGTAAAATAAGCATCATTACTTTAAATACGGGCTAAAGCAGTGAGAGAAAATCTAATGATATGTTACTGCTTTCATGATAAATTGCATCATCAGAATTGTAGAAAACTGAGCAACTGCGTGTATCATAAAAAAAAATTACAGAGAGCCTGTTATTAATAACTACCAGTCTACAGTAACTTACATAAACTGCATAGTGATGAATAGCTTGTTGGATGTCAGCCAATATGCCATTATCTTATTTTTACCCATTGTTAGATTTTTTCACTTGTTCCACTCTTCCTAAATAATATTCTTGAATATTTTATTATGATTATATAGATTGATATTTGTGACAAATGTTTTACCAAAGCGCAAATCACATTTTTCTGTTGAAAACACAGGCTTCCTCTGTACTTCTGTACTTTGATGCTACCTATCAGCTTATTTTTGTACATCATGTGTAGGCTTTAACCTACACCGACCGCCCACTTCATCAAGTACACCTCCTTGTTTCTACACTCATTGTCTATTTTATCAGCCCCACTTAACTTTAGGAGCACTTTGTAGTTCTACAGTTACAGACTGTAGTCCATCTGTTTCTCTGCACACTTTGTTAGGCCCCCTTTTACACTGCTCTTCAATGGTCAGGACCCCCACAGGACCACCACAGAGCAGATATTATTTGGGTGGTGGATCATTCTCAGCACTGCAGTGACACTAACATGGAAGACTGTCCAGTTAGCCTTTAGCTAAAACAAATAAATTATGGTGGTGTTTGAAATTACAACAGTGTAAAATATGTATTTTACCTCAAACTAATAAACTGTTAAATATGGTGTGTAAGTTAGAACTGTTAGCGTCCTGGCTAAGCTTGTAATATATCATCCAAATAGCAGGTAGTAATAGCTTAGCATGCTAACAGCTTCACACACCACAGCACAGGTTTATTTCCAACAAAATGCACCACTGACGCAAGTTTAAAGGATAAAGATGCAAATGTGAGAGAATGAACCTGTGCTGTTGTGTGGAGCTGTTGGCTAAGCTACTTTTTCTCTACTGTCCTCATTAGCACTAGCTTAGCAAGCAGGCTAAAACAGCTTCACGTACCACAACTCAGGTTGAATTCTGGCTCAGTAAAGCTCCACTGACACATGTTTAGAGAATAAAGACTCAAATGTGAGCTAGTCAGATTAAGCGACTGGCCAAATAGCAATTCCAGATCTATGCTGGTTTTCTCTATGACAGAAATGAATGTGTTTTTCATAAAAAATCACTGCTGTCGCGTCCTGTGGTAAACTGTAATGTTCAAAAGCAGATATACTTTGTCCTGTGTACATTTTTTCCTGAATTATGAGGCTGTTCCGAAGTCAAAATATGAATAATGCTACATATGCTACAAGCAGGCTAACTCTCCTGCTAGCCGAAATGACGTTGCATGAAGGTAAGTCGATTATTAAACTTCAGCAACATTATCTACCAAAACCAGCTACTCAAACTGCAGCGTAAAACTGTCAAAGCCTCTTAACTGCCACATTTAACAAAGCTTGCTGGTTTGTGTGGGGAATTTTGGTGAAGCTGACAGTCTTAAAATGTCAATTCAGTGCGTAGCAGTGTTAGCTTGCATACAGCAGTAGCCATATTTTGGCTTCTTAACAACCTCATTATTCAGAGGATCTGGCGATGCCCAGAGGAAGAATGTCTATACAGTAAAACATAGACACAACATTTCTGTCATAGAGAAAATCAGCTTAGATCTGGGTTTAGGTCCCAATACCATTTTAGTTGCTTCGCATGACAACAATACATCATTTTACCTATTGCATATGAGGATGTTATATTTTGGCCATTAGGCTAAGGCATTCACTTAATCTGTAATATATTTCATAACTCAAGTATATTTATTTGTGTGCTTAGACTACAGATATTTATTTCCTTAGAATATTTATGTAGCTCAAATATATTTATTTGATGTTTTGTAGGATGAAGTGCCCTCTAGGAAGCACCAATAAACGTTTCCTGCTGAACACGCTCCGGTCGTCTGCTCTGGAGCGCCGCTCTGGTGGCCAGACAGCTACAACGAGGAGAGAAGACGAGCGCAGGAGTGAAGGAGATAAACGTTATCGCAGTGAGGAGAAAGAGCGCAGCCACAGGAAAGACAGAGAACACAGGAAAGAACAAACTGGCTCTCATTCTCAGTCTGAAAGACAACACACCTCCTCTAGGAACGCTTTGGCATCCAGAGAACACTCGCCCCACCACTCAAACAGGACACGCTCACGCTCACCTGTCAGAGACCGGTCAGCGCTCAGGAAATCCAGGGACAGGACGTGAAAATGATGCAGGAAACTTATAAACTTATGAAATATATACTGGAGGGCAAATCATCATCCATCTAGATCGCTGCCCATACTGTCACATCTCTCAGCGGATGCAAGATTTCTTTTAAACCTTCCTTCCATCAGTACCCTGGTCTATCTAATTGTTTTTAAGCCTTTTCTATTTGATTTTTTGTGGGACTGGGCACTTTAGACATTTTTGGTATGAATATTTACATTTTTTAACAAAATCCCACATTGAACTCAAATGTTCCACAATGTATTGTGCAGAAGGTTTGACGTGTTTATTGTGTGCAGGTAGCATTTCTGTACTTTCCATATACACCTCCTTTTAGATGTGTTTCATTTTGCTTAATGTGTCAGCTACCTGTGTCCCAACGTTGTCTGTGAAAATACAATACACTGTTTCATTTTTCAACTGAACACCCTACTTGAGTGATTAAGGAAACAAATACTAAGAGGAATTTGGGATTGCTGATACCTGTATATGCCATGCCCATCACTACTTTTTGTTTTTCGTGCCACATGTTTTGGTAAAAAATAAACACAGAGAGCCAGTCAGTAAAACAAGCAAAGTACAGGGATTGATTAAGTAATGAATTGCTTCTTTTTCTTATAGGCAATTCACTGTCAAATGGCTTAGTTTGGTGTCCCAAACTCCTTGTTAATTATTCCTAAAGGTACAATAGTGAATAAACTGATAGAGAGAAACATTAGGAATTGACCAGTCTTTTGTACATTGGAGTGCCCTTAGCATATACACTGTACATTATGGGATTTTACAGTGGCAATGTATTGTGCTTAGTGGCATTAAGTAGAGGTGGGCAATATGAAGATATTTTATAGTTATCATGGTAAACAGTTTGCGTTTCTGAGTATATTGTGGCTGTTTGTAAATGTGGCACAAGTAGTGCGTTGTGTCTGTGTGTCGAAATATTGTGATCCATATTGTGTATCTTGAAAATCGCCCACCCCTAACATCAAGTACAATTCGATTAAATTTTTAGAAATTCAGCAAATTCTTAATATTTAAAAGATAAAGGTATAAATCTATTACCTCACTTTGATTTATTCCTATATTTATTAATGATTTAGGTAATTTATTTTTTTATTTAGATTTGAAAATAGCCTGTGGTTAAAGAAGAGCACATAATTCATTGAATATAATTACAGAATATAATTACACTACTGTTCAAAAGATTTTAATGACTTTAATATAAAACCAATTTAGTTGCAGATTGATAAATAAAATCATTCTAACATGCTAATTCTGTGAAATGTTACAATCAGGTCACTAGTAGGACACTAAGAAGCTGTAAATAACAATGTAGAAATGTTACGTGTCCAGAATGATGAAATAACTTGACAAAATATTAAGGTAAATAGATAAATACAGTATAATGTTCATTACCTAATAACAACTCATTCAATAACTTAATGAAACCACAGAATTCTTGAAATATTAAATAACACTAAATCTAAATATACTTTTTGGTGAATGATTTCTTATATTTAAATCCGCATTGTAGCCCTGCGATGGACTGGCGACCTGTCCAGGGTGTATCCTGCCTTCCGCCCAATGACAGCTGGGATAGTCTCCAGCACCCCACCGCGACCCAGAAGGATAAGCGGTTTAGATGATGGATGGATTGAAATCCGCATTGTAAGTTATTATTGTATATAAATGAACAAAAAATGTTAAACATGGCAAGTGATCCCAAAGTTTTGAACTTTTGAATGGTAGCATATAATCGATTAGAATCATTTCTATTATTATTAGGTGCTGTCAAGCTGGTTCTTCTGATGACCAGGGCTGAATGATTACCCCTATTTATTTGACATTATTATATAGAACACAGAACTCATGAGCTGAAAATCTGACACACATTCAGCAATCAAGCCTCCAGGGTGAAAAATTGGATGTGCTGATCTTTTTGACGAAAAAGGCCTTCAACTTAATTTATTTAATAACCGCATTTAAATTGTAATCACAATATTGGTCAGAAAAATCTCAAGTGGATATTTTCTGTAAAGTCCTACTGGTGACCATATGGATAGTGTTTCTTCAAAATATGCTGTCTTCTGTTTGACTCTTTAGGCTTCCAAAATTGATGCAGTTGAACAGTCAACTTGCACTTCATACGTGGATTGTTCTATCAACCTGGTTCCAAGTTAAAAACAGATTTTGGACTTTTAACTGACTTGGACTTTAAACTAAAATCTTTTTGCTTTGAATCACCCCATACCTAAATTATGTTTATTTTACAAAAATAAATGATACAGTTTTGTCACTACCAAAACAATCATAACACTACCAAAACTTTACCAAATGTTGCAGTAGTGACAACTTCAGCTAATTTTGAGCAGAACTCAAAAACACTAGCCAGTACATGACTAGCAAACACAGCTTTGAACAGTACACATAAAAAATCTTAATATTTTTCACAAAAAAGACTTAATTGCAGAAAGTTCCTCTAGTGACAATTCTTAATGTTACATGATATTCAGACTTTGGGACACATTTACTTCAGAACAATGGGATCTAATTGTTTACCAGGTGGCCATGAGGGACAGGGATACAGTCTCACGTCCTGTGGCTAAAATAAGGCTCCGCCAATGGACTAAAACTCTGTGTTTCGGTGACATTTTTTTAAATTTAAAAATTAAACTCATAATAAATCTAAATCTTTCAATTACACTTCAAAAGAAATCAAAAAGATCTTTACAAAAACTCAAAAAATATAAATGTTATTGTGTTCTAAGTGTAAATTTAGGGGTCAGGGTTTGGGAAAGATACCTCCAATAGAAAGTATAAATGATGATTTTGTATGCTGGGGGTTTAAACAGACCATAACATAGTCCTTGTAAATATCTAAGGTCTGAATATTTAACTTTTTTTTTTTTGCTGTGGGACCACTGTTTGAACTAATATGGTAGAATGGTCCATATATTTATTTTGCCTGTTTCTATGATCTCTCATGCAGGTTGTTACAGAATACCGGCTAAATAAGTACTGAACATTAGAATACTACTACTAATATAATAGTAATTACCATAGTAATAACCTCTAATTATAATATTAAGATCGGGCCTTTCACTCAGTTATTTTAAAGGGTCCATATCATGTAAAACTGAATTGCCCTTTCTTGTTTAAAATGAGAGTTTAATGTACTTTGTAAAAGTTTCAAGACATGCCATTCACTTCCCAGGCCATACAGCCCATGTCTGGAATCTATGCTGAAACAACAGCCTGCTTTGAATTCTGTTTCTGTGATGTCATGACAGCCAACTTATTTACATACATCTGCCAATTCAGCCTACAGCAGTTTAGCCCTGCATATTTGCATTAAAGTTTTAAGGAGTGTTTCACAACCCAGGGCAGCCAGTCAGAACAGAGCTCATTAACATATGTCAGTTTTAAAGGCGCAGTAACCAAACAGCCTGGTTAAATTTAAATGATAAGGAGAGGTTGGAAAACGGTCAGGTATGAATTAGCACAGTTTTTGGTACATAACACCACATTAAAAAAAGGACCTCAGGAAAAAATAAAACAGGCAAAACAATCTGTTTCATTTGAACATTCATGATTGCAAGATCCTCAAAGACGTTTAGAACATGAGAGGTTTATTTAACCCCTTAAAATCCCAGTCTTATTACAGACTAAGGCTTATTATTCAGTAACTACAGGGACTTGAATGTAAAGTGGTTGAGCTATTCTTAGGTTATAGAAGTGTGTAATAAAACTTTGGGCCTGCCGATGGCCATGTAAGGGGTTAAAAGGACCACTTTTGTTAGCAGACAGCTCCCCCACTCAGGCTCCTCCGGTAGGCTCATTTATTAAAGATTTGTTCTCTCCTTACAGATTTTGCAACCTCTGTCAAATGATGTGATTTATTACGCTGTTATGCTTCTTCCATGGACAACTTTGAATTCAATTTAAAAGTCATTATCATTGCTTTTACATTACTCTCCGCTGGTCATTGTTTGCCCAGGCTTTCGTTGTCGCCACTAGGTAAGCAGGTTTTATCGCCTCACACTGACATGGGTTATGTATGTTCTTGTCAGACTGACGGAGCGCTTATTGTCTTAAAAGCAGGTAAAAAGCTTTCCATGTAATGCGTCTGGCCTCCCGACCATTCGCAGAACTTATAATAAAACCTGAACTTGAGAAAAAACTGGCTTTAGGCCTTATTCTCAAACATTTAGGTCACCATACATACACTAAAGGTAACCCTGACTATGCTGAATAGTTGATATTTGTATTTATTTTCTATAATTTACAAGCCAGTGTGCTCCAGCATTGGCCTGAAAGGATGAACTTGCATTTATTTTATAATATTTAATATATAATATTTAATATTTACATTCGCTACAAATAATGAGAGGTCCTTTTACATGATGTCTCATTCTTTGGTCCTAGTGAAGCAGTGCGTTCAGGAACTATCTGCATTTTCTTCTTTATTCTATTAGACAATAATACACAGTACTGTTTAAAAAATCAGAATCACTGTTTTCATTGATATAAACCCAGTTTTTTGAAGGTATAACGTATTTCTAATATGATGCTATTTCAAATTCATATGTTTTAATTTCTTTGTAGGGAACTGAAAACAATGATAAAGAAATGTTAATTGTGTCCAGAATGATGAACAGAGCGGTAGATGAGTCTAAAGTAACTGAGAAAGCTATATAACATTGAAAATCAAGTCATAATAAAATAATATCTAGAATGGGTCGTATTTAAAACACTGTGATCAAATCTCAAGGTAAATTACTTATCAAGGAATTAATTATTTATGACTATCATTTACTAACATCTTGCTTTCTCAAAAAAACTTGAAATATTGCATAAAACATCTTAAAGGGCCTATATAATGGGGAAAATAATTTTCCATCACTTTTTGCAAAGGGTTTGATGCAGAATGTAAACAATGTTGAAGTTTAACAAAACATACCATATACCGATCTCCCCCAGTCCATACCAACATATTTGCATACATTCACATATTCAACCTGTTCATCAGTTTAGCCCCGTCCATGGACGCTGTTGAAGTTATAAGATTCTGGGCTGCTTGTCAAATGAGGCACAATACAGGACAGCCAATGAGAAAAGAGCTCATTAAGTCTTAAGAGCACAGTAACAAAAACAGCCTGTTTAATTTGGGTTAACTTTTTTAGTAGATGATAATCATTTTAAGGAGTTGCTTCGTTGCTTTTTTAAAATATAAGGACCTTTTTCATAACTTCCTTCATTATAAACCGTGTCATTCAGCACAGTACAAACAATAGTTTATCAATAAACTTCATTAGACCACAAATTCATATTATTTTCTACAACTTACTGTAGAATTACTGGCTAAAACAGTAATTTACTGTAAAATAGCAACTGTGTACTGATAATACAGTTATTTGGACCTCAAGATTACTGTAGCTGTAACTGCTGTAATATGTAATAATTTAATGTATTTTTACATAATAACTGTAAATGAAATGTAACTCAGTAACCAGTAATGTATAGTAAATTTCCACATGAAAAAATTCACATTTAATTTTACCAGACATATAAATGTTAATTAAAAAAATAACATATTTATTCACCATGTTTTGCACTGTACATTCACTGAATATAGATATTTAATATAGATATGAATATAAATATAGATTTTTTAAACCAACAAAGCACAACCAACGTTACGCAATGTTTTTCTGCACATCGCATGCAATTACACATTTCCACCAGAGAGGTCTCCAAATCCCCAAATCTAACATAGTGCAGCTTTAAGTAGGAAAACTCAATATAAAAGCTTGAAGTGCAAAGTACAAAGTGTCAATTCAACTGCAATGCAATATGATACAATTACGTTCAAAAAAGATACTGAGGACGTAGTATTGAGGGTGCCACCCCAGTGACAGTTTTTTCTGTGAGCGTACGTTTTAAGTACTTTGATTTGTACGTCATATACCAGCACTTTTCTGCATTTTCTTTGTTGGCTGAGCGAGCCTACATTACACATCACTTAAGACCATTAGGCCTCTCATAACTTCCATGGATATCCCATCAAACTGCGTCTCACTCACGCTTCATAAACCTCATTGTCCGGCTCCAGCATTGTGGCAATAGCCACGGATAACTATTTCCTTCCCTTTCAAAACGAAAGTCATATATAAACACCATTAAGCGTCGTTCCATGGCCTGGTGTGAGAGGAATGGGTTTACTCGAACTTTTATGGCAGAGCATGAGAGGCCCATTTAGATATGAGAAAAAGTGCCATGATTGCTTTTGAAGAGGTCCATGCAAACACAGCATTGTATCACAGATGGTCTCGAGGCAGCCAGACGCGGTTTAAAAGGTGAAGCGCACTTTCAGCGATTCTCAGACATTGTAATGTACATTTTATATGACGCTGTCTTAGTTATGACATTTTGACCTGCAAAATGTGATTGCTCAGCACACGCACCTCATGTTGGATGTGTCCATCCTGGCCTAATTGAGTTCCCTTTCGCACTCCATGATAATTGGTTTACACCGAACATCTTGGTTTTATTTAACTACGAGGGCTTTAGGTTAATGGAGCGAGAGGCAGGCGTGCCTAATGGCAGGTAAACCTGGAGGCACTGGGGAAACAGCTAGAGAGGGAAATGGGCTCTGCTGATTGTTGCCAGCGTCCATAACAGACTCTACATGGGACTGAGTTAAATGGCCCATTTCATGTGTGCATTTTAGGAGTCTCACGCCAACATACCCGTGACCTGTACTGCCTTCTTCTCCAACCGTGACTCATTTTGCACTATGTTGCAATGTTTATTGCATTATACTTTTAGGACTGTCCTACACTATCTTGTCTTAATGGACTTTTCCATGTTCTGCCCACAAATGCATTCTTGCGTAGCAACTGTTGCGATGTCGGACAAGCTTTACAGAACACTGGCATAAATCCCATTCAGTCTTATGAATTTAGGTCACAGTTTAGAGTCGCTCCAGTTTAAAATGCTACGCTAACAAGCTGGACTACATAACTGTAGCTAATCGAAACTCAGAAGACTGGAAATGACAGGAACTTTTCCAGCATGCGAACATTAACTTCATTACACAACAAAAACTACAACCTATCCTCACAGTGTGACCTTTCACACACATACAGGTAAATATTTTATCAAATTATTCAGTCATTCTGAATGTCCATATTTTGACAAAGACTGAGTTGTGTGCTACAATTTGTCATTATGTTAAATGGAATTGTTGCCAATGCTCTGAAAAACTCAATAGCCTTTCTGAAAATTTGGGGGTCTTTGCAACATCCTACTTGGGGGCCCCTTTACCCACCCCAGTTCTGGTATTTTGTATGCAAGAATGGAAACTAATTAATACTTCATTATTTGTAATCAGGAAAGAAAATACAAACATGAACAAAAACAAAACCAAAAAACCAAGTAACAAAGTAATTAACCAAAAAGCAAGCGGCACACTGTGTATTTCAATGATTAAATTTGCTATAGAAATAAAATTAATAAACAATAAAAAGTAAATAAATAAATAAATGACCAAAACCAACCCTGTTAAAACTTCTCTGAAGTATGTCTGAGTTGAAATGAAAGTTGCTATTTATCTTTTGATTTCACACATCACAACTTTTTTCTTTTTTACCTGTTCATACCCATATCCTCCATTTATATTGTATTTTATTTTTCCCCTGAGGTTCACTTATAACATTCACATGAACTTTTGTACCAAAAACTGCTGGATTTTGTTTTACACAACCATTTTCCAAACTGTCTTTATGCTTGTTTTTTATCCTTGATTTAACAGTGTTTTTTTCTTACAGTGCCTTTAATATAAGTGAAAGACCTCTGTTGTACATTCTGCGTCATTCAAAAAGCCGTCCAGGCTGAAACATTCCTTATAACTTCAGCGTGAATGGGCAGGGCTGAAGGCTGAATAGGCGGATATGTGACAATGTGCTGGTTTTCACGAAGTCACAACAATGAATTCCATATTGAATTTCCATACAAGAACTGTATGGACTGGGGAGTGAACGGCTCGAAATTTGAACAATGTTTATATACTATATTCAAGATTTATGTTTATATCAAGAATATTCAAGAGTTTGTCATATGCACAGAGAAACAGACAGTTGCACTGAACAAAGAAATTCTTACTTTGCACTACCTTGCTTTTCGCAGCTTAGTTTCCATATGTGAACCGTATGGACTGAATCTTTAACAAACTCTTGAATCTTTAACAAACTAACAAATAAAATGAAAAAAAATTTTTTTTAGATAATCTCTGATAGACTTCTAAAAGTCATTGTTTTTCACTGGTTAATCTGAAGATTTTGTGTTATTTTTATGCTGTCCAGTGTCGGAAGAGAATGGGTTCTTTTCTCAGTGTTTCTTCTTCTTGCCTTTTTAAGTTTTCTTTGCCACTGTTGCCTTTGGCTTGCTCGCTAAGGGGCCCTGGGTTTCTGTAAAGCTGCTTGTGATGACACCCACTGTCAAAAGAACTATAACATGAATTGAACTGATCTGAATTTGTCTTCCTTTCTAGGTTTGCAAACTTCAGGGCTGCGTTATTACTGTCCATCTGTGACCATTGATTTCTTTCCCTTATCCACAGTCTTGATAAGCCAATTACTCTAACAACGTGAATCGATTGATAACAGTGTATTTTTGTGGTGTATTTGCTGTTGCATAACACACACAAATCTGACACTGTTTTAACCACCTTTTGCCGCACGTGTGTGACACATTACGCCTCTGGTGTAACAGCGCACAGATGTAGGAGGCGACTGCAGGTGTAGCCGTGCTAGTCATGGGCAAACAGACATGTTTGTTAAAGCCATTGATCTGAACATGGCCGGTCCTGTTCAATTATTGGTGAACCGTGGGGCAAGCCGGGAGGGAAAAAAACTGCTGTTGGCCTTTTGTGTAAACAGTGACACCAATGGCCGGGTGAAGCAGGGTCACATGGTGCGGATGGACACACCTGTGAGGGCCTAAAGCGGCGCCAGAGTGCAGGTAGAGCACAGGTCTGTGTCTGCAGGGCCAGGCAGTGGCAGGAATGAATCGAGAAGAGAATTACTACTCGGCTGGCCAGATCTACAAAGATTCCTGTGCCTATCAGAGGCCCCACACCGAGGACTACAGCCAGAGCCCCCCGCCGTGTCTCTACATGGGCAGACAGGGTCAGACCCTCTACACTTCGCCGTCCCTGGCCATCCAGGAGCAGCATAACGTCCCTGATCTTTCGTCCTATGTGCCCACCAGAGAAGATCTGCCAATGGGCCACCTTCACCATCCGCCCACCCAACAGACCACCCTGCAGCCCTTCGGAGGTTACGGAGACTCCCTGGACCTCTGTGTGGATAGGAACAGGTGCCATCTTCCATTCCCTTGGATGAAATCGACAAAATCTCATGCGCACGCCTGGAAGGGACAGTGGACGGGTGAGCTGTGTACTTTGGCCATTAATTGCTACCTCACTGTAAATGATAATAGTACAACTTCCTACAAAGTTCAGTATAAAGATAATCATATAGCTTATTTTATAGTTCAGCAAAAGGGCAAATATTTCTAGAACCACAGAATCTAAGTTCTACTTCATGTATGAAGGTGCCACAAAGGGTTCTTTGCACAAAGCCAGAGAAGAACTACTGTTTCAAGAACTATGTTTGAAAAAGAGTGTTTAAAGAATCGGCGCATAATGTAAAAGTTCTGTTTAAGGGTTCTTAAGAGTTCTAAAACTTATACGGAGGTTCTTAAACTTCAAAAAGGGTTCTGCACACTCACACACGGTTCTGTAAAGAACCATCCATTGAAAGGAGCTAAAAGAGTGGTACGTTCTATTTTCAGAATGTAGAAATAATATATTAGCTAATTTAAAATCTCTAAAATCTATCAGGTAGTAGACGTAACTTGAAATTTATCTAAATTTACTTTTTAGTTCCTCGGTCTCATAACTGTAGAACTTACATATAGTCTTGTTTCAGTTATGGAGTAATTTATGGTGGTTACTGGATAACAGCTCTTAAGATTAATACATGGGTAATATATATACAGGGTTCAACAGGTCATTACGGCCGGATTATAATCCCTAAAATTTAGGCCTTCAAATTCTTTAAGTCTAACGTTATTAGTTTTTCTCGTTAGTCAGTTCACCGCTTGGCCGATGACAGGTAGAATGAACTTACTTGCTCATAGGGTCACTGTAAAATGCTCTAAAATTCTGTAACGTCATCTTAATTCTTGATTTGCTTAATATAAAGTTTAATTCACATACAACATATTTGCTAAATAGTTTAATAGTTAAAGAAATTGTGTGTTGATTCTTTACACTTGTGACACACTTTTAAAAATGATCTGGTGTAACTTTAAAAAGTAGCATGATAGGTTTGCAGTTAAAAAACAGATTACAGTTTTGTCTGAACAGCACTGGGAAATCTACACAAACCTGCAAATAAAAAGTCTTAAATCACAGTCACTTTCAGTAGGTTGTAAAATTTATGATATTTATGTTTTTACCAAATAAAACAAATAAAATGTTGAATTTATTTTCACAACATTATATCAACTGGTTCCATGCAACTCTCTTAAGTAGCTTCAAAGAGACTTGACCGAGTAACAAGCACTCAATCAATGCACGAAAATCACACAAAAGTGATTTTGTGTGACTCCTACGTTCAACATAATATGGTTAGCTTTAATGAAAGTAATAAGAATCAACGTAGTATGTTTAAAGGAGAATTCTACCAACTTAAAAAAAATTCTGTCTAATTGTTAAAAATTCAGAGTGGTTTGATGTGAAATGCTCTATTCTAGAGAAACGTACTGACTCAGCGCTCTGTCTGCAATGGTGGTGATGGGATCTGCAATGTCTGCAATGCAAATATAATCATTTTATTTACTATCCAAAACCACTGGTCAACATACTAGAAGTGTCTTCTGAGGTTTTATATGTATAATTGATAAAGGAAATAGTGATAAATCTGAAAGAATTCATTTTCTTTGAGGACCACGTTGCCTTAGAACACCCTGTACAAACCTCACTGCAGTGAATCAATATTCAAAAAATATAAATCTTAACTCAAAATTATCATAAAACAATGTCTTGGGCATCAGGCAGCATATTCCTAACCCTTTCATGTAATAACCTTCTGTGAGGGAGCTTTCGGATGCATTAAACTCTTCAGACGTCTGGTTCCTATCGCCACCACTGTGAACAATTCAGTCTCAGCAAGTTTCTCTAAAACGGAGCATTTCACAGTAAACCACTCTCAACGATTTTGTTTACATTGCAATAATTAACTTTTGCAAAAAAATGTAAAAATCTGTGGGATTCCCTTTTACGCTGTTAAGAAGCAGGGCACACGGCAACAGCCTACATGAGCAAAGCTAGACGGGTAACCAGAAACTAGAAGAAAAGTGCACACAGGTGAAGGTAGGTTAGGAAAATAATACAATAAAACAAGTAAAGCAATATGCAAATAGATGAGCCAATAGTAAAGGCTGCACTGACCAAACAAACACAGACAATTCACTGTATTGCACTGACACAATTCAACTCACTCAGTTTCACTCTCATGCGTTTGTCAAGTAACATGAATGAAAGAAAACAGCGTATCAGTAGTTGGATAAAGCTGCTGTAGCTTTGTGTCCTTTATTTCTTTGTGTCTGTTTGATTCAAATGTGTGTGAAGGACATGTTAAAAATAATGCTTTGCCAACTACAACCACGTCTAAAACAGGCCCTTAACATCTATGCACATCAGCAGGATCTGACTGGTTTTAATGTGCAGTAGGCAACACTGATGTGGACTGATTTTGTTTTTTATTGAATTCATTTAACACCATTCCAGCTGCAAATGATTAGGCATGGGAAATAAAGTGAGTAAACAAATAAGTAAACATTCCAGACACTCAGTTTCATGTACTAAAGTACAAGTTAAACAGTTTTTTAAGCATTTTCAAATGACTTCTACTTGGCTATACCATCGTATGCACAAATTTGGACAAAAGTCTCTAGTCAAATTACACATTTTGTTGATTTTCTGAGTGAAAATAAGTTAACAAATCCTTAAATGTGGCATGTTCTGCTAATTTGAGCACGCCGTTTCTATTTATTTTCTGAGTTAAACATAAAAATATAAAAATATAAAATGTGCCATAATTTCTGCACGGGACACTTTTTATGTTTTTTTTTATTTTTCCCCAGTATGTTATAAATAAATTAACCTAATTTTCACTCCTTTACATTTAGTTAGTTCCTAGTTCCTTTATTTGGATTTAGGTGCTGGATCGCTTTACTGTTGTTCACTTCAGAGCTTAATGGTCTTTTTACTGGCTTTCCCAAGACCACAATCAGACAGTTACAGCTTATTCAAAATGCAGCTGCTAGAATGCTTACAAGATCCGAGCACTTTACTCCAATCCTCCATTCACTGCACTGGCCACCAATTAACTACAGAACTGACTTTAAAGTGCTTCTAATTGTATATACATCTCTGAATGGCCTTCAACCAAAATGAATCGCTGATCTGCTTGAAGTATATGGACCCAATAGGCCTCTCCAATCACTGGGGACCAGTCAGTAAGTACTGTCCAGAATAATAACCAAACAGGGTGAGGCAGCATTCAGTCACTATTCTGCCAACTGCTGGAACAAAGTTTCAGACGAGGTCAGATGTGCTCCAAATGTAGCCACCTTTAAGTCCAGTTTAAAGACATTCTTGTATTCCTGTGCCTTTTTTTATCTTAGCACTATTTAAATTTATTTTATTGCCTTATTTTATTTTCTAATTTATTGTCTTTTGTCTTTAGCACCTTTTTGAGGTGTTAGATCTCAGGATCGTTTAATATTTTTTAATGAGTGCGTGTGAAGCACTTTGCATTGCTGCTGTGTATGAAAGGTGTTTTACAAATAAACTTGCCTTTTGTATTTTATTTTAGAAAAGGTCCAAAAAACAGTAGAACCTAACAAACTTTATTAAGCTAATAGATACTGGATACACTACACTACACTAAAAGTCTCACTGAAACTCTACAGTGACCTATATTCTGTAGTACTGATGACTTGTTTTTGACAATTACATTTACTTCTACTTGAGTTATTACTTCATTATTGCTGCAACACTTTTACCAGAGGATGGATTTAGCCACTTTACTCACAGACAAGTTCCCTATTCCACAGGAACAAACCTTACAGTTATGATACATTACTTTTGCTGTACCAGTGTTGTTTTGAATCTATTGGCCTTGCCTGCTCAGCAACAATATTAAAATAAATTTTAATATTAAGTCAATATAATTCATATACAATAATAAGATAAACCAAAATGACAAATTAACTCAAAACACTCTGTTCTTTTTGTACCTGCATATATTTTTTTAGATTCACAATTAAATCTGACCACTGGCTTTATCAGTCAGGCCTATCTTGCACTTAAAAAGGAATTCTACCCATTTTTAAAACTTTGCACATAATTTAATCATTGAGATGTAAATAAAGTCATTCAGAGTGGTTTGGTGTGAAATGGTTCATTGTAGAGAAAGTTGCAATGTCAACAATGCAAATAATATATATATAGTTAAAACCTGTAGTGCAGAACCTACACAGCAAAATCCCCAGTGATGAATGTAAACCTACAGTATTGAATTATCATTAACAAAATGGACAGTTTAACCAGACACAAATGACCACTACTGATTTGTTGCCTTAAAGCAACATGGTTTTAACAACACAATGCACATAAAGATTATTATGGTACCTGAACAACAGTGACTCTCCGCTAATATAACCAAAGAGGCAACAGTTATGAGAACAAAAATCTAAATATTTCTTTAGAATTCAGACATTAATGCAACACTGTAAGCACTCATTCAGGAGCCCCAACCCCTGATGCTTGGCCCCCAAAGCTCTGTTGCTTCTCTCATGCTGTACTGCCCCCTTCTGCTATGTTGCTCCATTTTCTATTATGTACCATCTAGTGCCTCCAATTATCTATTGCACCCCCACTATGCTCTTCTACCCCATACTCTATTGACCCTCTCATGCCATTGTCCCCAATGCTCTATTGCTCCCCATGTTCTATTGCCCCTTTACTCCACTGCCCCTCATTTTCTATTTCCCTCCTCATGCTCTTTTGCCCACCTCAAGCTCTATTGCCTCCATATTCTATGATTCTCCATGTTCTATTGTTCCCTCCTCAAGTTCTGTTCCCCCCTGTGCTCTACTGCCCCCCATTCTCTATTGCCCCCATGCTCTAGTATTCTGTGTTCTGTTGACCCCTGTGTTCTACTGCCCCTCATTATCTATTGCCCTCATGTTATGTTGCCCTACTTCTCAACTTCTGTTGTCCCATGTGCTCTACTGTTCCTCATTCCCTCTGCCTCTCTCAAGCTCTCCTGCCCCCATACTGTAGTATTCTCCATGTTCTATTGCACCCCCATGCTCTACGACCCCGCACTCTCTATTGCCCTTAATAATGTTCTATTGCCCCCTTTATAGTCTACTGCACCTCGAGCTCCCTTTCCCTAAAGGTTTAATGTTACTAGTAGATCATTTTGTGTACTTTATATATTTTTCTACATTTATATTGGAATTCATGTTGACACGTGCGCTGAATAAAGAGGTTCTGCCTGTCCCTGCAGTAACCCCCCCCTCCTCTCCCCGACCCCTGTACTGCCCCGCAGGTCCGTACCCCGCGGAGGTGGAGGAGAATAAGCGCACGCGGACGGCCTACACGCGCGCGCAGCTGCTGGAGCTGGAGAAGGAGTTCCTGTATAACCGCTACATCTCGCGGCCGCGGCGGGTGGAGCTCGCGCTCACGCTGCGCCTCACCGAGCGCCACATTAAGATCTGGTTCCAGAACCGCCGCATGAAGTGGAAGAAGGAGGAGGAACGGCGGCGGCGCGCGGACCCCGAGCAGGACGCCTCCGTCACATCCGGAGAGCACGAGGACGAAGACACAACGCCATCCTGCGCGCCTCCAGCTCCACGAGACCCGGCCTAAACACACACTCACACACACACGTGCGCGCGCGCAGACTGACTGGCGCCTGAGCGGCGTTTCTGATACTGTGATGAAGCTGCGCCTCTGCGCTTTGGCCACTAGAGGGCAGCATTCAACATTATTACATACACACTTTATCTTTGGTAAAGGGAATGGTTCTGTTTAGAACCATGAGTTCTATGTAGAGCCTTTTCGTGTTTAATGGTTCTTTGGATGGAGAATGTGTTGTATATGGTTCTATATAGAACCTTTTCTGAAAATAGTCCTATTAGCACCAAAAACGGTTCTGTCAAGCTTTTAAGAAAAGAAGAACCCCTTCGGTGCTCCATAGAACCATTTAAAAAAGGTTCTATATTGAACCATATACAACACATTCTCCATCAATTGAAAGAGCCATTTAAACAGGAAATGGTTCTTTATAGAACTCATGGCTCTAAATAGAACCATTCTGTTTACTAAAGAACCCTTGAAGAACCATCTTTTTTAAGAGTGTACCCTCACTGTTGGAACAAAACCTCTGATCTCCAGAACAGCCGCTTTACAGGAGAGAGAAAATTCTCATCTTTTAATTGAAGTCAATGCAGAATTTATTTATTCCAAGTGATTTTGGACGGTTCCATTTGTCCATGTATCATGCAATCTTGGCACAGTATAAAGGGCAGCTGGCATTTGAAACTGTGTCAAAAAAGAAAAAATGTGAAAAAAAAAGGAGATACAAGGTTTTGTCCCGACCGTCCACTTTATTAGAAACCCCCCTATCTTGTACTTCCTCTCACTGACCACACGCATTATAGAACCACTTTTCAGGTGTACAGTTACTGTAGCCCATCTGTAGCTGCCAGGGTTCGAATTGTGGCATAGATCTTAGGGGGGGGGGTTCCTGTGCTATGAGGTGACCTATAGCTTTATTGTATATTTATATATTTTCACAGTATATTTTTGTGAGGTTTATTGTTTTTGCAAGTATTACAAGGCAGACGTCATTTAACTCTATAACCATATCAATAAAAAGGACTCTTACACTTAGAAGCTGACAAGCAGACACGGCAAGTAGGTCTAATAGCTTATTTATTCCTCACTTAATTATTAAGATATATTATTTAGGTATATATATCATTAAGAAATTGGATTTAGTTGTCAGCAGAAAAATGCATGTTATCACACATAGCCCCCCATAAGTGAAGTGGATGGGGGCTTTCAGGGGCCCAGCTACTAGGCAGACCCCAAGAGACCCATTGTTGTGATCATAAAACATAACAGAGTGAAATAATATTTTGCCTCAAAGTTTCTGAAAGGAACTTTCTCAAAGTATCTGAAGTTCCTCAAAAAGAAAATATTAGGGAATCAGAGCCAATCCTGTAATATTTTAATGGTTCGGTATTGGCTAAACCCGGTCCAGTTTGATCCAGCATAAACTGATATTATGCTAACTAGCTAGAACTTTTAGAATGGGGTGGGCAGGTGAGACATAGAGATGCTACTGGTGTGGCACACAGCTAGAAAAGACTAAATAACAGCCTTAATTTATTAAAATGGCCTAAAAAGCGATGCCTGCTTTTCTCTGTACATCAATAAATCAATCCATCATTTCCACATGAATAAAATATTACAGTGACACAGCTATAGCTAAAAGAAAACTGAAAGACAAAGAACACATTTACTGGCCTTTTTGGTCAACAAATTTGCCTATCACAGCAAGAGACACTTATTATTGAATGCAGCATCATCAGACTCTTAGAATTGATTGGTAACTATTTGGTAATTGAAGTTATGTTGATGGTGGCTGACTATCTCACTTTCCATAAATGGGGTGGCCATACTTCATTCCAGGGTAGCACTGGCCACCCCAGGCCACCCCTTGGCTACGGCCCTGGCTAACTCATCAATACGGAAAGCATTAAGCAGCCTTTAGCAGTAACAGACTACGGCATGCTTTTTACAGCCATATGAACTCATATCATATTCGCAACACTACAAACTGATTATTTCAGATTAGCAGTCCAAAATAGCCAAATCAAGCAAAATCGCCACACCGGTCAATATTAAATACACTAAAAACTGTCATTCAAACAAAACTCTAATACATATGCACATCTGAAAATGAATGGAGTGATTTTACTGCAGTATTTAAAGTAAACAGCAGCCTAGAGTATCTTACCGCAGTAAGACTGGTACTTACTTTAAAGTGTTTGAAGTGCGCACTGTATGAACTATCTACAAAAATACAGATATCAGATCAGACCTGTGAGAAATCTTGACTTCAGGTATGAGAGGGGCCATTCAGTTTTACTTATGGGGGCCAGACATGGCTTTGGGTGGGCCTGTTATTACATGATGCGATGGGCTGGTGTGAACATTACCCATTGCGTGTTCTCAATCAGTCTAAAATGAAAACTGTTTGCTAACAAAAGCATATTTGGATCTTAAAAACACTTTTTATCTCAAATCTGTCGTAAAACATTGTATCTGACATCAGGCGGCGTACTCGTAACCTTTTCATGTTATAACTTTCTGTGATGTTGCTGATAGAGGCATTAAATGCTTCAGACATCTGGTTCCTATCACCACCAGTGTGAAAAATTCTGACTTCATATGTTTCTTTAGCGCAGGGAAGTTCAACCACTAAAAGAGCCATATTAAAAATCTCAACAAATCCATGGGCCAGCTGTGTTTTTATTTCATTTTTGCTTAACATTTTGCCCTGACCCCAACTGGCCACTGTGTTTATTCAAAATACGCCAAAACTACAACGGCAAAAAATAACCACTGAATACTTGAATGATTCAAAAATTATTTTAAAAAAAAACAAATTGTTTTATATAAAACACTAGACTACATTATCTGCAGACAACTGTTAAACAGATTAAACAGATAAACTGTTAGACCTTAAATGTCCCCAATGTACAGTAGGTTTTATAAAACTTTACATTGCAGTGCATGCTGGGGACTGTACTGCAGCTCATGATGAAATGGGCTATTATTAATAGAAAACTGAAATAATTTTGCAGGCCAAATATGATTGCGCCATGAGCCTGACTTGCCCCACTGGCCTTATGTTTGACACATGGGCTCTAGAATGAAGCCTTTCACATCAAACCACTTGGAATCACTCTGTTGACATCTTACAATTTAATTATGTAGAATTTTTGAAGTAAATTCCCCTTGAAGTCAAAAGTACCTGAAGCAGTTTGAGGTGCGCTTGAGCTTTAACGTTCACCAGCTTTAAACTGAAGAGAGACTGAAGTGAGTCCCTGGACTGTAATGGTTACGTTAAGAATTTAGGCTGTATGAGTTTATAGTTTATTCAGAGGGAGGAATCTAATGCTGTACACAATGAAAACCTTGTGTGAGGGAACTCATTTTGTCAGATAATTCACATTTTATTTAAGAAAATGACATGGGACACCCCCAAGAACAATTCTGTCTGTCTTGGTCAATTCGGTCTGGGACCCCTCCCCCATTCTAACCCTGGTTGCTACACAGTTTGCACTGATGAAGAGCTAGAGGATGACTAACACTAACTCTGCATCAACAGATGGGCTACAGTCTCTAACTGTACATCAGCAAGATGGGATTTTCATTGTGTAGATTTTTTATTGTGGTAGAACAGGTGAAACATTTTAATATGTGAGAACATGTGACCAAAACATTCAGCACTTATTTTTTTTTTTACTTTACTCCATCAGATATCTAAATCTTTTCAAAGGCTGTGGCCTTAGTGGGGTGGATACAGGTTGTAGTGCACAGGAATTTTTAGGAATGAAACATATTAGGCTTTAGAGTAGAGTCATTCTTTTCCACTAAAATGATTCCTGTAATTTAATGTTTCCATTTACAGTATTTCTGTTTTTCAGTGTCCACTATTATCTAAAGCTCTTGAATACCTGACTCCACTCTAATGTAACCTGGCAGAGGATCAATGATCTTGATCACTTTGAATAATCAGTGTAGCCTGTAGTTTAATGTACTGTCACATGCATTTTATTACAGGTAAAGGATTTGTGAAATAAAGTCAAACAATGACCTGTTTTTATGATGTTCAGACGTTCACAAGACAAATAAGAGGCTTCATCCTAAAAAACAGCCCAATTCATTCAAGGGGAATTCCGTCAAGTTTAAAAAAAATGCTAATAATTTCATTGTTAAGATGTAAACATCATTTAGACACACTGTTTGGTGTGAAATCCTCTGTTCTAGAACCTACCAAGTCAGAACGGTGCTGACTTGGTGCTGCTGGCAGTGGTGCTGATAGGAGCCAGACGTCAGAAGAGTTTAATGCCTCTAAAAGATACCTAAAAAAGGTTATTGGAATACGCTGCCTGATGCCAGATGCACTGTTTTATGATAGTTTTGAGACATAGCATTGGCCTACAACATATTTATTAAATGCATTCATGGTGGAGAGGCATATGCCGGGTGAAGAGACATATATAGATAAATATACAAGACACAGGGTGTTATATACAGTCCCCCCCCAAAAAAACATATATTTTAAGATTTATAACTATTTCACCATCATCAACATTACACAAAAGCACTCTGATGATTCACTGGTGGTTTTGAATAGTAAATAAAATGGCTATATTCCAGTTATAGACACGTGACCCCTGGTTCCTATCACCACCACTGTAAAGAAATCAGTCTGTTTCTCTACAATGAACCATTTCACATCAAACCACTTTGAATGACTTTATTTACATCTCAATGACTGAATTATGCAGGAACTGACTCAAATGACAAGTGAATTAACAAACACAGAAGAATTCTGATGCTCTTTCGCATATTACATTGTAAAATAAGCATGTATGTATTATTAACACTGTAAATAAAGATCTTTTCACAGTCAAAGTGCTACAAATTCTACATACTAAAAAAATTGTTATATGAACTTAATTCAATTATGCCACACATTTCCATTCAATGAAATTGAGTAGAGTCAGTATACATAGAACTTGTTACCTCAGCATAAAGTTCAACTGTGGATGGAACACAATTGAAACTTTTCAGTGCAATTTATTCTCTCTGGATCAACGTAAATGATCAGCCTATCATTTACGTGAGCACTGTGTGCCGAGATTATGGCTGTAACCTCCGGTTAGGGAATTGTTGATTTGTGGGTTAGGAAAGTGTTGTTTGTTCCCATTTTTAGAGAAGTCAAAGAAAGTGTGCTCACTTTTTAAGTAATTATTTTGTCCCATTAAATGATTCTGGGGTGTTCTGGGACAAGTGCAGTTCGCAGCTGTCAGTACAGCCGAGTGAAGATGAAATTACGGCAAGAACAGCGATGCTACAAGCATACATAGCGCAGAGCTTCAGTAGACCTGGGACTGTGGCTTCATAATGACTCCTTGAAAAAGTCTAGTTAGTAAGAGTTGAAATCTGTTCCCATAAAATGCAGCCAGATAACGAACTGTCAGTTATACATCACTGTCTGCTCCTGACAGACTTGCTTTAATCGCCTTTAACACATTATATTCTCTTTCTATTGGATTCTGCCCTCACTAGTAGGCTGAGCAGATAGCAGAAAGCTAATTCATTTATTTTAAGTCGACAGTTTTCAGTTTGTATGTAAAACTGCGGTGACCCTAAGGGGCCGTGGTGGTAGGTAAAGGGATTGCGTTCCTTGCATTTTACCGCAAACACAATGGAATTTGCAAGGGAACACAATGTTGTTTAATTTTTTTTTTTGCAATGGCACTTCAGGGGCGCAGCATCAAACAACCTCATTGGTTAATTATTTTTTGCGTGCAAGATATTTTAAAATTAAGTATGTATTTTTACGTATTAAGTTACTATTTTTGTGCACTTTTTAAATCAGCTGTTGTTGCTGAAATGCTATTTTGGAGAGCTGATGAACTAAAATTAAAATGAAGCTTCAGTGTTATCATAAAGCCCCCAAATCAAAATCAGACCTGATGAGCATCTCTGTCCACTATCTCATCAATCCAACACATCAAAACCAGTCAGATGCAAAGTGTTCGCTCAAATTAATTTTTATTTTTACCTCCATCTCCTCTGGGGCTCCGTAACAAAGAAACAGATAAAACACAGGACACAGAAACACAAGTAAGGCATTATGAAATATGAAAAGAATCAACAGAACTATCCACATAAATGATATTTTATGTTAATATGATTTATCTTTAGTGCTACTGTTTATTTATACTGTCTATTATTTTTACTGCAAAAGTTTTTATAGATTTTGAGAACATAAAGAAGACTGTATATCATAAAATGTAAAAAATATATATTTTATTCCATTTAATGACCATAATAATACATAATACATACTGCAGTAATTAAATTTAAATGAAAGAGAATTAAAGTTTTAAACATATGAAATAAAATACTGACCTTTCTATTTTCAAGAATCCAAAAACTAAATTGTAACATTTAAAGTAAATTATAATTTGGATATGAAAATAGTCTTTGCCATAGTAAATACGTGGCTACATGAGAATTGGTGAAAAGATTCTGATGCAATGTAGAAGAAGTTCACTTCACTTGTAGTGTCATGTTCCAGTTCCCTTTTTCCAAAACCAGGGCCAAGCTCGCCATCTAGCAATGCATTTGATAACACAAAATACAATTGTAATGTGTAAAATGCAAATCCTATTACAAGAAAGCAGTAAGAACAACCACTGGCACAGTTCCAGTAGCTTATGTACTGCTGCACAAGGCAGTCAGTGCATATTAATACTCGCTTCACCAGTTTACAGCTAATAAACTCCTGACTCATCTAAAGAACTTAAACTGTAGTTAAGTGAACCAGTTTATCGCAACTTCAGGCAAATACATTAATATTCTTCTAATTACTCTCAACAGACTTAACCTCATAAACTCTTAGACTTTTATTATATTTGTTCACACCAAGTATCAAAAATCTGATGTTTTTGCTTTCTTGGAAGAAAACTGATTCCTGAGTACCAGCACCAATGAATTTACCATTTTTTTATAAGCACCACTATTAAAGGTGCACTCGCGAGTTCAGACATTATACAAAAAACGAGCATGAAATAAACAAAATAAACAAAATAGGCTACAAACAGTTGCTGTGTTGTACTAAAGTACACAGTCATTCTCAGCTTTTCAGCTATGGCCTTTTAGGGGTCCTGAAGGGGAATTCCATCAATTTTTCCAAATTTCTGTGTAATTCAGTGGGTAAGATGTAAATATGGTCATTCAGAGTGGTTTGACGTGAAATGGTTCATTGACTCAGATTTCTTTACAGTTGTGGTGATAGGAACCAAAGGTCACAATGACTACAACACAAATATAACCACTGCATTCGCTATCCAAAACCACCAGTAAATCTAGACGTGTAAAGGAATTTTGAAAAAACAGTGGAATTCCCCTTTAAGGCTGAGTTTAAGGCTGTCGGCAGGTTTTCTGTATATATTATATATATATATATATATATATATATATATATATATATTAACTTCTATAACTAAATGGAGAAGAGACATCAAGATTGTGCTCAGTGCTTACCTTAAGGATTTATGCCACATATTTCTGGATCAGGGTTTTCCTCAGAAGCTGTAATGGACCCTCTAAAAAGGAGGAGAATGTGATTTCAGAGATAAACGCAATGACAAAAAATATTTTGTTAGACTTGTTTTTAGTCAGACAGATTCAGAGAACACAATGTAAAAAATGAAAAATGTATGACATTAAAATTGAGTGCTGTATTAAACATCCAGCAAAGTCTGAATGAAAAAAGTAAGATATATAATAACACATTGTTTAAAAACACTGATCAGACCTGTCTGAGGACTACCTGGGTGTGGTCCTAATATTCTAATGAGCATGTTTGATTGCCATCCCTCTGTCCACCACTCTACTATGCCACTCATGCTGGACTAAACGAGTGAGTGAAACAAGCACTGCATCATATTTTAGACTATATGTCTCACTAAAAATTCCTTACAGTCCAAGTGGCTCAACTGTTTAACCCTGTGTGCACACCACTGGCAACAAAAGCAGCATGGCAGCCAGGAGTAATTGATTTTGAATGAGAGCCAGCGACAGAAAAGATGTTCTCACATCCTGTAGAGAACGCTGCACTGACCTGTCGAAGATTTGTTTCGTTGCATTTAGGTGAAAATACAGGGAAAGTCGATCACAGTGGTGAGTTTACCGTGCGGTACAGAGTCTGTGTTTTTATACTGAGAGCTCAATAATAAAACAAGTTGTGGTAGAAGAAAGTGTCTCATAATAATAATCCAGTCAAATCCAACCTGCCTGCTCTCACTTCAAAAATGCCCACTAGCGACCATGTAAAGGTTGCAACATGGTGTGCATGCAGGGTAAGCACTGACCCTACCACCTAAGTTAGACATAAGGGTAACAGTAAGTATTCTTCATAGTGTGACGGAGAATATTTCTGTGAGAGAGAGAGAGAGAGAGAGAGACTGTACTTTCTTGCGGATGACATGGACTACAATGAGGCTGATCAGCAGGAGGGCAACGACAGGTATGCAGCACATCAGTATCAGTACCATGGAGTCCGAGGGGTCCGAGGAGGCTACAACAGAGCATTGTCATTGTATAAAATCTCCATTGACTGGTCATGATCAAATACAGATGAATTAGAACCTCATCATACAAGTGTGTGGAACATAAACGTACGGTTTTCCACTGTAAAATGCTCACTGCAGTATGAGCCGTCCATGTTAGTGAGGCAGCACTGGACAATGTGGTTGTTTACTTCACTGCAAGCTTCAGAGAAGACAATGTCCTTCTGGCAGAACTGGTCTGAATCTGGGAACTCTTGTAGATTCACACTTGTCTCTTTCCACATTGCAGAGTCTGTACAGCTTTGAGACCAATAAGAAATAGAGACATTGACTTTACATCCTCACATTAAAGAAAAATGACTTTGAAAACTGACTGTACAGTGCATCTTATGAAATTGTTCTTATGGCATTCTAGGATGAGGATCAAAACTATAAAACAATTTTTCTTACAGCTGTACAGAAGCACTTTTCTGATGTGGAACAAAACTCGCTCTTTTCCACTGCAGTGCTACTTGATCTAAGGTAATTAATATAGCATAGCTAGCTAATGCACTTCATTTTAAATCAGCTAGATTGTAGTGACTTAACTGATAAAGTACATTGCTCTTATTTAGACGAATTACTTAATACTAAGTAGAGTACTCATTTTGGTATCGGTATCAGTATTGGGAAGTACTAAAAAACATGTTGCTATGAATGCATTCCTGATTTTTATATATCAACCACAAACCACAAATATTGGCACCCCTGGTAATTATGAGCAAAATGAGCTGAAGAAAATATTTCTAATTACTTATTCATTTGATCTTTCTTTCAAAATATTAACAAAAATCTAATTTTCATTTAAGGTGTAATGATTGAAAGAAGAAACAAAATCTTGTCATGAAATAAATATTTTTCTTAAATCAATGTATGCCATAATTGTTGGCATCCCTATAAATTCTTAAGAGTGAAATCTAACTGTAGTATTCCCATTCATATTTTATGTTTTTAAGTTCACTTAAGCGATTAGGAACACTTAAATGGTCAGCCATAACTTCCTGTTTCACTGGGGAATACATATGAGATGAAACACAGGTCAAATCCAGTCATCCATCGTTATGAGAAAGACCATAGAAAACAGCAATAACATGCGACAAAAGGTTGTTGGGCTGCACAAATAATGAAATGGCTAAGAAAAAATAGCTGAACAGTTGAAAACTGAGCAATAATTAAAAAGCTTACAACTACTTGAGATGTTGTGAATATGCTGGGAAGAGGACGCATGTCTATACTGACCCCATGCACAGTGAGAGGGCAGGTTCGACAAAAAGATGGTGAACTGCAGAAATTAGTTCAGGTTTTGGGGTCAGAACATTTCTCAAACCACAATCATACAACTGTAAGAGCTTGAGTCTGTTGGGCCTTAAAACAGAGGGTTTTGGCCACAAACACCAGAGGTGATGTTAGTGTGGATACAAAGATATATAGAAAAGTACCTCATCAGCACTGTGAAGTATGGTGGTGGATCTATCAGGATGTGGGGCTGTTTTTCTTCCAAAGGCCCTGGACAATTTATTCAGATACATGGCAGGACTGGGCGATAAAACGAAAACGATAATTATTGCGATATAACTTTCCTCAACAGAAATATAAGAAATGTCACCATGAGAAGGTGCACTTCCGAGTTTTTCGACATGATTGGAGGGGGGAGGTCAAGGCGTGAGTCGGCAAATATACTTTAGCAACATCTGAAACGTGGAATTATATATTTCCTGTTTGAGTGGAGCGATCGGCAATCTGTTCTCCCGTGACCAAGTGTGAGTGATGAGATAAGTGGTGTAACTATACTGCCCTACAATGAACTCACCTCTTTCCGTACATCCTAACAAGCTTTAGCAGCGTTAAATCGCGTCTGCTCCACACAACTACAGCACTGTTACAACGCTCAGTCATATTTTAGTATTAGTGCATTCCCAAGCAACAAAAGTGAAAGCACTGCACTGATATGAACGCAAGTTAACTGAGGATGCTGTATGTATGTGTTGCACTGGAGAGTGGGAGAATGCTAGCTTCCCAGGCTAGCTGTTTTTTAGCAGCTGGCTAATTTGAAGCAGGGCTCTCACTAGCACAGCATGGCCGAATTCATGTTATTGTAGTTCAAACAAGACAAAAAAGCACAGATTTCAGTTTAAACGTACCTAAAAGGAGGACTCTGTTTGTCTGGTGCAAAAGAATCACACTGCAGTTAATGCTTTTACACAGCGAGCGTCAGATATACTGCGGTACTTCCATCTCTCAAGCTACTATGTTAGAATAGAGAAACCCAGACGTCTGCTAGCTTGTGTTTGAATACTGTGATACACTCTGACATACTAGATGTGGTAGGAGTGATGGCAATAAGAAGTGTGATCCATCACTGACGTACCACGCCAGCTAATGTTTACTGTTTGTATTAAGCTGATGCTGTTGAGAAACTAAACAGTTTAGCACTCGTCACCAGACAGCTAAAAATAATCTGCTTTCTTTCTTAAATTATGAATATTACAAAAGTTGCTTTTCCAGCTAGTAAAAACAGCTACCCAGACACTTTCTCTCACTCTCCCATGACAGATTTGTAAAATGTTCCACTGTTTGGCGAGTGTCTGTCGTGTTCCGACCATAAAGGACAGTTTAAAACAGCAATTAACCACTCAGGAGCAAAAATCAGCCTTCAAACTCGAAAGAAATAATGATTTGACATTTATCACAATATGTATCGATATCGACTGATATGAAATTTCTTATCTTAACATTTTTCGCCATATCGCCCATCCCTAATACATGGCGTTACAGATTCCATCAAGTAGCAGCAAAAATAAAATCAAAACCTGACTGCCTCAGCCAGGAAGCTTAAACTGGGCCATAGTTTGGATCTTCCAGCAGGACCATTATTCAAAACAAGCCTCAAAATCAACATAAAAATGGTTCACTGACCACAGAATTAAGGTTTGTCATGGTCACCCCAGTCCTCTGACCTAAACCCCATAGAAAACTTGGGGGGATGAGCTGAAGAGGAGATCCACAGGGTGAGAATCTCAACCATCTGGAGAGATTTTGTATAGAGGGATGGTCCTAATGGTTATGACTGCTTGGTACATAAAACCATATAAAACATCATAATACAAAAAAAAAACTTTGTAATACGGCCCTTTGACTGAACAATTCATGAAAGTCAACACCAAACTAAAAACTAGCTACTCAGGGGGGCTTCCAGTGTGTTGATGTTGGAGTAGGACGTAGAGAAAGGGGGCTCCCGACTTCGTGCTCTTCTATTTCATTAAGCGTTTAATTTACAGCAAGTAAACTTTTAGAAGAATAAAGTACAAGTCTAGCATTGTTCGCGTTATAAAATGAGCAAACAGAAACAATCTGCACCACCGGCAACACGGGGAAACACTAGCATAGCTAGTAAGCTACGGCTTCCTCTGCTAACAACGGCGAGGGAACATCTGAGAAGTCCGAGGGCGTCTCCATGAGCCAGTTGGTTTCCGAGCTAACTAAACAACGCATCAGTCTCAAAGAAGACATCTCTCTCCTACTTCAAGAATCACTTGGCCCTTTACAGACATCGATAGCTCCCAAAGTCGCCTGGCAACAACTGAATCTCTGGCCGGTGAGAACTTTCGCTCTGCAATCCTCCCCCGGTCAGAAATCACACAAAGGACGACCACCTCGACCATTCGTGGTGTGCTTCCATCGATTTCAGGAGAAGGAGCGCTTGCTACGATGGGCCAGAAAACACGAGTTAAAATATAAAGGAGCATCTGTGAGGATATACCCTGATCTCAGCGCTAACGTGGCAAAGAAACGCGCTGCCTTTCATGAGGTCAAGCAGGCACTATACCACAAAGGAATACGATTTCAGCTACTCTACCCGGCCCGTCTGCGAGTCAGTTACGAAGGGGAAACGTTTATATTTCACTCGCCCGAGGAGGCTAAAGTGTTCTACAAACAACGCATGACCACTTAAGTCCAAGTAAGTCGACACGGCCTGGTTAACTTTGCTCTGCTTGCTTCTACCACACCACACCTGGTACTCAATGGACTAACCAAGATGCCACCTATCACCTATAACGGCTGATATTCGATTGATCTAAAGAAGTTCTCCTTATTTTGAACTGCAGCCTGACTCCAATCAGCGCATAACAATGCTATGTCAGACAAAAACGGTCTCCAATCAGTTTCCCAAATGACTGTCTGGAGAACAGGATTATATTTTTGTTTCAGTGCCAGTTTACCATTAATACAAATTACTAGTCTGACTTGTATTTGATGTTGATGGATCACACGGTAGGCTTACAAATTTCCATGTTCACGTATACGCTTTTCTGATTGTTGATAGAGGGCCCTTCTGACTTCAGCGATCTTAAGGGGTGGGCTACTGGGAGACATTCAATTTAAGTTTGGGCCTGCGGTTTGTCTCATCTCAAGAGACAAGCCTAGGAAATGTTTGGGTTATTTTTGCTGCCTTATGGATCATTTATTTGATTGTTGTTTTTGATTTAATGTGTGAAGACAAAGTGTTATTTATCTGTTATAGGATGTTTCATAAGATGAGTGGGTTTGAACTGGGTGACAATTATCACAGCCTCTTTAAACTGACTGTCATTAACCTTAAATGGCTAAGTTAGGAGGGACAGCAGTCCGTTTAATTAGCTGGAATGTCAGGGTCTAAATGGACCAGTTAAAAGAACTAGGATATTTGGCCACATGAAAAGGTTAAACACAGAAATTGCATTCTTGCAGGAAACACACATGCGTATAGTAGACCAACTTAGACTGAGAAAACCGTGAATAGGACAGGTGTTTCATTCAACTTGTAATACAAAGGCAAGAGGAACAGCAATTTTAATTCATAAAAAGCTACAATTTACTGCATCAAAAGTCATTCCAGATTCCAGTGGACGATTTATTATAGTATCAGGCCATCTTTTTCATGTGCCAGTTGTCTTAGTCAGCGTGTATGCTCCCAACTGGGATGATGCGGGTTTTATTAAGAGGCTAACCTCCTTGCTACCCGATTTGATTTCACACTGTCTGATTTTGGGTGGAGACTTAAATTGTGTGATAGATTCGGTCTTGGACTGCTCAAATCCTAAACCTTCACCCCCCTCAAAAATGTCTCAAGCACTATCCAGCTTCATGACTGAAACTGGTTGTCTAGACCCATGGAGATTTTTTAATCCAGATAAAAAGGAATTTTCATATTTTTCTCATGTTCATCATTCTTATTCAAGGATTGACTATTTTTTTCTAGATAAAACACTTCTTCCTGCCATTAAAAAAATGGAGTATTCTGGTATTGTGGAATCTGACCATGCACCTCTTTTACTTGATTTATATTTCTCCCTTAACTGCTCAGAAAAACCCGCCTGGAAATTAAATACAAACTTGTTGGCAGATAAAGATTTCTGTGAATTTATTTCCAAGGTAATTGATAATTTTTTGATAACTAATAAATCTGAATCTGTGTCACCATCCACTCTATGGGAAACGCTTAAAGTTGTAATCAGAGGAGAAATTATATCATTTTCTGTAGCACGTAATAAAGCAAGAAAACAGAAACAACAACTTATAGACTATATGGAAGCTTGATCAAGAATACTCTATTAATCCATCACCAGAATTATTCAAGGAGAGATTAGCTCTTAAAACACAGTATGAATTATTATCAGCTGAAAAAACTGAACAGTATCTGCTTTGGTCGCGAGGACAGTTCTATGAACATGGAGAAAAAGTAGGATGTCTTTTGGCTTATCAACTAAAAAATAAATCAGCATCTCGGATAATTTCAGGAATTCGTAATACAGCCCAAGAAGTGACAGTAGACCCCTATAAAATTAATGATGCTTTTAAAAAATACTACTCTCATTTATACTCTTCTGAATTCACTGATGATGATTCAGCTATGTCCAGATTCATGGAAGAATTAGATATCCTAGTTATAAATTCAGATCAAAAAGAAAGAATGGATCAACCTTTGCAATTGCAGGAAATAGTAGGCGCCATAGGAACAATGCAAAATAGCAAAACCCCTCGACCGGATGGCTACCCAATTGAATTTTATAAAAAAATGTCCTCTAAACTATCTCCCCTACTTCTTGAAATGTTTAAGGACTCATTTGGTCATGCAACATTGCCACAAAGCCTCACAGAAGCATGTATCACACTTCTTTTGAAGCCGGCCAAAGATGCTCTTGAATGCAGCTCTTACAGGCCAATTTCTCTTTTAAACGTAGATGTTAAAATATTGGCTAAGCTCATTGCTTTCAGAATAGCTAGTATAATGCCCAGTACAATTTCAGAAGATCAGACTGGCTTTATAAGGAATCGTCACTCTTTCACCAATATTCGTAGGCTCCTTAATGTAATATACTCTCCTGCAGCCGGGGAGATCCCAGAAGTGGTGGTATCCCTGGACACAGAAAAAGCATTTGACAGAATTGAATGGAATTACTTATTTGCGGTACTAGAAAGATTTGATTTTGGCCCAAAAATCATCTCCTGGATTCGTCTGCTATATTCCTCGCCTAAAGCATCAGTAGTAACCAACAAATTACGTTCACAATATTTTCCGCTCTCAAGAGGAACGAGACAAGGGTGCCCTCTTAGTCCTCTTCTTTTTACTCTAGCAATCGAACCCCTGTCCATTAGACTGAGAACATCAAGATTAGTGCAGGGTATTCAACGTACAGGTATTGAACATAGAGTCTCCCTGTATGCAGATGACCTTTTACTGTATTTATCAGACCCCGTAATGTGTGCCCCTAATATTGTAGAAATCCTCTATAGGTTTGGTCAATTTTCGGGATATAAATTAAACCTTTCTAAAAGTGAGTGTTAGCCTGTTAATAGTCTAGCCATGCAAATCAAAGAGACAGAGCTGCCTTTTCATGTGTCTAAAAACGGTTTTAAATATTTAGGAATTAAGATCACTCCAACTATTCATTGCTTATTCAAAGAAAATTTTGTACCCCTTATTTCTAAACTTAAATAAGACATTCAGAGATGGAATACGCTACACTTTTCTCTTGTACGCAGAATTAACTGTTAAAATGAATATATTACCCAGATTTCAGTCAGTTTTCAGTTTTTCTGTCAGTAGATAAGCTGATAATGGCATTCTTATGGAGAGGTAAACACCCTAGAATACATAAAGAATTCCTAGAAAGGGGTAGGCTGCAAGGAGGTTTATCTCTTCTATATCTAAGGTGCTATTACTGGGCTGCAAACTTACAAAAATTGTTTATTGGTTCCAATTCCCAGAGACTAATTGGTGTAAAGCAGAGGCAAACTCCTGCAAAGCATCGTCTCTTGCTGCCCTTATTACAACAAAATTACCTTTCTCCCCATCACAATATACCTCATCCCCAATTGTATGCTCCACACTTAGAATATGGTCATAATTCAGACAACATTTTAACCTTACAGATTTTTCAATATTGGCCCCCATATGTGATAATCACCTTTTTCCAGCAGCTAAACTGGATCATACTTTTGCACAATGGCAGAGATTGGGTATTACTAAGTGTAGTGATATTTACATTGATGGTACTTTCGCCAGTTTCAATGCTCTCACTGAAAATTTTTTGTTACCACGATCTAGCTTATTTTGTTATTTTCAGATTCGTCACTTTATTCAGAATCAAAGTTCAACTTTCCCCTGCTTACCACCAGCTTCAGCTTTAGATAGTATCCTGCAAACCCCCATGCATCTTAAAGGCCAGATTTCGAGTATACTAAACACAATTTTTTCTCTTAAAAGTGTGTCACTAGATAAGATTAGAACGGACTGGGCAGAAGAACTAGGCATTGAAATATCTGATGAAACTTGGCAAAGTGCTCTGAATAGAGTGAATGGAACATCTTCATGTTCTCATCTTAGTCTGATACAGTTTAAAGTTCTTCATCGAACTTATTACAGTAAAGCAAAATTATCTAGGATATACTCTAACTTAGATGATATTTGTGACTGATGTCATGTTGCTAAAGCACATTTGACCCACATGTTCTGGTCCTGTAATAGGTTGATGGACTTCTGGTCATCCATATTCAAAATCCTGAATGAGGCTTTTGAGTCAGATGTACAAGCTAGTGCTGAAATAGCCATATTTGGTGTACTGCCAGATAATACTTCAATGACAGAAAGCAAGAAAAGTGCCTTTTCTTTCGCCTCTCTGTTAGCTCGCAGAAGAATACTACTTAAATGGAAATCACCCAAGCCACCAAAAACATCAGTATGGCTTAATGACATGATGCTATTTTTAAAACTAGAAAAAATAAAATACACCATCAGAGGAACAACCAACACATTTTTTACAGGTTGGAGTCCCCTAATAAAGTACTTTCAAAGTATTAAGACCCTCCCTGCAAACTGATTTTCAATTTTAGTCTGTCATGCTCATCCAAGTCCATCCCACTGCAAAGTCTTCTGTGTGTAAATATATATTTTACTTTGTCACCATCCTTGGATTTGTAGACATTAGAACTTCCTTTTATCTTTCTTTTTTTTTGGTCATTTATTTATTTATTTTCTATTGTGTATGTGTATCTCATAGGCAGCAAGGGTTGGGAGGCACTGTTGTGTGGGGAAATGATGTGGGGGGGGGGTTTGACTGTATTGTGATATGCCATCTTTTTTTCTTTTTTGTCTTGTTGAATAATAATAATAAAAATAATAATAATAAAATAAATAAATAATAAAATAAATAAATAAATAAAACTAGCTACTCACTTAGTATCTGCTGGACACCTCTTCCAGAATATGGCCCGAGGAAGTGAGCTGTTGGTCATACAGGTGACATTGTCTAGGTTTTGGAGTATGGTAAATTTAGGAGTATCTACAAAGTGACACAGAGAATGATTTAGATTCTGTTCTTGCCCAAGTTTGAAACTTCTCACAGTATATTGACACTATCAGAAATGCTATTTGCATGCTAATTCTTTCAAAGTACAGTTACAGTACAGTTATGATATTAATCTATTTATAAGAACTCACCTGTCACACAGAGAGACAGATTCTTTGTGACTAACTTCCTACCAGCTCTCAGTTGTATCTGATACAGGCCTGGCTCTGGATTGCACAGTTTAAAAGTGCTAAAAGGAAGGACAAAACCATCAGAGGAATACAGCAATACAGCACACTTACAGACCCAGTTTGGAAAGACTGCTTGTCAACTTACTGATTATTCCAGAGGTCATGAGTTTTGTCAGACTGCACTTTGGTTCCATTTGGTTGAATCCAGGCACACTGTGGTTTTGGGTAAGTGAGCACCTGGACTTGGAGGCAGAAGGTCGCTTTCTCTTTCTCCCAAATTCTGACACTCTCATTCAGCTCCAGTATCTCAATGAAGTCCTCCTCTGTCAGAAAACCACCAACATCATCAGGAGTTTACACTGGCTTAAATCAGAGGCTTCTTACACAAATTAACTAGGGGCCAGTAGCCAGATGGCAAGAGGGGCTGGCTGAAAAAATATAGGGGGAAAAAAGTGTGCTATATCAAACCCCCCCCCCCCAGTATGAATTTTGAAGTGTCCCGTATATGTGTTCCAAGTATTATTATTGACTACGTAATACAGACTCAATTTAACACATCTTGGTTGATGTTTACTAGCAATTATTCTGTCACCACAAAACACAACTACTACCACTATTACTAATAATACTTCTACTACTACTAATACTAATACTATTAATTATTGATAGCATTGGCGTTCCTGCTTAACATGAGTGAAGTAATTATGAGTGAAGTGCTGGCAAAGGAGAGCAGTTACATCTGCATACTCAATAGATCTGTTTGATAATTTTCTTAATTCCATGAATGTATCCACAAAGACTTCAACTAACAATCATTCTAAATTAGCACAATAGCTAAGTTAGTTATAGCTAATGGTGCCACAGTGTGTGCAGTGCTCATTCTGCACCAGGTTTTCATTTGTATGTAGTTTTTGTGCATGTTGCGTGTTTCAACACGGGTCAGTCAACATAAGTCTGCACAATATGATGCAAGTTTATTGTGTTGCCAGATTGGGTGAGTTCCCGCCAAACAGGGTGGATTTTGGTTTGATTTGACCAGCAGGTTATTGTTAATGTAACGGATGTGCATTTGGGCCTAACATGTATTATCCACTTCATGTGGCCCCACTGACTGTACTGAGTTCTGCTACAGCTGGAAATTAGAATGGCCCGTTATCTGTTCAGCAGAGTCTATGAAGGTAAGTAAGTTTTTAAAATGTGTATGAGGGACAGTTATACTTAAAGCATTACTTGTAATTCTGATTGCCTGGGATCACAGGTCCTCTCATATTTGACACATTAGTAAAATGTTAATGTTCGTGCAAGCTCAGCAAGTTTAGATACACAATGTCTAGACTACTAAGATACACATACAAGTCAAATACTTGAATTATTTCTTTGTGTCCTTCGTAGCAGTGATAAGATTTTCGAAGGAAAGACATCAGCAGTTAATAAACCCAGAAGCTTTTTATTAATTACATGTTGATTAAATGCTGTATTGTTTTGTATGTGGTTAAACTGACCTTAGACTGTTTTTGATGGATATTTGTGGGCATTTTTTTTCATGCATTTTGGATTTTGAACACTTCTGGCTGGAAACTATAGAAGCAATCTGACAACACTGCTTGTAGAAACTAATCTGTTTGTACTTACCATGCACCTGCACCTGTGTAGCCTTTGATTGCCCGTCCTTACTTTTGCAAACATACTCCCCACTGTTATTCCCACTAACTGATTCAATGGAGAAATACTCCAACACTGAATCATAATAGTACATTCTTACTCCACTGAGCTAAAGGTGGGGCAGAAAGAAATAAAAAAAATCATACAGCAATATCAGAAACTCATAACCATATTAATATTTACATATCCACTCTTTACAGTACCTCTGTGTTGTTGAAGAACCACTTCATAGGTGGTTTCTTATTATTAGCTCTACATCGGAGTGCGAGCGACTGTCCAGGATTCAGTAAAATCTGTGGAGCTTCAGTCTCCTGCCTGGGCTTTCCAAGCTCTAAAGCAAAAGAACAAAAGTCATAAATCATCTGTAATGTGTTTATTGAACCAGAGAGTACCCAATTTTGTGACATCTCTTGGATTGCATTACTTATTGCTCGGGCAAGACAAACATCTGTTGGTCACCACTTCAATTACACACTCTCAAAAGTGCATAATTTGGATATTTGCTTCAAAGTAGATACTGAGAAAGTTATGGAAGTTACTGAGTAAAGTGTACTCAGTTAATTTTCATTTTATGTTTGTTACAGTGAGGCTTATGGTGAATCACATTAATACATAAGAACTAGAGTTGCTGGCTAAGTTGGTTAGACTTGCTATGATAAGCGTTATGAGGCATCAGATTATAAATAGGAATAATCGTCTTACCGTAATGATAAATCAGGGCGCATTCTTTTCCCTCTGAGTTTGTGGCACAGCAGTTCGTGTTTGAGGTCTGGTAGGTAAAACCATCAAGCGTGCTCACAGCCATCTCCTTTTCCAGATTTGTCTCTTCTTTTAGATCTCGTCTTTACAGACGCAAATGTTACAGTAGAACAGCGTTAGTATATATAACTAATTAAATGTAGTTGTAGGAAAGCATTACAGCAACATTTTATAGTATTGACTGGAGCAATACAAATTAATATTATTATTATTATTTGCAAAAAAAAACTCATGGGATGTTTCTCATTTCACCTCAGAATTTATATATTCTGGCCTTTATCAAACTGACAACCCCATAGCTGTAGTGAAATTTTGCATTTTAACTATACTAACATTTGAAAAGCAGTGACAAACAGCCTAAGTAAGATGAGAAATGTGGGTAAGAGGAACAGGGTTAGTCGTCCTAGAAAAGCACTTTATAAATATCATGAATTATTATTATTATTTTTTAATTATCTTATTATATCACTGCTGTCGGAACAAAACCTCGTATCTCCATTTATGTCGTTTTTCAGTTTTTAACATAATTTGAAAATGCCTGTTGTCCTTTGCTTTGACCCAGTATTAATTGGAAAAAAGTCTGGTTCCATTGACTCACATAAAAAGTAGAGTATGTTTTTTTCCTTCTGTAAAGTTCTCATTTTGGAGAAACAAGGTTTTATTCTTTGTTTTTTTGAAAAACAAAAGTTCTAACTTTTAACTGGTGGTGTTACATGTTAGAGACAAATAGAGACAATGTGCATCTTTTATAATTGTTTTCTAATCTGCCTTTTGATACTTAATAGTATTGCACATTGACCAACAAAAAATAAGTCTGTCATGTTCATATTCATCAACAAAAGTTTTTATAATTGTTTTCTATCTTTACTTTTGATACTTCAATAATTTTTACCAATAGACACTTTCAAAAGTTATCTTTTGAAAGAATGTGATGCTTGTTACAGTTAAATATATCTCACTTTTCACATTTTTAGATTTATAATTGTAACAATGAAGGGGTAGGCTGGTGAGTGGGATCCATCAGCAGGCTTTATTTTGACAGGAACAACAGTACAAAACACAGTCCAAAAGCAGAGTTAGGGCAGAGAAGAAGGTCAGGGGCCAAAAAGCACATACAACAGAGCCAAGGCAGAAAAGTCGAAAACAAAATCCAAAAATCCAAGTTAAAAAAAGGCCAGCCATGATCAAAAAAAACAAAAGTCAGAGAAAAAGGGCTCAGGATTGCAATGATAATCAAAGAGAGGTAAAAGAGTGTGAGAGTATTTATAGGGGAGTTGATGAATGGAGATCGAGAACAGGTGTGTGAGAGTGACTGTTAGAATTCAGGAGACGATGACCTCTGGTGGGCAGTTTGGGAGTCGCACATGACAATAATTAACTTCTGAACTAAGAAGAATATCACTACTTTAACTCAAGGGAAAGATTTTAATATATTGTTCCAGCATTAAAGAGAACAAAACAACAACGCAACAATGTTATGGACTAAACCTTCCAACTCTAAGTGGAAATGAAATAATCAAGACTGTGTTCTATGCTTACCTGCTGGTTTGTTTGTTTGCATACCATGTAATTTTTGGTATAGGGTTTCCCTCAGAAACACATCTGAAACTAACAGTATGGTCTTCTCCTTCAGTCACTGTTAACTGTGGAATAGATGGTGGCTCTAGAAATGAGGAGAATGTGATGATGCGATGATTAAAAATAAATCAGTAAATACTTTTTTCAAGCATTTCAGCACATGTTAAGAAAATGTAAATGGTGCTGCAGTAAATAGCTGTAAGATTTTTCAGGGTAAAATATATATGATTAAAAAAAAAGCTTGGACAATAATGTTAATTTAGACAAACGATTACTGTCTGCAGAACCATCACGATAAATGATATAATTGCGATCTAAATTCAGTTACAACCCAGAAGGATAAGCGGCTTAGAAAATGTGTGTGTGTGTGTGTGTGTGTGTGTGTGTGTGTGTGTGTGTGAGAGAATCACATGTAAGGCTTACCCTATAGCTCTCAGTTTTCCTAATGGTAATATAATATGGTATAATTACCCACTGGCATAGCTTCTAATATTACTTAACTATATACTGTTATTACACTGTATAATGTATGATAATAACTATGTTCTTTATGTAACACTTAACATTCAGTGGTTCTCCACTTTCTTTTAGCTGAAAAATAAAATAATGCCAAATTGTTACGTTGGCACCCTTCTTCTGCACAAGCTTGTCCGTTTTACTGTCTACAGGAGAGCAGATTTCATGTACTGGATTTTCTTTGTTTCATTTGCATATTTCTCCAGCATTCTTTGTCAGACTGAGGGGACAAAGTGTGTACATGTATAGTTAATTAGCTGGTGATGTTCTGTTTGTATAGCCTATAATTAAGTGCTATCTTTATTATATACATTATAGATTGGAGTAAATACATAAAGAGGAATGTTAAATAAAGGCAAAGCTACAAAAATGAAATTACATGTCATGTGAAAGAGAATTATAATTTACGTAATGTTGACATTTTTAAATTACTGGTGATATTTACACAAATCAGTCAGAAGCCCAGGCTAGTTTTATCTTTCTATAAGAATTAGTAGTTTATCACTGGTCTTATCTGAGGTGTAATTCAGAAGGACAAGCATATGACTCACTTTTTGGAGCAGTTACATGGACTGAGATGTTTACAGAATAGTTTGAGTTGCCAGTGCCACAGACTACAGTGTAATCTCCACCCATGTCTCTTGTAAAGCGCTGGACTGGTAGCATATTGGCTGTTTCTCTGTGGAAAGCACAAAAACTTAGCTGATACCATGATCATACAACAATATTACCTACATAAATAAGCAAATTTCACTCACAAACTTCAGTCAGTATTATCTATGGGCGTCACTTCAAGTGAAAATGATAATTCTGCAAACAACAATTAGAAAAACTTAACTAACGTAATTTCCTTAGTTGTAGCGGTACAAATAACCATCGACTTGGGCTCACGCTGATGCATTGAATTTACAAAATTGAAATGACATCTATGAGTTCTGCTGCAGCAGCCGTGAGGGATGGCCGATACCACTAGTTTTCTTTTCAATCCGATACCAAGTAATAAAAAAGCTAATATCTTGACACCAATACGGGTATCGATACTTTTAAAAGGGGGTAATCATTGTATTTCTCAAGTTGAAAACCAATAAATATATACATCAAAAAAGTGTATTTGAAACCCTTACCATACCATACCATCATCAACATTATATGTAAAAAACCATGACATGTGTAGGTTCTCTGGTGGTTTTGGATAATAAATAAAATGGCTATATTTGCATTATAGACATTGCAACCCCAGGTTCCTATCACCACCACTGTAAAGGCATTTCAACTGTAGCTTAGTATGATATGCTAGTCTTACCACTATCATTAATAATTTTACAGCCACAGGGCGTTATAAAAACAATAAATATCATTCAAAGCAAAATATTGCGGCCTATGGTAGTACACTCTTCCTTGAAATGCATTACAACTGAACTCATTCAAGTCTCTTTAAAGACACGTACCTTTGTGCCCAGAAACATGGTGGGGAACCTCCTGAACTGTTTCCCAAAGAACGAATTTCAGCTGTCTGCCCAGCTACGACTTCCAGCTGCATTTTCTGAGAATCTTGCAGGTCCGCTTCAGCCAGGTTGCATATAACAGTCTACAGTGAGATAACGCACATAATCAGAATTCTATACAATACTGTGCAAAAGTCTTAGCAACCAAAGCACCTACACAGTATGGTGGCTGAAGGCAGACCTGTCGCTAGAGGCTCAAGCCACTGGAAGGGAGGACTTTTGAGAGAGAACCCTGGCTGGAGAGTTTTGAAGAGTGGACTGTGTAAGAAAAGCCCTGGTAGGCTCTATTTTCACTTAAATTTATGTGGTTTTGTTTTCTTGTTTAAATAAAACTACCACTTTGCATCTGTGTTTGGCCTCTGTGTGTATGTGCGTTCCTTGTGTTCTCCTTAGCTTCCCAGCCAGTGTGGCTCGGCCTCTCACCAGGCTGACACCACAACTGGTAGAGAATGTGGGCCTGCCCACAAGGACTGAGAGTGAGTCCTAGGAGTATGCTGGTATAGCCGGTGTGGGTGTATTGTTTAGGGGCTTTGTTTTTCTATCTAAAGTCACAAGGATATGCAAAGAAAAGTGAAGAAACAACAACAGCCCAGGCAGAATACAAGTGGACTCTTATGGGATCCCCTCGACCCGCTGTGCTGATAGAGGCATACAGCCTGGAGGACGCTGAAAAAACTTTTAGCTTGCTGCCAACCCCAACTGGGAAGACCAGCTACATAGGGAGCAGCCAGAACTGGGATGGTGTAAGTGGTGTGACAAGGCAAAACACCATGCAGCTCTTTTGAATCTTTCCAAAGGGTGACTCCAAGCACGAAGGTGAGCCACAGCCTTTCGCAGTGGCAGAGACCTTGACCACTGCAAGCTATCTGAGACCCACCGAATGATGGAGTGCTGCAGATAAAATGTCACGCCTACCTCTTGGCCCTGGACTATGCTGCCTTTCCTGTGGTTGCTGTGGGGGTTTCCTGCACAGAAGCTGCTCCCACCCACTCCCTTCCTGTGTTGAACTGTCTCTCTCTCCCTCTCTCCGTCGTGCTCTGCAAGATGAGTCTGAGCCGCTGGTGCCCCTTCATGCCTCGTGCCTTGCCTGTTGCTTGCACCTTATCCTGAGCATGGATTTTGCTTTACTGGCTGCAGGTCAGGTACACAGTGTGGGGGAGGTGGACACTGGGGACTATGTGGCCATGGCTACAACCACCCGATGCCTGGGCACTGCCTTGTGCTCCGAAGAGCATCCCGGAGCTGCCCACCTCAACGGTGCTGCCCGGTGCTCCGGAGAGCACAAGCAAGCCAGTGTCTAGCCTCATCGCACCACTCAATGCAATAAAAAACACAAGCAAACCCTGTCTCATTGGGCCGCCCAGTGGTCTGGAGAGCACTAGCAAGCCAGCATTCTGCTCCACAGCGCAATTCAGTGCTCCAGAGAGTGCAAGCAATCTGGCACTGTGCTCCACAGCATCCCAGGCCAACACTGTTAAAATGTTTAAATCTATTTATCTCAGCATTATGTACAAACCCAATCCCAAAAAAGTTGGACCTGTATTTCAAGAGAAGTAGTACAAGGACAAGATATTTAATGTTTTATCAGCTTAATTGTTTTGGTAAATATACCTTCATTCTGAAATTGAAGCCTGCAGCACATTCCAGAAAAGTTGAGTCAGGGACAATTTAAGACAAGTAATGTTGTTCAATGTTCAGAACACATTTAAAGGTAATGTAATCTAATCCACCGTCCTGAACACAGAGTAGGCCTCTGAGACAGTTTTAGAATGGTTTTTCATATTTAAAGAACAGACAGTTCTTGGTTTCACTGGGAAACCATCAAAAATATAACATTTCTTGTGGAGTCCCACAAGGTCCAGTTTTAGGGCTTTTACTTTTCTTTTTGTACATGTTACCTCTAGGTGATGTCATTAGGAAACATAATATAAATTTTCATAGCTATGCTGATGACGCAAAATTCCAGCAGAAAATTGAAATCCTTTCTCCCATTCCCACCCAAAACCAAAACGATTTGACCCGCTCCCGCCCCCGCAGTTTGGTGCCCATCCAATGTCTGACACAGTCTATTCACAAATACATTATCCTGAAATAACATGGCAGTGACGGTCATCAGGTTCACTGTGAAGTGACTGTTCTCCAAACAGCATTTATTCCCAGTAAACACAAAGCAAGAATTAAACCACAGAGGGGTTATTTTATTTATTCGCTGGGCCGTGGACTGAAGGCTCTGCCATCTCTGTAACGCCTGACTCACACATGCTGCCTCTGCGTGGCAGAGTGAGTGAAGCGGCAGCGCGAATGCTACAGCTTGAACGCGCTGGCTTTTCATACATACATACAGAGCAGAGCAGCGAGAAAGTTAGACATTCCTGTTTCCAGATGGATAAATGGTCACATCAGTCACTCTGCTCATCAAAATATAATTTATCAAAGTACATGGTATATTTGTTTGTCCTTGACAGCATTCTGACTTGTGATTAGGCAAAAGTTTTCAGCCTGGTGGACCAGCCAGGAAATCTGTTTGAGGCACGGATTGTTTAACTAGTATTTTGTCATGAATTACATAAAAATCCTTTTTAAGTTTTTATACTGCGTGACGTGCGCAGTGTGTGCAGCCTGTGTGAAAGCACTGACCACTTAACATGGGTGCCGAAATGAAAAACAAGACTTTCTGCATCGCTCACACCACACCAGGAGGAAAGAAGGTTCTGGTCCTCCTTGAAACCAGGACTGGAGACTTGAGGGGGGTTGAGAGGGGGGCTCCTGCCCCCATGAACAACAAGGGTTTCCGCTCTGCCAGCAGGCTCCTGACCATCTGACAGGGCACCACATGCTGCTCCTCAAGCTGCTTCCACCGCTTTTCAGTGTCACAAGAAGCAGCCTGCAGCTCCCGCTATCTGACCAGGTGAAGGTGGACGAGGGTCTTGACGGCCTCCTCTTCTGCCGTAGAGACTCCCTCGGTGTGTTGGCGCCCTCCTCCCGGGTTTCGGCACCACCGTAGCACGTCATGTGCTAGCCCGGGCTTAGGAAGGACTCTGGAGGCAGAGTTCAGGGTCGCAGCAGCCATTTCACTTTTAGTTTTCACTCCAAACCAACACAAAGCAAACTCACAAAATCAAAGCCAGCCACTTTTCAGTCCTTTCCTCCAAACTAAGCTTTTCAGCCCTTCAGTTTTCATCCCTCTCTCTCTCTCTGTTCCGTCTCTGCTCTCTTTAAAAGGTGCTCACACTGCCAGCCAGATAAGCCTCAGCTGGCTCTCATTGCTCCGCCTCCCCTAGGGTCAAACGTGAAGTGTAGTGAAGCTGCCTCGCTGCGGAACAGGAGGCAGGGCCTGGGGTACGGGCGCATGACATATGGGCATACATTTTTCAAAAACAATCAAATTTCTCAGTTTCATTTGATATGCTGACTTTATATTACTTTCAATTAAATATAGATTTAAATGATTTGCACATCATTGCATTCTGGAAACAAGGGTGTATTTAAATGTTGAAGTTTTGTGTGTAAATTTTACAGAAAGAAGAGTCAGTATTTTTCCACTCAGCGTTGATGGCTTGAAACAGTTAAAAAAAACACTGCCAAACTAGTTTGTGTTTAATGCGAGACCAAAAAATCTCTATAGGTTTTAAATCTGGATATTAGTGTTTTTCTGAGCAAATAAACACTTACTGCCCAGATAAACAGCTTTTTAATTCTGATTTTCTCAGGTGCTTAAAACTTTTGCACAGTACCATATATGGTATGCAAATGCAGGGATGTTCCTTATATGCAAAAATTACAAACCACTTTGCAGAAGGCTCAACTGTCTAAAAATGTCATAGAGAAGTGAAGAAGGTATTGTAATTTTAAGACAGCTGTGGTGAGTTCCACACTTCTGCATTTGACAATAAAATGTCAGTTATGCTTTTATTCCTCATCATCTTTATGACCTCATTTACAAATTCGGAAAATTTGACATTTCAAAATACTGAAACACTTCTTAAGCTGGATCCCCAGTGTTTGTTCATTTATTCTTAGAACTTTTTATTGCGTCCATCTAGCTGACTGTAGCTACTAGGCATGCGCAGTTTTTTTTTTTTTTTAATCATAGTAATTACCTAACCTTTTGTCACGGTTTATGATGTCACAATACTGCAAAAAATATAAAAATTAAAAATATACTTTTTAATGTCACAAAGACACAAAAAACTGAATGTCATTTTTAAATAGAGGTATACATGTAAAATGTTTACCATAAAATAATAAAAATAATTCTTACTGCCTATCATTATCATCAGGACTATTGCTCCTATACATGCAATTTGTGACTGCAAACATACATGTATTTTTGAAACTGAGCACATTTTTCTCCTTCTCCATTCTGTGTGGGATGTAAGTTTTCAACTTTTTGAGTGAGAAAAGTTCTGTCTGCTCCTCCTTCTGCTGGCTGTTGTGATTGTTTACAAGCTCTGCTCAGAGGAGGGACCGTGTCACATGATCAGAGTGTGTCAGCGCAATGGGTATTTGTAAAAGCAGAGCTGATTTGCATCATTAAAGCCTTTGCAGCTTGTTTGACTAAATTGCTGTGGTGGTATTTCAAAGTGTCGACTATAACATTACTGTGCATATTTAATATTGCAAAATACAGAATTATTGAAAACTGGCACACGTCTAGCTACATCTATGTCTTCTCAGTCAAGATGTCCTACTCTAACTTGCACAAGCATAAAAGAACACAAATAAAAAATTATGACTTTTTTTTTTTTTTACATTTTCAATGGAGACGCAGGACAGGTGATGCACTTTCCTACCCAGCAGCCCGTCACTGTGGACATTCCAGTGCAGTACAAGAAACGCTACAATGCAAAAGAAGACACAAACTTTAGAAAATGACATGAACTGAATTATTTACACAAACAAAAAGAAGATAACTCAGCATCCCCACCACCAACAATAAAATATGACTACTATAAGACTGCTGTACTATTAATTTTATACTACAACTACTACTACTGTAAGGTTTGAATTGCTGCAGAAATTAAGCAGCAGCACAGTCAGCAATGTCTGTGCCAGATTTATTCGAAGAATTCGTCAGACAAGTTTTTTTGATGTTGAAGAAAATTGATGATCATAGAAAAAAATAGATCGATTAAATGTTTAAATTGATTAAAATAAGAGAAAAATAAAAATAGAATGGAGCTCGGCCTGCTCTAGCATTTTGGCCGTCTCTCTCTGTTCCCAAAACACAGATAGCTGCCTGCTACTGTTGACCTCCATCCTATCCAGCCGCTCCTGACTACCTAATAGGTCTGTTTAACCCTTTTTAAGCCTGTGTGTTGTACATTGCCTGAGAGCTTCTGTCCAATCACCTTGAAGTGTTTTTTTAATTCCTACCTAAGAACACAAACTATACAAACTGGAAAGATGTCAAAGATGATACATCTTGTTCTTTTTGTTCAACTAATTACTTTTTGGGCACAGTGTGAACTGTTATTTATGACCATAACTGCCATTCGGTCACAGAGAGAGAAAGAGAGAGAGCTCATGGATCCATGAGCCACAGACTAACAGTAGACACACATTCTGAAATGATCAACACTTGAGTATAAGCTAATCTTTAATTAATAGATATTGTATGACTATACACTACACACTAATCAGTTTGTACATATAACCAAAGAACAGATGAATAACAATTAATGGGTAAATATAAGCAGATGAAACAGATGGATAACACCTTAAAAAGGTAGACAGGACACAATTCTCTTTCACTACTAATAATAATTGTTTAAACTGCATCATAAAATTAAATAGTTAATAATTCAACCAACGCATATCTTACCTTACTAAAGATTATAGTTAAGAAGTGCTTTAATAAACTACAGGTTATTAAAATCAGTTTATTATATGTATCATAGCAGCATTTTATTATTATTATCATATTGTTTATATCCGTCCAAGTTAAAGGTTGGTGTAGGTCTGTGCAGTGTGTCTCAGTGAAGGTTTGGGTTAAGTCTTTCTCCACTGTATGTCTGTATTTCTTCACACAGCTTTGTAAAAGTAGCAGTAAATTGTAATTAAGGCTTAACAAAGCATGACACAATTCCACCTAGTTATGTTATGTAAAATTTTTAAAGCTAGAATGTGTTGTAGGTTTCTGACAAGGTAATCTACATGCACGTTTAGTTGCTGATTTTCACATCATCTGTGTTTCAGTAGGTTTCGAATAGCACTAACAGGCTCCTCATCTCTGTGAACGTTTTACGTTTTTAAACGGTACCCGCACTTTACACACGGTCCATTACTCTCTTCTGTGCCAGCAGCAGCCATTCCGGCTATTGTGCTCAAATGTTCTCAGCGAAAGGGAAATACCTTGTACTCCGACGAAATATAATGACTGTAGTTTTTTTCTCTGTTCCACCACCATACATTAAAATGTAATTTCAACGATTTTAGGCTGTTGTTTGTGAGCAATAGTAGGAGCGAAGACGAATATCTGCTAAATATAATATCAAACTCACCTTACCGAGCTAGTCCAAAAAACCACTTCCTCCACTACTCGGTTCAACACAAGTAGGCTAATGAACCGGAGGCAAAACATGTCGACATTTTTCGACTTTTTGGCCGACTTTACTTTGTTTAACTATATAGAACTGCAGTGTATACACATTAATACTGTATTTTTTCTCATCTTTGTACAATAGCCTGAAGAGGGACTGTATTGTCCTACTTTCCTAGAAGTTAGCAAAGCTGCTGTAGGTCAGTCAGCTTTATTGAAAAAGGTTTGAACAAAGCTTTTCGCATTCTGGCTACTTACCCACAACAGCTGCATGTCTTCTTAATTGCGCTGGTGACTGCATAACAGCAGACCAGAGCAGCATTCAGCACCACAAAATGGTGTGTTTGGAGGATAGAGGCGCAAGGACTTTCTGGGCCTTTCTCTTCGTCTTCCTCCCTCTGTCTCTCTCTCTCTTTCTCTTTCACTCCCTCACCCACTCTTACACTGCAGACATCTACAGGCAGATGTATGAAGCTTCAGAAAATTCTACATTATACTTCTGGGCTTCGTTGAGTTCAAGATTGAGCCTAGTAATGCTGGAAAGTTATTTCTGCCAATTCAATTTGATTATATGACCCATGTTCGGATGTCATGCTGTTCAGACATTATCCACTGTTTCTCTGATGCGACAGAAAACAATTCCTACACTCTATCACATCACCTCACTCACTCCTCGGCCTGCCAGATGGACTCATGTTGCTTGCAACAAACTTCGATCCCTTCAACAGAAGAAAGTAAATTCCTCCATGGTCCAGTTTTGATGCTCCTGTGCTCACTGGAGACATGCTTTTCTTGTTTTTCACAGCGATTAGCATTCCAAGATGCGCTTCTACACATCAATGTTGAACTCATTATCATCATATTTGTTATTTAGGCTTGGGTTAACATTAAGGGGGATCCTCATTTTTAATGCAGCCAAGTGTCACAACAAATGATAACAGATTAAGAAAAAGACTTAGCAATAAGGCAATGAATAAAACAAGCCATAAAAAGAAAAAAAAAAGATTGAACTACAAATTAAGAACGACAAGGATTAATCAACGAACTAAGGTTCAAACAGAGTAAAATCAATGAGCGAGTAAAATTTCCAAAACCCTAAGAGAAAGGAGTGGTTCAAACTTTAGACTGTCCAGTTCCACATTTCAGCTCAGTGGTGTAACATAGCTAAAAGCAGATGTTCATAGCTCAGTAAAAGCTCAGGGGACCTGTACTGTAATAAAATTGTGGATTTAGCAATGGATTCACAGTGTGTCTGAATGTGATATATGGTGGCCAGCAAGAGCTTTATAAACAAAAATAATCCAGTGAGTTTCCCTTCGCTCACAACGTATTGTAGCATTAAGATAAAGTCAGACCCAATGGAGGCCATGATTCCATCATGAGAAGTGCTCTTCATTAAACACCAGAGCAGAAAGGCACATACAAGGCACTGAACTCACAAGGAACGTTACCACTAGCCATACACTTTACCTGTGACCACCAACCTACACATATCAAACCCACTCCTCTACACGAACAACAAAATAAACACATACACGTACCTTTAACTAACAAGGCCATCGCCAGCCAGTAGCAGGTCGCTACAATATTGAGCTACTGTACAAGTAAACTGCAGAGCAAAATGTTACACAGAATCCAGAGGCTTCAGAGTGCTAGCTGAGGCCTTTCTGGACAGCATATCTCTGTAAACAAGAACAAACAGGAAAGTTGCCTCCAACTTTCTCTTTTGACTGCTCCACAAGCTGTTTTCATCGACAACATTGCCAATCACTGATCATTATTTGTTTTTCAAGACATTCTCCTTCTCAAAACCCCTAAAGAGGTTTCCCAAGATGACGGACATTTGGGTGATGCTAGAACAGGAAGGACTAGCATCAAGTGTCAAGCTGTTCAAGGTAACTAAGGTCGCTTGTTTTGCCCATTACAAGAACAATTACTGAAAAAGTGAAATGCATGTGAATGGAATATGTTACATTTACACAATTTTGCATTTCAGTTTATGTATTCCGTATGTCACTATTGTAATGTAGTGATCTAAATGATGTACAGTTAAACAATAAAGTAGGTATATCTCATATATAACCATGGTTTATATTATGTCCATATTTATATTTTCTGATACTGTGATGACTAAGCACCTCTGTGCTTTGGCCACTAGAGGACAGCACAAGCTTAAATATTTTAAAAATAAACTCAGTCCAGTTTATCAGAAACTGCTGTTTTTCCTCCTCTCACTGGTCACTAAGTACAATTACAGTCTGTAGTCCCCCTGTTTCTGCACAATTCAGCCCTCCTTCTAGCCCATTCATCACTGGTCAATTTCTGATCACAGGATATCATTTGGGTAGTGGATTTTCAGCATTCTCAGCACAGCAGTGACGCTGACATTGTAGAGTATGTGGTGCTAGTACGAGTGTATCAGACATATCAGTGTGGCTGGGGTTTTTACGTACATCAGTGTCACTGCTAGGTTAAGAGTGGCCCGCAAAACAAAAATATCCAGCCAAATGTGGCACTGTGGTCAGAAACTGACCACTGATGACGAGCTAGAGGATGACTAACACGAACTGTATGTCACAGAATCTAACTATCCACCAGCAAGGTTCAGAGGGGAATCCCACTGTTTTTTCTGAATTTTTGCATAACACAAAGGTTTAAATGCTGCAATCCAGTGACACTTACCAAGTCAGAATAGTGGTGGTGATAGGAACCAGATGTCTGAAGAGTTTAATGCCTCTAAAAGCTCCCTCATAGAAAGAAATAACAAAGAAATAAATACCTGATGCACGAGGCATCGTTTTAGGATAGTATTAAGATTAGCTTTTGGCCTAAAGCATTTTTACTCTGCTCATGAAGGAGGGATACATACAGAACGTTGTAAAGCAATATAGTCCCCAAACAGAATGTATTTTTTCAGATTTATCACTACTTTACCTTCATCAACATTACATATAAAAAGTCAGAAGATGTGTAGGTTCGCTGGAAGTATTGGATAGTAAATAAAGGGGTTATATTGTGTTGTATTTGTGTTGTAGACATGGTGACCCCTGGTTCCTATCACCACCACTGTAAAGAAATCAGAGACAGTAAGTTTCTCTACAGTTCACCATTTCACTCTCAAAAAGTTTGGTAATACTGAGATTAATAACTAATCATCATATTGGTTTATCAGTCTACTCAGGCAGAAAGCAGAAACTTCACACGCTGTGCGCTGATTTTAAAGTAGTTAATAAACAAGCACTGATGTGTTTCTTTTAAAGATGCTCTACATGTTTAAATTTAGTGGGGAAATATTCTCAAAGTATTCTCCTAAAAATGTAAAAAGTAAATGTATTCTGAATTCTGCCCTTACGCAATGTAACTTGGACAGAGTACAGACACTTCATTTCGCTATTCTGAATGCATATTCCTGATATCCTGTATTCCGATACATCCCAACCCTGCCTACAAGTGTGGGATAAACACTTGTATACTGCAATCGTGACACAATTTCAATAATTTAGCCTGATTTGCATGAGGGGAACATTTTTATTATTTGACTCTGAATTTCATGCTTTCATGCCATAATAATTGTGCATAAAGACTGGAATTTATTTCAGTCCTATTTGTAAAATGATTTTAAGGATTTTAAACATTTCAGTGTAATTTGCTTGTTATAGTAACTGTAAGAGTTCAGAGTTTGTTAGTACTGGTACTGTGCTCAGTGTGTGGCTGCAGTATTTGGCGCAGACGCAGTGAGCAGATCTTCTTCACCTCCTCTATCCCGCGCTCTCGCTCTTGCGCGCGCTCTCCGTTCGCTCTCTCCCGGAGCGCGTGCCCGATCGACTCCACGCTGTTGGCGCGAGCGCAGATCACGAACGGGAAGCCGAAGCGCTGCCGGTAGCGGGCGCACAACTCCAGCAGCAGCGCGCGCTCACCGGAATCCATGCAGACCAAGCCGGCCGCGCGCTGCTCGTCTACAGAGTCGCGAGTCAGAGAGACAGCGGGGAGAGAGAGATCAGGATGACAGCGGAGTATCCCCTCTTTACCTGAGAGAGAGAGAGAGGGAGAGAGAGAGAGAGAGAGAGAGAGAGAGAGTGCGTTGGAGTACAGCTGGGCTGTATAACGGTCATACTGCAGTACTGAACAATAATAACTTTTCCAAAATTATGACGTGTAAAATGTCTATTCAACGTCTGAACGGCCAAAAAAACATATTCCACCCGTTTATATTTTGGAGGGGCTCATTGATTGGTGGTGTGAGAGGTCAGGTGGTATGACAGCAGCTCCAGAGCCGGTTTAAGGGGAGTTTGGCCTCCTGTTTTTCCGGTTATATCAAAAACACGACTGCAAAATGTTAGAGGGGGCTCATGAGTGAGTCCTAAAAGAATGGGGGTGAATAGAGCTAAACAACTAAAAACGAAAAGTTAAAATAGTTTCTAATCACTTTTCCAGGACCATCCTTTAATTTTAGAAAGTAGAAGGATGTATTTCACTAAAAAGGAAAGAAAACTTACCTGAAAATGTCCTTTTTTCTACAGCAAATGTGTTTTGGGCAGTAGGATGCTAGCATTACTGCTATTAAGTGTAAATTGGTTGGTGATCGGAGCAGCTCATTGGCTGAGGGAAGCGTTCGTGCTCCCTGACGTCATGAACATACACGAGGCGCCTTTATACAGTTCTATAACGGTTCAAAAGCGCTAAAAAAATATAGCAGCAGTGTTAAAATGTTTTATGTTGTTCAGGAAATGAATTCCTCTGTATAAAAAAAAGCGTCTAACAAACCCAGAGGACATTACTGAGTGGCGATTCTCGCTACAAATTCTCGGGCAGCTCAGCCACAGCTTAGAGCTCCATGTATCAGAGCTGCAGATTCCCTGCACATACCACACAACATGTTCGATTTCAGCATTCAGTCTAAAAAAAAGTCACTCAACTTTGCACTGTTCTTCAAATGGGTGTAATCTTAGCATCAGTTAGTTGGAACCACGCCTGTCGTGTGGTATGTTTGACCGGCTAACTAAGCGCTCTCCCAAACATCGCAGAACAGGTTCGATTTTGGCTTTCTGTCACGCCAACACCACTCACTGCACTTTTGCTCTCTCAGATGTTAGTCTTTATCATCTACACTTGTTTCAGCAGAGCACCAGTTAGTAAGAATCAAACCTGTACTGTAATGTGTGGCACTATTTTGGTCTGGGGCTACTCGCTAAGCTAACATTAAGTTAGCCGATCAGGCTACAGATCAAAGCACCATTAGACAGATTTAATCTCACCTTCCAGTTGCTCAAACTTCACTCCTTCAGATTTTAATTATTACCATCTACTGTTGGTGCTTTAGTTAGTGAGAATAAAATCTGACATTTATCGAAAGATGCTTTGAAAACTTGGTTACAGTATAAAGCAAAGTACTTTTTTCTGCTTTTGAAATATTGCAAGATGAGACAGCAAAAAGCATAATAAATTTGGTGCTACAGTCATGGGTTCCTCTAAGTGGCTGAGTGAGGATTTGAAACTAAAGATAATTGACTCTTATAAACCAAGAGTAGACTGTAAAATATATCTAAACACTTCCTGCTTGTAATCTTCACTGTCTGAAATATCATTTAAAATGGAAGGAGAACTGTTGATATCAAGACAAGATCTGGAGGTGCAAGAAATAGTTTTGAAAAAGTATTCATAGACTGGTCAGATATGCAAAGCAAACCACATCACTACCTGGAAGCTACAGGAACATTTGGTTGGCGTGGGAATGGTGATGTACTGGCCCATTGCGCAGTGTTGTTGGAAAGATATCATCTGCATGGAAGCGTCATCAGAAAGAAATCTTGTGATCCCACTACAAAAAAGTCAACATCAAGCTATACAAAAAAATAAACATCTAGACAGGCCAGAAGGCTTTGGAAATAAGTGCTATGGAGTGATGAAGCAAAAACAGATCTCCTTGTCCACAATCACCAAAGGTATGTTTAGAGAAAAAAGGAGCAGCATTTGATGAAAAGAACACCTTGTTAAGTGTTAAGTATAGGTGTGGATCTATTGTGCTTTGGAGTAGGGTAGGAGGATAGAAGACAGGAAGGATCCTTATAAATATCAGCAAATTGTGGAAGCCAGTGTCCCACAGTCAGAGGCAGTCAGAGGTGGTATTTACTTCCTTTTTGCTTGGAAAAAAAATGTCTTTTGACCAGGAGTGCCCAATAACTGTAGGTATTGTTAAATTTCAAAGACATCATTGGGCCTTCAGAAGGCCCTGAGAGTTCCCTGCTGTTTTACACATAGAAACCCCCCTCCTCACACTTCTACTACACTCTCAAAAAGAATGTTCTATGGTATTTAACACATTTTGTGTCATATTCTTATCTGTTTCAAGACAGTTTGTGCTATGTTGTTATCTAACACATTTTGTGTTAAAAGTAACACAAAATGTGTTGTTCTTAACAAGACACATAGATGTGTATAGTAAGACACTTGTTTATAATCATCTATTATAAGTGTACATAAATAAAACATTTGAAACAATGTATGAAACAATCATAGCACAAATGCTCACACATAATAGTCGAGTACAGGCCTTGCAAAAAAACAGTAACTACTTTTGATTAAATTACATGTTTAATTTTCCCCATTTAATTTCTAATTTGATTTTAGTTTAATTTCCCTTTCAAATCTATTGTTTTAATCATGTTTTTAATTTCTATTTTCTTTATTTTTATATGACTGTATTTTCTTATTTGTAAAGCACTTTGAATGACAGCAGTGTATGAAAGGTGCTATATAAGTAAACTTGCCTTGCCTTTAGTCAGTAATAATGTATTTAGCAGTTAGTTTGTGCTCTGATCCCTCCTCAGGCATGAACTTTAAATTCTGAGAGTATAAGTATTTGTGCTTTGCTGAAAACATGCAAATTCTTTACACTATTTGCTGTTCGTAAGGTTAAGAGATGGCTGTAGGCCTACCTGACTCAGGCAGACTGTCGATAAAATCTGATATCTGCGCCTCGATGTCTGCGACACCTCTGAATGGGCGATGTGACCATATTGCAGCCGGGATGATGGGACATTTCTCAACCACGTTGCCAAAAATTTCCAGAAATTCTTCATATGTAAGAGCGTTCACGGCGTTGATGTCCATGGTGTCGGCGTCTCTCACACATTCTCGGGCGATAAGAGCAGAAAGAAGTCCCAAGGGTTAACGGCCGCAGGAGCACATTAATGTGCAAACACCACGGTGGAGACTTTCACCTTTCTGTCAATGGGTCCTGACCATTAAAACTGAACTGTGGTTCACTTTATTTTCAATGATGGCAAGTAAGAGACCACACGTACCCAAATGCAGTCTGTTGACAATTTATTTAGATGTTCAAAAAAGTTTGAAGATGTCAGGAAATTAAAATACAACAAGGTTTAGGTTAGTAATTTGTAAAAAATTAAGAATTTAAGTGAGCCAAACGACTTATTGGAAACAAGCATGTTTCTAAATTTGCAATATTATGATAGTCTATTCAAATGTTCAAAATTGTGAAAAAGTAGAAAAATAAAATGATAAATTCAGTATTTGGAAACTTTGGAAAATCATACAATGTAGATAATAAAACCCATAATCTGCAAAACTATTTCAAACTACCATGAGTTTCCAAACCTGCAATCTATCTAGTTCATTTGGAAAATTATACAATGTATGCATTAAATGACAATCTGTAAAAAGATGTTAAAGTGAGCAAAATGTCTGCTTAGTTTCCAAATGTGCGGCCTATTAATGTTCAAAATTGAAGATGCTTTGAAAAATGACAAAAAGATAGATAGATCAACCAATAACATGTGAAAATGTATTTGAGTGAGTATTAAATGTATGAAAGTACTCTGATGAATAAATATACAGATGACACTAATATAAAATGAAATTTGCTTCAGATTAAGTGATATTAAAATAGTAATGCAAAACCTTTCTCAGTTCTAGTCTACGCTCCAGTGTCACCCTACACAGTGTTGCCCTCTGCTGTACTTGTTTAATATTATAATGACCAATGACGTTCACTTAACAGCCCCAGACACTCTCATCTCTCAAAGAACTCTCAAAGAAATTCTGTAATAAAACACATTATACATTTCAGTGCTGGCAGTTTTGTAGCATTATTGTTTTGTAAAAAGAACCATTGTTGAGGTGCCAAAAACTGTCTGTCATTTGCAATGATTAATGCTAGAATAGGTGGCTTTCTAGGCACAAATTAAACCTAGTCTCAGATGAAAAAATCTTCTTTTGTTGTGAACAACCCAAAGTGCCACCTGCTTACTTAAAGACCATGCTGTAACACTAAATGTACATGTATGTGAAATATATAAAGACTAGGCTAGAAACATGTTCTAAATAAATGTGTTGCGTTTTGGCTGTCCAGTAAGGTCATTTAGCAGAAAAGATTTAAGAACTTATTGCATTGTAATACTTGTATTGTAAATATGAATAAGAAATGAATGCATGTACTGAAGTTTTGCAATATTTTTTTGACCTTATCCTGAACACCTGCTTTTTAAATGCAAGTCTCTGTTTCCACTGTTTCAGCTTTTGTGACTGGATCCTCTTCAGCTGTTTCAGTATTGCAGGATGAATCTGTCAGTGCTGACTGACACACGACTTCTTCTTCTACCGTTTCTACAAGTTGCAAAATCACCGGCGCGTTCTTGTATGTGGAATCATTGTTCTTCTGTTCTCCAACATTGTAGTAGAGCTGGAGAAACACATGAAGAAATATTAGATTTCTTAATCCAAAGTAGCAAACAAGCTCTGGCCTTTTACGGACCGTACCAGAATAAATTACCTGTTCTTCAACGTCAGTCAGCTGGTATTCCATGAAGGCCACCAGCTTGGAGAAACAGGGACGATCTCTAGGCTCCAGGGCCCAACAGCGGCACATCACGTTGTACCTGACAGAGAATAAATTACCATGAACACACAATATACTATGCACAGGCCTTCAACGTGATCTTTATTAAAGTTAAAGCTAAATGTAATTGATCATCTGAGACATGTTTGGTGTGTGAAATTTTATTCTTTAGTTTTGCCCTGGAGTTACGAGGCTAATGTAGCTATAAGTAATGGACACTTACAGCCATAAGTATAGCATCTGCATACATCATTATACTCATCTCACACCATGTTAAGTCATCTCAAATACTTGTTTAAGTGGTTTCTTACACTATATGACCCTACTTTTGTCCATGTTTATAGATAACAGTATTTCATATAGTGTCAGAAACTATGTAAGCAAGTATATTTGAGATTACACAACAACTTGATGAGGACCGTGGCAAGTGTGTGATGATTTCGGCAGGCAGCCTGGTGCATAAGCTTTAATTATCTGTTACTTGCATTGGCATCATAGGTGTGAAGCTTTTGACTCGGCTGATTGACTATATTGTGGAGAATGTATGAAGTATGAGGGGTGTGAAGAAAATTGTTATGCAAGTTTTTTGACCAAACCATCACTTTAATGAGAGTGGAGAGCAAAAGAGACGTACACAGACTCAGAGGCATAATATGGCCTCTCCATCTGGAATCCTCTCTCAATCATCACATAGAAGTTGTTATCCACTTTTATACCAGGATATGGAGTCACACCTGAGTGAAGGAGAAAGTAGAGTTAGGCAAAAGAAGTTTTAGAAGGCAGCATCAACTTATCAACCATTTTTAAAGACAGAGTTTAAGAAATAGATAGAATATTATTGCTGTCTGACATAATATTTTGTGATTTTTCTCTTTTTGATATAATCTGACATAAACGCCCAGCTAAAGGAACAGCTACGATGTCGAATAGTCTTTATCCATTTTTCAGCACTGTAAATAAACATTCAGAGAAAAAAACAGGACATTTTGCAATGTAGTTCCAGAGATATTTAACGGTTCTATTCCGGAACCTATTGAGCTTGATTCCTACATCTCCCAGAGTTCATCTGCGCTGTTTCAGCTTCGTACTCTATCGGCACCGCACGGCCACGCCCCCCAATTTACCGTGAGTTAGCGTCGCAAGTTTTGCTAATTAGCTGCGTTTTCCGTTAAATAAATTTAAATTAATGACACAATTTTCTCTGAGTCTTTCAGTGTGCCGCTGTTGAGGAATGTACAGGAATAAAAGGCAGACTTTATTAAACTCCCACACAAAACACACCATTATATTTACGTTAATGAGAACGAGTGTGTTGAAAACGCTTCAAGCCAGAAGAAGAAGGATGTCTGAACAGCGAATCCGGACTGGAGCTCAGTCACACACCGTTGACAGAAGCATCGCCAGAAGGGGAAACCCAGAGGTTAGGTAGGCTGTCATTAACTGTTAATAACTAATAACTGAGTTACCATTGCCTAGAAATATGTTTTAGCTACTCGAAAAGGTTCTCACGTATTGCTAATAACATTACAGTATGTTTGTCTCAGCTTAGCATAGTTAGCTAACGCTAACTCACCTAAACTGAGGTTAGTTGGTTTTCCGTTCATCAGCTGTACTGCGTGTGGTGTCCTCTCATACTTTAGCCGAGCTCGCTGTTTCTGTTTTCTTCGTTATGCAGTTTATCCGATTACATGTATTTAAGTAAACGACTTAGTCGAAGGCAGCTAATCGGAAAGGAACCAACAGGGCTAGGTATCAGATCAGAAACAGAACAGTTTCACATATTTTCATAGATTTTTAATTGTATTTACTCTTTCTAGTCTGAGTGGTGAAGTCACAACATTCGTGTTGGAGTGGTTGTGTGTTCCCTGTGTTGCCCGGCGAGTGTGAAATACTCATAGTAATACAAATACAATAGTAACTTTTATTTTTTATTACTTGAATTGAATTTTTTTTTTTCAAATTCATTTCATTTGTTTTACCTTTTGAAAAGATTGGAATGTTTTATTTTGTAGACAAATATTTTTTAAAGATATATTTTATTTTATTTATGTATTTAACAATCAATAGCCAACAGCCATACGGTTTTAAAATGCTGATTAGATTATAAAGCTTTGTTCAGAATAAAACTAGAATTGATGTGTCTTATATTAGTTTATTAGTTGCCTAGTCATTAATAGTTAAGCATTTAAAGGTAACTGTTGTTGCCATTCACTTATGTTAGTTTGTTTATCTGGACCTTTGTAAAGAAAAAAATTGATGTAGCAGCCCCTTCCCAAATTTTAGTTTAATAACCCTGCCCTAAAGAATCAGTTTATTTATCACTAATGCAAAAGCTTTAAAATATTTTTAATGGAAATATATTTACTAGTCAGTTAGTAGTTAGTTTTCTTATATTTCATATGTACAATGAAAACTAAGAAAACTAACTACTAACTGACTAGTATTTACTAACTGACTAGTAAATATTTTTAATGGAAATATATTTACTAGTCAGTTAGTAGTTAGTTTTCTTAGTTTTCATTGTACATATCAAATATAAGAAATCCCCTTTATATGTGGGCATGGACACTAAAGTAAAGTGTGGGTTTTGGTATCTGGATATTAGTCATGGATTTACTTGAGATCATATCAAAAGGAAAATTTGTGGGTACCTTCCACCCCCAAGTAGTGAATAGTTGTGGATAGACAGTTTCTGTTTCAGAGTTTGAGGATGTTGCAGAGTCCTTTTTTTCTTTTTTTGGTGCGGCTGAGTGCTTCTTCTGTTTAAGACATGCCCAAAAGAGTTTTCCTCGCATTGTTCTCTAAAATGGCTTTGACGGTAAAAATGGCTTTTTCAAACCTCTTACGTGACGCAGCACCATCTGGCACTAAAAACAGCCCAACGTGACTGTTTTCTTTCTGATGGGGAGTTAATTTTAAAAGAATAGATTCTTCGACTCCAGCCCTCACTGGCCCGAGGGACATTCTGACAGAGACGTGTTTGAAGCAGGAGAGAGTCTAGAGCTGCGTCCAAAACCACATGCTACCATACTAATGGTATATTAGTAGCATTGGTACGGTGGTGTACTAATGGTAGTACAAAACTAGTACTACTATACTAATGGTGGCATGCTAGTTTTAACGTACATAGTATGTCAAAATTAGTACGCCACCATTAGAAGTACATTTGTTCGTTTAGTGTCTATAACAGTGTAATCGTAGGATGCGGTTTGTATTTAATATGTATAATAGTATCATAGTAGTATGCGGTATGTGTGCAGTATGTATAATAGAACAATAGTAGTATGCGGTATGTATGCAGTACGTATAATAGTGCAATAGTAGTATGCGGTTTGTATGCAGTATGTATAATAGTATAATAGTAGGATGCAGTATGTATTTAATATGTATAATAGAATAATAGTAGTTTGTGGTATATACTTAGTATGTATAATATAATAGTAGTATGCAGTATGTATTTAGTGTGTGTAATAGTATAATAGTAGTATGCGGTATGTTCTTAGTATGTATAATAGTAGTATGCGGTATGTAATTAGTAAGTATAATAGTAGTGTGTGGTTTTGGAATTTTGGAGTAATTGCCAGCTTTAAACAGTGCCAGTGCTGCTCACCAGCTGCTGTGAGCACAAACTCTGCTCACAAAAACGTTTTCGATATGTCTGCCTCTACAATGCACCATTCTGCACCCCAACTTTGTATTTTCTTCATGATCAGTGTTGTAATAAACAATGATTAGAAAACCAAAAACAACTGCAGTTTTTCACAGAGTGCTGTGGAAAACAGGATGAAGCTGAAATTGGCTTGTAATTTGCCAGCTGCTTATTCAAAATTTCCACTCCACCTTAAATTGTGCAGCCTACACACCACAAAGGTACATGCTGCATTATATAAGGTTGAACTGAGCTGGCAAATAAAAAGATCAGCCTCATTAAAAGAGGAATAAGATAATATCCAGCTGCTGCGAAATGCAAACTCAGTTCATTTTCAAAGAATTGAAAAAGAATTAAAAAATGTTCATTTCAAAGAATTCTGACTACAGTAATGATTTTCTCACTCAGAGTTTCCCCCTTACCCCTCGTTACGTGAACAGGCTGTCTGATGGTAAGATGTGTTAAAACAGTCATCTGTAATCATGTGTCAGGCTACCTTGTGTCACTTGGTATAATCTACAATTTTTTTTTGTAATCTGTAGCTCCTCTAAAAAATTAGGAAACTGTGTTTAGGATGGTTTAGTCTGTGCAGACGATCCCTTTATCACCGGTTCTGGAGCTGCCTTGTCGAAGAGTCAACTCCATCGATTCCAGGAGTCGAGGGTCGGATTTGAGGTTTTCTGGAGTTGTGCATCACTACTGTTTCCCTTAAAAATGTTTTTTCCTTCTCCTGTAAGGTTACCATTTTGGAGATACATAGTTTTTGTCCGACAGTGACGATATGTTGTATGACTGCCCAGGATGACTGTAGAGAAATTACTATTATGTCCAGTTTTGTTCCCTCCATTTGATCATTTAGCTTGAATTTATTAGGGTGGTACCAAATAATGTAAATGCACTTTAAAAGTGTAGTAGCTGTTAATGATTGTTCCTGCTCTTTAACTTCATGCATGGGTTTGTGAGCATGTGCGTAATTATTTGTACCCAGAGAGAATATCTCCCATAGCAGGATGCCATAGGCCCACACGTCACTCTGCATGGTGTACATCCCTTTGAAAATACTCTCAGGTGCCATCCATTTCACTGGTAAACGTGCCTGCAACAACAGAAAATTAGCAGAAACACCTACAGTTATACCCATCATCATGTTAGCAACATTATATGGGTAATTTAGATTCATAGTTTAACTTCAAAATAAAATATCGGGAGTTTGATTTACTGAACTGATTCTTTGAATGCTGATTTCAGTTAATAGCTACATCTGATGCAACAGATTTAAAGACAAAGACAAAAGGCAACAAAGAGTTCGATTTAGTTGGCTGGTTTACTGAAAAGAAGTGGTTGAAAATAATGTCCACTGTTTATCAACTAATGCACTATACTGTATAACTAATGAGTGTACTTACATTTCCTCTCACCACATAGTTGGAATCATTTTCAATGTCTCGTGAAAGTCCGAAGTCGCCGATCTTCACCAGCCTGCCCTGGGTCACTAAAATATTTCTGGCTGCCAGGTCTCGATGAATGCACTGAGAATGAAAAGCAGTTTTAGAACATCTTAAAGAATTTATTTCACTGCATGGCTAAGTGTTTGATAAGTGATGCTTTGTTTAGATTTCACATTTCTGAACTGATGATAGTTATGTTGAGTCTGTGAAGTTAGCTCAGAGCTAAGCAGTCAACAGATGAATAGAATAAAATTAAATAAAAAGTAGATTATTGGATAAAAGGTTTATCAGCAGAGCAGCTCAAAAACTACTTAAGCACTGAGTAACAAAGAACTGCAGCGAAAATTAGCACATTCAGCATTTATCAAAAAAAGGAATGAACTTTGTTAGATGCGAATCTTCCTTTTTTTTGTTGTGGTCTAAAATAAAATAAGACCACAAAAGTCAGAAGTGTGACCAGTTGCAAAGGAACAACAAAGGAATTTATAACTATGTGTTAGTGATTAAAATGTAACCGAGCAAAACGTAGATTCCTTTCCTCACAAATATTTTTAGTTGGACTTTCATGTAGTATTGTAACTTGAAAATCCTCAGGAAAATGGAAATCCATGAGAACTTTACTTGAGTGCATGGAAGTGAGTAAAATGTCACTAGTCACTACCCACTACTCCTGATTATAAGCCAGCCAAAGGTTAAAATTCCACTTTAACAAATTAATCAGTGCATTCAGCAACATTCCGAACATCCTGCAGTGGACCAAAAAATAAAATAAAAAACAAAGCAGTGGTCAATGCAGAGCAAATCTGTCAAATGTGGGAGAAAATCCAGGCTGGCATGTATTTGAGAAATAATGTCTGGGCCTAGTGGGCGGTATACCGATCAAAGTTCTTCTTCAGATATGAGTTTCAGCAGAACTGGTGTACTGATATGCCACAAATAAGTGCAGATAAAGCAAACCCTGCTAACGTTATGCCGTTTAGCTGAATGGCTGAGTCAGGGATGTTTCAGTCACGTTTCAAATAAAAGTGAAAACACAGCAGACCCTTAGTCACCTTACACGGTCTAGTCCATTGCATCTTAAGTAGTTCACTTTGTTATTATTATTTTTTTTTGAAGCAAACAGAAAGGAATTACTGATCTTTTAAGGTTAGCCTAACATGGACACCAGACTGATGAAGCCTGGCTGAGGGGCTGTCTGACTGTTGCGGTCCCCTGGCCTCGCCTGTGCAACAAGCTATAGATCACCTGGAACTAGTAGCGCGAAAGCAATGGTCGCATAGTTTTATCTATATATTGTTCAGGTTTATTTTGCACAATAAAATATTTCAAGTTTATCTTGGTTATTAAAATGGTTCTTATTAAACAATGAAGGGACATCCCAGAATAATGACCCAGTGTTAACCTGTTACAAACTTTTGGCCTTGCCGTCCACTACCACTACACACAGCTACCTTGTACAAATATTTAAAGCTCTTACAGTCAGCAGAGAGAGGATTTACAGCACAGAACTCGTAAAGGGAAGTGCTAAGAAGTCGTCTTTCTGGTAACCACATGCAGATTGCGCTGTCACTTACTGTCAACACTAACCGACATGTCACTTTGTAAAGCTGAACGTTTTCACCTTCTTAAACCCTGCAGTATTTTTTTGTCTTCCTCTATGGATTCAACCTTGCAGTGGCCAAACAGTAAGCCTTTTCTCTGGCCATTTTCAGTTTAGTTCAGTTATGATAATTCCAGTAACTGAAAGACAGGCCTGGATCATCCAGTTATCTGCTTCTGGCCACAAATGTTTGAAGGGCCCCAACCTCGCTAGCTAATTTGGTGGTAAAGGGTTTTTTTTATGATACCACATTAGATTACATGAGGGCTGTGCAGCACCATGATGGCAGTATACCAACCATTTTGTCAGGCAGGTCACCTGTAAATGCATTTTGATCTAAAATCAGATTATCTTAATGGTGAAAAAGGAGCCTCTTGGATTAAATGTTTCTGTAAAGTTTGATAGCTTAAAGAAAAGTTAAATTATAAGTCTTTTAAGTGTTATTGTTTATAAGAAAGGTGACTGTGTTGGCCTGCACTGGTTTCAGAAAGACAGTGGCAGGCAATTCATTTTCCAAACGTGCTGTGTCCGGCTGTGGCATGAAATGAAGTCATAGCCTTATTTTGACAGTTATTATTATATAGTCAGTACAGTCATTATTCTGAGTATTCCAATATGGTAGTGCAGTAAAAAGAAAACAATAACAAGATTATGCACATATTAATAAGAACATATGTTAATTTGAACCCAAAAAACAACACAACATTTATTTATAAAGCAAGCTTCTGCAATAAAGACGACATAAAATCAGACAACTGAAATAAACATAAAGACAAATAAAACACTAAACACACAAATAAAACACTAGCAGACTTAAAACTCAAACATCCTACGCTAAAGCATACTGCCATGTATTTTTTTTTTAAGTAGACAGTTTGCAGATCACTGCCGACAACGATGCAGCAATTTTCTTCAACTTGGGCTGACAAGTTTTATTTGTGTTTCTGTACATTTTTACAGTATCATTTCTTGCCTTTACAGAACCCCATTTACATCTTTTGTATATCTGGTGCTTTAAATGTACAGTGCACTCTTAAAAAAGATGGTTCATCAAGGGTTCTTTAGTCAAAATGGTTCTATATAGAGCCACGAACACTCAAAGAACCCTTCGCATGATTAAGGTTTCTTTGCATCGTGAAAGCAGAGTGATGGAGAATGTGCTGTAGACAGGTCTATAAAGACCCCTTTTTGAAAAGGGTTCTATATAGCACCAAAAAGGGTTCCACTAGCCAAAGTACCTTTTTTGGTACTATATAGAACTCTTTTGCTAAGAGTGTACATTCGAAGGATCGCTAGGTCAATGTTAAAAAAAAATGGAAGCATGACTGAATTAATGGAGGGTAGTAAAATTGTTGCTAAGCAGTGACTGGAGAAGTAAATAAAGCGGACGTTTAGCCGTGAGAGCATCAAGATTATGATCAGCCGCAAGGTTGAAATTCATTTATTTTTTTCGCTGTTCTGCCCGTCGTGAGTCAAGACAGCTGTTTAAATTTTGTCATAATTGTTTGCAGGTGGTGAACCATGTTAGAGGCCAGATTGAGATATATTGGTTATAAAAGCTTTGAATAAAGACAACGACTATGACTTACATTTTTGGAGGAAAGGAATTCCATGCCTCTAGCGACTTGGTAGGAGAAACTTAGGAGGTCATCGTAGGTGAGAGTCTGCAGGTCTTCATCCTCACTTTCAAATATTTCTATAAAGGCAAAGTAAAGGGATTTAGGAACATTTTGTCCAAACTAAATCTGTGTTCAGACTGTGCCTACGTCACAATTTGTTCTATGCTATCAAGGCAAACTTGAGAATTATAATCTGCACAAAATTACTATATTTATAGATGCATGAAACAAACAAAGTCTCCTTCATTTTGCAGTTGTGATTATGGTGATACTTCACTCATTCCTGAATTCATATTGATCAAATTGTATACCTTGTACTTCACTGTGTAACAAAGCATCAAACTGACACCAGCTATACAAACTGAGCAGTCTTGGATAATCAGAGCCAAATATCAAATTTAAAAGATTTTTTGCCCCTTTGCCCAAATATAGGCGATTATTTCAGATATTTTTGGTGTCTGAAATTGGCCTCTTACGTGTGCCGCAAAGCTGTGAAACTAATGTAGTCAATAGGGGAGTAACGGATCCCAATATTCACAAGTTGATACAATAAGATATGGTAGTGTCTTGATTCAAGAGACTTTTTGAAAGAATAAAAATAAGGAGTGGCTAAAAATGTACCTTACGTTAAAATTATTTAATCATTCGGCATAAAAAGTGCAGTATTTGAAACAAAAGCTGTGCTTTATAGTGTCTCAATCTAATCCTCTAGCCACAAGCTAATATGTTAGTCCCAAGCTAACATATGAGCCACAAGCTACCATGCTAGTCATAATATAACAATACAATATGAGACCATACAATGCGCTGACAATATGAAAGAAGGTGTGGCAGCTGAGAAACTTGGCTGATGCTCTATCACCAGAGACATGCTTGCAGAGAGGAGCACAAACAATGGTGAAAAGACTCTCTCTAAGCCACGGACTAATGAGAGGAAGTGAGGTTGGAGAGCCTCAAGAGAGACTGTAAGTTGGGTGAGAAAGCCAGAGTAGGTGCTACTCAGTCATTAAAGTGTTAAGTGATGTTATGTAAAAAACCCTGTTTTGCACATGCTTTGGTTCTGAGGTTCGTGGTTTGCTCTCCTGGCTTAATGTTTCAAGCATAATAGCAACCTCTTAGCATTATGCAAACTGCATGTCTGAATCATCACAGAATTGCCTCAAGCAGTGTCAAACTGTAATGTCCAGTAGACTCGCTTATGTGGTTCTGACGTTGTATGACATCCTGTTATCTCAAAAAATGGGCTAAAGCATGTCAGCCAAGGCCTGTTTGGTCCCTGAATTTGGCTTCTTTGTTTTGCAATTGCTCCTACTACTGTTTTTTGCTGTGCCGTCGGTGAGCACGTATACATGCACTCAATAATCCGATCATAATCGGATTTCTGCAGTTATCCGATTATTCAAATGGTCATGTAAACATCATACTCCGATCTAGAAATCCGATTAAGAAATCCAATAAAGAGAGCTGGATTTTAGCTCAGTAATCAGATTTCTCAGTGCATGTAAACTCTTACTCCGATTTCTGTTGGATTTCTCAGTCTGCGCATGCGCAAGAACAGACGGTGGATGTCGCGAGATGGCAGCAAAACATTAGCCACATTTACATGCAGCCTAATAATCCTTCAATAATCCAAATAATAGCTCAATCAGAATAGAATACGTCCCTGTATACGCTTCAATCGGAATAGTCTAGTCCAATTGAGGCCATTCGGAATGCAATTTTTATCCGATTGAACGAGGTGGGTAAATAATGTAATATCCTGTAAATAATCTGTTAAATAGAAGAATAATAGCCATGTAAATGCCTGTATCTGAATACATTTCCAATTGGAATGTGTAAGCACGTTCTGCGCATGTGCGTCATGTCATAGCAAAAGTTTATAATAAAGTTTATGCTTTGAGCTTTAAAAGACGACGGTGAGACGGGTGTCCAGCTTATGTGTCTCAGAACACGACGTCTTCCTCTCTGCCTTCTTTAATAAGTACATGTGAAGTGTGTTTTCCTGAGTCTGACATCATTTTAAAGTAATTAAAAACACAAGCACTGCTTACTGCTGCTCGTCTCACTCTGACTGGCCTCATGTGATGCTCGTTGTCATGGTAACGTTTACGCTAAGTGGTACTCCACACATGCACGTCATTTTGGATCGGATTACTTGTAGTGAGCATATAAACGGAGTTTTTTCATCAGATTGTTGAGTACAGTGAGCATATAAACACCCCAGTCTTATGTCACGTCTTCTTCTGTGAGTCTTTTGGTTGGTTGCAAAGCAGAAATCCGATTATTGCCTGACTCATGTAGACCCGGAGTTTCCCATTATCATGTAAACGTGTTGATCGGATTATTGACAATATCTGATTTTCTGCAGTTATTGGATTATTGAGTGTATGTAAACGCACTCAATGTATTGCAGCGCAAAACTAAAGCAAAATTTGTTGACAACATTTGGAGTATGCAGCTGTGCAAATTAGATTTTTGCAATAGACTGTTTGCTGTTGTGTCAAGTGGTAGTTATTACCGTCAGTAACATCCGTAGAGGTGGAAAGAAGTGCCTCTCGTTCCTTTGTCACTGGGGACATGTGCATGTACGAAATGTCATCGGACTGAGTAAACTCACTATGTAGGCAGAACAAGGAGAGAGAATGATCTTTAACGTTATCTACAATAACTCCCACCTACATTTGTCCAAATTTAGTTACATTTCCTCAAACGAACAGTGCAGCATCTCACTGTTCTTTATGCTTTCTTTAGTCAAAAGGTTAATGGAAAGGCCATCGCTCCTCTAATGTTAACCTGGAGTTTCTCTTCCTCTGGTAGTTCTGGTAGAGGCCGCTGAATCTGTCCTTGTTGAAGGCATCGGCTAAGGACTTGTAGAAGCTCTCTCTCTTGTTCTTCAGGTAGTTCAGGAGGTCTCCATGACAGCAGTATTGAAAGATCAAGTAAATGGGACCTGTGGATGAAACAACCTTTTGTAATCACTGCTACATCTGTTGACGTCCCTTGATTTCCATGAACTGTTGTTTTTCTACAGTTCAGAAGCCTCTTACAACACTGATGTGACAAAAGCCGTTGTTTGTGAGTGGTTTGCATACCTGCACCAGTGCAAGCCCCCAGCAGGTTCACAATGTTGGCATGGTGTCCAAGATGAGTCAGCATCTTCAATTCAGACATCAAGGCTTCCTGCTCCACTGTCTGGTGCTTGTCTACAGAAAAACACACAGTGAGCAGCAAATGTTTACTCAACTGCACTGACTGAAAAGTCATTTTTACTTACACAACTTGTATATAGCTTTTTTTCCAAGAGAGATCTGAGAGAAACCTCTCGTTAAGAGCCTGTTTTTTAGACAATGAAAATCTGCAGGTTGAACCTGATGGGACCTAACAGCACATATAAGGCTCAGGTTGGGTTTAAATTTCGTTTGGGCTCTCACAGCTCATCTCTCACTTTTAGCAGATTTTACCCTGCATTTACCTCGCTTTAGTTTTTCTCCTTACTGTGTTCTTCCTCCCTTTTGGTTACCTTAAAACTTTTTTAAATCTGGCCTGATGTAATCAACCACTTGTTTTTGCTGTCAGAATTAAGCGACGAGGTCCACAAGGTCCATGTTTTTGAAAAAATGAATGCACCGGAAAAGTGAAATGGTGAATTCATTCAGGAAACCACAGTTCAGCCAAAATGTTTATATTTACCTTGTTTGGACAAAAATATATATTTTTATGTAGTATGTTTATTATATCATCGTTGTCGGGAGAAAATCTTTTATCTCCATTTTTGTCATTTTTGTTTCTTTTTTTCATAACTTGAAAATGCCAGCCAATCTCTTAGGCCAAATTGATAAATAGACAGGTAAAAATGGCTCAGAATTACTTAGAATAAAATCTTGTTACGTTAACTTACATTGAACATTAGGAACGTTTTTACTTCTTGTGTAAATGTACTTTTTTTGGAGCTACAAAAAAGATTTTGTTCAGACAGCAATGACATGTAACGTTCTATGTAAAGAAATTGATCAAACAGGTGAAGGCTAACACTTTGCTCTTTAAGAACCACACAGTGCAATATGGCAAGTATATCCAGTATTGGATAGATTCCATATCCAAACATTTTTTAGTGTGGATAAACTTTCCAAAATGTGCTGTTCTTATTCTGTGCAATTTTGATCAAGGTGTTAGCTTTCACCTGTTCACTAAAAGTTCATTTATTTATCCATGATCTAATGACGGATACTATTAATGCTACACTGTAATTTAACAGGCGCCATCCTATCAGGTTTTATTCTGCACTTTGGGAGATGCTGAGCTGGTTTGGGTCAGTTTTGGGGAGAACTTTGTCGGCCTTGGGTCTGTTTCAGACTCAAAACTTGATAATGTGGTTCAGGTGGGGTCAGGTTCAGGCCAAATTTTGTCAGGCTTGGGTTGGGTTTGGGCTTGAAACTTGATAATGTGGTGCGGGTCGGGTTCAGACCAATTTTTTTCTGGCTCAGGTTGGAGTCAAACTCGGAACTTGATGCGATGAAGAGCGTTGAAGAAGTTGGATAAAGTTGGATAAAACGTTCTCGGGCAACATTTGTGTTCGGGCCAAAATTTCAGGCCCTTTTACTGCAGATTAAGTAAGCTTAAATTATTCTTCAGTTACAGTGGTGGACATTTAGACCAAATTCAATGTATTTCTACTGAAATTACAAGTACGTTTTGAGTCTTTTAGAGCGTAATATGTTGTTACACACTTCCTAACATGCCTGCATCACTGGCAGACATTTGGTAGAGTGTGAATCTAATTGGCAACTCTAGCTGAGATATTTGAGTAATGATAGACTAATCAATATGTGTCAATATAGATTAAGTAGCCATAAGACCTACCTTTTAGCATTTTCACTGCAACCTGCATAGACACTCCTGGCTTGCTGATTCCATAAGCTGTAGCCTGCACTACCATCCCAAAAGCTCCAGATCCCAGCACTTTCCCTAAGGAAAACAAACAATATGGTCTTAATGCAGCCCTTCGGCACAGCACATCAGCAGTGCTCGTCCATTAAGCTAAAATTTTATTATATAGATCCTTTACCCAATTCCAGGTTCTCACGAGGAAACTCCCATTTCTGGTCATACTTGAAATCTCTGAAGTCAATGTAGATGTAATCATTATCAGACGGCCCCACCATCTGAATCATCTGGAGCTGGGTTTCATATCCAGTCTTCTATTGGGATTATATAGGAAAAAGAATGTTTCAGAGGGTTAGACATAAGGGTAACTGTAAGAATTCTTCATAGTGTGACGGAGAATATTTCTGTGTGAGAGAGAGAGAGACTGTACTTTCTTGCGGATGAAATGGACCAGGGTGAGGCTGACCAGCAGGAGGGCAAAGACAAGCATGCCACACATCACTATCAGTATCATGGAGTCCGAGGGGTCCGAGGAGGCTACAACAGAGCATTGTCATTGTATAAACTCTCCGTTGACTGGTCATGATCAAATACAAATGAATTAGAACCTCATCATACAAGTGTGTGTACATGTGGAACATAAACGTACGGTTTTTCACTTTAATATGCTCACTGCAGTATGAGCCGTCCATGTTAGTGAGGCAGCACTGGACAATGTGGTTGTTTACTTCAGTGCAAGCTTCAGAGAAGACAATCTTCTTCTGGCAGAACCGGCCTGAATCTGGGAACTCCTGTTGATTCACACTTGTCTCTTTCCACATTGCAGAGTCTGTACAGCTTTGAGACCAAAAAGTGATAGAGACATTGACTTTACATCCTCACATTGAAGAAAAATGACTGTACAGTGCACCTTATGGAAATGTTCTTATGACAACAATTTTATACAACTTGTACGTCTTTTGTATGACTTTTTTTTATAGGGTTTTCTGATATAAATGAACAATTAGGCAGAAACCTGTGCAAACTCCACAGACGCCACTATGCTGGTAACAAATTACCACAAATTATTTCCTCTGTAAAATCTGTGTGTGTGTATACATATATACAACCCATGTATGTATTCCAAAAAAGTCGGGACGCTGTGTAAAATGTAAAAAATAAGTAAATAAAAACAGAATGCAGTGATTTGCAAATCTCATAGACCCATATTTTATTCACAATAAAACATAGAACACAGATGTTGAAAGTGAGACATTTTACCATTTCATGAAAAATATTAACTCATTTAGAACACAGTTCGCCGTGCAATCCGCAAATGCAAGTTAAAGCTGTATTATGCAAAGAAGAAGCCATATGTCAACACGATACAAAAACACCACCATCTTCTCTGGGCCAAAACCTCATTTAAAAAAAAGAAAACTATTCTGTGGTCAGATGAATCAAAATTTGAAATTCTTTTTGGAAACGACGGACGTCGTGTTCTGCAGACTCAAGAGGAGAGGGACCATGCAGCTTGTTATCAGCGCACATTTCAAAAGCCTGCATGTCTGATGGTTTGGGGATGCATTAGTGCCTATGGCGTGGGCAGCTTACACATCTGGAAAGGCACTATTAATGCTGAACAGTATATAGAGGGTTTAGAACAACATATGCTCCCATCCAGACAACGCCTCTTTCAGGAAAGGCCTTTGGGACAAAGGACAATGTTAAACCACATACTGCATCCATCACAACAGCATGGCTTTGCAGAAGAAGAGTCCGGGTGCTGAACTGGATGCCTGCAGTCCAGACCTTTTACCAACAGAAAACTTTTGGCGCGTGAAACGAAAAATCCAGCAAAGAAGACTCAGGACTGTTGAGCAGCTAGAATCCTACATCAGACAAGAATGGGGTGATATTCCTCTCCCAAAACTCCAGCAATTGGTCTCCTCACTTCCCAGACGTTTAGCGACTCTACACAATGGTAGACGTGGCCCTGTCTCAACTTTTTTTGAGATGCGTTGCTGCCCCCAAGTTCTAAATGAGTTAATATTTTTCATGAAATGGTAAAATGTCCCACTTTCAACATCTGATATGTGTTCATTCCGCCTTGGTGGATTCCCACCAGGACTACACTGTGCAATTTTAAACCCGTTTTTAAACACACAAATACAGTCACTTCCCTAAAGTGGACACCCTGTACTGATAGGAGGCTAGCAAAACCCAGGTTAAAAAGTCAACATTTGCGGAACCTGGAGTTTGTACATGCTGACTTTACTATGTTTGACTGAATAATATTGGGACTGTAGAGACACCATGTTGTCCTACCCATGTACATCACCGCCTTCTTTCAATTTCAGTGCACAATGCAGTATAAGTTAGCAAGACTGCTGTAGCCCAGTTTCTCAACATGCTTGTTCAGTAGTTGGGTGTGCAGCGTGGTTTTGAATGAAACAGCTTTATTGATAATTGTCCTTGGGCAGAGCTGTCTGTATTATGGAGTGGAATTCCATAATTTTCATTCATAGGCTTTGTCTGTACTCAATGAAAATCAAAGGCTTTGTCTGTACTCGATGAAAATCATAGGCTTTGTCTGTACTTGATGAAAATCATAGGTTTTGTCTGTACTTGATGAAAATCATAGGTTTTGTCTGTACTTGATGAAAATCATAGGTTTTGTCTGTACTCAATAGTCTATTCAAATGTACAGTGTGAGTCACCAACTCCAACAGTCTGTAAAAATCGAAACCTGAGTGCCTCAGTTTAGCCCCGGATGAGATTCCTGCTGTCATTGTGCTACAGAAACAGTTGTTCAAAGAGACATATGAGGAGCAGGGATCAAAACTATGAAACATGTTTTACTTACAGCTGTACAGAAGCGCTTTTCTGACATGGAACAAAACCCACTCTCCTCCAATGCAAAGCTACTTGATCCAAGGTAATTAACATAGCTGACTAATGCACGTCGTTTAAAGCCAGGTAGAGTAAAGAAAGGCTCATGGAAAAATGAGTTATATATATTTTTGGTACATAATACAAGAAAATAATGCAATGTAATGTGGGCCCTTTTGTTTACCTAATTTACCAACACGTTTGATTAAACAGTTCCTTAAGTCCACACTAAACTTGAAACTACTTAGCATCACTAAACTTGCAACTCACTTAGCATCTGATGGACACATCCTCCAGAATAGGGCCCGAGGAAGTGAGCTGTTGGTCATGCAGGTGACTTTGTCTAGGTCTTGGAGTAAAGTAAACTTAGGAGTATCTACAAAATGACACAGAGAATTATTAAGATTCTGTTCTTGTCAAAGTTTGAAACTTCTCATAGTATATTGACACCATCAGTGATTGTATTTGTATGCTAATTCTTTCTTAGTACAGTTATGCCTCTACAATTTGTAGTACATAATGTCTTCAGTTTATCTATGTGATATTAATCTATTTATAAGAACTCACCTGTCACACAGAGAGACAGATTCTTTGTGACTAACTTCCTACCAGCTCTCAGTTGTATCTGATACAGGCCTGGCTCTGGATTGCACAGTTTAAAAGTGCTAAAAGGAAGGACAAAACCATCAGAGGAATACAGCAATACAGCACACTTACAGACCCAGTTTGGAAAGACTGCTTGTCAACTTACTGATTATTCCAGAGGTCATGAGTTTTGTCAGACTGCACTTTGGTTCCATTTGGTTGAATCCAGGCACACTGTGGTTTTGGGTAAGCGAGCACCTGGACTTGGAGGCAGAAGGTCGCTTTCTCTTTCTCCCAAATTCTGACATTCTCATTCAGCTCCAGTATCTCAATGAAGTCCTCCTCTGTCAGAAAACCACCAACATCATCAGGAGTTTACACTGGCTTAAATCAGAGGCTTCTTACACAAATTAACTAGGGGCCAGTAGCCCAGTAACCCAAAAAAAATATTTGTGTTATGTTTAACTATGATTTTAACTACATACAGTTTTTGAACTAATGTTGTAAATTACATCATGTGACAAAAGTGTTCCATATATTTGTTCCAAGTATAAATCTTAACTATGTAACATACAGTTCATACAGTAACATAAGTGCATCTTAGTTGATGTTTACTAGCAATTCTTTTGTCACCACAAAGCTACTACTACTATTTCTAATTATACTTCTACTACTACTACTACTACTATTAATCATTATTATTAGCAGTTATAGTACTAAAAATGCATAAAGTGTTGAAATAATCTTTGGTGTTCATTTGACTCAAGTAAAATTACATTGATGATAGGATTGGCATTTCTGCTGAACATGAGTGAAATATTTGCAAGTGAAGTGTTGGCAAAGGAGAGCAGTTACATCTGCGTTCTCAGTGGGTCTGTTTGATAATTTTCTTGATTCTGACTCGCTGTATCTAGCGCTACGTCATGAATGAATCCACAAATAGTTCAGTTAGTTATAGCTAAATTGTGCCGCGGTGTGTGCAGCTATCATGCTGCACCAGGTTTTCATTTGAATAGTTCCACTTGCATGCAGCTCTCTGTTTTGCATTTATATGATGCACATGTCAACACATAACACAGTTCAGTCATCATAGGTCAGCACATTATGATGCAAGTTTATTTATCTATTTTTTTTAAAGACAGCATGCTTGCAAGCAGTGTTACCAGATTAGGCGGGTTCCCACCAATTTGGGCAGATTTTGGTTGGATTTGGCCAGCAGTTTATAAATAACGTAATGGATGTGCGTTCGGGCCTAAAATATATAATCCAGTTCATGTGGCCCCACTGACAGTGCAGAGTTCTACTACAGTTGGAAATTGGAATGGCCCATTATTTGTTCAGCAGAGTCTATGAAGGTATGCAAGTTTTTAAAAATGTATGAGGGACAGTTATACTCGCAGTATTATTTGCCTTTCTGATTACCTGGGATCACAGGTCTCATATACAACACGTTAATAAAATGTTAATGTTCGTGCAAGCTCAGCAAGTTTAGATACACAATATGTAAACTATTAAGATACAAATACAAGTCAAATCATTGAATTATTTTACTAAAATTATTTATAGTTCCTTTCCTTTCATTCTCCGTAGCAGTGATAAATACATTTTTGAAAGAAAAGACATAAGCAGTTAATGCACCCAGAAGCTTAGTATTAACATCATGTTGGTTAAATGCTGTATTGTTTCATATATGATTAATCTGACCTTACACTGTTTTTTTCATACATTTTGGATTTTCAACATTTTCGGCTGAAAACTATAGAAGCAATCTGGCAGCACTGCTTGTAGAAACTAATCTGTTTGTACTTACCATGCACCTGCACCTGTGTAGCCTTTGATTGCCCGTCCTTACTTTTGCAAACATACTCTCCACTGTTATTCCCACTAACTGATTCAATGGAGAAATACTCCAACACTGAATCATAATAGTACATTCTTACTCCACTGAGCTAAAGGTGGGGCAGAAAGAAAAAAAGAAAATTATACAGCAATATCAGAAACTCATAACCATATTAATATTTACATATCCACTCTTTACAGTACCTCTGTGTTGTTGAAGAACCACTTCATAGGTGGTTTCTTATTATTAGCTCTACATCGGAGTGCGAGCGACTGTCCAGGATTCAGTAAAATCTGTGGAGCTTCAGTCTCCTGCCTGGGCTTTCCAAGCTCTAAAGCAAAAGAACAAAAGTCATAAATCATCTGTAATGTGTTTATTGAACCAGAGAGTACCCAATTTTGTGACATCTCTTGGATTGCATTACTTATTGCTCGGGCAAGACAAACATCTGTTGGTCACCACTTCAATTACACACTCTCAAAAGTGCATAATTTGGATATTTGCTTCAAAGTAGATACTGAGAAAGTTGTACAAGTTACTGAGTAAAGTCTTAAGATTAATAATCAAATAAGGCTAGAGTTTAAATAGAGCCCACTCAGTACATTTTCAATTCACATTTGTTACAGTGAGTGTATGGTGACTCATATTATAAATAAGAACAAGAGGGGAAAGTTTGTGAGCGAGCGTGAGCTAAGTTTGACAGAGGCTGTGCTATGTTATCCCAGGTGGTTGCTAAGGTGTTGCTAGTCTGTTGCTATGGAATCCCAAGCTGTTGCTAAGATTTTGCTAGGCTGTTGCTGTTGTATCTAAGGGGTTTATAAAGTTTTGCGAGGCCATGGATGTGGTATCTCAGGTGGTTGCTAAGCTGTTGCTGGCCCATTGGCCTCTGCTACGATATTCCTAGTGGTTGCTTATTTAAATGCCTAGTTTTGTGAGAGATATCCTTTGTGACGTGATTTGTGGCAATGAGATTTTAATCTCAACATTCCGCAGTTCATTTCCTATGGGGGGAAAAATTGCATTGGAATGAACGCTTTATGCTGTGTGATTGATTGCAAAAGCACCAGCGCACTATTCCTCCATAGGCTCTACAATCCTGCGGTTTCACTGTTCAGCTCAAAAAACAGCACCAAATGAAAGTATAGAATAATAAAACAAAGAACAGAAAGTTGTCTTTGTCAAGCCAAATTAATAATAAGCCTTATGAGGCATCAGATTATGAATAGGAATAATCGTCTTACCGTAATGATAAATCAGGGCGCATTCTTTTCCCTCTGAGTTTGTGGCACAGCAGTTTGTGTTTGAGGTCTGGTAGGTAAAACCATCAAGCGTGCTCACAGCCATCTCCTTTTCCAGATTTGTCTCTTCTTTTAGATCTCGTCTTTACAGACGCAAATGTTACAGTAGAACAGCGTTAGTATATATAACTAATTAAATGTAGTTGTAGGAAAGCATTACAGCAACATTTTATAGTATTGACTGGAGCAATACAAATTAATATTATTATTATTATTTGCAAAAAAAAACTCATGGGATGGTTCTCATTTCACCTCAGAATTTATATATTCTGGCCTTTATCAAACTGACAACCCCATAGCTGTAGTGAAATTTTGCATTTTAACTATACTAACATTTGAAAAGCAGTGACTGAATAGACAAACAGCCTAAGTAAGATGAGAAATGTGGGTAAGAGGAACAGGGTTAGTCGTCCTAGAAAAGCTCACTAAATTTAAGGTGGCATAGAATTTAACGTAGAACTACATTTAAGGTGGCACTGAATTTTAGGTGGAACTGCAACTATCATAGCAGTAAATTTAAGGTGGCACAGAATTTAAGGTGGAGCTCCATTTTACATAACACTAAAATTAAGGTGGCACAGAATTTAACGTGTAACTTCAATTAAGGTGACACAGAATTTAAGGTGGAACTACACTTAAGGTGGCACAGAATTCAAGGTGGAACTCGCATTTTATGGTAGCACTGAATTTAAGGTGGCACAGAATTTTAAGGTGCAACTTCATTTACGCTAGCACCTAGCAATGCATTACCATCCACCTTGGATACTGCAGCATCCAGGTAGCAACATTTTAGGGAAATTTTAACAACCATCAACAGTCTTCCACTATTTTAAGGTTTTAACATTATTGGCTGGATTTTCAAGCCAACTTAAAGTTTGTTCATAACATTCCCTTTCTAGTTATTATTATTATTATTATTATTATTATTATTGTTATTATTATTCAAAATCTACAGTAGAAGGTTTTATTTCGTCTCTCTGAGATCCATTGTAGTGTAACATACATGAGGTTTTACATACCAAAAAAGTCATAATTCCTTTGTACACAGCTGTTTTCCAAACTTTCTTTATCCCTAAGAAATACACAGGCTGGTTACTGTGCGCTTAAGACTGATATATGTTAATGAGCTCTGTTATTTGAGCTGATCTCAACTATTTACGCTAAGTGCATTTATTATTTTTATTATTGTGGGTCTTAGGAAAACAACAAAAATTTCTTCTAACTATTTCTTCTAAAAACTTCTAACTGGTGGTGTTACATGTTTAGAGGTGAGTGATGTTTGTTTATTTAAGCTCGAGCTATACCTCTGGTCACTTAGGAGCTACTTAGTATCATAACAGTAAGGAAGCAGCTGTCTAGGCTGACTAAGCCTGTTTGACCATTTTAGTACTTAATAAGGCATGCATGCATTGAACAAAAAAACACAAATTGTTAATCACAAATATTTGTACAGTAAATAATCTTCAGTCTTTCAGTTCTGCCACAGCTTATCAGTTATCAGTTGGCGAACAAGGCTCCTCTGTAAACTCAACCAAGCTAGTGGAGGCCATTAGAGACAAATCACGTCTTTTGTAATAAGTTTTCTAATCTGTCTTTTGATACTTAATAGTATTGAACATTAGCCAGCAAAATATCTTTTGTCATTTTCACCACTTTAACTCATAGGAAAGATTTCAATATATAGTTCCACCATTAAAGAGAACAAAACAACAACAATGTGTGAAAGGCATGAGTCCATTTTTAGTGCTGTCAGCAATAAAAATCTAAACCTTCCAACTCTAAGTGGAAAAATGAAATAATAATCAAAACAGTGTTCTATGCTTACCTGCTGGTTTGTTTGTTTGCATACCATGTAATTTTTGGTATAGGGTTTCCCTCAGAAACACATCTGAAACTAACAGTATGGTCTTCTCCTTCAGTCACTGTTAGCTGTGGAATAGATGGTGGCTCTAGAAATGAGGAGAATGTGATGATGCAATGACAAAAAAATAATAAATATTTTTTCAAGCATTTTAGCACATACAGTAAATAACTATTCAGGGTAAAATACATATGATGAAAAAAAACCATGTACATAATGTTTATTTAGACAAACGATTACTGTTTGCAGGATCATCACAATAAATTATATCATTGTGAAATTCAGTTATGTTGTACCACATGTAAGGCTTACCCTATAGCTCTCAGTTTTCCTAATGGTAATATATAATGATATAATTACCCACTGGCATAGCTTCTAATATTACCTAACAATGTATAATAATAACTATGTTCTTTATGTAACACTTAACATTCAGTGGTTCTCCACTTTCTTTTAGTTGGAAAATAAAATAATGCCAAATTGTTATGTTGGCACCCTTCTTCTGCACAAGCTTGTCCGTTTTACTGTCTACAGGAGAGCAGATTTCATGTACTGGATTTTCTTTGTTTCATTTGCATATTTCTCCAGCATTCTTTGTCAGACTGAGGGGACAAAGTGTGTACATGTATAGTTAATTAGCTGGTGATGTTCTGTTTGTATAGCCTATAATTAAGTGCTATCTTTATTATATACATTATAGATTGGAGTAAATACATAAAGAGGAATGTTAAATAAAGGCAAAGCTACAAAAATGAAATTACATGTCATGTGAAAGAGAATTATAATTTATGTAATGTTGACGTTTTTAAATTATTGTAATACTTGAACATATCAGTCAGAAGCCCAGGCTAGTTTTATCTTTCTATAAGGATTAGTAGTTTATCACTGGTCTTATCTGAGGTGTAATTCAGAAGGACAAGCATATGACTCACTTTTTAGAGCAGTTACATGGACTGAGATGTTTACAGAATAGTTTGAGTTGCCAGTGCCACAGACTACAGTGTAATCTCCACCCATGTCTCTTGTAAAGCGCTGGACTGGTAGCATATTGGCTGTTTCTCTGTGGAAAGCACAAAAACTTAGCTGATACCATGATCATACAACAATATTACCTACATAAATAAGCAAATTCCACTCACAAACTTCAGTCAGTATTATCTATGGGCGTCACCTTGAGTCAAAATGTGCAGGGGACAGGACGATATAAAAAAAACTATATATATGATTCATTCCTCTTCTTCTTGTTCTTGTTTTTTTTTGAGCTGTGCTGAGCCCACACCCTTAATGCTCCACCTTTCGTTGCTGGTTAGAGTTCTGTATTTTCTTATATTTCACAGATGGACAGATGGGAGTTCCTGCCAAACTGGGGGGGATTTTTGCTGGATTTGGAGGGGAAAAAGCACTTTGGTAGATGAACAAAATTTAGGCTGGCCATGACTGTTGTTAGGTTTTAAAAAAAGTATATAAACTAAATCAACTGCATTAATTAATAATGCTGAAATTTGACAAGGCCTGACTTCATTTTAGTAACTCCTGTGGAGAGGAGGCCCACTTGCGTCATTCACAATTTACTACGGTTAATGTACGCACCACCTTATTATTAATGTAACAGATGAGTGTTTGGGCCTAGCTTGAATTATCCAGTTCATGTGGTCTTAGTGACTATACAGAGTTCTGCTTTAGTTGGAAATTGGAATGGCCTGTGATCTGTTCAGCAGAGCCTGTAAATGTAAGCAAGTTTTTAAAATGTGTGGAAAAAGATACACATAAAATGCATAAAAAAGGAAAAAGAAATAAATATTATAAAATCTAATTAGTAATATATCCTATATTTTTCTTGTATTTTATTTTTCTCAAACAGTGAGGAAAAGAGTAAATTAAATAAAAATACAACAGCAGGGTTTTAACATGTGTCATCAATATGCATTCTATAGGTATTCAGAATATATTATATTTTTATGTATTGTAGTGTAATGTGTTATTGAGTACATTTGGGACAGTGTTCAGAATTCAGCCATCACTCCTTTTCAGAGTATTCTGCCCAAGTCTGAGTGTTAACTAAAATGAACTGTAGCTGTTTTATAACTTCTCTGGTTTTACTTAACTATACAAGATCTGACACAGTCTAAGCCTGACACTAACAGTCTAATTTAAGATGACTCACTTAGCCTCTGTCGTTTTGTCTGACATTCACACTACTGTGCTACAAATACACAAATGTAAAAATAACCTACCTTTAGTTTCAATCTACCTCAGTAGTAACAAAGAAATTACGGTTAATATTGCTGGGTGACGATAAATAAACAAGTGCTGAAGATGATTATCAGCTCATGTTAAGTTAACACATCTATATCAAGTCTAATGACACAGTATAAGTCTGTTAATATGTTTCCAGATGATAATTCTGCAAATAACAATTAGAAGAACTAACGTAATTTCCTTAGTTGTAGCGGTACAAATAACCATGGACTTGGGCTCACGCTGATGCATTGAATTTAGAAGATTGAATCGTGTGAGGGATGGCCGATGCCACTCATTTTCTTTTCAGTCCGATACCAAGTAATACCAAAGCTAATATCTCGATACCAGTACGGGTATCGATACTTTAAAAAGGGGGAAATCATTGTATTTAGTAAAAAACAGTAAATGTATACATCAAAAAAGTATATTTTAAACCCTTTACATTAGTACTAACAGGGAATGTCACTGATTTTTCAGAACTTCGGTGTAATTCAGTGGTTGAAATTTGTCATTCAGAGTGTGTTGATGTGACACTGATTTCTCTACAGTGGGTGATAGGAATCAGGAGTTGTGATGTCTACAACACAAATATAGCCCTTTTATTTACTATCCAGAACCACCAGTGAACCTACACATGGCTTCTGAGTTTTATATGTAATGTTGATGATGGTAAAATAGTGGTAAAGCTGAAAAAAAAGAGTTTTTTGTGGGTACTACTTTGCCTTGAAATGCCATACATGAACTTCTTCACCATGAATGGATAAAAAAATGTGTTTTAGGACAAAATCCTATCCCAAGACAATCATAAAACAACCCCTTAGGTATCAGGCAGCATATTTATAATAGCCTTCTGTAGAGGTGGGCTTTGAAACATCAATATAAAAATAAATAAGCTGGAACAGACAAAAATAATCAGTGGCACTTTTAAAAAATACTATCAAAAATTATGAATACAGTGATTTGTATTTAAAATTTCATGTCCTGCTCTGCACTAATATCCAATTAAGTGGACTTACTTTGTAATGAAACATGCTAGAGGTACTAACAATATTCATGATAAACTTGGAAAAGCATATTTTGACATAATTTATCAGGATAAATATTGTCATATTGCCCACCCCTAGCGTTCTGTGAGATAGCTGTGTGTTAAAGGGTAACTCCACCTATTTTTAAAAAATTCTACATAATTAAATGGTTAAGATAAGTAAACAAAGTTGTAGTTGAGTAAACAAAGTTGTAGTTGAGTGGTTTGGTGTGAAATGCTCTGTTCCAGAGAAACATAGAGTCAGAATTGTTCACAGTAGTGGTGATAGGAACCAGACATGCACCTCTAAAAGCTCCCTCACTGAAAGTTATTACGTGCAACAGTTATGAATATGCTGCCTGATTCCTGAGACATTGTTTTATGATAGTTTTATGATCAGGATTTGGCTTAAAATGTCTTGTTAATCCATTTATTTTAATCCATTCATGGTGGAGGTGTATGTGCATGGCATTGTAAGGCAAAGTAGTCCCCCCAAAAAACCTCTTTTTATCAGATTTTACCATAATCAACATTACATATAAAAACTTAGAAGACATGTGTAGGTTCACTGTGGTTTTGGATAGAAAGTCTGTTTGCTGCAGTAATTTTTTCAGCACCATAAAAAAAGAGATATTCAGTTTACTGCGTAAAGAAACAGTATCAATATGTCATGTAAGGATCAATTCTCAAAAAGAAACATCAGGATCGACACTTCAGTATTGATCTGCCCATCTCTAGTAGCCACTGATGTGCTGAATCAACCACCTGAGCTCACCTTAACCAGCATCAATCTTTTTTTGATAAAATTTCAATTGTAGCTTAGTATGATAGGCTAGTCTTGCCATTAGCATTAGTGTTAATTTCACAGCCACAGGGCATTTCAAAAACAGAAACTATCATCCCAAGCAAAATATTGCGGCCTATGGTAGGTAGTACACTCATCCCAGAGATGCATTACAGCTGAACTCATTCAAGTCTCTTTAAAGACACGTACCTTTGTGCCCAGAAACATGGTGGGGAACCTCCTGAACTGTTTCCCAAAGAACGAATTTCCACTTTCTGCTCAGCTACGACTTCCAGCTGCATTTTCCGAGAACCTTGCCGGTCAGCTTCAGCCAGGTTGCATATAACAGTCTGCAATGAGGTAGCACGTATACGAGTAATCAGATATGTGTGATTATATATGTATGTATCTGTCTGTTTATATATATATATGTATATATTGTGCTATACAGGCTAATTGGCATAAGACTCAGATTCCTATAAATGTCACAGAGAAGCGAAGAAGGTATCGTAATTTTAAGGCAGCTGTGGTGAGTTCTATACTTCTGCATTTGCCGTTGAAATGTCAGTTCTGCTTTTATTCTTGGTCATCCTTATGACCTCATTTACAAATTCAGAAAATTTGGTACCCAACTTTTTTCTTTTGCTAGGTTATACTTGGAACGTTTATTGCAACCATCCAGCCGTCTGTATCTGTCTGTGTCTACGCCTTCTCAATCAGGATGTCCTACTTTAACTCAAACACAGGCAAAAACAGTACAGCCCTGATGATAATTGATATAATTAATGAAAAACATGGAGATTTTACAGTTTCACTGGGGACGCAGGACAGTTGATGCGCTTTCCCATCGGTGCGGACAAGTGCATTCCACTGTAGTACAAGAAACACTGTGGTGCAAAAGAAGACACAGAAAGGTTTAAGCTTTTAGAAAATGATCTGAAAATGAATTGATTATACCGACTAAGAGGAGTCAATGAGAGTGGCAGGTCTGTATCGCCACCAGTAACAACAGTAGGAAAACTATTACTAGGCCACTACTGTTTTTGTTGTATAATAATAATAATCATAGGTAAAGTAAAAATAAACGGAATATCATAAAGTATGTCATCCAGGAAGACGGTCTTACTCAGTAGCACATACAAATCAAGTAAATGAGTAGCTGAATAACAAAGCCTTTTGCATTTTGGTTACTTACCCACCACAGCTGTGTTTTTTCTTAACTGCATTGTTTGAGTGCATAACAGCAGACCAGAGCCGCACTCTGGTGTGGCAGAGACGAAATGGGATGTGGAGAGCAGAGAGACGCAAAGACTGTCAGGGCCACATGACCCTCTCTCTCGCTCTCACTCTCTCTCTCTCTCTCTCTCTTTCTCATGTCATGGTTTCCTTTCACAAAGTGACAAATTTTGTGGACGACCATAATCATTTGAGAACAGTGCCTTTTATTCATATTAAACTTACACAATCAGCAACAAGATACAAACAGCATCTTCATGCTTGGTTTATAGTTGTTGCTTAATAAAAAACTGTTTATAGTATATGCTATATACTATAGAAAAAGCACTTTAAAAATGATCAAAAATATGAACAGTAGTTTCACTTTTGACTCAATTATCATACATTTAGTTGTTGGACAACCACTCTTTTCATTCATTCAGCACCATTATTTGGTACTTTCTTAAACATTAAGTAAATAGTATCAGACTGTTAGTCCATATTGTGTAACAACGTTGAAAAAAAAAGTCAGTAGAGCTAGCAGCATTTCCCAGTACTACTTAGCTTGATTTGGAAGCACTTAGTTAATGTTAAAGAACTTTTGTACTTTTAGAAACGTGTAATTTAACTGTTAATTCATGCTGTAGGTACAATTTTTAAAAGTAATGTCGTTATGTTTTTAGCTGAACTGTAATGTAGTTGCAGTGTCTCCTAATGTTATATATGTATGTATATATATATATAATATATATATATATATACACACATATATAATATATATATATATATATATATATATAACATATATATATATATATATGTAATTTAAGTGTAATTTAACTGTTAATTCATGCTGTATGTACATTTTTTAAAAAATGTTTTTAGCTGAACTGTACTGTACTTGCAGTGTCTCCTAATGTTATATATATACACACGCTATAACAGACATATATATATATATATATATATATATTTTTATATATATATATATATATTTTTTTTTTTGTGCTTTTAGCTTTACTGAACTTGAAGCCCCTGGTGTAATGCTAACTGCAGCGCTAGCACCCATAATGCACAGCGAGGCTAGTTAGCGCTTAGCTGAAAACAACAACAGCAGCGGCGGCGCTGAACAACAACGACGGCGGGGAGCAGATTTCAGCTCAGCGGCGCAGTTTGTGCCACTTTTACGAAGCACAATGTCCGCGTGAATTTCTCTGGCTGGATGTTTGGACTTGTTTTAGGACGAGTTTTGACCGCAGAGCGCTGAGTGTGCTGTTGGATAAGTGTGTGTTTTTAGGAGCTTCGCCCCCCTCCCTCTCCCTCAGGTCTCTCCCCCTCTCGCTACAGGTCTATGGTCGAGGGTATTCCGGCGGCGGCGGTGCCATGAACAGCGGACTCCCAGCCTCAGCCGCTCCGCTCGGGGGGGTTGGGATACCTGGCGTGAAAGTGAAGTTTTGCCGCTACTACGCGAAAGACAAGACTTGCTTTTATGGAGACGAGTGTCAGTTCGTGCATGAGGACCCAGCTGTGGCCAGTCTGCCAGTGCACGGCGGTGGCGGTGGCGGTGCAGGCGGAGGAGGCGCCGGTGGAGGTGGTGGAGGCGGCGGTGGAGGTGGAGGTAGTCCCGTGCCTTTCTCCATGGCTGGAAGCGGCGGGACGGCAGCCGCGTATCCGCTCGGGGGCAGCGCGGTGGTGGCGGCGGCGGCCTGTGCGGGCGCTGCTCCTGCCAGTGTCCCCAAAAAGAGCGATGCTCTCGGGCCAGCGGGGGCAGCTCTGGACGGGCAGCTCCTAGCCAGTAAGTTCGTACTAGGTGATGTTATTCGGCGGCGTGGGGGAGAACAGTGTAGAGAGCCTAAAAATGCACCTATTCTGATGCATGAAACCGCGGGGCCTTATCTGGATTGTGCAGAAATCGAGGTCGGGGATTCAGCGAGGCCTCATTCCCTCCACCACCACCACCCCCTCTCAAAACAATACGAGGAAACGGACAGGGGGCTTCGCTTTCTTTTTGCCGTCCATTACCCCGCAGTTAGCGCTGCGTGAAAGTGCTGGAAATGCAAGTCAGAAAGGATCCAGCTCGTTCACGGCTCTGTTTTTATGGTACAAATCTGGAGCCGCACCACCTGTCATTGTTTCACTATGAAAAGCTAAACCAGCGTTGCTCTGCCTTGGAAGCTAACAGCTAAAGCCCGGCAGTGCTTTTTGGTTTAGAGGGGTTTGTAGTGCCGCTGCTTTTACTTTAAACCAAAGCCCTCGGCTCGTTGCTACAGCAGTTGCGAGCTTTTTAAAGAGGCTGAATTCGGATTTTTATTTGAATTTCCCCGTTCCACCTTAAATGGTGCAAGCAGCGGAATGTAACTGCTGCACCATTTAAGGTGGAACGGGGAAATTCGAAGAAGAAGCTGGCGAACAAGAGGTTGACTTCAGCTTCGTGTGTCTTTATCGTTTACGCTGCTGGGTTTTTATTTAAAGAAAACATACCAAAATAACGATTCAAGCACAGACTATTTAAATACGCCCTCGTATTTTGTTGGCATTATTATTTATGTTATCATAGTAATAATAATAAGTGTTATTACGTTTAAAAAAAACTACGGAAAAAGCGCGGAGTGCGTCAGCTGACCAAGCTGTTTACGTCGTTCCCAGCAAGGCTGTGATTGGCTGATGCTCAGTTGGATAGTTTTGCTTGGAGTTACTTGTTTCTCTTTACTGTTCTCTTCATTACTTAAAAAATAGCATGAACAACATGTAATGTTAAATTTAAGTTAAAAATATTAATCTGAATCTATGAGCAGCCTGCTGCTCTACAGGCTGTAGCAGAATTTAACCATGACCCTTTTTGTGGCCCCAAAGTTTGTCTCATCAAGTAAGTTATATTTTGGAGTTGTTGGTGCCCTTTTTTATACCTCATTGGTTTTTCTCAGGGACAGAAACATGATATGCTGCCAGTATACAATGCTATCTTGGGGTTGTGATATTTTTTCAGTAAAGGCATGGTGTTTTGCGCTTCTGAAGGCGGATTTTTTTTTCTGCTGATAGCATGTAGCAGAAGAAGCATTCACTGCTTAAAATTGTACTTTATTGTCCTGTGGGACAGAATAGGACACCCATCACCACTGATTTAGTAAGTTAACAAACCATGTATTGGTTTATGTTGCTTAATTTAGTAGCTAAATAATTCTGTTGCCTCGAATCAGTTTTCAAAATGAGCAGTTGTAAGGTGAATACTAAGTTTGACAAACTTTTTTACTATAAGAGAATTAAGTTTTTTTTGTCTCTTATTTTAGTCCCTGGGATGGATGGCGGTGCACTGAGTGATGCAAATCTGACCAACTCCTACTTCAGCAGCAGCTTTATTGGGGTCAATGGGTTTGGGAGCCCAGCAGAGTCCAAATATTCTATGATGCAGGTGTGTATGTGGCCTTATGTCCTATACTTTTCTAAGTGATTTCACGCACAAGGTTCATCTTTGTTAGCTTTTCTTTATGTTTTAAACTTTAATTACATGTCTACATTGATCTGTGATGGTGGGATCAAAGGTCAACCATGGCCTTTTATAAGCAGTAGCAGCAGTTACACCTGTCCAATGAAATGGATGTCCTAACATAAGTCATTTTGATATTGTCCTGAAAGTGACAGTGATTTGGTCATATAGTTACTTGTTAAGTGCTATAAAAGTACGGTGCACTTTTAAATACTGTAAAATAAATGGTTTCATCATTCTTGTAATAATCTTAATAACTGGGTTCTAAAATATGCACACCTCTTTATTCCGTAACATACCATTTTTTTTTTCACTGCCTTTATAAAACCCATGTACAGTTGTTTGCAAAAGTTTGAACACCCTGGTTTTGTTTATTTTCTGAGTGAAAATAAGTTCCTCTACAGGGGACAAACATATATGCAGAAAAATATGCCGTTTACTGGAGAAAATTTCAAAATTTCAGGCCATGTTTTGTTTTATATTTTTGTAGTTGTGCATTAAAATATGCAGATAGAAAATCAGTGTGTAATTTGATGAGGTGCACCCAAATTTTTGCCTCTGACTGTACTTCACCTTCATCTTTCTTAACATTTAATGTAAGGATAAGTATATTAATGTTTGTCTGTAGTGTGTCAAAAATGTATACATATCCACTTGTAGGTAGGGGATATTGTCAAGCCAGAAAACTGCACTGCTTTCTTTAAAATAAAAATAAGTAACTTCTAGTGTAAAAGAAGAATAAATGTGAAGGCATTTGTCACCCAGATCTTGCAGCTGTCTGAAAAGAGGAAGTGTAAACCTAACTTCAACATGGTGTACAAGCCATTATAAGGACTTTCAGTGCAACAGTGTGGCAGTGACCACCGAGTTCTTTTTAAACCAGTAAAGGAAGGGTCTGGGACATGTTTACCCTCTACAATTCACAGCTACACTTATATTTAGAGTAAGCATGCAGGCTTGGGAGCAGGTTTGTGTTGTAAGTGATGCCTGATTATAGATCAGCATTTCTTACTATGAGTGTGAAGAGCCAAACAAAGGACTTCCTGTCTTTGTTTATAAATATTGCAGATATTCAAGTTAGGGCTTTAGGCACCAGTAAATGCCAGTTGTAAATAAACTTTATCAAAATCTATGTTTCCATCAACTTTATGTTCTAAGTACAAGTGATAAAATGAACGTGTTAAAAAAACCCTGCCATTTTGCGGTCGCATCTTGTTTACATCAGTTTGACTTTTAGCTCTAAAAATGTGTACACTATGTCATTTCTTGTATTGGTTAAAAAAAGTTGTCAACCCTGTTTCCATGTCTGATTTCACTCACATTGCAACTTGTGTACATTTGGCTTCCCTGAAAAAACCTACTGCTGAGGAAATTTTGTTAATTTTATGTGAGAGATAACGTTTCTGTGCTACATAGAGGTGTTTGAGCACCTTACATTTAGATAATTACAAACTGCAAGCAGCATTTGAGGTGTTAAATCATTTTTCATAAAAATCTTTTGCATGGAAAGAACCACAATTACAACATATGTGATTGTTCCTGTTCTTGTAAAACCTACGGCTGAACCATTTGGAGGAAATATCCATGTGATTTTTAGGATATTTAGGTCATTTTGGACAAGAAGACTAAAGTGTTCACTTTTTTTCTGGCTTGAGGCTTGAACACTGAACATAATGCAGCAGGCTGCCAGTTAGTTGTGGTTGTCATGTACATATCATATGTATGTTTGGTTGCTTCTGATTAGTCTAACTCATCTACAGGGAGTTCCCAAGATCACAAGATGTTATCAGTTCAGTTTTCCCTCCTCCAAACTCCAAACTGTGTTGATAATAAGGGCTGTAATTAAAATTGTACCTGTTGCATTTTGAAATTTGGACTCTGTCACGCTGCAATGTTAATATAAACATCATCAGTCAGATCAGTGAGAGCTCTCTAATTGTGACCTGTATGTATTCAGAGGATGACCAGCAGCAGCAGCTCCCCGAGCCTCCTTAATGATGGTGCCAAGAATTTCAGCCACAGCACTCATGGTGAGCCGAAATCTGTTGTTTTTTTATTTTTTGGAGTAAATAATGCTGTTTCTTGGCTTAAAACCAGTCCTCTCTGTTTGTGTTGTCTTTTCTGTAGATCCAGTAAATTCCCCCACTTCCTCCCTTTTTAGTGACTTTGGTGCTTTGGGCATAACGCAGAGGAGAAAGGTAAGCTTTTAGGGAGCCAACAGAATGTAATTTCTTGTTTTAAAGGAATGTACCATCAGGCTCTGTCTGTTGCATCTGTATCCTAAGGTCACTTAGCACAGACAGTGAATGAAACTTATGTGAATTATGCTCTGTTTAATAAATTTCCTGACGTAAAACACATTTGTAATGAAAGGCAATGCGCCTGTTGCTTCAGTAGGATTTCTGTTACAGATGTTACAAATATGGAAGATAGTTTAAGTTGAAAAATGCTGGTTTCTTTAAATCCACAGCTTACAGTGCTGGGCAAAAGTCGGTCCACTATTTCATTTATTATCAGCTATTACTTTCAAGTTTTTTTATTTTTCAGTGTCAGAAAAAAGCAGAAAACAGAAGATTACGCAAAAGCCACAACAACTAAATATAATATCAGACCTATCAGTATTTAAATTGACCAGTCTTTACTTAAGTGCACCTACAGACACTTTTTTCATCCTTACAATCTTAAAGCCACCCAATTACAGTTTTGTTCTCCCAACAAAAGCTGTTCCAAAAGGAGACACTGCTGTTATGTTCTCTTTAAAAGAGATGCTAACATTCACACAAGCAACTACCCAAACTCACCTTGGCTGCCTTGCAAATTTCTCTCTCATGTGCAGCTGAAATGGCTGTAGGAGATATTCCTTAGGAGATTAGAAATAAGATAACCCACTTGCATTATGAAGGAGAAATTGACTTTGAGTCTGCAAGGATTCAACATGATGTTGCTGAGAATTGGAAATAAACAAAAGAGAAGAAAACCTGCACTAGAACACCAAAATGAGACATCTGAGATGAGGAGTAAGGTTTATGGTCTTATGAGTGTAAATTTGTAGTTAGGATTACTTGGATTCAATTAGCTCTTAAGATTCAACTTGACGGTGTGGGGAAAAACCCCCTTCAGATATCTTTGGTTGGGGGTGGGGGGGGGCTGTTACAAAGGTTACAAAGGTTACAAAGGTTAAGTGCTGTGTTGTTGAAGTTTCTGTGTAATATGTTCTCTGAACCCCATGTTTTACGTAGAATCTGAAGTTTTTTTTTTTTTTAAGGTGAAATTCAAAGCTATTAAATTCAGTTTTAACACTGACAAATCTTTTGTGTTACACTGTCCAGTTACTCTCTTCATGAGGTATTGTTTCATTGAGTTAATGCATCACTGGGCCTTGTGTGTGGGTTCCTGAGCAGGCTCCTAATCCAGCAGCCACTGAATTCATCCCTAAAGGAACGCCTCGCATGGCCACCATGTCTCAGGCAGCTGTGCCCACATTTCCCTCGCCCCTCTTCCCCCACCCTGGCCTGAGTAGCTCCACTGCAGCTGGCCTTGCTCCCGGTAAGTGATTCACTTGCTCTGCCCTGTGCTTTCTTTCTATGGACCCCTCTCTCTTCCTTTTTCTCTTCTGTTTTATAATAGCCTGAAGCAATTAGTCATTGACATTGTGGATTTATGGGGGGATGGGAGGGAGATGTGTTGACAATTTTTTTACTTAAAAGAACAAAAGTACTGTTTAATGCACTTTTAATGTTCATGTAATATACCCAACCAGTGTGACAGATTGCAGTATACTACAGGAGCTGTTGGGGGCAATATGGTTAATATTGTTTTTTACACCATAAAAGAAGTTGATTGCCACAGACACAACTTTGAATGATAGTGGTGCCATGACAGGGGCAAAGTGAGATGAACAGTGTCATGGTTTGATTAGGTAGTAAATTGAATAATAGTCAGTAGATTAAATGATAGAAATAATCATTAGCTGCCCTATTTTGTTTAGTGAGTTTTGGAGAGCTGTTTGTAACTATACTTTTCTTCTACAGGTATGTCGCTGTCTGCTGGGTCGTCTCCTCTCCACTCCCCCAAAATCACCCCCCACACTTCCCCTGCTCCACGGCGCCGCAGCCACACCCCTAACCCCAACCCAGCCAATTACATGGTGCCCACCACTGCGTCCGACCAAGGGAGTGGCGCCCACATAATCCAGAAGGAGACTGTGGGTGGGACCACGTACTTCTACACTGATAACACCCCTGCTCCCATGGCTGGAATGGTAGGCTTCCTGTTTCTCTGAAGCATTTTGCTCTTTTGGTCATGTTTACATAAATAGTTATGGCCTGTGTTGCTTGTTTTTCTTTCAGGTGTTTCCAACTTACCACATCTACCCACAAACAGCACCTCATGTGGCATACATGCAACCCAAAGCCAATGCTCCATCCTTTTTTATGGCCGACGAGCTCCGACAGGTATTAAAACACCTCTCTCTCTTAATTCCATAGGCTGTAGGTTTACTCTGTGAAGATGTGGATATTCCTGCAAATGAGGTGCTGTTATCTACTTTTAACCATGTAGGACAGCATGTGCTTTTTATTATTTTGTCAGTTAGTCTCACTGCAAACTCTCACAAAAGCTGTATTCTTCCCTCCCATTACAAAACTTAAAGCCTACCCCAGACCACTGTTTTCCAGAGGACCAGGCATCAGCTCCATGTACCACTCTCATGCTCGAAAACAGCTTTTACACTCAGCCAGACGTACCAAATGCTTTAGGAAAATGGGTCTGGAAAAAAAAAAGTCTCCAGTGTGAAAATGCTGTTATTTTCCCTTTAAAAATAGTGAAGTATGATTTTGATTTAATTTACTAGGTGGAAACTTACAGCAAAAAATAGATTTCAAGTTTTTGTCTTCTCCTTCTGCAAACATGATGCAAAGTTGTCATTATAAGGAGCTTTATTATTGATCGGCATATGTCTATATGCCTCCTAGTTTAGGATGCTGTCCATTTGTGAACCACTGCTTTAAAGTTGAGATCATATCATAAAACTATATTGAGATTAAACTTACTCATTTTTATAACCAGCACACTTATCAAGCTTGTCCTTAACGGATGCTTCTTCTTTCCTCAGGAGTTGATAAACAGGCATTTGATAACAATGGCCCAGATTGATCAATCAGAGAACCCAGGTATTTCTCTCCTGATGGTGTGCTTGATAGTATGGCTGTTATGAATGCTTGCTTGTCTTGGTTGTTACTATGGTGTGTCTCCGCTTGTGAGCGATGTCTGAATTGTGGTCATTGTGTCTGGATTCACCTTTTGTCTAAAAGAAACCACATCCTGTCTCTGTCATATTCACTTACAGTTAGAATCCTTTTTGAATCCTCCTTGTATAGTAGTTCTCCAACACTCACTCGCACAGCGTACTGTACTGATATTTATTACATCTGAGCCATATTAACCCTTTTTTACAGTAGTCATAAAATGCAATGTCCACCTGTTTTAAAGGTCCTTTGTTTATTAATTTTTTTTGCACAATTTTTCTCCTTCAGTTATGTTGATGCAGTGTATTTCAGTGGAAATGTGTATGATTTACAAAACTGAACGCAAACTGGATTTTCTTTTTTGTCGATGAGCAAGCAAGTCAACATTTATAAATGTGATCTTAAGTGTTTAAAATATATTTTTTATTTTAGCAAGTGTACATGATTTTTTTGATACCCAGAAAGCTGCAGTCGTGCTGTCTGTTTTATCTCTGAATCTTGTTTGGCCTTCTTTTTAAAGAGGTGTGACTTGTAAATGGTTTTCACAGCTTGGGGGTTCTCACCCCTCATAGCGCACTAGCAGCTCAACACAGTCACAGCGCTTCACATACAGAGAGGCAACAGTGTCTTAGTTAATATCATAGTAGAGGTATAGGGAAATATTTCATTTGATTACTTCAATTAAAAATGAGATGATTTCCATTCCACTGGTGGAATGGCCACTAGGGGGCCTGTAAAAAGAGGTTAATCCAGATGGTTAAAACTTTTACCCAAAAGATCACATGCATTTTATACAATAAGATATTGTGGGAAATATGGTTAACAAGGTGTGTTTATCTGATTGTTTCATTTAGGAGTTCCTTCTGAGGTGGACAGCTACCATAGCCTCTTTCCGCTGGAGCCCCTTCCTCCTCCCAACCGCCTACAAAAAACCAGCAACTTCAGTTATATCACTTCTTGTTACAAGGCGGTTAACAGTAAAGATGACTTGCCTTACTGTCTCAGGAGGATACATGGTAAGAAGTACAGTGTAGGCCACAGACCACAGTCAGTCAACTGCAATTAATGTCTTTAGATACACTGAGCTGCCAGTTTATTAGGTACCTATCTACACTCACTGGCTGTTTTACCAGAAACACCTGCCATGTAGGTGCACTTTGTAGGTTTACAGTTACAGACTGTAGCCCATCACCCACTTCCAAACTGACCAGATAGTGTTTAGTTGGTTGACCAGTCTGACAAGTTGAAGCAACAGGTGGGCTGCAGGTAGTAATTGTAAATCTCAAAAGTGTACCTGTATGATTGATGTTTCTGATAAAATGTCCAGTATGTGTAGATACAAAGCATGTGTTCCCAATATACTGTATATTGAGTTGCCAGTAAATGTTGTTAGTACATGCCTGTTTTACATTTCGATTTAGGTGCCATTGTAGTTCATGTAAGATTACAATCTCTATGTGTGCTTGTAGGCTTCAGGCTGGTGAACACCAAGTGTATGATGCTGGTCGACATGTGGAAGAAGATTCAGCACTCCAACGCTGTCACCCTCCGAGAGGTCTTCACGACAAAAGCTTTTGGAGACCACTGTAAGGATGTGTGTTTCTGTAATGTTAGTGTTCAGAAATGCTGAAATAGGTTTAAGTTGGAGAGTTGCTGAGTGTCTGGTTGTGTTTCTCACTCAGCGCTGGTGTTCTCTTATGATTTCCACGCGGGGGCTGAGACCATGTACAGCAGACACTTCAATGACCCAACGGCTGACTCTTTCTTCACCAAGAGGAAGTGGGGTGAGTTGCCATTCCATAGCCACAAAGAGACAACCTGTACTGACCATATCTGGGTCACTGTTCTACACACAGCTTGTTGCTCTTTAATTGCTCGTTACTTGAATTGTTTGTTTAGATGATTATGGAGTTGTGGGGAAGCTGATATTCGATTTTCGTCATTTTGTCATTCACGTATCTTGCCATGCCGATACATTAATAAACATCATAAAATATGTTTAATAATATTCATTTCAGTGCAATAGCTTGGTGTTAGTCAAATCTAAAGATCTGTCTCATCAAAGACTCTGCAGCTTTTAGTGACAAACAAATTCACCATGACACTGGAAATAAATTTTATTTTCATCAAGACAGCTTGTTGATGGAACTTGCCATTTAAAAGCTGTATTTGAACAAGAGGGCTGCAGTCATGGAGTCATAGAAGCAACATGCCAGCAGCTGGGACGCTACAGATAGTTGAAAGGGTTAACGGTGTTTTAAAAAAAAAAAAAAATAGTGCTGTTAATAATTGATTGTGTAAACTTTGACACCCACAATATATTTCCTTACATATACATCCTTACATATAGTTAATATATTTTTAATCTATAGTTTATCTGTGTGTATCCTCTTCACAAACTACTTTAGAGAGAATTTTCCTATTAAGTCCTTAATTTTATCAGGAATATTTTCCTGTGCGAGTGCAGAGTACAGAGCTAAGTGAACTTGCTTTGGTTTTACTGGTGTTTTGAAGTGTACTGTTGCCCCTGCCCTAGTTCCACTAGAAGAGGAAATCATGCAATTAAAAGGTGGCTGTCCAGTGCTTTGCATGGAACATTCTTGCTGCTTTTCTGTTTGTGTCTGTGTTTGAGGACACTTTGAATTCCAGGTCGTGTTTTAGAGCTAGGCTGCAGATGTGCGTGTAAAGCGGGGAAAGAGGAAATGGTGGTTGAAACCGCTTCTGCACCAGGTGGAGTCCAGTACCTGCAACTGATGGGGGAAGCAGCACAACTTACAGTTACTGCACGCCACAGCCTTCATGCTACAGTACAGCACTGATGAAACTGCAGCAGATTGGTAGCTGGGTGTACGTCAAAGGGATTTGTCAGACAGCTTCAAGGTGTCAAGTATTTGAGATCTGACCCTTTTGCAGATTATTATTATTATTAATGTTATGTTTAAGTATTATGAGCGTGTTGCTTGTGTCAGCTGATCAAACTATTTACATCACTCAGCAGTGATTAGCTGATGTGCAGCTGGGCAGTTTAACCTTTCAGAGACATTGCTCTCTGATGTAAAGAAAAAAAAAATCAATACCATTTTTAGACAGAATACAAGTATGAGTATGTTTTTTTTTTTTTTTAATTGCTGATTCTGATTCTGATACCACACTAAATAACCTACTTAGAATGAAGTAGTTGGTGTAAATGAGTACAATGTCATTAAAATCTAGCTGGTTTTAAATGACGTGCATTAGCTATGCTACACTATTTGCCTTGGATTGCATAGCATTACAGTGGAGAAGAATGGATTTTGTTCCAAATCAGAAAAGTGCTTCTGTACAGCTGTAAGTAAAGTATGTTTCATAGTTTTGATCCCTGCTCCTCATCTGTCTCTTTCAACAACAGTCTCTGTAGTACTGGGACAACAGACATTTCAACCTAGGCTAATCCAAGGACCTCACTAGTAATTTTACATATTGTTGCTGTCTTTAGTTTAACTGATTGAGCTGTAGTTGAACGTTCTGTAAAATTAGGCTCACTCTGGCCGGGTTTCCATTCAAACGTGTCTTAAACAAATGTGCATTTACAAAATTTTGGCAGGAAAAAAAATGAATCACGTCATGTTTCCATCCATTACCGTTATGCAAAGAAACTTTAGAAACTGACGTAGGCTACCATGATAGGGTACTGCATTGAAACGAGTAAGATGGAGAGATTTAACATGCTCTAAGTAGAATTATCTTTACGGTCATTTGCCATGTTTTTATAAACTTTATACTTCACAGTTCTGTTTAGTCAGAATAAAGTCGTCATGCATAGACTTTGGTAGCAAATGTTAACTTTTTCGTCTCTGTTTTGCTAGATTGTGTGCCTCCACCTGTATTGGGGAAGTGATTGTATACCAAGGCGGAATGTTTTGAAGTGGCCAATAACTTTGTGTCCCACTGCCATGGTTCAGCAACACTGTGCGAGCAGACCCTTGTTCACTGCCAGCTTGAGTTGTTCATTAGCGCGGCAATGTGCACTAGGCTTATGTTACATGGTATCAGGTGGTATTGGATGTTGGTGTCGGTGTATTTTTATGAGCACAAATATGAGTAAATGAGCGCAGATGCATTCCTAATAATTATAATGTTGGGTTTAGGCCTGGGGGATAGGCTGGTAGTATCGTTGATGATGGACAAGTATCCTGATGGCAAAGTGTAGAAGGTGATAATCGCTGTTTTGGGAAAAGAACTGAGAGTATTAGAGAGGACTAATTTACTGGTGCTTAGTAAATTATGAAGACTCTGCTGAAATGGCAGAAAATGCCTTTTTTTTATATTTTTGGCATGTGAGCATATAACCGATACCCACAATTTTTTATCTAGAAAATATCGTGCTAATTATTTTCAAATATCACCCAGGCCTAGTTGGGTTAGTTTGAGACCTGTCTTGTAAAATAGGATTTCATGCTTAGCCAGCTTACTTTATGCTTAGTTTAGTCTAGCCTTGGATTTTCTGTGTGACTATGGTGTGCCTTTTTTTAAATTTTTTTTTTTTTTTAAACTGGGCTAAATCTAGGGCTAAGCAATATGATATTAATCACCTTCATGATAAATTGTCACAGTATGTTAGAGTTCTTTTCTGAACATATTGTGGATATTGATCGTAGTTAAAGAACACTGACCAACTGCATGTTTCAAAAAGAGAGCATAGTTTTTGATATTTTTTTTTAAATGTGGCACTACTGGTTCTCTTGGGTGTGTTGCAGCTTATCAGATTTCATAAAAAATAAATAGTGACACATGTATCATGAGAACTTCTTGAAGTGTTGTGATATTTTTGCCATATAGCCCATGCCTATTCACATCACTATTTGCAGTATTTTCTGCCACAGTTTCGTAGTTCTGTTGTGAGAAAGAAATGGGCTCAGGTGCTCAACCAGGGTGCAGACAGTTCTGGGTTCGAATTTGTAACTGCAAGGTGCTGTACCATACTGCCCTGTGGAAAAACAATATATCTGCCTTTTGGTATTCTACACATGATGTACTTTATCCCAAGGCAGCCAGGATGTTGGTCCAGCTGTATGTGCTTATCTCTCTGTATTGATGAACCTTTGTGTGTGGGTGTGAATGTGTTCCGGCAGGTCAGCATGAGCCCCCTCCTCCACGGCAGCATGCCGGCCTGCTGCCCGAGTCTCTGATCTGGGCCTACATCGTCCAGCTGAGCTCAGCGCTGCGCACCATCCATACAGCAGGCCTGGCTTGCAGGGTCATGGACCCCAGCAAGATCCTCATCACTGGAAAAACCCGGTATGTGCACATACATGAACATAGGACTCTTATTGGTGTGCTTGCCTTGACAAGGAGTCAAACCCCAGTTTGCTGTGTGGAGAGCTCACTGAAACAGAGAAGTTCAAGTGTGGATTTTAACCTTTAGTCCAGTTTATTTCTGCCTTACAGATTATTTATGTCTGTGCAAGATTGATGCACAATTGCGCAATTACATTTACAGTATGTTTACATGTACATCACAATAACAGAAATAACCCCTTTAGGAAGGTTGCATATAGACAGGCCATTTCTGAATTTTGAAAATCATGCATCAATAAGAATAACTGATGAACTGTAACAATAATAATTTAATAATAACAATAATAATTAAGCAATAATCTTATTCAGTTAATTTTTTCAGCTTAGTGTGGTTTAGTGGTAGAGCTGGCACATTTCTAAACTACTAAATGTGTCAATTTTTTCTGCTCAGCTTTTGATTTGGTTTTTCACTCATTAGATGGTGGTCCATTTTTTTGTTGTCTGTTGTACTTAATGAGGCCATCATGTACAGCGCATTTCACACATGCACATACAATACAAAGAGAGAGGCCCCTTCAGTTGAGGCTGATGCCACAATACACGTTTGTTGGACATAAAGTGAATGCAGAAGTCTTTCTTTAGGCCTAGTTTTTGTTCCTGAAAAAAATATAGACAAGACGATGAGTGTAGGATGGTTGTAACTATAGTAACACCCAAGCTGTGCCACATTTTTGCTTTTTCTTGACGTCAAAACAAATAGAAAAAAATTTGACTCCAGTCTGTATGTTCTGATACAGAATGGACAGTGCTGTGCAAATATCAGAGACCACCCTTCATTCTTGATTTAATTTCCTATTGAAATGGCCAGTAGATACAAGGGATTTGTGTTTCATTGTCAGGAAATAAAGCAGAAAACATACTTAACAGAAAATTACACAAGAATTGTCACAATGAAAATGTCAAATGTTTCAATATTTAGTGTGTCCTCACTTTGCCTTTACTACAGCTTCCATGATTTTGGGGATATTCACTTTCAATTTTAAAAGAAATCTGCAGGGATATTTTTTCACACCTCTGAAGTTCAGTCTTAGACGTTGGTTGCACTTTCTGCTTCTCACAATGCAAGGATTGTGTTTGGGATGTTGAGGTCTGGACTCTGGGGTGGCCAATCCAACACCAACAGCTTCTTTTGAGTTATGATTGATTTATGTTTGATTTTGATTTATTTGAATTTTCGTTTTTCTTTGTAACTTATCAGGTAAATTTATTCTGAGCTCCAGTTTTGGAAACTTTTCCTTCTTCATTTGACATATGACAGATTACTTTGGCAGTTTTGACTGGGAAATGAAATAAATGAAGGATTGCCTCTGACTTTTCCACAGTACTGTAAATGTAGTTCACTACAAACTATAATAATTATGTATTCGTTATTGTGTGTAAATAGTAAAATGACTGTAAAAACTCTAGACTTCCAAAGGTTGAGCCTAGTGGTAGCACTGCTTTGAGCAGTTCAGCTCTGAGAAGAATGCTAAGTGCCAGGCTTGAACATTCAGTGATCCAACTCTGCCTTCATTTCACTTACATCCTTGGATGCCCCCCCTGCCAAAGACGGCTTATGAAACAGCTGGGGCTCAAAGCTGAGAGTGTGAGCTGTAGAGTGCAGCTCTGCAGTACTAATGAAGGCCTTTAACCACTCCTGCTCAGGAAATGTGAAAGAAATTTAGAAACTCCAGAACTAAAATTTGTATCTGCCAGAGCTGCATGATATTGACAAAATACTAGTATGGTGATTATATTGCTACACATTGTGATTGCAAGACTTCTTACAGTATATTAAAAATGCAAAGGTACAAAAATATTGTTTACAAATTATTACCCAATAATTTGCTTTTGTAAGATTATATGAATAACCTCATCAAAACACCCACAGCAGCGCTCACCTGGAGCTGTGATTGAACAGGATGCTCACAGCACTTGGTTAAGAAACACTATGATTGGTTAGGGCAGACGTGCATATTACAGCCTTAAGTAAGACCAGTATTGCAAAGGCCAGCAATGTGATGAGTTAACAAGTGATATATTGTCTAGTCCTAGTGTCATAGTCCTAGTCTCTGGATGTGCAGCATTTCATTTCAAGATTAAATGTTAAATCAGGTTTGTAGGCAAACAGTTGAATGTGTTTTTTCCCTCCCCTTTTCTTAGGTTACGGGTGAACTGTGTAGGAGTGTTTGATGTCTTAACGTTTGACAACAGTCAGACCAACCACCTGGCCCTTATGCCCCAGTACCAGGTAAAAGTCTGCAGAAAATCAGCATGCAGATATGGGTAGTGCCTGTATGCTGTGTATGTGGTTATAGACCTAGAATGTCTGGTGTTGTCATGATTACTTAATTAATTATTTGATTATTTTATGTTAGTTATGATACGGTCTCCTCCTGTAACGGTGCCTATTCTATCCTCTATTTTCTCCAGCAAGCTGATCTGATCTCCCTGGGGAAGGTGGTCTTGGCTCTGGCCTGCAACTCTCTGGCTGGCATTCAGAGAGAGAACCTACAGAAAGCCATGGAGCTGGTGTCCATCAACTACTCATCTGACCTCAAGAATCTCATCCTGTACGACAACATCGCATATGCGTGCATAATCGTGACGTACATTTAAAGCTTCTGGTCTTGCAGGGCCCAGCACGGTTTAGTGATTTCCCTGTTCAGACACACTGGCTGAACCAAGCAGATAAGTTGACCAAGGTGTTAATAAGCAGGGAAATAGCCAAACTGTGCTGCACACCAGTCTTCCAGGACCAAAATTAAATACCCCTTATTTTTACTTGATATTTATTTTTTCACACATGCTAGCCAGCTGACAATTTAGCACTTTGTCAAACATGCACGCATGACACAAAGAAATACATTGGTCACACATTAGCAATAAGTCTACACACACATTGCTTCTCTGCATGATTGGTAGAGGTAAATTTTATTTGGGCCAAAAAACAATCGCTGTTTGATTAATCAAATTCAGTTATAATCAGGTCACACATTCAGATTAATGTAAGTGAATCGTCACTTTCAGAGCGGGTTCCCCTGATTTTAGCCTTGATTTTTAGTCTGGCCAAGTCTGTGCTGGTTGCCTGTTGTCTGCAGATTTTGGGGCAGTTAGAGGAGACAGTTGACAGAGAGAACAGAGTATTGCGCAGTACTCAGCTTTCTCTTTGGAGGAGACAGTTGAGAGAGAAAACTGAGTATTGCGCAAGGGGGACAGAGCACAGACTTTGTTTTGCCTCCAGATTGAATTGAAGACTAGTTTGTCAGAGGTTTGATTTCCACCCCACCCCCCGCCTTTGTTAACTGACTCTGGATTTAATCTAGTAGTGTGTATTGGCCACTGAATCAACAAACATCCAATGAAAACGAGCGTGATACAGGTAAATAGAGCAAGTAGATAAAGAAAAGTAATGAACAGACAGCTTTTTAATTGAGTTTTGGCAAGAGCGCAGTCGAGAGCCTCTACAACGTAAACTCCTAAGGACACAGTGCCACTGATGCAAAGCACTGCTCTTATGAAGCATCAAAAGCTTTTTGGGTACTAATGGCGCCTCCTTGTGTAGCCTACTAAACGTGAGTGCATAAGTGAGACAAATACATCTAGATAAAAGAAAACAGATAACACATTTTTGCGACTTGATTGCGTAGTGTGAGAAATGTTTGTTTAATTGAGCTGAAGCTGTGTCTATAGCTGAGCTGTGTACCGACAGCTTGCCAGTTTGGCAACTTGGCTTGTGCATTTAATAGTTGCATATTAAAAAAAATCAAATTGATGGCAATTATTTGTATGGCAATTGATCATCAGTGATTTCATGACTGCGACAGGCCTATCCATCTCCTAGCAACGAGAGAGCGTGTGTTTGTGCGGGTTCCGTGAATTTGGTCTAGCAACAACATGAGTTCTCAAGTTGTTCACTAATATTTCCGTAATATTTCAGTTGACAAAAAAAGTTTTTATGAACGGTACATGTAGTACCCAAGGCTTTAATGGTTTTTTTTGTTTGTTTTTGTTTTGTTTTTGTCCTCTTCTTTATATAAATGCGGTCTCTCGTTTTTGGGACCTGCAGGTACCTACTGTCGGATCAGAGTCGCCTGCGCAGCGTCAATGACATCATGCCCATGATCGGAGCCCGGTTCTACACACAACTGGATGCATCACAGATGAGAAACGATGTCATTGAGGAGGACCTGGCCAAGGTATGTGTTTGACGCATGCACACACGCGCAAACAAACTGTTGTTAGGCTGTTTGCTGGGTGAGTGAGTGCATGTGGGTATTCTGAGGTCAGTAAGTAGGGGACGGAAGGTGTGAACTCTGTAGATATTTTAAAAGCTGTGTGTTATGTGCTTTCCGCTTCAGCGCTGAACTCTGAATGTGTGAAACTGCCCTGCCTTTAGTACAGACACACAAACACACACACACACACAAACACACACACACACACAAGCAGACACATTTTCAGCTTTGTTCTAACAGTAGTGACCCAAGCCTGATCCAAACAAACTGCGATAATTAGAACTGACAAGATCTTTTGGGTCTGTTTTAGTCAGAGATATTAACCTTGAATCCTATTATTATCATTGCCATTATTATGGTTAGACTCAGGACTAAAGGCCTTTACAGAGTGAACATAATTTATTTGTGATTATTTTAACAACATTAATAATGTGACATCTTCCATACCAAATGCGAAAATGCAGCATTATTTGCCCTCTGTTTTTGCGAACTTTTGCAGGCGACATTAACTCACTGACCAATTACTCTGCCATTATCATGGGGATGATGGTTACTGATGGTGTTAGCATTTTCAAAGGCAGCTCAAACAGGGCTTAAATGTGACGTCAGAGTTGTATGTGGAAGCGCTCAAAGTTTGAGCTCCTGAAAGAACTGATGAAGCTCTCCATGCGACAGTCACTTTTCTGAAAGGGAGAGCATGCTGCCCAGTGCCATCACTTTGTGAAAAGCAGTGGATATAGTTTTTCCCTTGAAGATATTCTGCCCATTTCCATCAGGTGCAGTAAATAAAATTTAAAATAAACACTTTTGTGTGTATAGTTTTGATGCAAAAAAAGTCACATTGTGGTTTAGTTTGCTGTTTAGTAAAAACTATGATTTATTTCTTTACTATGAAACTAATGTTTGTTATGTAGTTAATGAGAGTTTGGAGTTGAAGAGCAAAGTTTCTGCCTCTGGCCTGTGTTTTGCGTTGTTCTTTGGATCACAAAAATATCATGAACTGAATTTAGGCTGCAGCAGGGTTGGGTCCAAATGTGTTTCCGTAAACTGTGCTGATACTCGTCATATCTGTCTGTGGCTTTACCAGGTTTACCCCCATGTGTTGACCAAAACTCTTCAAACTGTCAAGTGAAAGTACCAGAATACCAAAACATTTTTTGTACCCCTTACTTCCTCTACACAGACCTGATCTGAGAACTGTCTGGGTGAGGACCTGATATTATAATGAGCACACTTGATTGACAGCCCTCAGTCAAAGAAACCCAGTCTTCTACGGCACTGCAGCAGAACTAAACTAATAAGTTCAAGTTGAGAGAAATGAATGGGAGCAGGGTGAATGAGAGCTACATAGTATGTTTGTGGTGTTGTAGACACAGTGTTGTTCATGACTCAATAAAACATTATCCAGCTTTTGTATGGCGACGTCTCAAAGAAGATAAGGTTATTATTCACTTAAGTGATGCATGGGCACCCCGGCAATACTGGCGTGGCTGGTTGAATAGCTTTCACTTTATTTGTTAGTCTTCTGGTTAGGTTTCTCCGACTCAAACGGAGAAAAGGAGACAGTAGAGGAACATCATTTTGTTAAAGCTGTGTGGGTGGGACGACCCACATCAGTGTTGTGTTTAAGGGTACAGATTATGTTTACACCTAAAAAGGAGAATTTTGGAGAAATGTGCAAGACCATTTATTGGGCACTGGAAAGTTATTCACAGGACATTCTTTGTACATGTATTGTATTGTATTGTGTGCCCACAAGAAGAAGATGGCATGCACCTGAGCATTCGATTTATAAAGGATAACGTGAATTTGAGAGGGTACTGAATCGGATGTAACACCAGTAAGTGCCATGAACAGCTTGCAGAATGTAAGGATTTAGGGCAACTGCAGCAAACCCTGGCTGACCGGTGATGCAGTCTGCACCCTTGATGTCGAATTGAATGAAACTTAGACAGCGTTCAAAACGTCCGCTTTATTCATTCGGGATTCAGTGCATATAAGAAATCAGGACTCAGGTTATATCGAATATGGACCTGTTGAACAGATCATTAGAAGTTAGCTGTCGCAGTTTTAGGGAAAGTTCTGCCATTCGGACGCCTCTCCCACTCGTTAATCATTTTCTAGCACTACGTTAACTCTTCAGCAGCTTGAGTCAGTGGCTCATACTGTTAAGGCTCAAGACGCACGCCTGATCAGAAACACCTTCCGTCAACCATGGGGATGCTGTTCGATTCTGTCACTCTCCATATTTTCTGGTAGCTAATGTACGCTAGCTCTAAAAACACAGCCCACCTGGTTTCCGACACAGCCCCACCTACAAACGTGTACATCATGTTTGGAAGTGGGGCTCCCCATTTTTGAGCATTTTTCAAATTGTGCCTGGGGTGGAGTTAGCTGACAATAGTGGGGTGTAGTTACTCTTTAAAGGCACAGGGGTGTGTCTGCGTTTAGGACTGAAAATGTCCACGTTATGATAGAACATTTTATAGCAATACTTAATCTTTTTTGGAGAAAAAAAACAAAACAAAGAACTATATGAGCCGAAGTCTATGTTTGTATATGTAAACCTCTCATGGCTGTCCCATGCCGTCTGCAGGAGGTGCAGAATGGACGCTTGTTCCGCCTGCTGGCCAAACTGGGAACTATCAATGAGAGGCCAGAGTAAGTACTGTATTCTCTCAATCTATCAGTAGTGAGGAACCATCTAATACTAATACTCATTCTTATTCACAGCTTTTAAAAAACATTCTCAAAATTAGCTTTTCTGTGGAGTTTTGCATTTAAAGTGCATTTAAAGAATTATTGAATTCTTATGAATACATGCTGACATTTTTCTTGCTACTTAGAAAACCTATAATTGAGACTGAAATAAATACCTGTATAATTTGTGCTGTCTATTTTGTGCAGTTGACATTCTAGTAACACAGAATCTCCAGAATCGCTGGTATTGACTTTGACTTGGGTTAATTCAAATTATAGTAGCTCACTAGTGTCTCAGTCTTTACAAAAGTCAAATTTCATATTTAGCCACACTGTACAAAATGACCACATTCTGTGATGCTTTTGCTTCCTCTATGTTCATATAGCTTACCACAGGTTTTATCAGTAGTTTCACTTGGACTGAGAAAGTTCTTTCTGAAAAACTGTAGTTGTAACGGAATGATAAAATCATCTCTCTGCTGCCTCCACACACATGCATAGAGAAACTTAAATCCTGGGTTGTATGAACTGCTGCAGATTCCAAAAGGACCCTACATGGTCAGAGACGGGGGATCGTTACCTGCTGAAGCTGTTCAGAGATCACCTGTTCCACCAAGTGACGGAGGCTGGCACACCCTGGATCGACTTGAGCCACATAGTATCTTGTCTCAATAAGGTGGTCATCTTTTGCTTGTTTTGGGGTGTAAAATAATAATATTGTTATTGAAGATGGCGATTCAGCTGAATCCAGCAGAATCGTCTCACAATCAACTTGAATATTTAATTTGGCAGTAACTGCTAATTGGAAATATGCGTTTTCAGTCCATACTGTGATGTGAAACAAGGGGGAGAAAAAATTTTATTGCTTAATATTATTTTTCTCTGGTGCATGGTGTTAGAATAAAAAATCAGAATTTGATTCAGATCCAGACACGTGTTCTTACATTTCAATTAAAGATTATGGGAATACAAGAGTTGAATCATGACCAAGGTTTTTAACTAACAAGGTAAAAGTTTTGGTAAAAGGCAATTTCGATTTCAGGCTGATTCATGCTCTCTGTTCCTCCAGTCACATTTTTGAAAATAGGTGAGTTGTACCAAAGTCACTTCAAATCAAGATGAAATTTGAGATTTTGTGTGCTCCGACATTTACACCCCTAAAGTTAGTTCACGTTTTCTGTTCTGCATGCTGGTAATTTTCTTACTGAAACATGTTTTACGTCTTTGTTTGTTCAGTTGGATGCGGGGGTCCCGGAGAAGATCAGCCTAGTATCTCGGGACGAGAAGAGCGTGCTGGTGGTGACTTACTCAGACCTGAAGCGCTGCTTCGAGAGTACCTTCCAGGAACTGCTGGCTGCTGCCAATGGCCCCCTGTAGCGCCCCCCACAGGCAAGGGGTGGAACTGCCTGAACCGGAGCACATTGCACTACAGTGAAGGACGATGAGCGCAGAATGATGATCTCATGGCCAGGGCGGAGCAAACTGGTTGCTCACCTCCAGTCAGATACACTGTCCTGTCCAGAAAGGAAGTTTTTTCTAAAGCATATTTTTTTAGTTTTCATAACCACACAGCTAACAAATTATGGACATGTTTACAGCTGTGATGAATTTTTTTAGACTTGGGGGAACAAGGATGATGATGACAAAAAAGAAAAAAAGACACTTTTCCTGCTTTTATTTTTTATTTTCTTTTTTTATTTTTTCTGTGGAGGATGCACTAAAAATTTTAATTTTTTTTTTATTTTTTAAAGTGATCGTGTGTGGTGCCCACAGGGTGTACCGAGACCTCACACAAGAAAGGACGAGGACTAGACTTCCAAAAACAGTGGGATGTGGTTTTCTATGTCTCCTTTGGTTAGGTCTACCTAGGCACTGCAAGTTGGGGCAGACCACTTTTGCCATGTGTGCAGAAACCAGACCACTTTTTGCCTCCAGCCTCACTAGAACAAACCACTAGGTTTGTGTATGTGAGATGGGCAAAGTGTTGTTGAGACTGACCACTGATTGAATGTGTGGCAATATGGTGTGGTATGTCCCTCAGCACCCATCCCTGCAGGCGAGACTTGTTCCAAAGTCAGGTGCGATTGAGGGAGAAAAAGCAGCATTGCTCGGTGGATGGGTGCTTTGTCCATGTAACTTTGGTGGCACTGACAAAGGGGTGCTCTCTCCTGTTGCTGTGTAAGACATTAATACAGAATTATGCAACCTCCATTTTTTTTCAATTTTTCATGAATGCTTTTGCAAGTTGACAAAATCACAATTTGCGAGAATGGAATTTTTTTTGTTGTCTTTTCAATCAGGCTTTCTGGGTCTGGAAAGGAACCAAAGAACTGGACCACATTAGGAAGGGAACCAGTTCTGCCTCTTTTGTGGAATGTCCTCTCCCTTTAGCCCCTTTTGTGGAGCGACCTCAGTTTATGCCCATATCTTGCTTTCATGGCTTCATTTGCTCCTCTTTCTCTCCATTTCATGTCCGTTTTCCCACATCTCCCCACCCCACGTCCCCCAACAAGGTCTCTAGACTGGTGTCGTATTGGACTTGGTGAATCAATAGAGCTCTTATGTGATGTAATACTTGCTGGTTGTCTTTTGTGCCCAGCTGTTGTGCAGTGATGCATGATGAGATGCTAGAAGCTCACACTCACTTCAGTGATGTAAAGTTCTGTGGACCAATCCCAGCAGGAGTTCCTGGGAAGGAGGGGCAGAGGGGGCGGAGCTAGTTGGGGGTTGTGTTTGATTTAGCTTTTGTTTTTTGACATACAGATCATGTGATGGCAACTTGCTGGAAAACACAAGGCAGCCACAGTTTGACCTCCAACCCAGGTAAAAGTGGGGTCATGGGGCGTGGGAGGGTGTGTGTTTTTTTTTTTCTTTTTTTTTGTTTGTTTTGCACTCAGAGCAGTTTGGAATTCTCTCAGGACGACTCCCGAATAAGCCAATGATTGAATGTGTTTGACCTGTCATTGGTGACCCTTTCCAATCAGTAAGTGGAAGCTGCAGTGGAAATGGGCGGGACTTGAGCAGCAGGTTTGGCTGATCCACACTGGACAGAGAGGGGGTCAGGGTGGAGCATGTTATACTGAGCTGACGTGAGGATGCTGTGTTAGAATCGTGTATTGTCGTTTCTTTTGCCTGTTTTTAGCAAAAAGAGCAGTCAGTAAGAACTTGGTGAATCTGGTGCCAACCTTTCTCTTCCCCAAAAACTCACTCACTCACCCTTCCAACGTACCCAGCCAACACACAGCCAATACTCATATCATGATGACCCCTGTACCCCAGGAATCGCACTCCAATAAAAATTTGTGCTGACCCTCAGACAGATACACACACTCACTCACAATCTTAGTACTTTTTATGCCCTTCTTGTGTTCATTGTCTCACATTTTGCAATATTTGTGTGTACAACAGTATTTTAATAAAGAATACAAAACTTTACAGTGCCATTCAGTGTATTTCTTGCAGTTCAGTGTCTAGGTTTGGGATGTAGGTTTCAGTTTTGCAAACACAAGTCATATTACATCACCTTCATTATCATTCATGCACAGAAACCAGTTTGGAAATCCCTACGTTACCAAGACACAACACTGACCATGGTGCATAACAGCATTCTGCTTTTTACATTATACTTCATTTTTATTCTGCTACTGCTATATACTTTGTAACACTTCAATAAATGTGTTCCAGAAGCTTATATCTTAAATGTCATAAATATCTAGTGATACATAATAGACTTACATTGTTAACTGTGTCAAAACCACTGACGTGGCTTCCTCTTCAGTAGCTTCATAGATTAAATTCAGCATACTTATTGCTGCAGTATTGCTGCGGTAGTTGGTGTAAATAAATATAGTCTGTTGTAGACTTCCAGCATATGCTTAGGCAACACAGATCTGTGACATTTGTGATGCTCTACAGTTGAATGTCATGCACCTTACCTACAGAAGCCTAAGGTTGTAGTTAGTGCACTACAGTAGATAAATAGAAAGATTTAGCTGCTCAGTGAAAAAAGTATAATAAAGTGACGATGGCCCAGTCCCTCTGTAGAGTTTCAGAGACATTTCCTTTAAAGGATACTTTGGAGGAAACACTGACATATGTGATGGAAAGGATGGGCGATGAGATTAGAAATAAGACTTAAGTTTAAATGAAAGCTGAATTATATGCCATTCTGTATATTAAAGTGTCTATAGTGCTTCCAAAATATAAAGGGCTCTGCCGCATGAGGTCTCTGTCAATGTTCCCAGTGAGAAGGATTGGGGTAGATCAAATCTAAAAATGCAATGAAAATTAGATTCATTAACTTGAAATATTTGGTCATAGGTAGTGAAGGAAATCTGGAAAATTAAGGCTTTGAATTAACAATTGTGTAATTTTTTATACTAACAAGGAATTTTTAAGGGACTGTTAAAGTGAGGCTGTGTAGACTGAGGTGATAGATAGATTAATGGCCTAATACATTTCTACTTGATTTGTTTATAGCACTGATGATGTGAGAGGTCAGGAAGGGCAGGTAAGGTGGAAAGAGAAAGACATTACACATGAAGAATGGATTGCCATGTGGAGTCTTTCAGCACCATGAGGTATGGACAGCGACAGCCTGGCTGAGATAGGAACCCTGGTGACTTTGGCAGTCAGGAAGCACAATGGCTTCCCAATCCAGCCTTAACTCAGAACCAACAATGTGACATTTATTTGTAATAGAAATGCAGAGTATTCTCCTGACTTACTTAAGCCAGTAATATTTTTTTTCTAGAAGCCCACTATTTTGGTATTTAAGGGGTTTGTTGTATTATTTGTAAAGCATGTGGCTTGCTGGTTACCTAGTTCAGATGTGTAAAGAAATCCAAATTCAAAAATAGGGATTTGCCAGGTGTCTCAAAGGACCAGACAGAAAATCTTTTAAAAAGAAGACAGTAACAAGGCCCCTATATTTGCTAGAATATGCACTAACATCTATCAGCCCAGCCTTTCTTTAAAATGAGATTTTAAACAATTGTCATCACACTTTGAGTCCCTGTTTTATAATCTTGCTTACATATATGTAGTAAGTAATCAAATACAGGCTTTAACTACTGAAATATTAAAAGCTAATATACTGGAAACTTTCCAAGATTTGTGGCGAGATGTGCTCTTCATTTGAGATCTCTAGCCACAGCCAATAGAGTTTAAGTTAAAAACGTGAGATCTTGCTTTTTTCTAATTTGCACAAAAATGGAGCACATTAAATTACTGCCATCAACTGGATCTTTGTATCCTCAAATTTGTACTTCTGAAGCAGTGCTGATCTTTTTCTGTTTTCTTTTTAACCCACTTCCAGTGCCTGCAGCTATCAATAAACACTGTCTGACAGTAATGCCAAGTCACAGCACTAGAGGAAAAATGCGTAAGTTCATCTCAGCCTGGCTGAAGGAGTGAATGTGTTAAAGAGAGGGGTAGAGGAGCGCAGCATCATAGTCAGGGGGAGGAGAGCCACAACCATCAGATTCCAAATCAGAGGGAATAACATTAGCATCGTTCTCCCCTCTGCCACAGGGGGCACTGCTCATACAGGGAAGCACTGGAGTGGGCTGTATCTTTTCCTGGCAGCGACACTTGGAAAAGAACCTGCAATCAGCAATAAAGTAATATTGGTGTAAAAGTCTTAACAGAACCAGGACATTAACAAAAAAATGTGATGTGACCATCTGGACTTCAACATGTTTCATAATGAAAGTCATGAAACACTAAAAATACAACAGTGATTTTTATGTGATTCTTAATGTTTTAAGATGTGATTTAGGAAGTTTTAAATGTTCAGTTTTTAAATTATCAATTTTAGCTAGAACTGTCCGAATAATTAGAATATTTGAGTATTTGTTTGTCACAGTGGTATTCGTTGCTCTGTCTAGTACTCAGAAGCTTCATCCTTTTTTAAACCTTAAATTCATGGCCTAAACTAGACTACAAAAATGCAGAAAGTTGAAAAAACTTGATATTTAATGGACTAAGACACATATTAACTAAAAAACACAAAATCTAAAGGTAGTCTTGAGCACAAGCATTCGGATACTTATTCAGAAATGCCAATGAGAATTCAAAACCTATAAAATGCTGCTCAGGCCAGCCCCATTTTTGTTGCATGTAAAAGCATAAATGTCATAGTTTGTTCATGTAAACGTATGAAAGGGTATGCATAAATCATAATGCACAGAACATATTTGTTGGCCATTTTGGCCTCCAGTAAAAGAAAGTAGGCCATTGCCCACAGCACAAAAAAACTGGTCATTTCAGTACACTCACTTGGTTATCTTGGTTTTGAATTTGTTGCTCCATTTCGGCCAAAGAAATTCTTCAGAGGGGAGAACTATGCCACTGTCATACAGGGAATCCTAAAAAGCACATATTTCAAATGCATTATTAGTCCACAAAAAGTCTTTTTCAGTTGTGATGACTCACCCCAATCTATCTGGATTACACAAGTCGTGCGTGTGTTTTACATCTGGTTAGTAAATCTGAAATCCCTGTATTGCATTTCACTGCAGTGACTGCAGTGTGTTCACTGAGGAACATACATCTGGGACTTCTCTGTTGAGATCCTCTTCAAAAGTGGTGATGGTTTCAATTCTGGTATTGATGTAGCTGCAGCAGATGAGAAAACAAAACATTAATTTTTCACTTTCCTGAGAATCACTGTCCACATTTTTTCCCACAGCCACTGTGACTGAATGTAGATATACCTCTGGCTTCCCTGGTGTGTGCCACTCTCTCCACACAGAAACGTTTTCAAGGGAATGTAATCCTTCCCATCCTTAATAAAGACAGAAAAATGGAAAGAAAAAAGCATTTTAACATTCATAGACCAGCCGGGTTCAGACTTCCACTCCTCACTCCTATACCTTAATCATAACTGAATAATTTGGCATTGTTTTCCACGTAGTTACTGAATACTAAGTCTTAAGATAAGGGCTTAGGCATCTAACACAACTTACTGTAAAGGGGAGGTTTTAATAAAAGAACAGAGTGTACCTGCTGGACACGGGCTTGCAGCAGGTCTCCCAATGTGCTGACTAGTGCAGTGAATGTGGGTCTATCTGCAGGATTTTTCTCCCAGCATGTTAACATGATGTTGTAGCTGAAAAAGAATTTTCTTATCATCATCTCTTAAATGGAGGATAAATGGAAGCCAACAATTCCCTATCCTGCATTTTTTTGGTTTGTAATTATTTAACTGCTGCCACCAACAAACTGTCCTGTGACATTTTCTTTTCATATCCTCTGCGCACTATGTGCATACTCACATTTCAGGGGTGCTGTACTCTGGAGCACGCATGCGAGTTCCTTGTTTTAGTCTGTGGCAAAACTCCTCATCCATGTTAAGGCCTGGATATGGGGATGCCCCTACACACCACAGAAAACCAGAAACACATTTTTAGCATAGAGTACCAGTACTAAAGAAGAATGGGTTAATAACTTACCACATCTTACAAATATTTCATCCACACACCATGAAAACCAATTGTTAAGCTTCACCTCTGCTCACACAGCAGTGGTGATGATAGAGCATAAATCATTGTCCCTAGTGAAAGCATTTTAGTATGACAGTGACATATATGATCAGTACCAAGTGAGAAGATCTCCCACAGCAGAACTCCGAATGACCAGACATCACTCTGAGGCGTGAAAACCTTGTCGAAGATCGATTCTGGTGACATCCATTTCAGAGGTAAACGAGCCTACAATGTAAAGCATGATGTAACCAGCCAATTAAGGAATTATTTCTATTCCCCTTCACTCTGTGTTCTGTTTTGCAGGCAGTGGTGAACAAAGGCCTGTACTCACGTCCCCCTTGCGTACGTAGTCAAGGTCTTTGTAAAGGTCCCGAGCCAGGCCAAAATCACAGATTTTCACAACATTGTTTTCGGACAACAAGATGTTTCGGGCAGCAAGGTCTCGATGGATACACTGTCACAGACACACACACACACACACACACACAGTTAAAAAACAAATACATTAAGACACAAATATATGAAGACACATACAATAGCAGTAAAAGGTTTGGAGACACCTACTTATGGAAGGTAGTGGTGGATTAGGGGTTATAATAAAAGGTCCTTTCTAAGAGGAACTTGCAATGGTTGCATTGGTTATTTTACATCATGTGGAGACATATTCCAAATAATTTAAGTCTGAATGAAAATTAAGTGGATTTAAGAATGACACTTGAATGCACACTTTTTATGTAGAATTTCTGAAAGGTAAGTCTGTATACCCTGAGCTAATGACAGTTTTGGTGTAAAAATGAAAGGCTGCTTTAAAAAGAATTTGCAATACATTGGATATATCACACCACATGGAGATGTTTTACAAATGATTTAAGTGTTTTTCAGTGAAAAAGAAGCAGATTCAATAACACTTCAAAATTCACATGAAGGTAAGACTATAGTTCTATGTATTTTAACAATTTAACAATTACTTTAACAAGCGATTTTATATTATTAAGCTGGACAATAAATGCTTCAGTATACCGTCCTGTGACATTTTCCATTTACGGTAAGGAAACTAAAGCTATTTTTAATCTAAGGTAAGCCTAAAGGTTGCATGAAAATTAGGCACTTTATTAGGTACACTATATTAATAATGAGTAGAGCTGAAGAACATTGAACTGATGGTCATGTTAATGACAATGAGATGACTTTTGCTTTATGATATGGTGCAGTATCATGCCGGAAATAGTCATTAGAAGATTGGTAAATTGTGGCCATTAAGAGATGCACATGGTCAGGCTTAATACTCAATTAGGCTGTGGCATTCAAGCGATGACTGTGCCAAGAAAACATCCCCCACACCATTACACCACCTCCACTAGCCTGGACCGTTGACACAAGGCAGGTTGGGTCCATGGAGTCATGCTGTTGGTGTCAAATTCTGACGCTACCATCTGTGTGCCTCAGTAGAAATCGAGATTCATCATGTCCATTTTGAGTAAACTCTAGAGACTGTTGTGCATGAAAATCCCAGGAGTATATTTTTACATTACATTTTTTTATATATTTCAGTCATTTTGGAAAATTGGTGATTTTTATGTTTAATTTAGATGTCAAGTGATTCTGTAGACTGTGCTGTGACATTTTCCAATTATTTTGGAAATTTTCTGAAAAGTAAGTCTATATACCCGTAGGTATTGTTTATATTAAGTCATCTTCCAAATGATTTAAGTGTTTTTGCATGAAAATTAAGTAGATTTAAGATTGGTCCAAAAATGAACACAAAGGTAAGATTATGTCCTTACATATTTTGGCAATTTTGGTGCATAAATGCAAACACTTGTGAGTATATTTCAATCATTTTGGTAATTTTGATGTATAATTTAGATGTCAAATGTTTCTGTAGACTGTTCTGTGACATTTTCCAATGATTTCACTTTTTTTTACATTTTAATTTAGATGTTAAGTCCTTTTATAGATTATGCTGTCACTTTTTCCAGTGAATTTGAATATATGTCTATATACCCTTAGGTAGTGGTGGTTTAGTTATAAAAATGAAAAGTCTAAGGGGAATTTGCAATATATACGTTATATTACATCATGTTAAGAGACATCTTCCAGATGATTTAATTGATGGCCTAAGAATGGCCTAATAATGCACACAAAGCTAAAGCCTTACATATTTTGAACATTTTGGCAAAAAAGCGAGGTGATATTATATATAAGTTCTTCTGTAGAATTTGCGCTGATATATTCCCATGATTTCATGAAAAATAAAGCCACATTTTCGGAAAGGTACGTCTATATACCCTGAGCTAGTGACAGTTTTGGTGTAAAAATAAAAAACTGCTTTTGTAATATATTGTATGTATTACCAAGCAATTTTTATCCTCAATTTAGAAGAAAAGTGCTTCAGTATACTGTCCTGTAAAGTTTTCCATTTACTCTAAGGAATATAAAGCTATTTTAAGTCTAAGGTAGGCCTATGACTTTAGATGACAGTTTTGGGGTAGGAATGAAAGGTTACAGGTTTGGGTAAGGTGGGGAAGGTTGTCTCTATAAAATGCAATTTATTGGATTTAATCTGCACCTGATTTAAGAATTTTGCAAATTAAGATTAAAGACTGGTCCACAAATTACACGTTTAGTTAAGACTGCATGTATTTCAGCAGTTTTGTGCATAAACTTAATTTAATGCTTAATTTAGATATTAAGTATGTCTATATATTATGATGTGACATTTTCTGATGATTTCAAGGAAAATAAAGTTTTTAAAGGTAAGGTTATATTTTCACACACACACACACACACACACACACACACACACACACACACACTCACGCAAATGCTCTACCTTGCGTGAGGCAAGGAACTCCATGCCTCTCGCCACCTGGAAGCTGTAGGAGATCAGATCCTCTAGGAGCAGTGGAGTGTTAGTGGTGGAGCTAGCACCTAAAATAGAGAATTTGCAAGTATAACAGAAATAGTCTTCTTCAATGGATTAAGCACAGAGGCTTTTTCATGTTCACTGATCTAATAAATGATATACTTCACAAGAAAATTGTTCTCACCACTGCCCTGCTTGCAGCCCTCTCCTTTCTCCGCACAGCTCGGGTCAATCTGGGTACTGCACACACTCTCCACGTGGCTCTTGTTCTCTTCTTCCCTTCCACTTTCCTCTCCTCCATTCATCTGAGACAGACCACCACACTAATGGTAAAAGAAAAGAGCCTAAGAAAAGAGCCTAATACCATCACCAACGAAAGACAGCAGTGATAAATGTGTTAGAAACATGTTAGAAAAAACATGTTTTCTTTGACAAATGCAGAGATATTGTTGTGTAATGTTGTGATGATATATGGGAACTATGGCTGTCAAAATGAACACATCAATCACACGTTTAGGAAAATAAGACAAATGCAATTAATACAAGCCACACAAAATAATGTTATTAATTTATTATGATTAATTATTTTAATCTTACGACATCCCAAGTAGGAACATCTTCAAATTTGTTAAAAAAGCTTCCCAGGAGAAAATGGCTCAACTTGACTCAACTTAAAGGACAGAATTTACACGGTCAAAGGCCGTGCTAGTGGACGAGAGAGAGAGAGAAAGAGAGAGATGGGCCTCTTTTTAGGGAGGTATTGCGGGTGAGGAGATAAGACCAGACCAGAAGTGAAACACTGTTGTGCTGGAAACAGAGGTGTTTGTGGTAAACAGAAAGTGAGGCATTTTAGAGGGAAATGAGAACAGGATGTAAAAAAAAAAGCTAGACCCTGTTAGGTCCCTTAATAAACAGTCTCGTTCAACAGTGTCAGGCTATATCAAGCAATGATACAGGAAGGATGTACGATGCAGAAAGTGACTCACATTGGTCTGAACGAGAACGAAGAGGAATGTTTAAAAAGAAGAGCTTTGTGTGAGGGGCGAATTAATGAATGAAGCACTAACCCTGTTTAACATAAACACATCCCGCTTACTCTTCAGGTATGCAGAGAGGTTGCCATACTTGCAGTATTCCACTATGACCATGAGAGGCCCTGAGGGATAATGTACAAAAACCCACACTCAGTTTTTCATTTCAACCATAACTGTCCATCAGATTAATTTAGATTCAATTCAGTTGATTTATATACATTTTTGATAAAACTGATTGTCACAAATAACAGTACACAAAGTAGAATTTCTCCTGTAATTTATTTTGTACATTGGTACAATGTGTTACTACACTTTGCTGAGTTGTTACCAAAGCAAAGTCATTTTAATATCTATAATCTGTGGCACTAGACAAGTACAACTGCTTGACATTGTAATAAATAAGTTGTGAATTGATAAATTTAAAAGACAGCGCTGATGTCACTGAATATCTCAGAAATATGTCAGTTACAATGTTAAGAATAAAACCATCAAGTCATAAAGATATTTTTATATGATGGTTATTCTGCCCTGAACAATCAAGTTATGTGTAGGTATATACATAGAAACACACACCTCCTGGTCTGGTGCAGGCCCCGAGCAGATTGACCACATTCAGATGATGTCCAATATGGTTGAGAATCTTCAGCTCAGTCATCAGGGCCTTGTGCTCGCTAGGTGTGGCGCCCTCTGTTGGAGGACCAAAGAATCTTTGCATTATGACATTGCTGTGACTTCATTGAACAGTTCTTGTGCCAAAGCAGTGTGTGACGTGAGTCAGATGAACATATTTTTCCCTGTTTTTAACAGTACTGTTCCTGAGAGTTCTTCTGTAAATTGATATAATACCATGTTACATCCAAGTTGTCACCAAAGAATTTTCTATCTCTATGATTTATGTTTGGTTATAACACTTTGACACTTTAATTTCCCACAATTTTACAATCTTAAAAGACAGTAATTTCAAAAGACAGATATGTTGTCACTGGGGTGTTGAAATTTCTATGTAAATACCTTTCAGCATTTTGACAGCCACAGTTATGCGGCTGGCTGAGTTTCCAATGCCAAAAGCTGAAGCCTGCATGACTTTGCCAAATGCTCCTCGTCCCAATGACTTCTCTGAAGAGAGAGTGTGTATAAACAAAAACACAAATGTCTGCTTAAGAGTGTATCAACAAACAAAACAACAACAAAACAACAAAACATCTGCTCAAATCTGTTAAGTTACATTCTGTATATCTTCATTAATCATAATGTAACTGTGTATAACAACCATTGCCTAAATTTATGTTATTTGTAGAGATTGTGGGTTCTACATTTTATATATTTGAATTATTTTACTGAAAAAAGAGAAAATTCTTGAACTTCTTGTACTCAGTGAATAAAAACAAAAACATCTGCTTCTACACACACACACACACACACACATACCTAGCTGAAGGCGCTCCCGTGGGAACTCCCACTTTTCAGGGTCATACTGTAGCCTGTCACAATGTTCACCCAGAGGCCCCTCCCCTGGGTGCAGGATGATTGGCAGGTACTCTGTTTTAGTATTTGCTGAGCTTGGCTGAAATAAGGCATTTTCAGCTGATTATGCATGTAATACAATGAAGTGCATACAATGAAAACAATTCAAGATAGATAGATAGATAGACAGAACATTTAATTGCATACTTACATTAAAAAGAATTTAAAGAATTTACAAGATGCTTTCAAGCAATTTAAACAATTTTTAAAAAAAAATTGCACTTGCCATTCAGGCCACTAGGCCGATGCTAAAAATGGCCAGAATTACAGAAACATGTTAATTGTGTATTACATTTAACAGCACAAAAACAGCCAGGTTTTGAAATGTATATATTTACTTTATATTAATAAGAGCCCTGCTGTTGACTGATCTGGTCTGCCCTGACATCATCCCATCTAGGTTGTGTCATTAAATAGTGTTTGGCTACTGTAGTGTACTGTAGTCTCTCAGTGTAGCATCAGCTTATTTAACACCTTATTTTAAATAAAGCCATTTTCTTAGACTGATATTAGCAAACTTCTACAAATGTGACATCAGGCGGTTCAGCCCAGGATGGGGGACCACAAAGGTCACCACAACATCACATTAGCTATCGCAGTTGTTACAACTTCTTGTAGCACTTTTCCGACAAATTGTTTTATACAAATAGTTCCATGTCCAACCAAACAGATTTGTTGTTGTTTTTGACCCTTTATTATTATTGCTATCATTATTATTATTATTATTATTATTAGCAGAAGTAGTAATAGTATTTATATATGATATGAACTTGGGTAGGCACTAATGAGATTTTTCAATAGCAAGAATCAAGTTATGCTGCCCTCATACTGTGTGATCTGGGGCTTATGCAATCCATGCAGTAGTTTTTTGACTCTAAGCTTTAGCATCTCTCACCTGTTTGAGTTTCCGGATGAGAAGGGTTAGGAGCAGCCAAAAGAGTGTGGCCACAACACAGGTACAGGCCAGTGTGGGGATCTCCAAAGAGAAAGACTCAGAGTCTATAAAACACAGCTCAGTTTCAGCACACAGCAGTGGGGGACAATAGGCTAAATGATTCAGTTTAAACAGTAGATAGGTACTTTACACATCTTGTAAACTGCTCTGGATGTGAGCATCTTCTACATAAATATATGTAAGTGTAAATTTAATTTGAAGGGCCAAACAGGATTATTATCATGAGCATGGCAAGTACTGGGACCTAACTTGAAAATTTCAATTTAAAATGACTATTTTTTTTGTTGTTGTTGTCTTTTTTGGATAAAGAAATAATGTTGCACAGAGGAGCAATTTTAAATAAATGTACATAATTTTATTGATTTTAAATAATGTTTTGTAACATTTTACAATTTAAGGGACCAAAAGATCAATCTGTAAATATTTTTTTCCCCAATTTCTCTTTTTAAAATCTGTATATTGCTGTGTGACCTAGTGTTTTGAAGTTAATTATTAAAACATACATATTTAACAAATATAAGTACAAGTATTTTGCAACTTTATCTTATTACTGCAACACATTGGCAGACACAGAGGTTTTTCTTCCACATATCATTTAGTTCTTTCAGTTAATTTACTTAGAAGAAAATATTAAAGTATAGAGATTCAACAGTTTAAGGGGAACAATCTTTTAAAATTTTGGTATAGTTCTATTACTGAGATGTAAACAAAGTCATTCAGAGAGGTTTGATGTGAAATGGTTAATTGTAGAGAAACTTACTGACTCAGAATTCTTTACGGTAATGGTGATCTTAACCAGTGGTTGCAATGTCTACCTGCAAATATATCCATTTTATTTACTATCCAAAACACCTATATGTGTTTTCTGAGTTTTTATATGTGATGTTGATAATTGTAAAATAGTGGTAAATCTGTTCTTTGGGTTGTAAAGTTGTCTTTGGGGACTATTTTGCCGAATAATGCCCTGCCTGTACCTCTCTGCCATGAACAGATTGACTTTGAACTCTGAATGACTTTGTTTACATTGTGATCCTTTTATTACGGAAAGAAATTGAAAAAATGATTGAATTCTGCTTTAAAAGTAATATAAGCTCTGCAAAAAACATTCTACATCATTATACATATCCGTAATGAGAAACAGATATGCGGCTGCATTGCAGTAATTAAAATTGGGATAAAAATGCCAAAACAAACCTTAAAAATATAAAGAATAATAATTGAACTATATAAAGCTCCAAATTATCTACTAAATTATATGAATACTGTTTATCTGTGTGATGATTATAACATTCAGATATTTATGGATATAGTTTGAGGTGATTTTGTGAGAATGACCCAGTATGTCCAGCAGCTGGAGTATGATCATCTGTCTGTACTCAATACTGTCCACAGGGGATGCTCCTATCTCATTAGTCTTTTTGTCCACTTCAATACACTGTCAGTGACTGTGGTCAAACACAAACAGTGACCAGCCCTAGCCATTCATGGCTTTGCTCTCTTTTTTCAAAGATGTAGAAATAGCTAAACAGTTTACGGGTAGTGAACCAGAGGCTTTCCGTAGGAAATCAGAATAGGAGACAGCTTCCTTCCTAACCCATCAGCACACAACAACCTAGAGGCATCCGTTCACAAGAAGGAGAGAGAGAGAGAGAGAGAAAGAGAGAGAGAGAGAGAGAGAGAGAGAGTGAGAGAGAGAGAGAGAAAGAGACTTTCTGCAATTAGTTCTCACTCAACTACCTTCACGAAATTGGGAATTAGGTGGAGCTGGTGAGAGTCAGTCCAGGCAAAAGACTTAAAAACTTTAACATTAAACATCAAAAAATGTCCTACAGATCCCTGATGTCTTTAACTAAACCCAAATTTTACTGTAAGCGCAGAAATCATCCTATGCTTATCAGATCATGAAACTACTCTGCTCAGGGATATGATTAAAAATCTGGACATGGTTCTTCTTACAAAAAACCTGGAAAAAACCCAATGACTACAACTGAATCTGCTCACTCCCTCCAGATAAATATACTTGTCTACTTGATGTAGTAATATTATTATTGAACAATCAATACTATCATTGATTATTATTGAACATATGGCTTTTAAAGTTTTCAAACTTTTTAAAACTCAGTTTACCTGATCTAATTTATTTCTCTGGTCTAGATAGTGTCTGTGCTTGGATCTCAGATTGGTATTTATTTCTGACCATAAGCTAATTATTTTCAGCTAGTCCTGTTACAATTATAATGTAATTGCCTGAGCGCAATTACTATAGCTGATTGCAATTACAACCCGATTTCCAAGTTGGGACGCTGTGCAGAATAATGTAAACAATATTTTTAAAGGAAAATACTACAAGGATATCAAATGTTGAAACTGAAAAATTTTATTGATTTTTGAAAAACATATATGCCCATTTTTAATTTAATGGCAACAACACATTCCAAAAAAATTGGGACGGGGGCCTGCTTACCACTGTATTTCATCACCTCTTCTTTTAACAACACTGTAAGCGTTTGGGAACTGAGGAAACCGACTGCTGTAGTTTTGAAAGTGAAATGTTTTCCACTCTTGTTTGATATAGGATTTCAGCTGCTCATCAGTTCAGGGTCTCCTTTGTCGTATTTTTCATTTCATAATGTGCCAAATGTTCTCAGTGGTGACAGGTCTGGAATGCAGGCAGGCCAGTTTAGCACCCAGACTCTTTTAATATGGAGCAATGCTGTTGTAATACATTCAGAATGTGGTTTGACTTTGTGTTGCTGAAATAATCAAGGCTTTCCCTGAAAAAGACGTCGTCTGGATGGCAGCATATGTTGCCAAAACATGTACATATCATTCAGCATTAATGGCGCCTTCACAGATGTGCACGTCACCCATGCCATGTGCACTAATGCACCCCTATACCATCATGAATACTGGCTTTTGAACTGTGCACTGATAACAAGCTGAGTGGTCTTTAGCCCGGAGGACACAGTGTCCATGATTTGCAAAAAGAATTTCAAATGTTGATTCGTTGGACCTTTTCCACTTCTCCTCAGTCCATTTTAAATCAGCTCAGGCCCAGAGAAGGTGGCAGCGTTTCTGGATCCTGTTTATGTACAGTTTCTTCTTTGTATTTTAGAGTTTTAACTTGCATTTGTGGATGCAGAGATGAACTGTTTTCACAGACAGTGGATTTCAGAAGTGTTTCTGAGCCCATGCGGTGATTACACTACAAAATCATGTCTGTTTTTAATGCAGTGCCATCTGAGGACCAGCAAATACTGGTTTTTGGCCTTGTCCCTTACATACACAGATTTCTCCCAATTCTCTGAATCTTTTAATGATATTATGTACCGTAGATGATGAAAAGCACAAGTTCTTTGCTATTTTATGTTGAGAAACGTTATTTTTGAATTGTTGCACTATTTGGTCGTGCAGTCTTTCACAGGGTGGTGAACCCCTCCTCATCTTTACTTCTGAAAGACTTTTTTATACACAATCATGTTACTGACCTGTTGCCAATTAACCATCAGGTGTTTTTTTTTTTAGCATTACACAACTTTATCAGCCTTTTGTTGCCCCCATCCCAACTTTCTTGGAATGCGTTGTTGGCATCAAATTCAAAATGGGCAAATATTCTTCAAAAAACAATAAAATTTCTCAGTTTCAACATTCGATATATTGTCTTTGTACTTTTTTCAATTAAATATAGGGTTTAAATGATTTGCACATAATGGCATTTTGTTTTTATTTACATTTTGCACAGCGTCCCAACTTTTTTGGAAATGGGGTTGTATTTTAGCTGACCGTTGTATTTTTTTAATTTTCTGTGTCAGTTTTCACAATCACATGTTTATGTTAAAACAAAATGGGAATTGGGTGTATTTTCATCTGTCAGGTTCTGGCACATACATGTCAATAAAATGAAACAAAAAACAATTTTTGAGAAAACAGCAAATTAACAAAAGTTCTAACTTCTGAACACCTTTGGAGGGCAGCGGTGAGTAATGTTTGGTAATGACAAAAATAAAATCAGCAAATATAGTAACACCTGATTCTTTATCTTTCTCTGTTCCATGCGTGCATCCTCTATCCTGAACTCTACTAAACTTTCTCAGTCTGTTTTGATTATCTATAAATATAACTATACTGTTTATAATACTCTAGGTGATGACGCTCCTTTAACACTGGGCTTGTACCTTCCTCATTCTACGGTAAAACCCTCTTTGCTGCAGTAAACAAACTTATCCAGCCACTTGGCACTCACTCTGGTTCTTTTGAGCTGTGTGAATTCATTTATTTTCAAAGTAATTTTTTTCACTGTCTACAACTTTTCTCTGCCAACATCTTACAGACTCCCTTCCAGAGAATTCTTTTTGAAAACTCTGCACTGAATGGCACGCTTTCATTAGATCTAAAAGCTGCAGTCACACCAGTTCTTAAGAAACCTGGTTTAAAGCCAACACAAGAGTTACAGTAACTGCTTTAAATAATCTTTATAATTCCTTGGTAATGACCTTTTCCCCTCTGCTGACATTGTGTCCTAGGTTATATTCTTCTTTTGGATCGCAGTCTAGCATTTATAAGAAAGTTTGAAAGTTTGATTTACTTCTTGTCCACTTGCGAGCTACCGATATTCTAATCTTTCTCCTGGTTTAGTTCTTAGATCGCTGACAGACATCAGTAGCAACTGAAAAATAAGTCTTAAGATTAATAATTGAATAATAAGCCTAGAATTTAAAGAGTAGTTAATAGTTACATTGATGTGGTTTTTGTCCTCTATCTTATGTACAATGTGCAAATGTACTGGTGCTGTTTCCCCTAGAAACTCATTATCATGCTTATTTTGTGTACTTTTGTTGGTATACAAATAAATCACTATTAGAATTCTATTATTATTATTATCTTACTTTCAACTGAAATGTAGGCAGAACTCTCCACAGATCCTTTCTCATTGGTGGCCTCACAGGTATACAGCCCCTGATCCTCAACAGTGATACGTTCAATGTGAAGTGTACCCTCTTCTGGCGCCAGCATGATACCTAGGCACAGAAACAGAACTCATATATGTATGTATATATATATATATATATATATATCAGCCACTTTATTAAGTACATCTCCTCGTATTTACACTCTTTGTCCATTTTATCAGCTCCACCTACCATAATAGGTGGTTTTACAATTACATATTGTGGTCCATCTGATTCTCTGCATCATTTTATGGCCCTCCTTTACCCTATCCAATGGTCAGGAACCCCACAAGAGCAACACAGAGCAGGTATTATTTGGGTGGTGTATCATTCTCAGCACTGCAGTGACACTGACATGATGGTGGTATGTCAGTGTGTGTTACGCTGGAATGACTAGATCAGACACGGTGGTGCTGCTGGAGTTTTTAAACACTATGTCCACTCTAGCCCTTCATCAGGGATCACAGGAAGCTGTCCACAGGACATTATTGGCTGGATATTTTTGGTTGGTGGACTATTCTCAGTTCAGCAGTGACACGGAGGTGATTAAAAACTCCAGCAGCACTGCTGCGTCTGATCCACTCGTACCTACGCAACACACAGTAACATGTCACCACCACGTCAGTGTCACTGTAGTGCCTAGAATGATCTACCAAGTAATGCCTGCTCTGTCGTGGTCCTTACCACTGAAGAATAGGGTAAAAGGGGACTAACAAAGATAACACAGTATGCGGAGAAACAGACAGGCTACAGTCTGTAACTGCAGTGTATATAAGGTGGTGGTTCAACTGCAATGACTCAGGAATGTTAGAATCATAATCAATTATAATAATATTCAACAAAGCATGCATACATTTTTAGACAAAATAAAATTATTGACTTATTTTCTTAAACTTAAAAAGTCTTTTTTTTGTCTATATCCCACTACTGTGCAAGTCAGAGGTTCCCAAACCCAGTAATGGAGCCCCCACACTATGCATGTTTTTGTGCTTTGTCTCATCTAGCACACTTGATTCAACTCGTGTCCTGTAAGTTGTTTAAAGTAGGGAAAACACAAAAATGTACAGAACAAGTGGTCACCAGGAATGTGACTGGCAACCCCTGGTATAAACAGTTATGTCAAAAAAGTGTTTGTGTTCTGCATAAAGACAATTTAGTCTCACCAGACATCTGCTTGAGTCTCCTCTGGTCCTTGTACCATGTGACGAGGGGCCGTGGCACCCCATGGGCCAGGCAGTGGAGAGTGACAGAGCTGCGCACATTTACATTGCAATCACTGAGGTTCTGCAGAAGCACAGGAGCCTCCAGGGCTGCAGGGGGAGACAAAAAGCCACACAGCTCCACCAATACAGCCATATTATGTAATTTTCCTTTAAATAGCATATCCACCAATTCAATTTAAATTTCACAATTTTATCTCTAGGGAGGCAGTGATGTCACAAAAGCCAGTTAGCAAATGGGTAGCCATGCTGGCACATGTTAACAAGGCACTGAGTGATTTGTGCAGCAGAGACTGCCACTGGTGCAGTTAAATATGAAGAGCTAGCAGTATTTCTTTCAGAGCAGATTGTGAAGCAGTCACTGGAGCCCTGCCATTAGTGACAGCTTTTTTGTTTATTTCAGTGTCACATTTTGCCCTGAGTTGACTAAACTGCCACTTCCGTGACAGCTGGCTGTGGGCTGTCCTGGCGCTGCTATGCCAGGGAGTGCCATTACTGCAGTAAGTAAAATGTGGTCATATTTCTGTTCTACTTTAACCATGATGTCTTTGTCAGAATATCTTTTGACAAGAACAACATCCTTCCACCCCCATGATGAGCTACATTTGTGCAACATGGATGACACTTCCTCATTTGTGTAAAAGCCTCTTTGAGGAAGTCCTCACGTTAAATTGTGCCAAATACTAGTAGAACAGGGCTATTAAAAAAATTGCCTCATGACAAGCTGACTGTTGTTCCAAATATTTTCCTCCCGGACACAATTGATTATTGTCTCTTTCCTTGCTCAGTGACAGTTGCTGATTGGCTGATTGTTCTAGGCTCATGTGAAGTATGGTGTAGATGGAGCACAGTGGGAAGTAGCATTGTGTGCTCTTCCTCCTGTCCAGCTCCCATTCCCACGTGAAAGAGGTGCTGCGTCGTACAGCATTGGAGGGAGGGACTGCAGGAAGCTTAAGGTTTTGGTTCCCAAGGACCCCTCTCCTTCTTTTTCTTTTCTTCTCTTTCTATTTTTTCTTTCTTTCTTTCTTTCTCCTCAACCCTGCACTCTATATAGCTTGTATGTGTGCGCATCTGTCAACACATCCTTTTGTGACTCATAGTGGATATCAAGGAATGTTATTGTGTAAGACTCAGAGGATAATGGGGAGGTCTCCCTAATAGCATTTGTGTTTCCTTGACATTTTTTCTAAGACACATGAATGGGCAAAGTGTTGTGTATGTACTCACACCTAAGAACAGTAGACATGGAAAATTAAAAGACAAAAATTAAAATTTTTCTTCACTTTATCATGTCTAAAAACTTTCAAGCAATGAAAAAACAAGTTCTTCTGACACAATATTTTCTTATCTCAAAAGTAGTACATCAGCCAAGAGAGGTGTGAGACCAAAATTTGATTCTTAAATACAAACATGTTTAGGCTTCAGGGTCACTACTACTACTTACTAGTTATGTGACATATTTTTGTCCATTTTTATAACAGTATGTCACAGTGTCAGACACCACATAAGCAAGTCTTTTTGAAATTACTTAACAACCTGGTTTGAGGCAAATATGCAATTATTTAGGCATGCAGTTTGAACACAGCTAATTGTTAGCTACGTTAGCCTTCAGTGCAAAACTGCAGAACCAAACTTCAGACACCAAACATGACTGGCTGATCAACTACATTTGTTTTAAGGGGAAAATGTGTAAAATGGACTTTTTTTGCCAAATTATTCCTTTAAAGGACTCAAGTAAGATCATCACTTTAGCTTATAGTTCAATCATGAAGTGCTCATTCAAATGTATTGTATATACTTGCAAAAAAACTCTGGTTCTATTGACTTACATCAGAAGTAAAATAGGTAAGTAGGTCATTTCTTTTAGTCCATTCATCATAAAATTTAGACACAACGTAAAGGGTAACAAGTATTTTCAAATTATATCAAAAACTGAAAAACGTCCAAAATGGAGATACCAGGTTTTCATCCGACAACAGCGATATATATGTGTCTTTGTGTGTGTGTGTGTGTGTTAAATGGACTTCAAAATGTGACTCTTGAGCATGGTGTCCTAAAGCACACACCTGTGACCTTCATCAGTGTATCCAGATGAGTATGTTCTCCTGTAAGCAGGTGTTTGGCAAAGCAGCGGTACGTCCCGGAGTGCTGCATCGTGAGATTCTTCAACAGCAGGCGTAAAGTGAGAGAAAACTCTCCCTCTGTCAGCTCACTGCCAAAAAATAGACCATTCATCAGCACTAAGGAGCTATTGGTCACTCTGTACCACGACACATTTGAGTACAGGTGCTTATTGGCTGCACAGGACAGGTGAACTTCACCCCCCTCTCTTGGTTCATCCTCCAGTGAAGCACTGAAACCTCCTGGGATATCTGTGATTGGTGGAATGAAAAAGAGGGCGTTTTAAATCGTGCTCCAGCACTTGTACCAACACTATAAATCCTCTGCATAAGGACAGATAGTACAACTGCTGGCAGTAACACAGACCCTTAACTGGGACATAAACATAAGAACGGCAGCATAATAACACACTAATTGGAGTGTTGATCAAGCCTGATTTTTTTTTCATAACCTTTGATGGCAATGTTGAATAGCTATTGTCAGTAAAAGTAGCAGGAGAACCCCCTGCGAAAAGACCTTTTATTTACTTTAGCTATTTGAAATTTCCTGTGGAAACCGCTCGAGGTTTTCCTGATGGAAGATAATGTTTATCTTTCCCGAACACCACCAGGACTCTCCAAATAAAGCACGTTAGGCGGCACGGGGAAGCAGGCTGATAAGGACCACAGGTTCCTGTTCACCCCCTCCCCTACTCCTACCCCATTACCATAGCAACAACCCTCACGTCCAGCCACATCCACTGCGGCTGATTTTAGCGTGTCTTGAAAGCGATCCCCAAAAGGAGGTGTGTGTTGGGGAGCGGGAAAACAATGAAAATGGGCAAATGGCCATTGTTTTTTATTAGCCCTACAACCTATTTGACTTTTGATTGCCACTCCTGACCTACAGGCTAGCGTGTGAAATCCACTGAGAGCGTGGGAAGTTAAAAGTACCTGTAACATAGAAGTGGATGTCCAGTTCATCTCTTCCCATGGAGTTGGAAGCAATGCAGCGATAGATGCCAGATATTAATGCCTTGCCAACTGTTAAAATACCTACAGTCTGATGATACACACACACACACACACACACACACACACACACACACACACACACACACTTTTTACACATCCAACACTGCTCACGGTTTATTAAGCAGTGGCTGTAAGGGTAGCATTAGAGCCAGAACTGTCTGATAATACATAATGTATAGTACTGTAAAAGATTCTGAGTCCACCCTTCATTTAAATTCCAATAGTCAAAACAGCCATTAAGCACAGGTTATTCATTTATCAGAAGATATTTCTGAGCGGATTAGGTACAAGGTAATCCACTTGCATAAGGAAGGGTAAAAACAAAGGAAAAACTGCTCAAATGTTCAGAGTTTAAAAAACATTGTAGAGAAAAAGGATGTAGAGAACATGGGACTCCTAATAACAATGCAAGACCTGGTAGACCACCAAGACTACCACCATCAGATTAACAGTACTTAAATCTTTCATCTTTCAGAGAGAGAAGAAAATCAAGTTCCTCTCTTGCCTCAGATCTGAAAAAAGTTACTGTTGTTTCTGTCCATCCTTTCACTGTGAGAAGACAGCGCTATAGTTCTGTCTAGAGGCCATTATTGAGAAAAGAAAATAGACAAAAAAGAACTTGTGCAGCGGAACACTCAAACTGGACATCTCGGATGTGGAGAATGGAGCTTTTATGTATTGATAAGTCCATATTTGGGATTACTTGGATAGTAAGAAACAGAAAATAAGAAAAAAATGGCCTTTTTGTTTTCTAAAAAGAAATGTCCACTTGGACTTATTTTTCTCTCTGCTATCTTGTGTGTCAAACAGTGTGAATGCAATACAGGGAGAGAATTCTTTAGTGAAATACTTGTGTCAAAAGGTGGCTATATATTTCACATGTTCCTTATAATGACAGTGCTGACTATTAAGATGCTGCCCTTTTGAGAATTATCTCAGTGTTACTGTGCAAAAGCCGTAAAATTCATACAACCTAAGCTAATGTTGAACTTTAATGTGTTCATTTTCTTTTACTCAGTAAAGTGAGAATAGCTCTACATCATCCATAGACTAAATCAAGTACTGCTTTGTTAAAGAGGCTGATGCATTAGCAGAAACTGAATCATGAGTATGACAGGAAATTATGTCCAGACTGAGGATAATTTATAGAGCATTACTGGTAATTCCACTGTTCTTAACTGTGATGCAGCCTTAGGCACAGTTAATAAATAACTCCCACCTCAATCAGTTAAATCATATTACTCATTCTGTGGCTTTAAAATGCCATTGTTTATCACACACACAAAAAAAGCATATTAGTCTTTTACTTCTTTACATCCCTGCATGCCAACGAGCATTCATCAAAGCTTCTCCCCTCATGTACGTCCACCCATTGGTCAGCTCACCTTATTCTTCCCTTGCAGTACTTCCTGTCTGTGGCTGATGCTCAGGATAGGGTTGTGGGTGGACGTGACCACTGTCCGCTCGCTCACCGCCATCCAGGAGGAGGAAACCGGCTCACATCTTAGAGCCAAAGACAGAGAGAGACAGAGGAAGACAGAGGGACAGGCTTTAGTTTAGCTGTGTTTATAATAGTGATGTCACGCCACACAGGTGTGTGACACAGCTGCAGCAGCAAAAGGGAATACCGGAAATGTCCCATCATCATCATTGGTCCCTTGGGAATTGCAGCTTTTCGTTAACACAGTTATAGCCTCACTGGCAAAGATTCACAAAGTTGCAGGGGAAACTGTCACTTTTTAGAATGCTATTCATGCCTGATTCTCAAAGTTGTAGGAGTTACTGCCATTTTTTTTAATGCTGTTAACACGTGTGGACATGAGGCTGTTGGTGGGTTTCTACGTGCGTGTGTGTGTGTGTATTATCAGAACACTCTGTTACTTGACAAAGTGGCCTTGTTCTGTAATTAGCAGTATCCACTGCTTGGACGTGGTGTTTCTGCTGTCTCCAGTGCGTAAACTTCCTCTCTTTCCTAAATCATCCCCCATCCACAATTCTGCATTCCCTCGAACTCTACTCTTAGCCCATGCCAAAAACCTTGTCTCTCTGTAAGGCACAGCCCTCGAGGCCTGCAGTTTGGTGATTTCCCTACTTTAACTCAACTACTAAACCTGGTTATGAAGTTGAATCAGGTGTGCACGTGTTGAATTTACTTGATTTAAATGTGTACATCAAATGTACTACATGAATGCATTACTGAAAAAGAATAACAATAGTGTTGCTGTAATATATTTTATTCAAGTGGAAGTGATGCATACATTTCAATCCAATTCAGTTTTTTTGAATATTATGTAATCATGAAACTACACTGAAATGCGGAGCTGAGTATCCCTGCTCTAAGGGTTTAGCTAAAGTGCAGACAGTCTAGTGCAGGGGTGTCTACTAACAGAAGATTTGCTAATTTGCTGATGGGTTAAATCACACGTCAAATGTGGTGGGGTGCTAAAGTCTACGGTGCTGTGGCCTATCAGGGCTAGAATATGTGAGGGTATTCTGTGATGTTGGGCATGAGTCTGTGATTGTGCACTAATCGCCCACCCCTCCACCCCACTTCAACTCTCCCCACCCTTGTGTCTCGTTCCTTTCCCCTCCCTGGCTCTGACTCCTCTCTCCCTGATTGCTCTTCCTCTTGGCAGAGATAGTGAGTGCCCGTCTCCTGTGCTTCTGCGTCCCACCCTGATCATGACACCAGGACACATACCACTCCTCACACACACACACTACTCTCCCACGCCTCCCAGGAAACGTACACACACGAAATAGGCTGCATCCACCAACACATATTTGTTTTCCCTTAATCATCCTCAAGGAGATACACTCATCCATGATTCTCACACCCACAGTCACAAAGTGTTTGTGTGCCCGCATACAGCATTGAGAACCTCAATCAGGGCAGAGATAATTTAAACCTACAATGGATGTCTCTCTTTCTAAACTCCCAATGGATCACATAAGTGATAAGTAGAAGCATTACAAACCCATACATGTCAGTGTATTTGATAAAGGGAACAGTTTATTTGGATGAAGGTCAATAATTAGATTAAACCTTCCATCAGTGAGAACTTAACATTAACAATTTCCGAAACCAAATAGATCATATTGTACACATAAATTCAAGCAGATTTCTAATATAAAAACACATACATTTGATATAACACAGATTTTAAACATTTATGAGCCTTCTTACACATTTGGCAATTACTGGCATTTACCATAAGTAAGTTAGTTGTATAAAATTATTAAATATTAGATTCATATATTACTCATAGAAAATCTGTATAAAAAGGATAAATCACATAGGGACAGACCCGTAAAGTGAGAAACCTGTTACACACACCCACAAACAAATGGGTACATATGGACCCTACACACAGACTCTTGACCACACAGACTCACATATGTATGTACACATATACACATGTACAAACAAACTCACTCAAACAGACGTATTCTTTCAGCACAAAACATGGCAACAGTAATACTCAGCATCGCCATGATCAGAGTAGGTTTAAAACAGAGTGACACGCATTGACATGGGATGAAAGGAGTCATTCATTTCTGACCCATAAAGCCCTACACAGCAGGCGCTCTGAGCCATCTCTAATATTGTTCAGGATGAAATTGCGAATTCCAAATCATGAGTAAACCACTCTCCTGGGCTCACACTGACATATTGATCCAGAATATGTCTTCATATATGAACTGAACTCACAGCTTTTGTGGATGTTAGAACTATAGAACAGACAGGATTGGGCTTGGAGACAGGCACGGTTCATACATCCATTATAGTACCACTCTAGGACACAAAAAAGCAAAAGCAGCTCCAGAAATGGTGGTAGGCAGTGTGTGGATGGAATTGCACTTTCTTCTGGCTCAAAAAATGTCTGACAGAGAGAGAAACTGTTAAAAAATAAAAAAATAAAAAGATCTTATCCAGATGGAGGTGGCAAGAATAAATTAGAAAGCAGTTCCAGGGTATGCAGATGTGGGCCAGTTTGCCCTGACCGCTCCTCATCCTCACCCCTTGGGAGCGGTGTCATATTGGTGTATCCCAGCATGCACCGCTGCAGGTCCGTGTCCTTGAAGCAGCTGCCATAGAAACCAGTCCAGACTCTCTCAGCAGGGTGCCACTGCCCTTTAGGTTGATTTTGTTGGTGGAGGTTGTGGGGTTTGTGGGTAGTGACAGTGGCAGGTTTCAGGGTTGAAGGGCTTGGTGGTTGAATACTGCATGGGTCAGGCTGCAGTGGAAGTACGGCAGGAGGGCAGATGAGAATATGCTGATGATGATGTCTCCCAGCACGCATAGCTGCAGGTGCATGAGGTATGGCCCTTTCCTTGAAATAGTTGCCATGGAAACAGTCCAGACTCTCTCAGCAGAGTGCCACTTAAGTGGGTTTTGTTGTTGGAGGTTGGGATTGGTGAGGACAGTGATGGTGGCAGGGTTCAGGGTTGCAAGGCTGGTGCTTCAACAATGTTTGGGTGGGGGTGCAGTGGAAAGGGGAGGAGGCAGGTGAGGATGGTGGTGAGGGGGTTGTTGGAGGTGCTGGAGGGGTTGGGGTTAGGGCGGAGGCTGTGAGGGGATAAGGGCCTCTCAAGAATAGATCAAGCCCTTGAGGAAGCGGCCTGTGCCACGTTTGAAGACGCAGGGACAATCACGCTGCTGGGAAGCCGACTCGCGTCGGGGCGGAAGCCAAACAACGAGAGGAAAAGCGCTCTGATTTTCGCACAGGAAGCCCGTCTGCGCCTCCTGCCCGGCTGAGATAAGAGCGTTGCCGTTCCCATGGCCGAGGCGCGGGCCCGTCCGAGCGCTCAGGGAGGCCCGTCCCGGCCCCCTCAGCGCCACTCTCCCTGCGCCTCCTCCGCCTCAGCGTCAGGCCAGCCGCACCGGGCTGCTACAAAGAATAAGGGCCTCAGTCAGGAGCCTGTGATCAGCTCGCAATAACACTCTCAAACACAACTTTCCATTCAGTAATGACATTTCTATACATTCAGTCTTATACATCATTCCATTTACCCACTTATGAAACCACTATTATATACATGTTCACCTTATAGTGACAAAAACAGTACTGAAATTATGATTTAAATGCATGTTTCATTTTACTCATGTTTCACATGAGTAAAATATACTACATCATCACATTATTGCAGGAAGTAAGGAAACGAAAAGAAAACAACACTGTGCTGATATAACATATTTTATATGTGGATATGATGAACACATTTAAACTAAGTAAATTCAAGGAAGTTTTTTTTTTTTTTGCAAAGAAAATTACATTTTTATATCATTGGCAGTTTATAACTCCTTAAACTCTAAAGACTCAAGGGAAGATGACTTCCACTTCTCACTCTTTTAACAACATAATGTGCATACTCAGTTCATGGTAGTTACCAAATAATACACTGCAGTTTTTGTATGTCTTAAAAGTTCAGTGGGTTAAGGAACATTGTATTATTAACAGCAAGTATTTTGATCAAGCTTAGTGGTTTGGTAAAGCTGAGTAAGACTCAAGGACTCTATTGCATCAGCCTATTTTGAGGTCCTTCCAAAAAAAAAGTGCCTTTTTCACTTCATTGACATTTCATTTTCAGCACTTTTCAGGAAGTGGGATTCAATAGTGTGCCCAAAGCATGAGCCAAGACAAAGGTCCATGGTCACAGCTCTCTGCTGTTGCCATGACAATGTGATAAGGGGATGCATGATGTTGAAATAAGCTTTTCTGTGGCCAGTAAAGGTGGAAGAGCATATGTAGGCGAGTATTTAAATAAGGTACACTAATAAGGTCAATGTTACCTCAGCATTTTGGAGAGGGTTGGATGCAAGAATGAAGTCAGTGAGCAAAGAGGTTTGACCCTTGGACCATTCTCTTAGGATGTGTGTGCTTGTGAGTAAGAATAGGAGTCTCGCTGGGTTGTTCTCTTGTGAATAGTGCTGGCTTGGCTTTTCTCATGAGAATGCTGAATAGTTTGTGTGTCACACATTAGAAAAGGCATGGCAGGATGCGCCTGAGCAATCAGAATAACAAACAGGCCGTATTCTGCACGGGAAGTTCATTAAATCATAGCGTTTGATTTAGAAACCAACAAATCGTGCTTGTAAGCCCGGAACTGGCCTCTTTTGAAGTGCTTTTTTCTGTGCTTTCAACTTTGGGTTACACTGAGTTCTATGACTGTACTAGGCACACTTTCATTCAAGTGCACACACACACACACTGACATACACGTGTACATACAAAAATGAATAGGCACACACACATGAAAGGCGTTCTTAACCATCTGTTCTGGAAGCTAAGAGGAAGCCCTGTCTGAACACATGCTGAAATAGACAAAACATGTCTCAGTTCACAAACAAACAGACACATACATAAGACACCATTCCTACAGACACAAGCAAAACAAACTAATCATACACTGTATGACCAAGTACAGTGTGAAAAGTGGCTAAGGGCTGATGGTTTGTGTTTACGTTTAAAACAGAAATGGCAGCAGGATATTACACAATGTCAGAAAGGAGTTCTCTAAGTTGTTTTAGTGTGGGAAATGTGAAGCATGCACAATTAACATGGTCTGTCTGCTTCTCTGCTATACGACTATAGCATACAGAAGTAATCACTTAATATTCAGCATGCAGCACAGCAGCATGAGAGTTTGTGAAAGCTGTTTCACCAGAGCCACAAATATTAAATGAAAAGCACTGAATGATCTAGTATTTTTTTTTCAGTCTTTTCTGCCAACGAACCTGACACAAGTAAATTAGCCCAGGAAAGAATAAAAGTACGGTTGAACTGTTCTTATCTGTTAGATAAAAAAAAACATGAAATAAAACTATTAGGCTTAGTCATTGATTCTAAAATGCAACTTCTGAGTATGCCCTAAATAAATACATGTAATATCTGTACCATTTCCCCATGCATAGGTTACCTGAATTCCCTATAATAGGTGTATTAGCTTAGATTGGCGATGTACTTACAGGCCTTTAGGAGGGCAGGGATGCCAAAACCATTGGATGCGAGATGGTGGGACACCTTGGGATGTGCAGCGGAGGGCTTGAATGCTGCTCCGCGGGACTGTCCTTGGGTCGTGTACCGCCACAGCTTTCTCCCCTATCCAAGGCTTCACTGTGAGTAAGACCAGAGTGACAGTGACTATGAGCTCAGAATACAACACAGGAACACAAACTTCATAAACATTTTCCTTTAATTTTACAAACATTAAAATATAAATTGATGACAAAATACATATAAATATACTTTTATATTTAATATTTATTGTTTAATTTACAGAGCTTGACAAGACATTCACAGACGTTTCATAACTTTCCATTGTCTGCAAATCCGCTATTAGACTGAAGAGTCAAACAGAATGAGCAAACAAGCTTACCATTCACCACAAGTGAGAGTGTGAGGTTCTGGTAAAGTCCAAACTGCTGGATGCCAGTGAGGATGGTGTAGACTCCTGAATCTTCCTCTGCAACATCTCGAATCACTAGAGAATAGCCATCCACGTGGTATCGTGAACATTGCTCAGCAGCCACCATCCCATCCTTCAACCTGGATATTATTCAGAGAAAGAAACTACATTAAAACAGAAAGCAGATCTCATCAATCTCAGTTACATTTGGAGACACCTTGCATGGATACAATATGCCATGTATTGACTCCTTTTTGCAAATATAGCATGTTACATTTATTTCTATGGTTATAGTATGTGACATGCTTTTTCTTAAATTGACTGATCCTTTACATGCTATATGTGACATGCTGTATCAACATTTTCTTGGACTTGACTCACTGTATTTAAGAGATTTTGTGGATTTCTGAATGTTCTTACCAGATAACCTCAGGCTCAGGGAAAGCCCGTAATTTCGGAGACAGGCGGAAGGATTTCTGTCCTGCATAAGCCTGTACCACTGGACGATCTCTGTACTTTAGCCTGATGAAAGGGCGGTCTGAGGAGCCAAAGACCAACAAGTCCATTAGACATGTACAGAACATCAAAGTCTTTAGTTTACTTACTGAAGTTGGTTCTTATGATGTGGAGTTTAAAACTTACCATAAACTATAACTGAAGAGTTTGCTTGTCGCTTTGCTGGACCACTTGCCACATTGCATGTGTACACTCCTTTGTCAGCCTTGCGCAGTTTATGTATAGTAAGAACGCTATAGAAGACCATGTTGTTTTTGCTTTTGGTAATACGCTTACTAATTGAAGCTGTACTATTGGCCTACAGGCAGAAAAGAACATAGACCATAAGATAGTGATCATGCACAAAGGCTGACTACATTATGGCAAATTTATTTACATTAAATACTCTTACATAAGAAGCTGGATTATGTGGAGGTGTATTTAACTAACCTGCCCAGGGTAAGTCCAGCTAATGGACACCCTGGAGTTCCACTCAGCTGTAACGGTGCAGTTCAAGGCCAGCAACTCTCCCTGGAGAGCTTGAACCAAGCCAGTGTTGTTCAAATACACATCCTGGATCTTATTCACTAGAGACCCCAGAAGAAAAAGAAAGATGAAACACAGGGTAAATGAAAGTAAAAGTGAACCAATGAAAGGAAACATGCCAGAGCATTTCGAGATTATAACATGCTTTTAGCCAACTCCATTCTCATACCTGGTCTGTGGGTCAAAAACTTATTGCTGTATGTAATCCCATTGATGACAGTTTCACAGTAGAAAAGACCAACGTAGAAGTATGTGGGGCTGCGGATGACAAAGCCCCGTCTGCTGTTCCAAATGACGTTTCTCTGATCAGTGCCAAGTTTGTGCTTAGGAAACTGTTAAGATCAAAACAGGAATCAATCAACTCAACAAGAAATCCTTGCAACTGACACCCAAGAGTTTTAGGCCTCATTCACCAACCATTTATGCAGTTTTCATGAAGATTCTGCCATTTACCAATGTTTACTTATTTGGCATTTGTTTTTAGGTAAGAACAGAACCTACGCACACTCAAGAGCATAAAGATGCATACAATTCTGTGGTTTATGAAGACGTCATGAATCTGACGAAGACTATCTTATGACCTTTCTCAAGAACAATTTAAAAAAAAAAAATTAAAAAAAAATAAACATTTCCTCTAATTTTACAAACATTGAAATATATATTGATGACAAAATACACAGAAATATACATTTATATTTAATATATATTGTTTAATTTACAAAGTTTCACAAGATATTCACAGACTTCAGTGAATGAGACCCACTTTCACAACTTTCATAACTTCCCCAAGATTTTGGTCAATGAGGCCCATTGTTCTAAACGTAAAAATGAGTCATGTCATCATTGCACAAAGCATTGGTGATGTACATCTCATAACGCAAAACTTGAATCTGTTCAACCGCGTTGATGCGAAACAGGATGGTAATTTAATGCCTGTGATGTTGAAAAGGACAGGTTTGATAACAAGGCACTGTCTGTCTGAAATTCTTGGAGAGTTGTGCTATGATTTTGTTTTCTTCCATGTTCATTGGAGGAAATGTTTACTAGAGGTGCTGTGACAGCTTGGAAGTGTCCTGCCCTTTCTCAGGGGAACAGGTGGACGCCTACTGCCCAGAGTGAACAGGTCAAATACCCCCCCCCCGTGCAGCGTGCTAAGTAAGCCCTTTTCCCATGCAGGTCTTATATATATAGCCAATGAGTCCTGCTAACATCTTTCATTTTAGGCCATTCCATAAGACGGTTGCACACCTCGCCCCACCACAACACAACTAGCCCTTGTACGGAGCCTGAGAAGGTTGAGGATGTGGAAACGTGACTCCAGTCCATCTCCTCACATCCTGTTACTACGGGATATAGACACTGCGGCTGGGGCTCTCAGGTCAACCTCTGGAAGGGCCCCCCTGTACACTTTCACAGCTTCTGTGAGAGCACAGCCTCCAGGGTATTGTTCCCCATGCAAGAGGTGCGAGATTAAAGATAATCGGGTGAGCACATCCTTTCCGGAAAAAAACACTCTAGCAGCGTGTAACAGTCCAAGTTTTAGAAGGGGGTGGAGGCGGCTTTGTATTTTTAGACTGATTACCTTTTTGACTCTGTGCATAGGGTCAAGCAGGACGTAAACAGAGCAAAACTGAAATTAAATGCAAAGCTTTTTCAGGCCAAAGGGAGGAGAGGGATGTCATATCGATGGCATATCCCCAAACAGCTCCCATCCTGAAAGTGGAGCCAAAGGCAGTGCAAGGGGAACTGGTCGTTTTGCTCTTTTCCGCTTCCCGTCCTCATCTGAAACTCATCCTGAAATGCTTCAAAAGTTTTAAAAACTCTCAGGGGTATCTATTGGCCTAATATTATTACAGTTTTGGTGAGGATGCGACGGATTCAATCACACTTGGTTAAGTCATTCCAGCTAACTGAGTGAATCAAGCCCACCAGCTGTGAAAGACATCAGCCTGCATGTGGCAGCCAACACTTCCCCAGGCAGAAGGGCATGGGGAGGGGGGCACTTTGACCCCCACATCCTGTCTCCATCTCCGGGGCTGAACACAGTGCCAACAAGACAGAGGAAGCCGGGGGCGCCGCTCTCTCTCCACCCGCTGGCATTAGACAGGTATATGTGTCACAGAGGCCTTGAAGGATACTGCTCTATACACAAACACACACACTCGCACGCATCCACACTCATGCAAACAGGTCTGATGGAAAGTTAAAGACATGGACAATAGCTGATTTGTGAAAGAAATGGGAGCTTATTCCTCCCAGCTTATTACCACCAGCAGGGGAAGAACCTAATTCACAAAAGCATTTTAAGAAAAATTATGTTTTAAAATATCATTTCCCCTAAATGCAGACAGAAAAAAGCTAATAAAATGTATTACTTAAAAAAAACTTTAGAATTTTTTAACTTTGTTCTTACCACTTCTTTTAAAAAATAATTCCAAGAACATATGTTCAAACTCCTTGAATACGTCTTACAGTAGCCTAACCCCTGTCTTTGTCTGAAAAACTGTAACTTGTGTGTGATGAAATGAGGTGATCAGCTATTAACATCTGGGAATGTTTTTTTCCAAGTCCATTTTTTTTTCAATTCAGAATTGGACAAAAATATTCTTAAGAACCTATCCTGAGCAAGCTGTCTTGAACAAGTCTTAACCCTAATAATGTATTTGTCTTAAGACTCAATTTTTTTTCTTTCGAAAGCTTTAATGAATCTAGGCCAAAATTGTAGCAATGGATATCCAGATGGATCAGTATAGGAAAGTGGTTCCTAACTCTGGTCCAGGAGTACCACTGCACTGCACATTTCAGTATTCTGACTGCCCTACCACACCTACTTCAACTCAGGAAGGGCTTGTTAATTATGATTAGATAAGGTGTGTGAGATCAGAGCAAACACCAAAATGTGCAAGGCAGGGTTACCCCAGGATCAGGTTGGGAAGCACTGGTGTAAGAGCTGAGAGGAGGAGTTGGGTAAGGAGAAGCATGATTGTGGGGTCAGGTTAGGATTGTTATGATGAAAATGGGTACAGCAAACTCATGAAATGAGAGGGAGGAGAGGAGAGGATAAGGTTCATGCGAGAGGAAGAATTGTACTGTGATAAGTATTACACAGTAGTTGCTGGGTGGAGATACCGATGATACCGACGTTAAAACCACTGTTGTACCTTTGTGGGTACATTTGCATTATTTGTACCTTAATGAATGGAAAATATACCTGCACATGTACCTGCACAGTACCTTTATTTCTAACAGTGTAGGCAAAACTACTTTCTAGGACTTCGCAAGACAAGGAACTTTTAAAGCTAAACAGCACTGACAGAAGAACCTTGAGAATCCAGACAGCAAAAGTAGAGAACGATATGTGGGTTACCTGTAGACAAAATGATTAAGCAAAAGGAGGAAAATGAAAAACGGAAGAGAGGAAGACATTGGGTGGGGAGGCATGTTAATACTAAGGTAGAGGGTCCTGACCATGTTAAATATGATGTTGATGCTTGATGATGACAAATGGTTGATGGCTGACCAAGATGGGCTGTTGTGTCAAAGAACATGACACATGTTCAAGACCTTTTGGATGGATTTTCATTGTTTGCAAGTAGCTTGTAAAAGGTTACTTAAAGAGTGATTTTGACAGCAAACTGGAGAAGCCAATAGAGGTACTCACTTTGATCAATGAGACTTTGGTGTCCGGGTCAGTGACTCTGCAGGGAAACACTAAGTTTTTTCCTTCCTGCATGTAGACCACGTCTGGAATCTCTTTCTGCACCTTCACAAATGGCCGCTGGCTATCTGAAACCCAAACACTGGGGTCAGGAACAAACAGATACACTTTCTTTTGGGTACATACAAAAACACACACACACATACACACACACAAACAAATGATTGCTGACAACAATTCAGAGTCAGCAAGAAGAAAACAAAGACACTGTTTGCAAGTAATCAAAAGCTTTTTCTGTGTTGTTTCCAGGCTTGCTTGCACTTTATTCTGCAGCTGGAACTTTCTTGTGGCATTGAAAGGGCTTGGGTGTTGCTTGCTCCATTGTTTATTACTGCAGCATTATTAAAAGAAAGAAAAAAATCTCTGAACATTTTAACAAAAGTACCCCAAGGACCGCTGGACGCAGGCCTTCCTTGATGCGCTTTGATTCCATCTAAAGGAGGGAGGGACGAGCTTTATGGACATGGTCACAGGAGCGATTGATGGCCCTCAGGGGCCCTGTTGGCTGACCAGGGGCTGTACCTACTGACCTAAGGGCCCCAGCTCTGTGCATAGCCTCCACTGTCACTTCACTGGGGACAAACCCACCAGCCTCTTCTGCCTCTACCCCCTCACACTCTATATGTTAAAAACAAAATATAGTGGGAGCTATTTTTTAACACATAAGTGTGTCCAGTAGGTACAGGGCAATTAGTTGTTCCCATTATAGTTTTAATTTTATACTCTGGTATAAAACCCAATGATAATCATACCATTTTAAAATTTGTGTAATTAAAATAGCCATGTATTATTACCATCTTTTTTAAAAAGGCATGTTGGAAGTACCAGGACATACCTACTGCTACAGTCTCCTTGTAAAACACTCTAAATAACAACACTTACACTGTAAACTTTTCAGATTTGAACAGTAAACAGTATCAGTGCTGTTGATAATTTCAGATTTATTTTAATTGTTGCTTATTTTTTGGTGTTCTAAAGAAACATGAGAGGTTCAATAAAATATTACCAATATCTGTAATGAAATTTTGAAACTTTTGAAATATGTTCAGTATATTTTCTTAATATTTAATTTATTAATAGTTATTACCAATATAATATAATTATTCATAATTACAGGAAAAACTGAATGTTGGTCACTGACTTTTTTTTTTTATTTTCCTTTTGAACCCAATGACGTGTTTTAACGACGCAATCTGTCAGATTTATGTTGTGATGTGGTCTGACAGAAAAATGTTTCAACAGAGATAATACACAAAAAGCGTGTTCTTAATTAAATATAAGTTTCAAGAATGCTGCACCTACCACACTGACCCCCCACCACCCTAACATCAACACATGCTCAACCCTACTCTGCCAAGAAGACATCCCATCCCCCATTTGTCCCTTGCCAGCCCCCCCAGAGCAGCACAGGATGCTGCCAGCGAGGCTGAGAGAAGGAGATAACGCTGGTGCCCTGGGAAAGGCTGCCCAGGAGCTTAGCCTTTCGGCAGCTGGGACTATTTCTGTCCCACTCTAAGGTGGCACGTAAATGAAAGTTACAGGTTATACATAGACAAAAAGTGGGGGGAGGATGGACTATGCCATAAAAAAGAAAAAACAAGACAGCAAGAAACCATGCCAAATACACACTTAGTAGGATGTGCTGCTCTGGGGAAAAATGGTGTTTAGATATTATTGGCTTCCTTTGGCTTCCTGTTTAGCCTTAACAAATAGAAGCGGTCAGTGAGAAGGAAGGCCATTATAGCAGGGTTTGAATTAGATGATTATTGCTATTATTACCATACAGCCACATGAACAGCACATGAAGCCTCTTACCTGTGATGTAGACATAGATGGAAGTATGCTTGCGCTGCTTGTGGACATAACGGCAGCGGAAGGAGCCTGTATGCTGGGCTAATGCAGGGCTGAGAATCAGTCGGCTACAGTACTGACTTGCATGCTTTCCACAGCGGGATTCCTCTACACGGGCACCTGGATAGTCCTTGGGCACTCCAGAGGGAAAATCCCACTTTAGGTCCCACCGACCCCTAAACACCAGATATACACTTATATAAAGACTCTTACAACCCGCAACATGATAAAGCTGCACTTTTGCACTGCTTGACTCAAACATCAAATGTCACTAACACTTTAATCACAGTAAATCATCATCTCATCTTGTCTTGAACTGCACAGTTATTAACATTCAACCAAAATTTGCTTTGTGCATTGTCTTCATTATATAATTCACATTTTGTACATTTTAGTTTTTTAAGTAATTACGAATCAGACCAAAAATTATCAAACTGATAAATCTGGAGATTTAATAATGCACTGAATAATTTCCTAAAGAAATGTAATTTAATACAATCATTAATAAGTCAGAGATGTACATCACTAGTTAGTTTACACCTTCTGGATGTTTTTAACTGCTGGATCTTAAGGCACATGTTATTCAGTGCCATAATCAGTGATTCCAGCATGGCTTCAAAAAGTCACTTTCTAATATTTTGCATGAAACATTCTGACATGTGCTAAATGAGTAATTCATGCCCCTGGTCTACTGATTTTTACATCAATGACCCAGCTGCGTAACTCTGCACCTGTCTCTAGACCTCGTGAGTGATTATGGGTTGCGCACCTGCAGTTCAGCTGGAGTGTCTGGTTCTTCTCCAGGACAAGCTGTTTGTCATTCACATCCAGAACCGGAGACCTGAACCTTCCTTTAGCTTCTAAATCTGTCAGAAAAATAGGAAAACATGCGTCTTTAACAGCTGTTGTGTAAGTCAAACTAAAAACATTTATACAGTCTGTTCTTTTGAATGTTTAATGTTTTACGTCAACTTTAATGACCAAGTTTAAGAACACATTCTATGACATTTATCATTTATTAACAAAGACATGTAACAGCTCATGCTCGATTACTGACTACAAGCCAGTACCATCTGATCAGATAATTTGCTCAAAATTACATTATATTACATTAATTAGAATTTCACTATTGACCAAGTAAAGTCAAAAAGTGCAATAAAGTAAAACATGATAAGCTTGACCCAAAATTCTTTAGGAGCAAATAAAATGTACAATGTTATTGCATATAAAATGAAAACAACCACAACACTTAAGTGCACATGCATGTAGCAGGACAGCTATGATGCAGCCTACATCAGTTCAAATGTATAGCCTGTTGTAGGCCTACTGGACAATACATGCAAACATAGCTGAAGTATTTTCTAAACAAAATGTACAATATGAAGACCAGGCCACTGCCACAAACGCATGGAGTCTTTCTCTATTTAAACAGACTTCATACATAGTTAACCTGGCTGATATCATTTCCTGATACTCTATGGTCCTTGGTCACAACGTGTTCCCAAACCTTTCCTAAATATATCCTGGACTGGAGAGTTACTATAGGGACTATTGTTGGCTTCTTTCAGCATTGTCTAAGCTAAAGTCATATCATCATTTCCTTGCCACTATTCACACATGGCGTGCGGGCCATTTGCCCATACATTAAGCTACTGTTGAAAGAGGGAAGCTGGGTCAATTAGTCCAGGCTTTCACAGCTCCAGGCATGGACACACACTACCCCACTCAGTTTAGTGTTTCCCCTGCACTAACACATCTGATCCAGCTTATCAGATACTGATCAAACACTTCAAGAGCTGAATAAAGGTTGCTGCGGCTTGGGCATCGCTTTGTTTCAAAATGATGTGTGGAAATGTACATGATGAAAAAAACAGCATGACTTTACATAATTAGTGAGAAACATGCATTTACACATTTGCATTTATCTGCCCTATACCTGCCTATAGTCCTTCTGAATGTCACTGGACCCACTAAATTATGAAGTCATTAAGTAATCGAAATACAAATGTCCCTACATGCAACTATTTTTTCCCATATAGAAAAAACGCTTAGACCTGAGGTTCCTTATTTGTGCACAAAGTCAGGGGTCTATTCAGTCTAAAGCAATTTTGCCCACTCACACTGAAGTTCACATATCATCGCTGTTGGAGCAAAACCTTGTATCTCCAAAATGGTAACTTTACAGGCAAAGGCAAAAACATTCTTTATTTTTAATGTAAATTAATGTAATAAGATTTTTTGTAAGTAATCCTGGACCATTTCTATTGGTCCACTCATGATGAAATACCGACAATGTCAAAGGCAGCTAGTATTTTTAAATTATGTAAAATGGAGATACTATACAGCGTCAGTATATTTAAGGGAACAGTGAAAAATACAACCTTTAATTCTAAGGGGTAAAGCAAGGTTAATGAGCAGTTTATGGGAAAATGAATTTCAACTGGGGAATTGGGGCAAACATACGATATGGGCTCTTGAAGGCGCTTCCTCCTTCAGCCTGTCTGCTCTGTGATTACAGGAGACGCTGAGCTCGTCTTTCATCACAGTTGATGTTTTGTTAGCTAAATTTAGGGTTGCCATCTCAACACTGTAAAATTCCCGGACACTCGATCAGTAAGTTCAGCAGACAGGTAGCTATGACGGGTAGGTATGCAGTCCAAGTAGATAAATGTCTGTTCAGTCTTAGTTATTACGTTGCAGTGCTGCCCAATGCTTAAATGTCACCAGCCGTGCACCTGTTCCAAACTGTCTTTATGCTGAGGCTAATCTTAACCAATCAAACACGTTCTTTGTACAACTTACTAGTTAATGGTCTGGCTGGATAAAAAGCCGCAGTTTAAACTTCATAAGAACTACTAACATATGAAAATGTTTGGATTCCTGGACATTTTGTATCTAGGAATGGAACTGTTTTTGTTTTTTCTTTCCTGGACCGACAACCAAAAACCTGGACAATCCAAGGAAATCCTGGACGGATGGCAACCCTGAGTTAGCTAACAGATAGCTAGTAAAAAACTGCAGCCTTAGCTACAGCAGACCCCTATGTTGAAAAGACGCCAGACGTTAATGTTGTAAGGAATAGCTGTATTTTTAGCTATGAAATTTACATGCAGATGAAAGAACTCAGTTTAGTTCTTGGCTAACTTACCTGGATTCAGATGAGCCATCTGTTTTGAGTTAACTTACCACTCCACGCTAACGCGCTAATTTAGGTTAGCAAGATAACGTTAACCTAGCCGATACTAAAAGAGGAAGAATGATTAATATGTTAACTACGTTTAACTAACACTGAAATTATCTGGGATTTGCTCTGCTTCAAACACCCAAACGAGACAACTTCATTAGCTATATAGCTCTGCTAAGATAACCTTAGCTAGATAAATTCCCTTGGAACTCATGTTAATGTACCAGGGGCACGCAAAATAAACATGAGCTAAGAGTGGATGTTAATTTTTCAGACTTAGCTAGGTTATAATGACTTATTATCAGTTAGATAATATGTTTTAGGACAATAATTGTAAAAATGACGACTATAAGTATTAAACTGTTTTTCTCAGCTGTGACGGTTCAACTAACCATTTGCTCAGGCTTGCGCTGATCCGTTAAGTGTCCGTTAAATTTTGAATTTGAAATAAAAGCGCGCGCGTGGGAAGCAGCAGGGCCGTGATGATCGGATTATTCCACAGTCAGTACAGGACGGAGTCCGCTCAGATCTACATCTTACATTTAGAAAAGTGATGGGAACAAAATAAGACATTTCAGAAAGTGGAGGCTGGTGACCCTGTGTCCCAGCGAGAATGGGACCAGGACTACTCAGAGCTGTAGTCAGGGGTATCCAGGTCTGGATATCAGTTCACCATGGACCAAACGGTAAATGCCATGAAAACATGTATTATAATAGATAAATTACCAGGTCAGATACTGGTTTAGCTTGAGGTCCACTCACCATCAGCGTAGGTTTATATACAAAAAAAACCAACCCATTTTTACATGCCAATTTCCCAAACCTCTTTTTGTCCCACAGAATTAAACAAGGTGTTTTAAATTTAAATGTTCATACGGTCATATGCAAAAGTTTGAACTCCCCTGGTCAAATTACAGGTTTTGTTGATTTTCTAACTAAAAATAAGTTCACACATCCTTTATGGGGAAACATTTAAATATGACATTTTCTGCAAGTTGTAGTGCACGATTTTTATTTGTTTGCTGAGTTTAACATATTGGGAGAAGAATAAAAACAAAAATTTAATTTTTGCACAGGCCACATTTTATGTTTTATTTTTTCCCTAAGAAGATGTGTAATTATTTTCACAAAATCAACAATTTGACAAGGGGGCGCCTAGAATTGTGAGCACAACCCATTAACTTGAGCTACTTTTTTGAAGTAAAAAAAGTGTAAACAGCAAGCATTTTTTTAAACATGGTGAACTCTTCGTGAGAACTCGATTTTTTTTCTAATTGTATTCCGGCTTGCCCCGCCCCCCATACTATAATTGGCTAGTAGTGCCTCGCCCCTGCCCTGCGATTGGCTAGTACTTAATTATCTTATGCAGTCCCCTTTTTTCAGCGCTTGCCGCAATGCAGGTGGGAAAAAAAATAATCAGCGCCAGGAGTTCCCACCTCATTTCCTCCTCTCTGTTTTAGCTATAAGTTGCTGATTGGCGGTGCTTCCTGCGCACTCCATAGTTTCCTGGAGGTGGTCATGACCCAGCACAGGAGTCATTTATACCAGAACTTCCATTTTATAAAGTGATCAGGGCTCAGGAAACAACGCCCTGTCCGATCCAACCAAACACCCAAAAACACATAGAGGTAGGTACGAGAGCCTAAAGCCATTCTCAAGTATAAGTTCCACTTATCCACTACTGCAATGAAGTAATGACTAAAGTAGCAGTAAAAGTAGCTACCAAAAATCAGTTTGAGCAAAAAGTAGCCAAAGTGCAGAGAATTCAGTGGATCTTCTCAGTATTTATCAGCATAGGAAGTTTATTAGGCTCTGTTGTTCTTTTGGTCAAAAATAATATGCTAAAGCTCCAAAGTGAGCAAAAACATAGTAAAAATAGATTACTTTCCTTATAAATAAACTTGACAGGTCAAATTTTACAATTTGAAAAAAAAAAAACTAACAAAAGTATAAATCCAACAGAACTGTACTTAAGTACATGGAATTGATTGATTGGAACGGGTTTCTAATGTGCCCTCCGAAATTATTGGCAAAACACAGTTATTGGCACCCCTCAAACTTCTTAGTAACAATATCGCATTTACATATATTCATATTTGAAAGTACTCCAAGTACTCCAAGAAAAAATCTGCATGTAAATGAGAGAATGGAAATGAAGTGATAAAAATCCAAAAGTATTCTCATTTCCGTTTCAATGCTTAAAGCTTATGAGTCATGACCAGATCAGTGACCATATTAATCATACTCAACTCACTCTGAGTTCATTATGCACCTGCTGCTGAATTGTGCTTAAAGGAATTTAATATGCCAGATTTTTATGACATTGCTTTCAAGTCAGTGCAAATGAAGATGCATTTCAAGGATTAGGCTGCAATATTTCATGATATACGCATAATGTGTAATGTAACATATAAAATGAACTTGAACCTTCATATCGTGTGTATACGTGACACTGAGCAAGTACTAACATTCCAAACCTATTACTTAACAGGCATTTAGTAGGAAGTGAAAGTGTTTACCCACCGATTGAAACAACATTTCAAGCAAAAAATATGAATATTTCAAATTTTAAACATCGCAGTTGAGGTTTGTGCATCACTGAAGTCCTGTCAGCGCGCTCTGCTCTTACCTTTGGCTAGTACGCAGCTGGACAGTCCACACAGCATCACCAACAACAGCTCCAGCATGGTTTCAGTGGGTGGCAGACGATCCTCTGTGTGGGGGGAGAAAAGTTGAGTGAAGGCACACAGTGCAGCCGTGCTGCTCCAGGTGATCAGTAATGAGGAGTGAGCAGTAATGTGCAGTAATGTGCCTGACTCCCCCTTTGCTCTGGCCTGTGGGTGGAAACTGGGCTGAGCTGCTGGACAGCCTGCAGAGGTGGGAAAAATGCAGGAACTCCACACACACTCTTGTCCATTGTGGCTGTGGGCTGGGATTTATTCAGTTCACACGGCTGGCGGGAGCGCGCACGGATAAGGGGGCGCACAGGGAGCGCGCACTGAGACCAGATAGCGCTTTCAATTTTACTTTTATTTTATTCAGTTCATTCTTCATTTAATTTCATTTAAACGGGTCCACATCAATAAAATCTATAACATCAAGACCCAACATATATAATAAACAATAAATATGTTATATATTTAATTTGTGTGGAACCATCTGAATCAATTACTCACTGTTCATATGACTGTACATTTGTAACACTATTAGGCACCACATACCCTAAAAGGTGCCACATAGATGAACCACTTTTGGTTCCCTAAAGAACCATGTTTAAAAAAGACATTTGTGAGAACCTTTGCATAATACAAAGCTTCTATACCAGGTTAAAAGTTATTTTCAGAACCTTTACATTACATGGAAGTTCTTTCAACTTTAAAAAGGTTTTTCACACCTACTCATCTAATTTACCAAAATAGTTTTTGAAGGAACTATTTGTTGAAAGGCTTGTGTTGGGGAACCACAAGTGCTCTTCTATGACACTAAAATTGTTTCTGACACCTTTATTTAGTTAGAGTGTAACTATTTTTTTGTATATGCTGGTTTGAGCTATTTTATCAACGCATTAAATTCCAAGGACCCATCCGTGACTCCAGACTTCAGTTCCTCGCTCTCACAACTACACAACATTCATATTAGTTTCATATTAGTTACAGAATAAGTCATGGTAGTTACTGGATAATAAGCCTAAAGAACCAAATAGGTCTGTAGTTTAAAGGTAGTTTCACCCACTCCCACTACTGCATAATTCAGTCATAATTCAGGTGTGAAATGCTCCATTCTGAAGATACATACTCAGACTTGTTCACAGTGGTGGTGATAGGAACCAGATGTCCAAAGAGTTCAATGCCTCTAAAAGCTTCTTTACAGAATTATTACATTAAATGCTTTATGAATATGCTGCCTGAGGCCTGAGACATTGTTCCACTATAGTTTTCAGATAAGGTTTTGGCCTACAATTTTTTTTTTATTTCATATGAAGGAGATACAGGTAGGTTGCTGTAAAGCAAAATACTTCCCAAATATTTTTTTCAGATTTAGCACTATTTTACCATCACCAACATTACATACAAAAACTCATATTAACTCAATGCAGAGCATTTCAACCCTTGGTTTCTATCATCACCACTCTAAAGAAAACCTAAGTCAGTGCAGCATTTCGCATTAAACCATTCTGAATGACTTTGTTTACATGTCAGTGAATAGGAAATTGAGACATTTTGAAAAGCTCTTGAAGGAGTTATACAATTTAGGGATCATCACCAGACTTACACTGCCACAGCTTAATGGGGACTAATCTGATTCAAGTAAATTCAAAGCACTATTTTTTATAAGCACACTGCATTGGACAGCATAACCACGCCAGATACAATAATCAACCTCATACTAAACACTAGATGACACACACATACTGAAACGTGCAGGAGAAGAGATGGCACTGCAGTTGCTTCCAGTGTATGAAACAAGCAATGGAAAAAACAGACAGTGTATAAGCAGGAATAAAATGATCAGACAAATATTATTAAGAATGAAATATCTGCACTGTTAATAATGAATGACTATTGACTTGTGGCTAAAGTGATGAAATCCTGAAACAAATATGCTCTTTAGGATGTGTTAAAGTATATTATTATAAAATCTACATGAACATGCTGCTAAAAATAAATCTGCTACTTGCAAGGGAACTCAAAGTAATACAGATGAGAAGAGTAAAAAACTGAAAGATACACAACGGATTGAAATGAAAAACTGAAGGGTTTCGCAGTGAGGCTCATTTACGTTTGCTATTTAGGTTGTACCTAGTGGCTGTGAAGTATATACACCCAAAAGAAATGCTTTCTAACAGGTAAACTATAATAAAAGTATGTATGCTCACACAAACTCACACAATCACAAATTACAGATTCAAAGTAATATAGCACCTCTGTTTAATATAGTTCTAGTATTTGAAATGTCTAATATAAAGTGTCATTGTTTACTCGGTTTTGACATCGACACAAGGTTGTTGGACATACAGAAAAAATAGTGTAACTAAGGCTGACCAGTGTCAGGAGTATGAGTGAACAAATGGCACTGTGTTGTCTCACTGACAGGGGGTGCTGTAGGAATGAATATCAGGAGTAGCAGTGAAACGGAAAGAAAAATATAGAGCTTAAAACTGATCACGATTCCTTGACATGTAATCAATTTCACAGTGTCTCAATATGGCATTTATAAACTGACGAGATACAATGGTGCACCAGTAAGGGGTAATTAAATCTAGAAATATCATTCAAGGCATTAATATGAATACATGTATGCTACTAGTGACTCAGCACATGCAAATTATACAAACAGAAACAAACTCTCGAAGAGAACTCATTCCACTGCATATAATGAAAATGGCGTTCTTCAAACTGAACATTTAAGCACTAAACTAATGGTCCGTCATTCAAGGGCTGGTCTTGGAATGTTGGGTGAACTGTTGGGTGTCCTGGACAACATGAAGCCTTACTGAACAGAGATGTATGAGGTGGACATGTGGGCAGTGGTTATACAGATGTGGCTTGGCGGGTTCCTTCGTAGAAAACATGCTGAAGCTCGCTGCATCACTACGCACCATGGGGACTGGCTTGATGCCCGTGAAGAACAACGGAGCATGTGCAAATCATGATGTTATGATCCAAGCTATGTGTGCAGGTGTCACACCTGGCCTTTAGTCTGCTGGTGGATCCAGTCTGTGAACTTGATGACCTGTGTGTAAACCCCAGGCCGGTTTTGCCGGGCGCAGCCCTCCCCCCAGCTCACAATGCCGGCCAGAAACCACCTCCGCCCTCGCTCCAGACACACCAGGGGTCCTCCAGAGTCTCCCTGTGAACAAACAAACACAAACACACACATAAGTCGGATGATTTGATTCAAATCCAAACACAACTGACAATAAAGCAATGGTTCAGCCAAAAATTCACTCAGATTTTACCCAGATCAGCTTAGATGTTTTTGGTGTCTTAAGTGTGCTTGTTCAGTATTACAGTTACACTACAAGGCAAATGCAGCTAACAAGTATCAGAATGTTATTGCCACCAATCGTTGCAAGTTGTTAAGCAATCTAAAATAGACTTCCTTATGTGGTTTCCGACACTGCACTGCTATCTAAAAATAGACAAAAGTACACTGTATAGTTAGCTGTAGTAGCAGTCATCATAAATTCTGAAGTTTGTAAGTACTCACGTCAGGTGGTCTTTAGGTGGGGCAATGGCCCACCCACTAGAGAGCTGCACAGGAATGCAGACAGCAGTAATTTGCTGGTATGGGGACAAAATTACATTGACAAAAGGACTGGGGATAAACTTAGCAGGATTCTTGTAGGTAGGGTAATGAGGTGTATACTAACACCACAGGAATGGGAATGAGAGTACCATTTTTTTTTTTTTTTACAGCAACCATATCCAGTCATACCGTATGCTTAACCCACTTTTTTTGACAAATCAATCTCATTCTTATACCTTTTTCTCTTAGCCCTCCAGTCACTGCTTAGAAACTATTGCTATTAAATTACTGACAAATCTACCATTACCTTGCAGCTTGAGCTCTTTAACCAGCATTTTCCATATGCATATATTTTGAATTTAAAGCTACAGATATAATCTGATTTGCCTGAGGGACAAATGATAACTAGATTCTGGATTCTACCCATGTCAAAACCCAAAAAACAACTAAAAAAACATCAGGTATAGATCTGTCTGTGAAATAAACCTTACCATCAGCTCAATACAGACAGCAAAATAAACAAAACTTATGTTTGTTCAAGGGTGAGTCGTTTCATTTGCTGCATAGTTGGTAATATGAGATCATTTGTTTGAATAAGTCGCAAAGTGAGAGTGACATATTTGTTCATGTCAAACGGAAACTACCAAAATCATAATCATACAGTACAGTTCTAAACTGTTTCTGGGGTACTGTTCTATATATAAGATGCTCTAAAAACAACCTGATGAAAAAAATCATTTATAGGATGGGAAATTTTACATATTTCTATGTATAGGGAGAGAAGGGGGATGTGTTAGATTAAGTTGGTGTGCGGGGATGATGAGGGAACGATGATGGGGCACGTGGACAAGGAGTAACAACATCTCTAACACCTCCCCATCCCCACATTGACCAACACCGTGGCGAGGTGTTGGAGATGTTGGGGAAGGCAGTGTGTCATATAGTGTCAGAAACCACATAAGGAAGTCTATTTTAAATGACTTAACAACTCGATCAGTTTGAGGCAAGTGTGTGAAGATTTAGATAAGATGCAGTTTGCACCATTCAAAATACCTGTAACTTTCCACTACTTCTTAGCTACTGTCAGCCAAACATGCCCTAGCTTACTGAATACATTTCAGGTAAGGGGAGATAAGTGGTTCAAAAGGCTGTAATTCCACAGAACATACCACAGAACTAATCTGTGCTTCCCAGCGCATTAAATAAACAAAAAAAGCATAACAAACAGAAACTCACTTGACAGGCATCGACTCCTCCCTGTATATTCCCTGCACAGATCATTCTGGGAGTGACAGCGTCATCGTACATTTTGTTGCAGGTTTTATGATTGATGATGCTGACGGTGGCCTCCTGCAGCAATGTGGCCAGCTCACCTGAAAGCAGAGCCAGACTGAGTTCCCAATATCCTTCTCTGCTTCTGACCAGTAGAGGGCAGAGCAGAGACTTTGACGGAACAACACTAAAAGCACTGGGGCACAATGTTCAATGCTCAGCATCTATAATTCTTTTTAAATGATTTTTCCATCACCTAATCTCTCAGCTCAGCTGTTGCTTTGTGCTTTGACAGCTGCAAAAAATAGCTGGTCAATCAATGGATGGCAATGAATTCTGTGTGTGCTTGGTATTGATGCCTGGGAGAAGGTGCTCCAATCTGTGGAGTAGTTACTAAACTCTTGCTAAAGTATCTTTTTATTTTTCTTCTACTTCTTTCTACTCACAAATAACACTCTCCTGTGTACTCACATTTATATTGTTTTCTAATATTTAATTTTTTATTTTTACTATCTCTGCTTTTTGTTATTGTGTTCTTATGTAGCTATGTGTTTGCATATTTTATTTCATCTACTGTTCTAAACGTATATTCTGTAATACACCACCACACCCTGGGGGCCAACTTATTTACCAGAAGTTCACAACAAAGGTTTAATTACACTAAGTGATGGGACTAACTATATTGAGTTGCATCAACTGAAAAAATCCCACTTTTTTTCCAAAAATGTATATAATAATGAATAATTATTAGTAATGATGCAAATTTAAATGTACGTGTGTAACTAACCTTACTTGTAAGTCTTACAAACTTTTCATTTTATAAACTTATTATAGCAATTGACTCCCTTAATTATTTAAGTTCTGCGAAATAATCTGGATTTATAGCGTATGCAGTGAATCTCACAGACAGAGAGTTTACCTTCCTCAGTGAGGACGCCCCAGCCGGTGACGAAGCAGGTGGTTCCAGAGGTGAAGGCGTGGGATGGGGCAGGCACACAGACGGGCTGGACCAAGTCATTGAAAAAGACAGGGGCGCTGAGCTCCAGCAGAGCAATGTCGTAGTCTGAGGTGAACTGATCGTACTGGGAGTGCTGGACGATGCGGCGGATCTGCCGGGTGGCCGCAGCGTTGCTGGCTGTGTTCATGACTCGCATGCCTAAGTAGGCCCTCCAAGCACGAGCATCAGAGTATCTACACAGGTAAAGGAATTCACACATACACACACACATACACTGAGGAAGGAAAACTGGCTGCATCCAAAACCATACCAAATACTATGTCAAAATTCTTCACCACCAGTAGTCTAAGTAGTGCATTCAGCAATGAAGTATGTGTAGTATGTGTTTTTACACACCTTATTCATGGGAAAGATCAGAGAATACACAAAAGAAATGAGTTAAAAGTGAACGGACTGTTGCTACAGAACTAAACAAGAGGACAGAACAGGCCACTCACTTAATGGCATCTGAGTCCTGGAAGCAGTGGGCGGCGGACAGGAGCCAGCGGCTACCCACCAACGAGGCTCCACACACATGACCGTAGCGTTCCATCTGCAGGCTGACCTGCCACGGCCACGAGCCAGCCTGAGCATCTCTGCCCCCCACGATCTTGGCCCTTTTCCTGGGACGCGTCCCACAGCCTGCTCCAGGCAAAACAGCAGACAATATGGACAGTGTAGCCATGGCACTGCAAGACAGCTTTTTTCATATAGCAGATTAACCCTTAGAAGTTGCAGATATTGGAAGGGATAATAAAAGCTTGGTGTCTTTTTATGTTAATAATTTCTCACTCGTGGCTCATTAAAACAAGCAGAGAACGTTTGTGGAAAACGTGTTTTCCATACAAGTCCATACCATTTGTATTCATAAACAGAAGAGGAGATATTTTAATATGATTTGAATTTGATCATAAGTTATTTTCCATACAGTCTTGTTTTATGTAAAAAAACACTGACATAATTATGTAATAATATGTAGAAAGCATAGCTAAACAATAATAAAACAAGAGGAAAGTTCATGAACAAACTTTAAATTGGCTTCACAAAGCTGTTGCTATGAAATCCCAAGTGGTTGCTAATGTCTTGCTATGTTACCCCTCGTGGTTGCAAAGATGTTCAAACTAGTTAAGTGCTCTGTCCCCAAACATAGCTGGTGGAGCACTTGGTAAAAAGCAGGCCTGGGTTTATGTGTAGGTTAGAAGCAGTCTGCAGGATGCTCACCACAGCGCAACTCGTCTGAACCATCCTTGCAGTCTTTAATGCCGTCACACTCCGGATTCACCTTGCTGATACACTTGCCATTTGCACATTTGTAGGAAGTGGGAGAGCAACCTTTATGAACTAAACAGAGGAAACAAATAAGAGATTTGAGAACATTACATGGCATGGATAAATAAACTGTGTATATTAACACAACAAGCAGCATATAGTTTATAAGCGATCTGGCTTTTCTGTCTCTGTGCTGAATTACATTGAGGAAGCTTTTTAACCTTTATTCCATACACTTACAATACATGAAAATGATACTATTTTAGAAATTAATAAGCCTTTATTGTGGCTGGGTTATTCTCATGAAAAAGACAAACACCAGGACCCAACTTAAAAAGAATAAAATGACTAAAACTTTCTCTTTTTTTGGATATACAAACAGTGATGCCTGGTTGAATAATTAAAAAGAAACCTGCATGTTTTAATTGACTTTAATACAATATATGTCTGGTTTATTTTTCACTTTCCAATCTCATTTATTCATTCCTATCCATCGGAAAAGTGAAACAACCAGCAATGACAAACAAATTTACTTACTGAAGCTCAAAATCGTCCTGGTCATTCATCAAAAACTTAAGTAAGGCAAGTAAAATGCTCAAATTTTAGTGGGACAAACATAGCTTCCACAGAGTTTACAAGGAGAGAAAGGAAAAGAGCATTCAACAGTTTAAAGTAATATAAACTTAAAGTATTTTTTTTTCTAATTGAAAAAAGCAAAAGTAACAAGCCATATAGAATTCAAACTGATCTACTAAATTATATGAATATCTGCATAATGACTATGACATGCAAATATTTATGTACATGGTTGGATGCGTTTTTGCAATAATGACACACCAACAAATATATACAGATTACGCACTATAATAATAATTTTAATGAACGATTTCTTTGCAATCAATGTCGGGCTTGTTTCCAAACAGTTCTTTCAGTATAGCACTCACATGCTCTTGTGCAGTTGAGCTCATCACTGCGATCCTTGCAGTCTATGATTCCATCGCACATGGCAGATTTGGACAAGCATATTTTATTTGGGCACACATGGTGGCACTTAGCTGCTGAAAAGTAAACAGACTCTGAGGGTGCACATAAACATGCATGTAAAAGAAAACCAGCCAAAACACAAGCCAGTCTTACCACATCATCCTGCCATGCGGCTGCAGCAGTGCAGAACATTTAAACAGTAAAGAGAAAAATCAGACGTGCAGTTTTCAACTCTATTGTAGTCGTTTAGCCAAGAAATGTCTGGTGTCTGAAGTTTGTCTGCAGACATCAAACATGTCTTGGCTGAATGACTATGACTGGACTAAAGGGGGAAATGTAGATTTTTGCCGTGGTATTCCATTAAAGTGAGGGTCTCTATCTGAGTGTTTTCTCTTGATTATAGGTGGCTATTAAGATAAAAAAAAAAGGTCAAGTTGCATGTAATCATTTATGAGACTTACCACAGTTCGATTCCTCACTGCTGTCTCCACATGTGACCTGCAGGTTGCACTGGCTCCCATGTGGTTTGCATTGTCCACTCCCACAGTATACCTCTCCTGGTTTGCACATAGCTGCAGAGAGACCCAAAGCAGAGGAGCGCATAAGTGCTGTGTTGATACAAAGGTCAGTGAATCTCTGACTTTAAAGGTCCACTAATTCTTGGCACAATTCTATTACTGAGATGTAAACAAATACATTCAGCATGATGTAATGTGTTGAGAAACTTACTAAATCAGGTTTCTTTGCAGTGATGGTGATAGAAACCAGAGGTTCCACTGTCTAATATAATACATATAGCCAGTTTATTTACTATCCAAAACCACGAGTGAACCTACATGTGACTTCCGAGTTTTTACATGTAATGTTGTTAATGTTACAACAGTGGCAAATCTGAAAAAAGCTTGTTTTCTTTGGATACATTTGAGCCATGCACAGATTTTTAAAAATATAAAATAACATCTCAGGTATCTGGCAGCATATTCGTAACCATTTCATGTAATGGTTTTCTACAAGAGAGTTTTTAGAGGCATTAAACTCTTCAGACGTCTGGTTCCTGTCACCATCATTGTGAACATTTCTGACTTAGTAAGTTTCCTAGATTGGAGCTTTTCATATCAAACCACTCTGCTTGACTTTGGTTACAGCTTAACCATTTAATTATGGAGACGTTTTAGTGGAATTCCTCTTTTAAAAGTTTCTATTATGGTTCAGCTCCACTACTCAATTTGAGATCTCATGAAATTTTACCATTTTCCTTCATAATGGACTATTCTTCAGTCTATTAGCTCTATATGGTCTACAGCACTGGCTGCAACCAAGCCACAGTAGTCATGTTACTCATTGTAACCTATTCCCTCTCGTGTTCTATTGCTTAATTATTACCCAGTCACACTTAACCCTTTTTTGCATGTTGTTGCCTCAGGGAAACAAACACATTCTTCACTTTACAATGGCATGTTACATATTTAAGGCAATGAAAGGGTTAATAATGAAGAAAGTAGTTTGAATAGACCAGTAAAAAGCTTATACTTGATCAAACTGTCTTCAGGTAAGTTTTAAAAACTCTTTCTAGTATGGACACACATTTCTGCTCTGGACAGTTTCCCCGAATTTTTTTTATCCATCCCAAAAAAAATAATTCACATGTTAGAATGTAAAGTTAATTTTTTTAAATTTAGTATCTCATACATAATTTTCATTTAATAAATACATTTGTTAAATAAATATATATATATTGCCTACAAGTAACACTGTGGAACAGTGGAATAGATTTAGCTAATAGCTAGAGAATTGCCACTTATGCTTTTAATTCAGAATAATTTTTTTATTTGGAATTATGTATGTGCTTTTGTTTATTTAGCTTATTTAGTATCTAACATATATGCAATATTAGTGGCAAGAAGCCCAAAAAAGTCAAATGTCAGATCACAGTCAGAACACAGTATGTTTTAGTAGTATCAACAATCTTGTTTAGAACACTAAAGCAACTTCTGAGTATTTTTAAATCACGTGATTTTTTTACGTGATTTGTTTTAGCTGTTAATTGCGGTTTGCTTGACTGTTTGATATGAAAGAAATTAAAACATTACTTTATGGTGTTGCACCATAGTAACACGGTTTCTTTGAAAGTAACATGAAAAAGAATTATTCTCTGTTTTTTTTAAAAGAGTTTTGAGTACTTAAAGATCAAAAAATGTAGTTATTTAGTTTAATTCCAAATATTTTGTTAAAAAAAATTCTGCTTTTCATATGGCACTTTATATCAATTCTTTCCATTGTCACAGAATGGTGCCTTAAAGCAACGTATTTTATTTTTTAAAAAACTTGACTTTAGTAATTTAATTTAAATTAGAAATTGAATCATTTTTATAACATTGCTTTTACAAGGCATGCAATAGAAAGTTACATATTTTCTGGATGTTGTTAACAAGTTCTCTGTAACTGGTCTAGACTCTATAGATACCTAACATGCTGACACTCCTCCAGTAATTCTCAGAGACAGGTATTCATTTTTAGTATTTACAGAAGGAGTCAGTGTAAAACAGCAACATACAAATTAAAGTATATCATTTCTGAATGCCAGTTTTGTAAGTTTCAAATTCTAATGCTATAAAATTAGCATTATGCTAGCATGGTAAAATTGCAAGGTTTTTGAATTAAACATTACCATTTAATGACATGCATAGTTGTCATATGTCATGATTTTAGTTCTCAAACTTAAAAAAAATAACAGAATACGTAATTAAAGTAATGAAGCCTTATGAGCAGCTGATGAGAAGACATATTAGCAAGTAGGCCTAGAGAATCTTTTTTTTCTTATTTAGTTAAAAGTATCTTTAGGTAGTGAAAAAAATTATTTAGCTGGTAACAGGCAGGTTTGGGGACCCTCCAAAAAAACCCTATGAGGTAAAACCAAATTAAGCCACTGCGTGGAAAATAGCCTGCGAGTTGAACATTTGGCTAAAAATAAGTGCACCTTTAAACAATTTCACCATTTCAAAACTGATGCAGTTCAGTAACCACATTAAACCGGATGCATTGCGTTTTTACAGCCCTACTACAAAGAGGCAGAGTGAGGGCGCACTTACAACACTTCGCCTCATCCCGGCCGTCTGCACAGTCCTTCTCGCCGTCACACACTTTCCTCAGAGGAATACAGCGTCCGTCTCCACAGCGGAACTGTCTCGGACACGCTGCGGCGCAAACACACACACACGCACTCACTCAGACTGCTGACACTAAATTACATGCTCTGGTACTCCGCTAAAAGATTGTAACTGTACACTTGACCTTTAACGGCCCAGAAACGTTACAAAGCGTCCGGCCCAAGACAAACAACAAACAGCATCCAAAACGCAACGCACAAAAGAGCCACAGTACAAAGACGCTTCAACAAGACAAAAGCTCAGGCACAGTCACTTTACATAAAGTTACTTTCCAACATAAAGCCCAAACATTGTCATACATTCAGCAGCAGACAGTAGGAGGACACAAAAAGACAGTGTGCTCACTGCTCTCCGGGGAGAAAGCCCTGTAGACCAGGTAAAATCCCTTGTGAGTTAGAGACTCGTCTGAGTGAAAGTGTAGTAAAACGGGGGATGAGTAGATCCTCTTCCTGCTGCTGTCCCCAATTGGATTACACAGCCTGAGCACAGGGGGCAGACATAAACACACAAGCATGCATCAGCACATGCTCAAACGCACAGGCGTCAACAGACATACAGTACTGTGCAAAAGTCAGAGACCATCCATCATTTACGTCATTTCGACTGAAAGTGAACAAGTTCAAGTTAATTTTTTCAGCATCAGGAAATTTAACCCTAAATATAATATCATTTTTGCTGTATTTTGTGCATCCAATGTATACCTTCATTATGCTTCCACTCTTTTCAGGAGACTTGCTTTCAGTTTTTCAAACAAATCTGCAGAGATATTTTTCCACACCTCCGAAGTTCAGTATTAAATGTTGACTGCACTTTTTCTGCTTCTCACGATCCAAATAATCCCAAACTCATTCTATGATCATGAGATCTGGACTCTCATGAGGGGTGGTCGGCCAATTGTTCTGAGAACACCAACAGCTTCTTTTTGTTTGATTTGCAATTTTTTTCTTTTTTGTCTATTTCCTTGTTTCAGTAATGGTTTCTTACCAACTACATTTCAGATTCATAGTGCTGAGTCATCTTCTTACAGTGGAAGTATGAACAGAATCACTGGTAGATTTTTCAGATCTGAAGCAAGAGTGGAGCTCTTTTCTCTTCTCTCTCAAAGATGAAAGCTTTATGCACTGTTTATCTGATGTGGACAGTTGTAGTGGTCTAACAGGTCTTGCCTGGTTGTTCTGAGTCTCATTTTTCTCTGTATGCTTTAATACATTTTTTAACTCCAGTTTTGGAAACTCCAGTTCGCTTTGACTTTTCCATTCCTAACGCAAGTGCATTAATTTATATCTAAACTATTTTGATCTATTCTGATTCTGTTTGTCTTCTAACTGATCACCTCAGAAAATCCTCCTGAAAAATGAATAAAATAATGTCTGTTTTGACTTTATGTGAAATGTAATAAATGAAGGGTGGTCTCTGATTTTTGCACAGTACCGTACACAGGTGCATACACAGGCATAAACATAAACACAGACACTTCAAATGCACTAAAATATCCAGCAAAGCAACACACCTAATTACTAGGGCTGGCCTGAGTAGCATTTTACAGGCTTCAAAACAGGTGTTTTGAAATGAGTACTCAAATACTCATTCTCAAGAGCACCCTTAAAAACAATAATATTTACTTTTCAATTAACCATCATTTCAAGAACGGTCATTACTGTAGTTCAAAATACATCCAGTATGTGGCAACGATGTATTATAGTGTAACAATAGTGGGATAAAAATCATTATAATAACATTATAATAACATCTTTGAGATGATTCATCAAACATGTTGTGCCTCCATGGTATACAAACCTCTTATCACAAATTACACTGAGCTTTTTTTCTCATCATCCAATAATTTAAAGTGCTCTGTTGTGATTTCTTATACGCATCTTTGCTCAATAAGCTACAATGTCCAGGTGGGAAGTGGTCTGTTGTGCTCTGAGACTTGGTGATGTGAACACCTGGCATGAATTTATGGAGCACTCCACTAGACCAGCTATAACTTACATTTTCTATATATTAACAATAATAGTTCTATATAAAGACCTATTGAAATGCACCGTACTTTAGGCTACAACTTTTGAGGCAAAGCCTCCAAATATTAAATTGAAAAATGAATACCAAAGTAACAAACAAATGCTTGAGTAATCACATTATTTGGGCCAGCCCTACAAACACCAAAACAAATACAACACAACTTTCCAACTTAAACCAACAGTTTAGCCAAAAACCAAATCTACATAATTTTCTCCTCACCCCAGATACAGTCAATCAGCCAAAACATGTTTGTTGTTTGAAATTTGCTCCTTTAGTTCTATAAATCTTTAGCTATAAAAATGGACAAAATATGGACACAAGCTTCAAGAGGGCAACTGCTTTGTTTTTTAAGCTGTGTAACATAGTTCTGTCCATATTTATAGATAACGTTGTGTTGTACAGTGTCAGAAAGTACATGATTATTAGTTGGTGGGGCATTGCATCACTAAAACGCCCCCTTATGCGGGTACTTACAAAATTCAGACTTTTTGATAGTTATTACTGTTAACTATACAATGTACTTTTTATCTTTTTGCACTACACTGTCAGAAACCACATAAGCAAGTCTATTTGACGCTACTTATCAACTTAAAGTATGTGGTGATTTAGGCATGCAGTTTGTACAATGGTGATTGGTGAGATATACAGCTTTACAGCTACATTAGTCTTGTAGCCCCAGTGCAAAACTAAAGAAGCAAACTTCAGACGCCAAACAAGTCAACAAAACAAATTCGGGGAAAATTGTGAGAAATATCTCTTTAAAGCAACAATTAATAGTAAATAAATAAAATAAAGTAAATAAAGATTCCTAAATAGTTCTTGGTTTGGATACTGGGCTTTCATTGATGTTGAACAGGGGTCACCAGTATTATCTAGAAAGGGTCAGTGTGGCTGCAAGCTTTCATTCAAATGTTCTTCACACTTACAGTCATACGCAAAAGGCTGAACACTCCTGGTCAAATTACATGTTTTGTTAATTTTCTAAGCGAAAATAAGACAACACATCCTCTGCAGGGAATTTATATATGGCATTTTTCTGCTAATTTTAGTGCACAATTTATGAGTTGAATGTATTGGGAAAAAATAAAATATAAAAGGTGCCATAACTTTTGCACAGGCCACATTTTATATTTAATACATTGTTCTCATATGTTAAATTCACAAAATAAACAAAAAATATCCATTAAAATGTGTTCTCTGTAGAAAAACTTATAAACATGTAATTTGATCACTTTTACATGTGACTGTAAATCTCATTTACAAAAATAGTTCTTTATATAAATACCCCTTCAAAGTTTCTTTGGGAAAACAAAAAATGGTTCTTATGAGGCATCATGTCTTTAAAGAACCCTTTTCGGCACCTTTATCTTTAGGAATTGGACAAAACATGTCTGAGATGAGTCCACCAGTGGACACTCACTTGACACCGCCGATTTCCAGCCAGTCTTTCTCGCAGCTGCTTGGGGTGGGCGAGTCCTGAATGTCCAGCATCACAATGGTTATGGAGAGCAGGTAGCTTGGCAACGGAGCCTGAAAGAGAAACCAGACTTAGCCGGCTTCAAAGGATGCACTTGAGCACAAAGGAGGAGGCTGCCCCCTCGGCCACCACCTCAAAGAGGTGGCATCAGAACCCCACCGCTCCCCCCAGCCTGTCCTGTATGTGAATACGCTTCACAGACCATGTGCGCTAACGCTGAGGAGGATAGTCAGGACATGAGAAAGCCTCTGGCCTCAGCTCACCCTGATCTTCCAGTTGCAGTCCACGTTCGGAGGGTAGTAGGCAGGATAGTAAGGAGACACCACCGAACCATTCCAAGCAGAGAGGAAGCCTCCACATTCTGGAGAGGAAGAAAGACAAGCCAGAGAGACAGAACGTGAGCTTGTGGTTGAAATGTACTGCAGGCATTCAGCTTTTGAATATATCATTCAAATTTGTTCAAAGCTAGATCAAAGGGCCCATATTGTAGAAAAAAGAAATCCTTTTTTTTTAATTGGTGTAGTAGGTAAACATTGTTGAACTTTCAAAATGACATATAACCAAACTGACCAAATTCATATATGCATATAAGCTGACAAAACAGCTCATTTTGTATTAACTGCTTCTGCGATGTCACAAAAACAGCACATTTATATATATCCACCTATTCAGCCTGGGGCAGTTTAGCTCCACCCATTCATGCTGAAGTAATGAGGTGTGCTTGAACCAGCAATGCTTTCTGAATAAGGCCCAATATAGTAAGGCCAATAAGAACAGAGCTCATTTACATGTCATTCTTACACAGTAAGAGTACAGGCACAGTAACAAAAAAAGCCTGTTGAATTCTAAAGGATAACAAGGTTGGATGTAAATATGAAAAAAAAGTGTAAAAATGTTTTAAAGTCATGCAAATTATAGAAGTGGACTTAGAATGAAAGAATGAAATGCAAGAAAATGTAGGACATGAGCCCGTAAACGCTAGGTTAATGCCTGGTTAAACCCGCACCAGCTTTTGGTATAGCCTGGAAGTAGGCCTTGAAGATGGCTCCATGTCTTTGTCGACTGAAGGAAAAGGTGACCAGCATGACATTTCCAGATGATGTCAGTTTCATAACAGGTGACGATCCAGACACCGGAAAGCCGCACCACCTGACAAACAACACATGCTTTTACTACATGCTGGGTCTCACTATGGCTGTGTCTGAGATATTACAAACGCTGCTCAGACAATATTCAGAGGCAGGAAGGTACTCAGTCATGTCCGAATACAATGTCTGTATAAAATACTGCCTGCTGAGATTCCATTTCTGACAAGAGATGTCAGCCAGTGTAGCTGTCATCCTGTCATAAAAGTTATTTTTAAAAGACGTAGCTGTTTGTTGTGTATATTAGCCTACTGTTCAGATCAGTTGCAGTGTTTATTAGGTCTAGGATGAGGTGGAAAGAAACTTTCAATGCCATTATTTAATTTAACTTAACCATAACCATTTTTGTTTTATTTATTACAAAGTATCAAATGTAGCTATATTGTTTTTCCACCATCACATCTTTTAGTACCGTAGAAATTCAGCTCAGGGTGGTCTGTTCACTACTTTACTTTAATAGAGGACGTTTACATGCACTTAATAATCTGATAACTGCAGAAAATCCGTTCACCATATTTACATGCACTTGAGTAATCAGATAATGGGAAAAAAGGGTAAGTATGAGTCTAATGCTTATCTAATGCTTATGTACTGTTTAGAAATTTGAAGTTAGCTGCTGCTGCCACGCTGCAAACACAGGATGATGACCTTACTACATGCATGCACAGGGGGAAAAAACATGAATTGTGACTTGGCTGTTCTGATTAAATGGGCATTCCAGCCTAAAACCAACAATTAATATGTTATTTGTTAGTTATGTAGTATGCTGTAGTGCAGCATTACATCCCTTAGCTTCAGTGGCTTGGAAGAACTGACAATTCTGTGTCATTTTCCTGTTTCCTGTTTTTTCAAAGTTCTCTCAACAACAAAAGTTTGAGAACCCCTGGTCAAATCCCATGTTTTGTTGGTTTTCTGAGTGACAATAACAAAACCTTTACAGAGAACACACTTCTGCATATTTTAATGCACAATTACTGTTTATTGCTGAATTTAACAAATTGGGAAAAATAAAACCTAAAATGTGGCCGGTGCGAAAGTTCTGGCATATTTTATATTTTGTGTTATATATTTTTTCACAATATGTTAAATCCAGCAAGTACACTGAAATTAGAAATTAGAACATTTTTGTTGTTCACTGGAGAGAATATGTTAACACTTATTAACAAAACAGGTAATTTAAACTTTGGCATGCAACTGTAGACAACAACGTCTACTTGTTGTCAAGCATTTTTCTTTTGTTAAAGGAATTATTCAGCCAGCCTGCCCCCAACTAACCACCCCGAAATGGACTTCAAATTCTTTCAAAATGCACTTCCACCTTCAAGACACATAATCAGAAGGAGGGTTTCCTAGACTTTAAACCAGGAAATCTTGCTCTAGAGACCACTGCAGCACCATTGTAAGGGTGAGTAGATAACAACAGATGTAATAATGATTAAATTTAGATCTAGAATCGTATCAGATCAGAGCTAGAGCCACATATGAAAGTGGCTGAGATCTGATTTGGAAAGATCAGATTTATTGACACAGCTCCAAAAACAGATGTGTGTCATAAGGCATAAAATCAGATTTGTGGTAACTGTTGTTTTCAAAAAGTGAAAAACAAAAATTGACTTACGAAATTTGAATACGACCACGACAATTTATAGCTGTGAATGCTGTATATTTTATTTATTGTTCTCTATGCTTGTACTGTACGTATTGTATTGTATGTTTACCATACCTGGCAATGATCTTATTCTGGAGAGGCAGAAGGAAGTCATATGCAGAAAGTTTATTGGCTGAGCAGCTCCCAGGTGTCGCTCCCTGTAGAGTGACCACGTCCAGCCGAACGACGTGACCAGAGGGCACTCTCAGCCTCCACTGGTAATAAGGCTTCTTTGGGCTCACCAGACTCAGTGTGCGATTATTTCCATACTTGGCATAGAGGTCAAAAGACATGGCTGCATGCCAAGGGGGTAAAGTGTCAAGGAGTAAACATAAATGCCATCACAATTAGACGTAATTACAAGTGGAGAGAACGCAAGTGCAGAGATAACTTTACCCTGAAGTCCAAGCTGCCACTTGCCGCCCTGCAGAGAGTTTGGATTCTTTATCTTGTCCGCTTTGTCATCAGAGTCATCATCTTCATCTTCATTGTCATCTAAGCTCAAGCCTGAAAGAAAGCAAATAAACTTTTCAATTCGTCCGTTTGAGGCCCTACTGCATTGCAAACAGGACAACATAGAGAATTATAGTCCAGTATGTTCTGAGAGCTCACCCAGCAGCCTGAGCGTGTCTTCATCTTTCTCCAGGTAGTACTGCTCCTCCAGGCGGCTGTACAGGACCTTGTTAGAGCCGGGCAGGCGGCGCTGCATCCACGCAGGCTTCATTCTCTGGAGCTCCTCCGCAACGGCAGCTGACGGAGCAGAGAACTTGGTCCAGAAGAACACGTTCAGTCCATTCACTCCTTCACTGTCAGCATGGAGACACAACATTTATACAGGCTGCAGAGGTGGAGAGATGTTTGGCTGGTAAGAGCATGAAAGAGAAGCTACTGACTCAAAATTTTAACCTAATTACTTTTTCACTGTTATAATAACTGCTTAAAGTCACTTGATGCCCAGTATTTATGTACAGTTGTATGCAAAAGTTTGGATACCCCTGGTCAAATTACATGTTTTGTTTTTTTCTACGTGAAAATATGTTAACATTTACTATAAACATATTTATAGTAAACACACTTAAATATGGCAATTTTCTGCAAATTTTCCAACACAATTTCTATTTATTTTTTAATAAAAGACAACAGAATCTCTGAAAAACAGTGCCTCAACTACTCTGACAGTAATTTTCCCTGCTAAAAAGCTGATGTGGATTAAATGACATTTTCTGCAATGTTTCTAAACATTTGGTCACACGTGCAATAAATGGGACTTTCACTCACTCAGCTGATTAACTGACTTATTTAAAAACATGTTTTGATCTATTTGGACTGAGCATCATGGCAAGCCTCCTAACTGCTGTTGTAGGAGCAGATTTAACTGGCACTGAACTTACAACAGCCTCTTCTTCCTGCCTTAAATTCGATGTTTCGCAAATCTCCCTCCTGTGAATGGACAGTAGGTTTATCTTATAATCCAAATTAGTTAAAACAGTAATTTGAAATGTTGAGATTGTAGTTACACATTCAAAGAGATGCTTTTGCAAGTGGTTTCAGCTTTTAATCCTAATTATTCATTTACAATGGATTTTGCAGTAATTTACACACATTAAAATGACATTTTTACTAGTCGACATTTAATATTTACTTGTGCATGTACAAATCAAATTTCTGAAGAAATTTGATTTGTACATGCACAAGTAAATATTAAATTTTAATTTTAATTTAGTAAAATTTTTTCCACAATGTATTGTTGTCTATATACTCATGTTTATTTGTTTCACTTATTGTGATATATATCATTGCTATTGATCAGGAGTTAAGATATGTGTATACATACGTATCTGTTGAGTTGATGTTTGATGTTTGATGTTTAATTACTGTCATTATTACGTTTTGTATCATATTTTGTATTTTATAACATTGTGAAATTGTAATATTATTATTATAGTGGAGGCTTTATGTAAGTATATTAGGGTTTTCCCCTGTTTTTGTTCATTTATATTTTAAATCATGCAAAAATACACTAAACTATTACAGAATTATTCGAGAAATTAAATCTTACAAGCTAAAATGTAATTCCTACAATTAAAAATGGAATTTTAAGTTATAATGTTATAATTTGATTTTTTACATGTTATTTTTTATAGTAAAGGCAACATTTTCTGATAGAGATACTATCTATTGATCAAAAGTTAAAAGCATCTCTACCAAACAATTTACCATCAGCACTTCCCTTAAAATTTGTATTTCTTCTAGTTTCTGAGAAATTTGGGTGTTTTTTTTGTTTTCATTTCTATCATCATGTCCATGTAGTCATAGGCCATTTAATCAGGTATGATCTCATGTACGTGTGGTTTATGATTGGACACCAGTGAAAATAGCACTGCTGAAAAAGACACTGGCGCACTAATCACTGCAACAGTGACTTTATGAACAGGTCTTATTTACAGTGCTGCACATTTTGTGTGATGTAGTCCTGTTACTGCAGTTTTATGAAGCTGACCCTTTATATGTTAAATTCAGCAAACAATCAGTAAGTGTGCATTAAAGTGTGCAGAAGTGTGATCTCTGTAGTGAATGTAACTTATTTTCTCTTAGAAAATCAACAAAACCTAATTTCATCAGGGGTCCCCAAACTTTTGCATACGACCGTAGATTGTATAATACCACATATATGCATTACACCAAATAAACTAATGCACTGAATTTATTTCATCCACACAAACGTTGCTTCTTAAATGACTTATTTTTAGCAATAATTTTGCTGATGTAATCTATTTTATTCATGTGGAAATGATGTAGATGTTTGAAACAAACAAATTTTATGTCGGTATTCAACAAAAGTTCTCAGAACAACAAAAGTAGAATAATGATAACTGAACAAATAATAAATTCTGCTCACGCTACACATATTGCAGTGTTTCACATGCTTTTACCCCTCAACTTGCAAGATCCCACATTTCAATTCCTCACCTATGTACTGGTTTCATAGTACTTACCAAATAATTCACAGCAGTTATTGAATAAGAATTATTAAAATTAATAACTGAATAATAAGTCTACACTTTAAACCTTTACTGTGTTAAGCTGTATGCTGTTCTGGAGAATTCTCACCTAAAGGCGACGATTTCTGTGCGCCGGTAATATGACCACCAGGGTGATGACTTATATAACTCTGAGAACTTTGAACCATCATGAAATGGAATCGTCCACAGCCAAAAGCCATCCATCATATAAGGAAGAAGACAAGGAAATGATAAAATCAACAAAAAAGACGCTTCATCTTCAACAATACATTTTAAGCCAGCTAAGAAAATACTTTAAAGCTAGTCATCTGAACTGTAACTGTTTTTGCTTGTTAAAACTACATTAACTAACATTAGAATGAATACAACTAAACACTAATACTGGAAGCTGAAGAATACAAATTTCCTCAGGTTTCCGTTTCTTCTCAGTGCAGCTCCACTGCATGGATTTCAATTTCACCAGCAAGCCTGATGTAGCCCCTTTCTGCAGGCCCCCTAGTGGCCACAATCAAACAAAACATTTTCCTTATGACTCTGTAATCAGATTAAAAAGGACACCGTTGGCTCTCTGTGTGTGAAATCTTGTGACTCTTCGCTGCGCTGCTAGTGAGCAATAAGGGGTGAAAGGGAAGGGGCAAGAATCCCCTGCTGTGAAAACAAATCACCTTTCCACAAAGATGGCCTGTGGAGATAAAATCAAAAATCCTGCCACAATAAAAATGCAATAAAAATAATTTTATAAATGTTGACTTGCTTGCCAACCTATGAAGACAAAAATCTATTTTGCTTCTGAAATTGTAAACCACACTATATTTCAGTGTATATACAGGGACTTCCAAACAGATGGAAACGGCATTTTACAGCCACTGTGAAAAGGGGATAACTTAATAAACAGACACACAATCTCTATTTACTGACTTGTATTTATTCTAGTTTTAGTGTAGTTCTGAACAAACAAAGGCTCACCTCCCACATAAATAGCCCAAAGTACAATTTTCTCAGGTGGCCTTAGACTTTTGGACAGAACTATGCATTTCGATGTACAGCATCACCCTGACATCACAGCTGCATGAGTAGTGACGTCACCGGACAAGGTGTGACATCAGTAGGCCAGGCTGGACCTGCAGCCTTGGTACAAAAGGCCCTGTTCTTGTGCGATTGGCTTTGAGCAACAGGAGCTGCAGGCAACAAGAGCTCCATTGTGTAGGCCTCAGTGTCACTGTGAAGCGCAGGGTGGCAGGGGGGTGGGCACCGGGTTCACGCTTACCTTTAATAAGCAGGGGCACACTCACAAACACCTCCCCATTCACTCATAGCAAAACCATTACTGCTAAAACAAGAAGCATATTTGGACCAATTAGGACATGAGGCTTTGATGGAATGTGTTCCTGGCCAGCAGCCTCACCTGAGACAACCCACAACCCACTGTGCTTTTCCCCTTTCACTCACTCCATATACTGACCCTCTTTGGTCTCTTAACCTTACTCTCTCTCTCTCTCTCTCTCTTTCTCCATTCATTCACTTTCTATCTGTCTCTGTTTCTCTATTCTACCTCTCCCACTCTCTCACTTATTCATTCTATCTTTCTTTCTGTCCCTCTCTCTCTCTCTCTCTCAAACACACACACATTCACACTCACACACACACACACACACACACTGTCCACTTGCTGTCCATAGAATCTGTCTCGCTTTAATCTCTTTCTCTCCCTAATTTCTCCTTCTCTCTCTCTCTCTCTAATCTCCCTTTCTCTCTCCAATTCTCTCTTTCTCTCTCCAATCTTTTTCATTCTCTCCCAAATCTATTTCTTTCTTTCTCTCCAATCTCTCTTTCTTGCTCTAATCAATCTCTCTTCCCAAATCTGTTTTTCTGTCCCATCACCTCTCTCTTCCTCTCCCAAATCCCCCCTTTCCTCTCCCTAAACTCTCTCTCTTTCTCTCTACATCTCTTTCTTTCTCTCCTCAGCCTCTCACTCTTTCTCTCTGCACTCTTTTTCTCTCCTCAGTCTTTCTCTCTCCATTGTCTCTTTTCCCTCCCAAACTCTCTCTCCCTCTCCAATCTCTCTTTTTTCTCTCTCCAATCTTTTTCTCTCTCACCAAACTCTCTGTTACTATCTCGCTCGCCCTTGCTGTCCATGCTCTCTCTCTTTCTTTCCCTCTCTCTCTCTCTGGCCTTCTCTGTGTCCCTCGGTCTACCTTTCCTCTCTCCTCGGGCTGTGGTCCTCTCAGCACTCAGGTACAGAGTGTCTGATTGTGCGAGGAAGCGCACAGACAATGTTTTTATTGAGGCTTTGCTCTTCCTCTCACTCGCCCGGCCCGGCCGCTGTGCCTCTCACAAACGCCGTTCTTGTCCTCGGCTCTGAAAGCCTTCGCTCCCCGAGGACTCTCTCTCACCGCGCTGACAGGCTCTGGTTACAGTCCCGCTTTACATTCAGCAGGGCCACGGAGCGGCCGAGAGCGTGGGGGCCCCGCCCGCCTGCTTTACATCTAAAAAAAGAGCGACGGCTGAGGGGTCACAGGACCCACGGATCTGGTCGACTTTTGCGTCCGAAAGTGCCAAGGGCAAGCATCGTCCTAGAGTGCTCTCTGGAGGGCGGCAACATTCCAAAGAGACCACGGCCAGTCTCTGGCAACACACAGACACACTGTTATGTCCACTATATGTACAAGAGTGTTCAGACACCTGCTAATCCAATAATGCTGGGTAATATATCATCAACTGTTTTATTGGTATTGGTGTAATACAAAATGAATGATTTTTAGTTAGCGACGCTGATAGAAAACAAAAGTGAACTTTATGCAATTTCTGTCATTTGCTGTGTATATAAGATAGTTTAAAAAGAACAGTACAAAACATAAATAAAAATGAAATAATAATATTTTTCCTTTCTTTTTAATTACAAAGGTAATTACCATTTTGTAATAGATTTGCACAATATATAATGATATCAAGTTTGATTAATTTCATGTATCATCGAACATTTTTTTCCAAAATCAACCCCTTAAACGCCCACTTCAGTTCTCTCATTGCTATATGTATATATGTATATATATGTATACATAGCAATGAGAGAACTGAAGTGGGGGTTTAAGGGGAGTTTAATATTACTATGTGTGTGTATATATATATATATATATATATATATATGTATATATGTATTCGTCCCATAATAATATTTATTACTAATATTTAAATAATAAACCTGTATTTTAAGGGGTTATTAAGATGTTTGTACTGAAGTAGCAGCTTCTGCTCTTCTGCAAAGGCATTACACTAGTCTAGGGAAAATTGCAGTGAAGATTTGATAGCATTCAGTCACAAGAGCAACACTGAGGTCAGGTAATGATGTTAGATGATTAGCTCTGGATCACAAACGCCGCTCTAGCTCATCCCAAAAGTACTGGATGGAACTCCATCATCTTTGGAACTAAATACAATTTAATACCTGTGTCAGCAATAGGTGTGCATCAAGTTCAGTTCACTGATTAGAAGGGGTGTCTGAATAATTTTGACACACAGAGCCGGTTCCTTGGACATAAACTACAATGCCAATCATGTTTCACCATTAAAAAGCCATTTATTCTACGTTTAGGCTTAATCTGGTTGGGGAAAATCCACTAACCTTCTGGTCGTCTGAATACTTTTGGACATACAATGTTTCTTTGCCATCTGTAGTGTTCTGTAGTGTTTGTGATATATCAGTAAAGCCCAGTTTCATCAGAAATATCTGGTTCTGAAACTTTTTTGAAGTGACATCTACATAGTTCTGGATATACAGTGTATGTGTATGCTTACGTGGTGGATGAGTGCCTGAGACTGGACGTGGAACTGGGTGGAGGACGGATCAGTCAGCTCCGGTGTGAAGCTGAGGTTGGAAAACTCCACACTTCCTCCCAGAAAGAACACTGAGGGAGATGGAGAAGCTGCAGAAGCAAAGCACTGGGTGTTAAAGCAAGACAAGCACACAATTAATCATTTCTGACAGACTGACCTGTTTGCTTTGTTACAATGACCGTACATTTTAAAAGCAGTGTCCTATCCAGCCTCTCCTGCATTATAAAAGAGCCAGGCTGCTATGTTCTCTTTGGAAGGCCGCAGAGGAGCATACCTGATCATGATCTCCACATTCCTCCACAGCAGAGGGTCTTAACTTACATGCAAAGAAGTGGAGAGTCAGCGCGACGGCAGCAGAGAGGGGGATGAGGGGGGCGGCACTCAGTGCCCACCTCCTCCATGCCCTGAAGGTGGCTCTCTCGTCCCCTGGCCGCTTGATGTCTGATCCAGCCTGAGTCTTGCTGTTAGCGGGGCTTGGTAACTGGAAGGGCTCCTTTACAACGTCCTACCGAGTCAGAAAGATGTGTTACCCAACGTCAGTGTTGAATATGGCCAGACACATGTAGAGCTGTCACTACTGGTATTATTAGTAATTGAGTAATCTATTGATTATTTTTGTAGTTAATCCAGTAATCAGCAACCAAACAATACATAAGAACTTAAGTAAACAACAACAACCAATCATATCCTTTCAAGGATTCCAAAGCCTTTAAAAAGAGTCATAAATATAATGACACTATGTGACAAATGCATATAAAATCAGTGTCTTTTACTGATAGAAACAGTAGAAAAACTAAATTATGAATATACTAATCACTAACGATTGACTAAGAACATCATTTTAAAGGGTAATTCCGTTGATTTTTCAACATTTCTGCATAATTAAATTGTTCAGATGCAAACAAAGTCATTCAGAGTGGTTAAATATAAAATACTCCACTATAGAGAAACTTACTGAGTCAGAATTGTTCACAGTGGTGGTGATAGGAACCAAACATACACTGAATGAATACACTGTCTGATGCCTGAGACATGCTGAGAGGTGCAAGCAGGGTGTTGTGAGGCTAAGTAAAACCATTATCAGTATTATATATAAGGCAGTGCATGTCCTGAAAACACATGTAAGTTCACTGGTCATTTTGGATAGTAAATAAAAAAGGCTATATTTGTACTGTACACATCCTGACCCTTGGTTTCTATTACCACCACTGTAAAGCAGTCTGAGTTGGAAAGTTTCTATACACCATTTCACATCAAAACACTTTGAACTGACTACTGAACTACTGAAAAATCAGTGGAATTTAATCTATTTGTAATTGAGTGATCAAGCTTGAGTAATCATGACAGCCTTAATCACGTGAGCCAAAGCCTGTTCATTCTAATAGTGAGGTCATCAGTGCCACATTCCACAAAGTCCATTTTTTAATTGTTTAGCCACGCAGAGCACATTTCATACAAAGTTCTAGATTCAGAAGTATTTCTTTGGATTTTGACTGTGTAAAGGTTGCACTGCACTACATAACACTGCTCTGGCTTCTGTGGCCACCTTCATCACTTCAGAGCAAATTTAACTGGGACGGCATTCAGACATCCAGGTGGGATTTCCCTGGAGAGTTGCACAAGGAGTAAGCGGAGGGTCTGCTTTCCCACGGCCCCTCTCAGGGGGGTCACCGCTCCATCATTCTACACTTTGACAGGGACTTTAAAGACTGTTAAACCTTTCAGAGAGAGTACTCATAAGCAAGCTTAACTGCTGTCTTACTGACAGACTGTGATGCAGTAGTTTCCCAAATGAGGGTCACATAAACATGACCCACAGGCCCAAATACACGCTTCTCTAATCAAGACTCTGAAATATCTGTGAAGTCACAGTTATTTCAAGCACTTTGCTGTATTGCATGCTAATTCCGTCCATTTCCAACCACTAAGCCTGTCTATTGGAGGGTCTCCACCACTGTAGCCTCGTCTGTTGCGGTTTAAACTCGTTCTTACCTGTGCAGGTGAGCATGCAGGTGTGCAGAGTCCCGAACCGGATACGCTGTAAACCTCGCAGCTCCTGTTTTTGGGGAAAGTCCTCATGGCCTGATCGTCGAAACCTGCCCGCGAGCCCCCGCGTGCTAACCGAGCTGAGCGGCTCCCTCGGTTTCCCTCCCCGCGTGGAGCGACGAACGACCCGTGAACGAGTCGCTCCGTTTAAACCGACTCTTTTAAACGAATCCGTCGAACCGATTCACAATCTCAACAGCATCGAATCGAGCATCGCGCGACGTGTGCGTCCGTGTTATTGGCTGTTAACGTTACAAATTCAAACAATGAGTCTTAAATCAAACCAGACTATTTTTGGTTCGGTTCTTTTTCCATGAATAAAGTTCAGTTTATGTCCCATTACCTTTTTAAAAGCAATAAAGTGACTGTTGTTTTTTATTTATGTAAAAAGCGAAGGGATCTGCACTTTAACTTAATGAAAATGTGAAAATGTCCATTTAAATGATGACAAAACACTTAAAATGTCCGTATCTGGCTTTCATATAGTGATTGTAGGCTGTCCCATCTCACTGACATTGAATTTCTCTACGAAATATACTTGCTATATACATTAAAAGCTCCCAGTAACACAATAATTACAATGTATAACTGTATAATTATATGTTATTTGGTTAGCAGTTTAATATTTAAAAAATAATAATAAAAAAGTTATATATATATATATATATATATATATATATATATATATATATATATATATATATATATATGTATTTTTTTTAACTGCATTAATATATTTCTGTGCTCAGTCGCACTGGATCACTGGATTATACAATCACTATTTTGCACAAGGACATACTATTTTGAAATTAAATTAGCATTTTTCTGAGCCACTCCAGCCTATCTAGTAGATAATTAAAGGAAATTATGGAAAATTGACTTTTCCTCACTTTTTTATATAAAACAGCTTGATGTAGGATGCAAACATTGTTAAAGTTTCAAAATGTACCACTCACTCCCCAGTCCATACAGCCCATATATGAAAACTAAACTGCAGAAACAGACTGTTTTGAACTAATTGTATTTTAAGTCATAAAACATCATATTCACATATATCTACCTTTACACCCGTAACTGTACAGCGTTTAGCCCCGCCCATTCACACTGAAGGTATAAGGAGTGTTTCAGCCTGGACTACCTTTTAAAAAAGGCACAGGGTAGCCAATCAGCACAGAGGCCATTTACATACATTAGTCTTTAATTTAATTAAAGGGATAGAGAGAGGAAGGAAAATGTCAAATAAATTATGACTGATTTGATACATAAAACTATGGGCCTTTTAAATCTCTGTAGAATCAAGCCTTTTTTAACACAGTGTCAAAAATTAAATCATTACTTGACCTAGAAAATCATATTGAACCTAAAAATGTTTATTGTCCTACCCCAGTCCTACTCATTTTTGTAAGCAGTTTGCCAGTCATTCATTTTTCCTATTTGTGGAAGGATTCTAATAAAATTCAAACACTAATCTTTAACAATTTGTCTTACCATATTGTAACATATTAACAACGACCACTTTAAATCTAGGCTTGCATTTTCTCTCTATAGCTAGATTCCTCTTTCTGTTACTGTTTCACATCTGACTCCATTAGTGAGTAAAAGAATATCAGACTTCACTATCATTCAATAAATCAAGTCATTTTATACGGAAAATAAAGTTGGCTTGACTAATCACGCTTACAGTCATAGTGCCCCCCTCCACAGAATAAAATAAGTGACTGAATTGGTCACTCGAAACAGACCTGAATCAAAGACTCGGTTCAGTAAACTGAATCGAACTTTCCATCACTGCTGCTGCTGCTGCTGCACGGGACCCAGCATGCAACGCGGCACAAAGGGACTACTATGAACGCACAGCCATCCGTGCGAGCGGAATTGTGGGCAAACTTTAACAGGCGCGCGCGTCTGGGACCCACAATAGCCGGTCTGATGCCCTGATATCGGTGATACTCATGATTAAATTAATAGTGGATAATAACCAGTCACTGTGCAATGAGATGTAACAGCAGCTCGTAGCTGAATTGCTTCTTTAAACAAGCAGCAATGAGAATTTAATATTGGGCCCCTGGTTTCTCTGCTGTATCGCGTTACAAATCAGTGGGGCATGCAGTTACGACAAAGCGGAGCTAATGCTGCTTTGTGTTCCATACTGCATTGATTATCATTAGACCACTTTCAGTCCATTTTGAGATTAACCTACTTATCAGGACACTAAATGCATACATTTAACATAGGCCTGTGGCATACATAACTAAGCATTGGCCGAATGGCTACATGCACAAGCTTGGTATATATAAACTAGAAAGCCTAGAAAGCGATATCAGGCTAAAAAGCCTAGCTCTATCCACTTGTTTCAGTGATTATTTTAACTTGGCTTGGTCATCTCCCTAATGCTATCCTAAAGGCCCTTACTTTATTAGCAATCCATCCCAATTCCGTCTTCAAAAGTGAAAAAATTGCAGACACAGCTATGCAAAAGAATATTTTATAAATACTTTTAAATAAGTGATATTTTTTAAACTACAACGATAGGTTTGCTACACTCATACTGATATTTATGTGGCTACTACTACTCCACGTTATACATAACTGCTTATTACCCTGTTAGCTTGTAAGAGAAGCTAAAAGCTACACCTAATAGCAACAACAGAAAGTAAAAAAAAGGCCCAACAGCTCTGAAGCAAAGGTTAAAGCCATACAAAGCAATTACTTACAATTTATGGTCAGACTTCTCAAAGAAGCGATATGCATCAATTTTGCACGCTTCTGATCACCGAGGCTAACAAAGCTGAGAATGAGTGCATTCTAATCCTCACTGTCTCTTTTGGGCTGTGAGTGGCCATTTGGGTAACAGGCCCCTTTTCAATACATTTTTTAACATGCCCTCGCTCACTTCAACTCACCACTCAAATGTATGTCACACCTATGTTACACAACTGGCTACACAGGGCAGAAGAGGTGGGGGGGACGCAGTGTGGGGCAGATCATTCAAACAGAATGCACGTGCCCTCAGCAGGTCAGCCTCAGTGAGTAAACTGGCTAGCCATGCAGACGTTTTTTGAGACGTCTAAACACAACATATATAAAATTTCACTTGAACTGCATTGAGCCATGGTGCAGTGCCTTTCATTTTGATGTTGTTAGCCATGTAGCCTTTATCATGTCAATTAGCAAGCTAGCAAAGTGAAGAAGTTGTATCAGCAGTCATAACAGATGGAGTAGTTTGCAATCTAAAGCCCAGCAAATTGAATGTTAAGGTCTTGCAATATTGAGCTTTTTAAAGTAGTGTACTGTTATGGCTTACAAACAGATTTGTCTGCCATTAGTTTCAGGTTCTGAGCAAATTCTGCTGCCAAAGTTGACACTTGTGTTCACATGATCCCTCCGAGGACTTGTATAATAAACTTCGCTTGAGCTACTAAAGTAATGAAACAGCCCTTAAGATGGCCTTGGGGATTTCCCTGTGGGGAAATGGCGAGAGAATGTTTAAAATACTACTGAAACGGGTCTGCTTAAACCTAAGCATGTACTCAAAGATATGACTATAGACCTCATTCTGTAGTTGGCATCACACCCATATGAGGAACTCTGGGTCTACACAGTTGAAAACTCTGCTATAGCATATGTGGTAAATAAAAATATTCAAAACCTGCTATGTTTTGTCCTTTGTGCAAGTGTCACTGGATCCTCTGAATGTTGAAATATGAATAGTGTTACATACATGCTAAAAGCAAGCTAACACTCCTGTGTACCGACTTGATGTTGCATGAAAGTCAGTCTACTTTTATGTAGTCAAACTGTAGGCTACGACTGCCAAAGCAACTTAATGACCACATTTGAATTCCTAATATGGGCAAGATGAGGACTACAGAATGATGACACAACCTCTTTAGTAAATAGGGGTAAGTTATATGGCAAAAATAAAACATCACACCACTTTTATGACCAAATTGTGATAAGTATCACAATATTTCATTTTTGGGAGGTTTATGAAAAATTTGTTTATTTTCTATGATACATATATATATTTGTTGTGCTCTAGAAGTACTGACAATACCCACTACATACTCCAAAAAATTATTTTGTGACATAATTAGTCACAATGTCATCATCATATTGTCTACACACAAGAGTAACTAAATTTGGCCTAATGGCCTAATAATGGGCCTTTTATTATAGTTGATTATTATTTTTTTACGAAGAAGGAAATCTCCAAAGAAGGAGATCAGAACATCGAAGTAACAAATATAACATTTAGAGGTATTTATTATAACACTATAATAATATTACAAATCCACGAGACATCACACGTACAATGGCCATGGTAATGATGAGGTCTGTTGATTGACAGGTTTCATTACAAACGGTAAATGTGCTTGGCTGTGTTTGTTACAGATTAAATATCAGTTGTTAATGTGGCTGTTGATCCAAGAGATGAACTTGGCCACCTTGGTGTACACTCCAGGTAAGTTGGGTCTGCCGCAGCCTGAGCCCCAGCTTACGATGCCCGTCAGAAACCAGCGCCCACCTTCTGATACCTGGCATGACAGAGGACCACCCGAGTCCCCCTGGAGTTAGATAAGAACAAATAAAGACATAGATAAGGACGTCTTCCACTTCAGCCAGCAGTCAAAAGCATTACTGTCTTCAGACTGCAGTAAAAGAAGCATACAAGGCTCCAGGATGGACATTCTGTTGGTCTACACTGCAGCTGTCAAAATTAAACTCAATTTTAAAAAAAAATGTTTTTCTTCTACTGCTCTCTGTTACAGTAAGAAACAGAGCCTGATGGTCACACCCATTTATATGCACTGTTTTGTCACATTGATTAATTAAGGCTTTTACTAGTCTTCCTTGTTTATCTTTTACAAAAAAAATTTTCATTTAATCATCAAAATAATAGGTGGATTAATTATATAATAATATAATTGACAGTGACAGCTTTAAAATTTGGCAAAAAATCAAATTCACACAAAATGTCCACTTACCTCAGACGTAGTCAATCAGCCAAGACATGTTTGGTGTCTAAATTTTCTTTAGTTTAGCACTGTAGCTACTAGGCTAATGATGCTAACAAACACTACAAGTCAACAGTCACCCAAATCTGTTAGGTTAATATGACCCCAAACCTTCTCCCAACCCACTCAGATCACATCCATATCTTCGTTATGGTCGCACAGACTTGTTGATGTGGTTTACGACACAGTATAACCTGCTGAACAAAACTTGAAAAAAACTTCACTGTGTAGCCAAACGTTGAGGACAGACATCAATAGACAACAGGTGTTGTGCCAAATTCCATCTACCCCACAAAATCTGACTCCCTGTCGAATATACGTACATCCTACAGGCATATGGATGCTAGTGGTTTCTATTTATGAACTTCAATTAGAAAAATCATAAACAATTATTTACAAACAGAAACAACAGAAATCACAGATGTAATCTGTGGCCTGTGTGCATTTAAAGTTCACAGTAAGTCACACTGTGTCCTAAAACACATCAACAAATCAGTGCAACCTTAACAAAGAGCTGGATGTGGTTTGAGCCAGTTGAGAGAAGTTTTAAGCATGTATGTGCAAAAAGGATTTGGGTGACTATTTACTTTCAGTGTTCATTAGCAATGTTACCCTAGCACTAAACCAAAGAGACAAGTATGTCTTGGCTGATCGACTATTGGGATAAGGGGGGAAACAGTGTACAGTTGATTTATTTGCCAAATAATTTCTTTGAACTGCAATCCACAATGAATAAAAGTTCACCCCCTATGTGCACTCACCCGGCAAGCATCCTGCTCTCCACTGGGCACGCCCGCACACAGCATGCGGGGCGACACGGGGCCATATGCCCTCTTACACTCACTCTGGCTCATCAAACTCACCTCAGCTTTCTGCAACACTGTGGGAAGCACCTTATCTGAGGAAGATGTAAAAGAAGTACAGAGAAATTATTGTTATTATTATTTGATGTTAAACCCAGTTTTGAAGCTGGTTTGCCATAAAGTTACCAAAAATGCGCAGTTGAAGTACAGGTGAATATAATCTCTGTCTGTTATGTATGTGAGGTACTGTGGTTTCTGGCTCTCTCACCCTGCTCTGAGCGGTAGCCCCAGCCGGTCACCCAGCAGCGGTGTCCGTCAGAGAGGGTCTGTGAGGGGGCCGGCAGGCAGACAGGCTGGATGAAGGGGGCCAGGCTGCTGGGCCAGGCCTTCCTGAGCTGCAGCAGGGCAATGTCATAGTCAAAGCTGCGAGCGTTGTAGTACTCGTGCACCACGATGCGGCGGATCTCGGCCGCGTGTTTGGCACTGCCCTGGGTCAGCATGCCCAAATAGGCCATCCACTGGCGAGGATCTGACAGTCTGGTGAGGTCAAATGTTAAATGTCATGTAGGTTCAGATGGAATGATGGCCTTTAATTTTAGGCAAGAGTAAAAATATACAGGCCAGGATTATCCCATGCATTTTTTGTGCACACTGGACCAAGCCACTAAGAGGCCCACATGAGCAATTATTACCTTGACTTGACTTGAACTTAACTAGAGGTGCAGGGAAAAAAAGTTTCAACTAGATCTAGATTCAACCAGGTGCTTAACCAACGGAGAAAAAAATTCAAGCTGCATTTTTAGGATAATTAAATTTGATTTGTTTTACTGGTCTCAGAGTCTTTCCTGTATGAGAAAGGTAGCAATGTGAAGCTCTGCTTTATTTTCTTAGCCCTCCAATCAGTGCTTAGCAATCATTGCTCAGTCAAGCATTTCCTATGAATAGTCTTCCTATGAATAGCCTATGAATGTTTTAAGTTTGAAGCTCCAGATACAGTCAAAAGATGGGCCTAGGGGACCTGTGAAATCAAGACCCGATACCCCCAACAGAGTACAGTGTGTTATTTTCTACCCATTTCCAAATGCAAACACAAATTTAAGAATATGTCAAGCTTGAGTTAAAAAAGAAGCTACACCCTTGTTATCAGTGATTTATGAATATGCTATGGTGTTTTGCGAAATAACTAGGTTGTGTCAAAATGTGGAAGCAAATGTCTATGCATTAAGCCATCAACGGTAAGATATAAATGGGCCATAAACATGTTTCATGCCCGCTGTGACAGTATGCTTTAGCTTGGAGTGCTTGACAGTTTATGTTTTTAAATTTGCTGGTGTTGTTTTTCCTTGACTTAATCATGTATTCAGATGAGGTGTCTGTAGCTTGGATTAATATGTTAAAATAAATAGCATATTGCAATTTTTCAACAAGGTTATGATTCTGCATGCGATGTAGATCTGTGTTGGGACAAATGCATCTGATATTGTGTTTTATGTTTAGCATCCAAGCAGTACTGTAGGCCTATATGGAAATACATTATTTGTCCAAAAGTTTGCAGACACCTGCACATCTAAGGTTTCTTCTGAAAACAAGGGTATTAATAGAGTTTTTCCCCCTGTGCTGCAATAAGAGCCTCTACTGTTCTGGAAAGGCTTTACACTAGAATATTGGAACAGGAACAGCACAAATATAGTAGGCTTTATACCCTCCTTGCTGATGCTTGGCATTGGGCATTGCGACTTTAGGCTCATGTGCTACTGCTTCAGAGCATTCCATTCTATTGGCAATGCTTTTCTATCAAGAAAATACAAGTTTTTGCGCAACTGAACATCTTTATCAGCAGTGAGTGCACATAAAATAACTGAATTACAAGGAATGCCTTGCTAGCTGAGCATAATAATCACGTTAAAACTTCTGTGATTTCTATTTTTTTGTGTTTTGTGTATACTTGTTTTGATCTCACCTCTCTCTGCTGAAACAATGTGCAGCGGAGATGAGCCACTCGCTGGTGATGACAGAAGCTCCGCAGTACAGATGGCCAGAGAAATGTAGACTGACCTGCCATGGCCACTCCCCCTCCACAGCATTGACCCCGCCCACCACCCGCTCCTGAGGATGAGCGCTGTCTATCACCCGTTTTACAGGAGTGGGGTGACCACAGGCTGCAACACACAACATACAGATGAAATGAGGCCAAACTTTCAACTGACCAAGCAAGAGTTTATTTAGTAACTTCTAATACCGCAGTTCTTAACCGAACTGATTCAAATGTGCACATAATTTCCACACAAATAAAAGCTCTACTTTGTCTTTCATTTTGCTTACCTTTGGCAAATAACTGTGTTGATATACACATTTTTTTTCTTTTGTTTATGTGGACATTATGTGCACATTTATACAAGCAAAATGATCACTTTTTACAGTGTAATGACTTAAATAAATACTTACAGTTCAGAAATGTTCATAATAAATGCTTAAAGTTCATAAAAGTTCATTGGCTGGCTTACAGTATAGAGTAATATTTTTAGTATTGCACAATAATGTCTGCATTCCTGCCACTGTTGTGATAAAGTAGTGCATAAGAATGTATGACAGCGTTACATGGCAGTCTGAAATGGGCTGCTGCCAAGCAAGTTCAGTAAACAGGCCCAACCAAACAGGTATGGCCTATAAAGAAGGGTATAGACATAGAATAAGTACACATATTAGGATTGTTTTAAACAGAAGTACACATCTCTAAAAAGTGAGGAAAAGAAATTACACAAGGAAAGTGTTTTTAATGTCTTATATATTCAGTGTAAAAAAATTGTTTTGGCTTTAGCTTTGAAATGAAACAATGACTATAGAGTTAGTCAAGTCAGTCTGAAATCAAAATTGATTTGTTCTTAACTATGGTAGTTTAAGCCTCTGGTCATATTAAGCACAATGTATTATTTTTTTTTAATTGTTGTTTTTCTGAAACTTTTAATTGAATTGTAGTGAACTTTGCCTCACGGTATGGAAGGAAAATGCCTCAGATTCATGTTGAGTTTTAAATGCAAAGTTATGAAGTACAGATTAGGATAAAATGAAACAAACGGTAACTGTGTGCTACAGAATGCACCTATTTTTCCATACATAAGTGAGAAAAGTGCATGTATGAGACAGCGTTGAAAAAATGCATCGATCTGAAGGCCAAAATAAAATTCCCAGGCTATTCAAATATAAAAATAAATGATAAAATGTAGTGTATTTTTTCTATTATCTATAGAATGTTTTTCTAATTATTACAGTTTCAATGGTTCCTTCAGTCACATAAGTACCCATACACTTCTGTCAAAATGTCGAAGCAAATGTCTACTTTACATGTTAAATCATGAAAGGTAAGATATATATGGTCCATAAACATTGTAATGCCCACTGTGGCAGTATGCTTTAGCTTGATTTTTAGCTTGGCATGCTTGACAGTTTAGGTTTTTAAGATTGCTAGTGTTGTTTTTCCTAGACTTTGTCTCTGCTGTCTGATTTGTGTGATTTGTGTGACAGGCGATTATGTAATAACCGTGATGGCCCACCCTATGAGGGTATGTATAAGAGCAAGTGTGAGTCAGTGAACTGCAGAGCTGCTGAGTCATGAGGCTGACAGGTAGCCTTGGCCCTGAAGAGCTCAGACTCATTAAAGCCAGAGAGACCTTCGCTACAGAGCATGAGCAGTGATCAAAGCCCAGTCTGTTCACATCAATCCAATCCCCCCCAACCCCCCCACAACAACACCACCACCTACACACACAGCAATTTCTACAGAGGGGTCCAGCACCACAGGTCAACCATTACAGAACAGGATAATAAGTACACTGCCTTCATGGAAACACAGTGATTGGTTGCAGTAAGAATTACTGTGCTTATAATTTACACTTGTTGTCCACTTTTCAGAACAGAAGTTAACGCTGCAAATGATTTTTAATCGTGAGTGAAAATCAATGAGGACATGTCATAAAGCAAAGCCAGCCAAATCATTTTGCATATAGTTTACTCTTGCTTTCAGAGCTGAAATACTTACTTTGAATGCTTATTGGTGAAGGTTCCGTTACTTATTAGCTACATTAGCCACATAACCCTTAAATTACTAAAGAAGCGAGCATCACCAAACATGCCTAGGTTGACTGGCTATTTTTAACGATAGCTTTGAATGATGCTTGCTTCAGAGCTGCCCACGTTCGAAATGGAACTCACCACAGTCCTTCTCATCGCTGCGGTCGAGACAGTCAGGGACTCCATCACACTTTGCATTCTTCTTTAGGATACAGGCTCCACTGCTGCACTGATACTTGATCCCTGAACAGCTGGTCTCTAAAGAATGTTAAACTGTCTGTTAGTCCAACAGTTCACTGGAAACTCAGATAGGAATGAGTGATATGGCAGTGCAAGGACAGAACAGGAGCGCCACATGTTTGTTTATGTAGTTTATACAGTTACTATTGTAATATTGTTACTATAACACTGGTTGTTGTTTACAGGCTTACTATAATTCAAATATTTTCGATTTAATTTACAGTCAGCTCCATTATTATTGCCACCCCTGGTGCTTGGTTAAAAAAGGCCATGCAAAAAATGTCTTTGTGGTTAATCAGCAGTCTCGCACTGAAAACAAGAGAAAATTTAACCTTTAAAGACAATTAATTTAGTCTAAAAAAAAACAAAAACCCTTATTAAAACCACATGTCACAAGTAATGGCACCCCTAGAAATTCTTATCAATGAAATGCAACTGAAACACAGCTAGACGATATGGCAAAAAATGTCATGATGCTTGAATAAGTATTCACAAGACACTTTTCCGAAGTCCACTCATGTTTGTCTTCCTGTTTGACTGAGAATTTGAGGCCAAATTCTCTTGGTCATTAATCAATATGTAGAAGATTAGAGAATACACTAATGAAATGAGACAAAAGTGAAATGAGATGACCTTTCATTACTGATGATAAAAAATACCTACACACTGGAAAATGCCTGTACCCACTGTGAGGGTAATAATAAAGAAATCTGCCTAGAAGAGAATGCATTTTTAATGGCTAGTTTGAGAGGCAAATGTTTCTCCAAGGATTATGGTCAGAGATTTACAGGAGATGGTAGCATTTTGGGTTCACCAAGTCTCCAAAACTATAATTAGACGCCACCAACTGCCAGCAAGCTATATGGAAGATGTGCCAAAAGAAAGTTCTATCCTCTAATCACAAACATAAGCACATGGAGTTCGCTACTGGAACTGCGTTCTACGGTCATATGAGCTTTTTGGCAACACTCAATTTAGATTTGGCATAAAAAGATGGATAGTTAAACAGAAGAGAACTCCTTTACCACTGTTAAGTATAAGGGAGGATCAGTGATGTTTTGCAACTGTTTTTCCTTCAAGGGCCTTGAGAACCTTGCTAAGATACATGGCCTCAAAGTTTCCATGAGGTACCAAGAGATTTTAAATGAAAATCTGGCTGCTTCTGCCAAAAAGCTGGGTTGTGGTTGGATCTGTCAGCCGACTGGATCCTTTTTGATTAAGGTCTTTGTTTTATTAGACTAAATCGACTTGAATTAACCCCTTACATGGCCAGGGCCCACCAGCAAGCCCAAAGTTTTATTATACACTTCAACAGCTCAACATGTTTGCATTGAGTATATAATAAGTCTGGGATTTTAAGGAGTTAAAGATCAGATTTTCACTGTAAGATTGAGCTAATTACTACAAAGACTTTTATGACCTTCTGAACCCATCTTTACCAAGGGTGCCAATAATTATGGAGCTGACTGTATTACAATAATGACAACATATCATCATACTGCCCACCCCTAAATGCAAAATAATGTGAGTGGACAGTGAGGACATGTTACCTTGGGTGCAGTTTGTCTCATCTCTACCGTTGGGGCAGTCATTCTCTCCATTGCAGACATACAGTGGGTGAACAGGGGAGGAGCCTACACAGTTTTTGATGGGGTTTGCTGCAAGATAAAGCATTTTCATTTGTTAGTTTGTTAGGGTGGGCACTAATACAAACAGTCATTCTTACAGATGTTAACATATTTTCACTTAGAAAATCAACAAAACGTCATTTGTTCGAACATTTCCATAAGACTGTACCTTTGGTATCTAGTTTATATATGCAAATCGTCACTGAATAAGTTATTACTGTATATTAAGCATAAATTATTAATAATTAGCAAGGGGTTCCAAACTTTTGAACAGTTGTAAACTGTTCAGATGGACTAATGGACTTTTCTTTTCATTAGAGCAGTGCATAAACATACATAGATGCCCAATACTGAAAGTCTGGCTCCTAAAAAAAAAACACCACAAGCATTTGCCCTGTCAGATGGTATAGATCCTGAATCCTCTGGTTCATAAACTACTAGGTTACCTCGCCAGCTATTCCACTTCCATAATGAGAGCTCTCTGATTGTTTTGGTTAGGGATGGAGAAAAGGCGGACATACAGCAGAAGACTTCATCACTCTCATCCTGACAGTCGTCCAAGCCATCGCAGCGACGCTCTTTCTCCACACACAACCCCGTAGTGCACAAGAAGTGACCCTCAGGACAAGCTGGAGTAAAACAACAGAGAAACAAGTGATGAAGGCATAGTGCACTAAGTCATGTGAAGGAAAACCCCAGAAATGCTGTTATATACAGTGTTATGCAACCGTTTGAACACGCCCAGTCAAAAAAATAACACACACATAACACACAAAAAAACACATCCTCTACAGGGAAAACACTTAATATTGCATTTTTGCAAAGTTTCCTGTTTATTTGCTGTGTTTAACATACTGGAAAAAATATAAAATACAAAATGTCCCATAACTTTAGCACAGGCCCTAATATGTCAAATTCAGCAAATCAACAGTAATTGTGCACTAAATGTGCAGAAGTGTGTTCTCTGTAGAGGATGTGTTCACTTATTTTCACTTAGAAAATCAACAGCTTGTCAATGGACCGGGGCGCCCAAACTTTGCATACTTTAAGTCAGAATTCACTGATGCTGCTTATATTGAACTACATTGAATGTATTTTTTGTCTTACTTCATTGGGATTTAACAGTAAAATTCAAACATCACTTTTCTAAAAAAGGCCCCTGATGTCAGGCAGGGTATACTGCCAGTATTTTGCAATATATTCCAGATGGGATCATCGCTGCTCTTACGTTGGCTGATGTTGAAGCTGCTGTAGGTGGCGCTGAAGGGCTGCTCGGCGCTGCGGGAGCTGCAGCGAAACACCACCTCCACGCTTCGTTCGGGAATGCGGAAGACAGTCACGTGACTCACATAGGTGCCACAGTATCTGCAGAACACAACAAAGAGAAGTTCATCAGTTTGAGTATTTATGTAAGAATTAATAAGCAATCCAAAACACAAAACCCACATGCTGTGTCATAATTATATAAGCACTTACATGACCTCATTGACCTTCCACCAGCCGTGTTCACACGGGGCCAGGTCTTTCAGGGAGAGGATGTAGTTCTGGAACTTAAGAGCCACTCCAAGGGCACTGTTTGGGGTCTGAAACATCACCAGTCAAAAAGGCTCAATATAAAAATTTGTAGACTAATTCCATCAATTTAGAGTAAGTTAAGACATTCAGAAATAGGCAGAAGTCTATCTTGGTACATTTACACTGGTACATTTCTAACTATTTGATCTAAGAAACATGTAACATGGTGAAGAACCTGTAGCCTCCAGGTGCAGGAGCACAGAGGGGGGAGCAGGCTGGGGTAAAATGGGCTGGTGATTTCTCGCACTGCAGTAGGGGCTGCTGGAATCTCAATCATGCTGATGCACTCTGCATAAGAAAACCAAACAGACTAGCTCAGAATCCAACACGTGCACCACCATACTATTAACTCACTCACGTACATGCACTATATGGACAGAAGTATATGGACACCTATACATCAAACCCACATGAGCTTGTTGGACATTCCATTCCAAAACCATGGGGATTCATACAGATTTGCCCCACTTTGCATCTATAACAGCCTCCACTCTTCTGTGATGGCTTTCCACAAGATTTTGGAATGTGTCTGTGGGAATTTGTGTCCCTTCAGTCAAAACAGCATGGACAAGAAGGCCTGGCTCACAATCTATGTTCTAATACATCCCAAAGGTGTTCAGTGAAGTTCAGGACTCAGTGGCCCTGTTCTGTGGGTTTGTGTGGTCTGCCATTTCATATTTGAGCTGTTGTTGCTCCTAGATGCTTTCATTTCACAATAACAAGTTGACCAGGGCAGATCTAGCAGGACAGAAATTTCAGAAACTTACTTGTGGCAAAGGCAGCATCCTCTTGAAGTGCTATGTTTAAAGCTGCTGAGCTCAGTACCCATTTTACTGCCAGTGTTTGTCTATAGAGATTGCAAGGCTATGTGCTTGACTTTATACACCTGTTTCCAATGGGTATGGCTGAAACACTTGAACTCAATAATTAGGAGGAGTGTCCAAATACTTTTGGCCTAATAATATACATACCCTGCTCTGAGATGGCCTGGAAGAACCCTCGGAAGCTCTTGTTCCCCTGCGCGAGTCTGAAGGACAGCAGCATGACGTTGGAGGTGGAGACAAGAGAGAGTGGAACCCGCACTGATTCACACAGTCTGGAGAGAAAAACAGACTAGAGCTGGTCAGTCTAGGGCTTAATGTTAATGTGGCTTTTAATGATTTTAAATGTTTTGTGTTTTCAAATTTTATTAACATGGACACAGAACCACTGATTCAATGTGCGACTCTTCCATAATTTGAGACGTTTCACTCAAAAAGGTTAGAGATTAATTTCGAGAATAACAAGAAGCTAATGATAAATAATATACACTAATTATCTAATTCCAATAATATTTTGTCAGTGTTAGGACTACCATACATAAGCATATTATTACATAATTACAATGATATTTCATGTTAGGAATAGCATATTGGATCTGTTTTATACTGTACATTGCAAAAGTCATTTGATTTAAGTTATTCATTTTTCAGCATCATGGAAATAACAGAAAACATGATAATATCATATTTTTCTTTATTTAGTATGCCCACCTTTTGTCTGTATTACAGATTTTATTCTTTTCAGTAGTCTGAAAGTAATCTTTTCAGTAGTCTTGCTTTCAAAGGAATCTGCAAGGATATTTGTCCACACCTCCATAGTTCAGTCAGAGGTTAGTTACAATTTCTGCTTTTCACGATCCAAATAATCCCAAACACATGTGGATTTTGTCAGATCTGAAGCAAGACTGAAGCTTGATTTTCTCCAAATTGAAAGCGTTAAGTACTGATATCTAGTAGTGACAGTTTTGGCAGTCTACCATGTCTTCCACGGTTTTAGGAGGCCTATGTTCTTCGTATCTTTCATTAATTCTTTGAACTCAAGCTTTGGAAACTTTATCATCTCATATCTAATCTCCTGAGAAATATCTGCTGAAAAATTAATAACTTGTATTTAGTAGCTGTTTTGACATGAAATTAAATTAATGAAGGTTGGTTAACCTGTGCAGTATCTTTGCTCTCATGGGCAGCAGGGCGTCATACACAGTAAGGGCGTCATAGATGCAGTCAGTGGGCTCGATCTCTAGGCTGTTCACTGTGAGGCGGATGATGGAACCAGGTGCAGACGTAAGCTTGATGTGGCAGCTCAGGCCTCCCCACGATGAGAAGACATTCAGGGGAACCTTCACTTCAGGCAGACCTGCATACAGCTTATCCACACACTCCGAGCCTGTGAGAGCCAAAGAAAAAAGAGACGTTTGCGGTTATTGCTTTGTATACACCAGTACCCACATGGACAATAACTCTCGTCATGCAAGTAAGGCAACTGACCTGTTGCAGTAGATGTGTAGTCTGACCGAAGAGCGACTAAGGAAAAAAAAGAAACCCCATGCAAATCTAAAAGTTCAATAAAAATTATAAAATGGACAATTGTGCATATAAAATCTGATTGGCTGAATCATATCTGAAGCTGCTGTAAAATACTCGGTCTGCGAACATTTACATTTCTTTAATTTCCAAGATGGCCATCAAGCACAAGTTATTAATTTTTCAGTAGACATTTCTGATGAGATTAATAAAAGATGATCCACTTGCATAAGGAAGGTGAAGGTCAAAGGAAAACTTTCTAAAACTGGAGTTGATAAAGTAAATAAAAGATACAGAGAAAATGGGACTCCTTACAACAGTGCAAGACCACCAAAACTGTCCCCATCTGATAAACAGTACTTAGAAAATGAGGAGAAAATCAAGCTGCTTCAGATCTGAATAAACCACAGGTGTTTCTGTCCATCCTTCCACTGTGAGAAGACAACTAAATGCTATCGGATGTGTAGCTGACAGGAAGTCCTCACTGAGAAAAGGAAATAGATTAAAAAGAACATTTGCAAATGAAACAAAAAAGCAGCTGGTGATCTCAGAACAATGCACTGACCACCCCAACGTCCAGACCTCAGCATCACTGAATGAGTTTAGGATTTCTTGGATTGTGAAAAGCAGAAAATGCAACCAACTTCTAACTGACTGAACTTTGGAGGTGTAGAAAAACATTCCTGCAGATTTCTTTGAAAAACTGAATGCAAGTCTCCTGAAAAGAATGGAACCTGTAATAAAGGCAAACAGTGGACACACTAAATACTGGAAAAACTGACAATATATTTAGTTGTAGATATTTGTTGATACTTTTAATTAAATTTTTTACCTGATGCTGAAAAATAAATAACTTGAATTTAATGGCCATTTTGACTAGATGAATAAATAAATGAAGTATATATATATATATATATATATATATATATACACCACATATGTTAGAATACATGTAATATGAACATAAACTCAAGCACATCTCGCTCATCCTACCATTGATGAAGATGGAGTCAATGTCCACAGGCAGGCCCAGCAAGAAGCCTACAGAAGACCTGTTCTTTAGAGAAGTGAGCACCGAGTCTCTGAGGATAGCACTCACACACTCCTCGCACACTGTGGGGGTCTTCAGCCTCGGCACCACAAAGATCATCCAGAAATGCACTAGCACTCCACCTTTGTCATTGTTACTGATAAGAGAAAGACAAAAATGAAGCACATGCATAGAAAACTCATTTAAACTTTCAAAACTTTATCAGAGTGAAGACAAATTAAGCATAATTTTCTGAACTCAAGAATGGTGGTGTTTCTCAGATTAAAAGACCAAAACTGGCTTTGATCTGTGTCAGGAAATGGGGCCTACAGTGTGGCCTATAGTGATGCAGTACCTGAGGTCAGATATAACAGTGTGCTTGTAGAGTCTGGACACTGATGAAGATCTGTATACAGAGCTCACCTTTTATAAGAATGAAATTTATAAGAAAATTATAAGAATGATTCATATTATACTAATTCAATTATAAATAAGGAAAATGTGAAAGGCTAATTCACGTACCACGTGTTGGATTTGATTTGCCATGGATACAAATTCACTGGAGTCTGCATGTCGGTACTCTGGTATGTACTCAATGTTGGCAACACGAAACATACCAGCAAAATACACCCCACTGTTGCTTTCTCGCCGAACTGTCAACAGTACAACAGGGCAAATGTGACAAATGCCATTAGTACATTTCTCAGAACATCCAAAATTGATCAAAAATCCATTTTTGTGCAAAAGATTGGGCATTTCATATTTCATTTTTGAAGCTAAAAAAGTAATATCTTAGTGGTATTTTAAGACAAGATTTTCTGCAAATGTCAATGCATAGTAGTTTTATATTTGATTAACTTAATAAAAGTTTGGACACCCTACTAAGTCAGTCAGTACTTTGTAACAGCCTCTTTAGCAGCTTTCAAACAGTTTCATATCCAGCCAATTATTCTAATAATTGCTCTTCTTTACAGAACACTGCTTGTTTTGCATTATTTCTGGGCTGTTTTGCATGCACAGCATGTTTAAAATCTACCCACAGATTTTCACTGATGCTTAGGTCAGAAGACTGTGAGGACCATTTCAAAAGCATCAGAAGTTTGTGGTGGATTTTGAGGTATGTTTTGGATCATCATCCTGTCATAGAAGCCAGCCTCTTTTCAGCGTCAGTTTTCTACCCTTTCAGTATTTCTAGTGCTACACTCTGCCACACAATCCCAACGCACAACAGGCCAATTCCCATATTTAACAGCACATACCTTTGGTGATTGTGGCCAAAGTGTTCCATTTTTACTTCATCAGTCTACAGCACTTGTTTCTACAATGGCTTAGCTAGATTATTTTGCACACTTTTAGACATTTTATGATGAAGGCTCAGGTAAGGTTTCAGATTATGTTTATGCAGGTAACACTACAAGGTAGAACGGTACACCACCACACCACTTTGCTGTCATATGGGGGTTTTGCTTTGCCTTTTTGACCAGCATACGAGCAGTTCTGAGAGATTTCTTGGTCTTCCTGATCTTGCCTTGACTTCCACAGCTCCCCTTAACTGCCTTTTCGTAATGACATTTCAGACAGTGGAAATTACAAACTGAAAGCACTGTATCTTTTCAAAGCATTCCCCTCCTTTGTAGTATTCGATTTCCTTCATTGTCAGATAATCTATCAGCTGCTTAGAGGAGTTCATGGTTGTCAAGTGTTAGCATAAGTTTTGAAGATTCTGAGAATTTATTACGCTCTGGTGACAATGCCTAATGACAATTCTTGACTTGCCTAACCAGTGCCAATGATTCAATTAGGGAATAAGTTAAGTCCTGAGACTTTACAACTGGGTGTCCAAATTTTTCCACATGCCACACCATTAGAATGTGTCTTTAAATGCTCTTTTGTGTGTATATATATGTGTGTTACACTTACATGTAAAATACCACAGGAGTGACCACATGATTATCACAATGACAAACACCATCACTGTGATGATAATGACCAGATGCTGCAGATTGACCAGTAGTTTCTTCTTCTTCTTCAACTTCTTTGCTCTCCTTCTGCGCCCATAATATGTTCTACAAAACTTATTAAGCATGGCATCCACTGTGGCTATCTCCACGGACACATCAGCCACCTAAAACCACAAACATCCACAAGGCATGCAGACCTGGTCACACATAACACGGAATATGAAAAGTAAAAACCATGACAGCAACTTATTGCTTCATTGTGCAAAAAGAATACACTGGATTGACTGGTTAGCAAACATCACAATGTTGCCAGGTTATCTACACTAAAACTGGCCATTTTATCAGAAACACCTACCAAATATGTGCACATTGTAGGTTTACAACTACTGACTGTAGCCCACCCATCGCTGATAATTTATCACCCCTTCATGTTGAGTTGTCAGGATTTCTAAACAACATGTACACTGATTGGCCACTTTATTAGAAACCCCTGCCTTGCTCCACCTTGCTGGTGTACAGTTACAGACATCTATTGATGTGCAGTTTGTGTTAGTCATCCTCTAGCACAGGTGGTCCACATTTTTGCTCTGTACCAGCTCCCAACACATAGGAATAGAGCAAACATGTGGACTATAGGACTGATTTGAGAAATAATCCTAGATTACTTTTCAGCACAATCTCTAAACTAGCAGAGAACAAAACAGTTAGTGAACCCCAGATACCGTTAGCCTATAGCAGCAATGATTTTATGAACTTCTTTAGTAATAAAATAAAAAAACGCACAGTTAAAATCTACAAACCTGCTTCCCCTTAATGCCAGCCTCAATCCTGAGAATATAGTTAAAATCGTTTCTTCTGCAAAATCATCTACTTGTATGTTAGATCCGATTCCTACAGGTTTACTCAAGGAAATTTTGCCAGAAATAACCAAGCCTATTCTCTCAATAATAAACTCCCCTCTTAGCCTTGGATACATCCCAAAATCTCTTAAACTAGCAGTAATTAGACCATTAATTAAGAAAGCTAGCCTTGATTCCTGCGAACTATCAAATTATAGACCCATCTTGAATCTCCCCTTTATATCTAAGATCTTGGAAAAAGTTGTAGCAAAACAATTAAGCTTCTATTTGCATAGGAATCAAATACACAAAAAATTTCAATCTGGTTTTAGGCCACATCATAGTACAGAGACAGCACTAGTAAAAATTGTAAATGATCTATTATTATTCTCTGACCAAGAAAAAGTGTCTCTGTTAGTCCTCCTCGATCTTAGTGCGGCATTTGACACAATAGACCACGCTATCTTACTAGACAGACTAGAAAGCCTTGTAGGAGTAACAGGAATAGCTCTTTCCTGGTTCAGGTCCTACCTCACTGATCACTATCAGTTTGTTAATTTAAATGGTGAATCATCTGCCCTCGCAAAAGTAAAGTATGGTGTTCCACAAGGCTCTGTTTTAGGACCTGTATTATTCACATTATATATGCTACCACTGGGCACCATTATCAGTAAACATGGCATAAATTTCCACTGTTATGCCGATGACACTCAGTTATGTTTAGCAAGCGAACCAGATGATAAAATTAAACTTGGCAAGATTGAGGACTGTATAAAAGACGTAAAAGACTGGATGTCGAGTAACTTTCTCCTTCTAAACTCGGATAAAACAGAGGTTCTGCTTCTTGGTCCAAAAGCAGCCAGAAACAAACTGTCTAATTTTACACTTTAAACTTAACAATTTCTCAGTTGCATCAAGCTCACCTGTAAAAAACATTGGTGTCATTATAGACCCTGATCTGTCCTTCGACACACATATAACTAATATTACTAAAACAGCCTTCCTGCATCTCCACAATATTACTAAATTGAGCAATGCATTATCTCTACAGGATGCAGAAAAGTTAGTTCATGCATTTATTACTTCAAGGCTAGATTACTGTAATGCCCTGCTGGCTGGATGTCCCAGCAAAAGCCTTAACAAGCTTCAGCTAGTCCAGAACGCTGCAGCCAGAGTTCTTACTAGAACCAGAAAATTTGACCGTATCAGCCCAGTTTTATCAACCTTACACTGGTTACCAGTTAAATTTCGCATTGATTACAAAATTCTCTTACTGACTTACAAAGCACTAAACGGACTCGCCCCTCAGTACCTGAGTGAACTCCTCTCCCATTATGAACCATCACGCCTACTTAGATCACAAGGTGCTGGCTTACTATTAGTACCTGGAATTAATAAAGTTACGTCAGGGGGAGAGCCTTCTCATACAAAGCCCCCCAGCTTTGGAATAGTCTTCCTGTTAATGTTCGGGACTCAGACACAGCCTCAGTGTTTAAGTCTAGGCTAAAAAACTTACTTGTATAGTCAAGCCTTTGTTAATTAGTTTTCCCTGTCAGTTCTATACCTGCCAGAGTCTCTGCTGCTCTGCTAACACTGTAATCTGTGATCAGTCACCCATTACAGAACTGACTCTCTGTGTGTTTTTCCTTTCTTTCTTCTCTTTGCCGAGTTGAACAGCTACCCATCCTGCGCGTCTGATGCTGCTGCCTCTTCTGCGTTGATTGGGTGCCACTGCTGCCAGCCTTCTGGACTGGCTTGACCACCATTTAGCTTCATGCTGTATAACACCGTGCAACCTCACCCTCACATCCTGACCCCACTGATGCTGCTGCTGCATAAACTAAACTAATCGATGGGTTCCCCTTCTGAGTCTTGGTTCCTCTCAAGGTTTCTTCCTGTCTCTTATGGAGTTTTTCCTTGCCACTGTCGCCACTGGCTTGCTGATGGGGGTTTTGACCCGGATTTCTTTTTGTAATGTTGATTTTGTTTTGTTTTGTAAAGCTGCTTTGTGACAACATCTGTTATAAAAAGCGCTATATAAATAAACTTTGCTGCTTGCTTGCTTGCACTTCTCTAGTCCTTCAAGAGTGACCATTTTCTGACCACAGGACTATTGATGGCTGGATAATTTTGGTCAGTGGAGTGCTCTCAACCCAGCAGTGACACTGAGTAGACACTGCCTGATACTCTCATACCAGCTCAATACATACTAACAGTATCACTGCTCGGCTGAGAATGGCCCACTGCCTACATAATATCTTGTCAGTGGTGGTCCTATGGTGGTCCCTTTTCATTGATGAACAGGGCAGAAGGGGGCCAGAAAGTTATTATATGGAAAGGTTATAAATACACTGCCCAATATCCAGGACATTGTTCCATGATAGTGTTGAGATCAGCCTTTGGCCTAAAACCTTTTTTATATACATTCATGGTGGAGAGATACATGTAGAGCGCAGGTAAAATAAAGTTCCTTGGTGTTCACCTACCGGAGAACCTCACCTGGACCCTGAACACCAGCTTCATAGCCAAGAAGCCTAGAAGCCTCTCGATGTCCTGCGGAAGTTAAAGAAAGCTAATCTCCCACCAACCATGCCTACCATCTTCAACAGAGGCACTATAGAGAGCATCCTGAGCAGCTGTATCACTGCCTGGATTGTGAATTGCACCGCCTCCAACTGCAAGACCCTTAGCGAATAGTGAGGACAGCTGCAAAGCTGTAATTAAATATAATTATTGCGTTTCACACTGAAATACTTTACTTAATACAATTCATATACCTGGTCAACCAAATACTGTATTTAGTTAATGTTGTTCTGGCTGCTACTTTAGTGACTGCTATGTTCATATATGCTAGGCTATCTGCTAACATGTCATAGTATGTTACATCCTGCTTTGCACAACTCTATATATTCTCTGTACCATGTAATGTCTGTGTCCTGTTTTGTATTTATTATACGTCTTTCGTATTTATTGCACTGTATTGTCTGCACTGCGTATATTGTATTGTCTTCTGTCGCACCATGGTCCTGTAGGAATGTTGTTTTGTTTCAATGTACTTTTCCAGCTTTACTTCTAGTATACAATAGCAAATAAAATGCCTATATTTGCATTGCAGACATTGTGACATCTGGCTCTTATCACCACCAGTTTAAAGAAATTCTCTTCAATGAACCATTTCACATCAATCCCCTCTGAATCACTGTGTTTACATCTTAATGATGAAGCTTTGAAGAAATTGTGAGAAAGCATACAACCATTTAAATACACTTAATTGCCTTTTAAATGGTTCAGTCCCTGTATGCTTCAGTCAACCAAAAGAGTGAGTCACAGATGAGACCAGAATTAGCCAGTCTCTATCACTGAGAAAACCTTGGTGGTTCATTATTATTGCAGTATCCTCTATTGTGTGTTGTATTATAGTGTGCGCAGGAAATGAGAGGTTACAGATTTCGATTAAAGATAACCGCTCCGGCTGGGTACTTTCTTATCACCCTCAGATATCGTTGCCACTGCTGGTTAGAATTACTCATTCATGCCAATCACATTCTGAAAGGGATCCAATTAGGTTACACCGTCTTCCACTAACAGGGTTCAGGCTGAGCTCACAGGTGTTCAGCTGAATGCCTCTGAGGGAGGTCAGTATTACTGTGTCACCCAGATTTATAAAAAAGTGATGCAGAGCAGTATTACAGCGCAAAACTTATGTTGTGGCAAATAAAAACATTTTAAATCTAGTCAATATATGTAATATCCTTATTGTGAGATTGTTGTAAGAATATTAAAACATTATTCAAGTTATATTTTAGTTGTTTACTTGTTTTAAAGTGATTTCATCTGGAGATTCTAGAGAATTATGATTCTATTTGCAGATTATTTTGCTTAACTGTCTGACTTAAAGTCAGAGACAGTAGCTCATCTGTCGCTGCACAGTTTGTGTGGGTCATCATCTAGTCCTTCATCAGTGATCACAGGATGCTGCCCACAGGACGCTGTTGGCTGGATTTTTTTTTTGGTTGGTGGACTATTTTCAGTCCAGCAGTGACACTTAAGTAATTAAAAGCTCCAACAGCACTGCTGTGTCTGATCCACTCATACCAGCACAACACACACTAACACACCACCACCACGTCAGTGTCACTGCAGTGCTGAGAATGATCCACCACCCAAATAATACCTGCTCTGTGGTGGTCCTGACTATTGAAGAACAGGGTAAAAGGGGGCTAACAAAGTATGCAGAGAAACAGATGGACTACAGTCTTTAATTGTAGAACCACAAAGTGCTCCTGTATGTTAAGAGGAGCTTATAAAATGGACAATGAGTGTAGAAACAAGCATGCGGTTTTAATGTTACGGCTAATCGGGGTAAGTACGTAAAAATATCAAGAAATAAATTCAATATTCTTAGAATGTTGTGTCGACTAGATGAATTAAGATGATTTTACTTCTAGTATCTCTCCTTTTGTAGCGTAAAGAGGCTGAAGTTTGGCTTCAGTCATGGAAAACAGAGGAGCCGTTCAGAAGCTCCCGGAGAGGCCGCGGATGAGCTCAGGCCAGACTGGTGTCTGAGGTCAGATGTTCAGCCTCATGGTGTTTCAGTCATTCATTATTTATACGATGTCGTCCCAAGTTACACGTTTTACTTACTTACGATGAGATAAGCAGGATGGACCGGCTAAAATAAAAGGGTGTTCAGTTTCACTACGACCTCCAAGCAAAAGCCTGTTTGAGGTTTGAGAAGATAAGTAGCTTAATTTGTGCTTCTGTACTGCAGTTATGTAACGAACAGCATGTTAAAAGAGCAGTAAAGTCAAAGTTTCATAGACCAATAAACTGAATGGCGCACGAATGTCACGTGGTTGGCTACTTTACTTTTATTGCTCTTACTTTTTTTTTTTTTAGATTTGTTGGCCTGATGACGTGACATAAGTGGAACGGTTATTTTTTTTGGATTAATTGTTTTATGTGTTTTTTATTTGTCCACTCTGTTTAATCCTACAGTCAGCCATTGGTCAGACAAATAATAAAACAACCAGAACAAATATATATAAAATATATATACATAAATATATAAATATAAATATACATACATATACATAAAGACTATATTTAATATTTCTCTAACATTTTTATATTTGTAACTAACCACGTGATATTTGAGAGTAAGTTATGTTCTTGGTTTTTTATATGTATATATTAAATGTTTTATGGGTGGTTTATTTTTGAGGCTAAGCTTATATACAGTCATAGGTCTCAGCGGACAAAATAAACAAATAATTAAACAAAAGAGACAGAAAGCAAATAATAATAATAAAAAATACAAATAAAAAAACGTAACTGCACACCAACGACACTTGAAAACATTCTAGAATCAGACATTGTATATATATATATATATATACACACACACACACTCACTTTTTTGTTTGCCTAAGTAACTAATCACGTGACATTTGCGTAAGTTATGTTTTTCTATATTTTTTTAATGTTCTGCTTTATAGGCGTTTTCTTTGTCCAGAGACTAAGATTATTTACCGCTTTTGTGGAAGTTAATAAGTGAACACATAAGCCAGAAAACAAATTTAAAATTACAATAGCATACCGTTGTTCATGAATGTCACGTGACTAGTTACTTTACGTCAGATGAAAAAACGTGGGAAAAAACCTCCAAAAAATACAAACAAAAACATATAACCGACACTCACACTCGCGCTCTCCTCGCGCGCCGCGGCCGTGTCATCCTCGCTCCCCGCGCCGCTCTCTTCGCGGGGCGTCTCCATAGCAGCGGCACATTCCTCGTGCGCGCGTTTGTCCAGATCAATCGATTCGAACGGAATCAAAGCGCCGTCGACTCCGCGCGCTGTAACCCGCCGTTCTGAACATTATCAGCGAGTGAGGCAGCAAAGCTACAGCGAGAGAGCAGCAGGGCAGTAAGAGCATCCGGCAACCACTGTAACCTTATCCGCGAGGGACACACGGGCTGCTCCCGTTTCACCTTTTCGGTAACCTGATGGAAGCGTTTTTGTCTGTATTGGAGCAAGAAGCCTCGTGGCTTCACCTGAATTGAGTAAATTAACGTTAATGTATGAAACTCAGTCAAACCCACACATTCATACTGGTGTTAATTTACAGAACAGGGTTATTTTATTAGTGTTATGGTCTGAGTTGCCTAAACAGAGGTCTAAAAAGGTTCCAGCCTTACATAAGGAGATAAAACTATACAATAAAGGCATGTAGCATGATGAATATGCATCATTGTCTTCGACACGTTTTGATGTGGTGAACAGGACGAGAAAAATCAACAGAAGCAGCACTTTACCACACTGGCAACACACATACTGTAAGAAATGAACACTTTTGGCACTAAGACTCGTGCACGGTCTCTGTCTCTTTATCCTCCACCTTACATACATGAAGTGAGAATGACTGGAGAGTTTTCAGTGGGTCTTACATGTACTTACAGGCACTTTAACACATATACAAACACAAACATACATTCAGAGTCCATTAACATGTTGCCCTCTTCCTTTCTGGATCTTTATCACTGGCACCAGAGCTGCACGAGAGGCACCTTCATGTCACCGGAGTTTTGATAGCTCTCATTTTCTGAACAGGGCTGTGCGCGTGAAGGTGTACCACAGATGGGAGGGTTTACGCTTTGGTTCCGCTAAGGAGAAGACCTGTTGCTGTGGGATACTGGTTGGCACGGTAACATGGCGCTGGTGGAGTGGGTGCAGGGGTTGGTGATGGAGAGGGACGGGGTGGCCAGAGTAATTTATGTCTAGGAAAAAAGGACATACACATTGAATGTTAATTCACTTTAACTGTAATATTACATATCACTGTTGTTGGAAGAAAACCTTGTATCTCCAAAATGGTAACTTTACAGGAGAAGGAAAAAACCTACTTTACTTTTAACGTAAGTCAATGGAACCAGACCCCCCCCCAAAAGTCATTTTGGGGCATTTCTTTTAGTTCATTCATCATGAAATTAGTATAGAATGTAAAGGGTACCAGGTATTTTCAAATTATGTCAAAAACTGAAAAATGTTAAAAATGGAGATACAAGATTTCTTCCGACAACAGCGATATATTAAAAAAGTGACTTGTGCTTACTTTTCAGCTTGCCTTGCTTTGATTTTCTGGCATTTTGAATTGCTTGCTTCCTTTGTGTTTCACTAATCTCCATCCCTGTAAGAGACAAAGAGTGACGTGTATTAGCACAAAGATGTGACCAATTCTTCCCACATCTTGCCACCTCTCAGATAAAGTTCCTCGTAGACTGCTTACATTAAGTGTGTAGAGTTCAGGGGAAACCTATTTAGGACTGTTATAGTTAATTGATCAAACTTGATTACTTGATTTACAAAAAAGAAAAGTTTACAATGAAAACTAAACAAAATATTTTTTGTATTTAGTTTTTAGAAAATTGTTATGAATAAGCTGTCTGATGCCTAAGACATTGTTTTACGATAGTTCTAAGATAAAGTTTTGGCCTAAAATTAGTCTTTTTTTTATCTATTCATGGTTGAGAAGTACATATATGTACATATATGGTGTTATAACACAAGAGTTCGCAAGGAAAAAATTTTTTTTCAGATTCATCACTATTTCACCATTATCAACATTCCATATAAAAATGGAAGACATGTAGAGGTTCACTGGTTTTGGATAGTAAATAAAATGTGTTGCAGACATTGCAACCCCTGGTTCCTGTCACCACCACTGAACATATATCTGAGTCAATATGTTTCTCTGCAATCAAGCATTTCACATCAAACCACTCTAAATGACATTACTTACATCTGAATGATAGAATAATGCAGATAATTGGTAAATTTGTGAAATTCCCCTTTAACGGTTTCCTAGATTATCCATACAACAAAGTATTCTGGATTTTTTGAGGCAGTGAATTGTTGTTTGTTGTCCAGATAAGTCAATTTTTTTTCTTTGGCCTTTTTAAAAATGACTACTCAATTAATTGTTAAAATAATCAGTACATTACTTAATTACTAATATCACTGATAACTTCAGCACTGAATCTATTCAGAACTTTTAGAGCTGTTCTAAAAAGAATCTATCTAAACAAATCTGGATTCTGCTCATCTAAAAACAGAGAAAACTAAACTTAACAACAGCAGATGTTCCTTTACAGTTAAGAAAGACATATTAAAACATGACCCTAAAATATTCTCGTCTCTGTTAACCCCTCTGAGACTCACCAATCTCCTGGTCTTCCTTCACACGCCTGCGCTCGCGGGCGAATGCCTGCAGCCAGCGCTGCTTGTCCTGGGCCTTCCTGCAGCACAGCACGCACAGCACCTCCAGGTTTTCCGCATGGCGCAGGGCGAAGGCGTTCCGAAGCGAGCCCAGTTCTGGGTGCCGTCCATCCTGCAGCTCCAGTGGCTCCATGTGGTCAGTGTCCAGACGCCCTCTGTAGTGCAGCAGGTCCCGCCGCAGCACATCCTTCTTACAGAAAACCAGCTGATGGTCGAACAGGAAGAAGCTGCGCTGCTGTGTCTTACCGGCCCGCACCACCCGCGTCAGCTCACCTGAATGAATCAGCTCAGAGCTCCGTGACAACACATCGTCACCCTAAAGAAAAAAGACAGACAAATAAACAGACCGACAGACAGATGGTTAGGCATATTAGAACAAATTCTGTAAATCTCACAAGTATTTCCAGTGCAGATTGTTATATTTAAGCCAATATTAGGGGAAAACTCAAAAATGCACTATACTATTATAGAGTACACAATGTACTATGTATAAGGAGATGGAGAGACAATATAACTCAATAATTTGGTCATATGGCAAAAACATTTCTAAGCCACTGTGTAAGTAATCTGAGTACAGTACTACTCAACTGCTTTGATGCATATATTAGACTTAGCGGTTTTCTGTCCAGATTTCCCCCAACTAGAGTTTTGGTAACTTACTTTAAATTAAGTGAAAACTAAGGACAAGACATTCAAACTCAGTTAAAGTTTGAATTGAAACTGCTTGCATATTTAAGACTAGTGCCAGCAAAGCATTGTATAAATACAGATAACAAAGAACAGTTGCTTTTCAAAAACTCATGCATCTCAACTCACTGTAACTGATATACTCTTGCTTATCCTTGTTGATCCTGTGCTTAATTCACAGCAGAAAATTTGCCCTTAAATGCTACAAGAATTGGTGTAGGGAAACTAACAGAAACATTTGGACTCGTTTGGTTACTTGTACAGCATTATTCCCAAACATACAAAAAGTCAATCGGAACTATGTCATCATGCAGAAATTTTGCTGAGATTTCTTACCTCCCAATCTAGGATGGCCACCTGCCAGTGGGCGATGGTGTCGATACTCTCCAGCCTTCTCTTCCTCTCATTAATCAGACTGGCCACATTCTTCATGGCCTCATGGGCATTGCACACCCCTTCGTAGTCACTGAAGCAAGCATAAATGCAACATTGCCATATGAATATTCTTGCCATATTAGTGATCCTTCACAAAAGAATTTTATGTAATTGACTGACAATTTGGTTCTAGTTTATTTAGTGCCCTTGAATGCCAGACATAATAAGTCAGTATTTGCTGGATGAGATATTAACAGCAACAAAAGGACTGATTATAAGTAACATTTGGCATGTCATGATTATGTTCTTATTGTCAGGCATGGTAGTAAGTGCCTGTGCATCAGTTCATATGCATTTGAAAAAGCCCTCTAACAAACTGTCATATCAACAGATCACTAATATCTTTTTAAAATACATTTACAAACTTTGTAGGCACTCTTAGGTGAAGGTGAATGTAGCGTTAGGAGTTCTACCTGAGGACCCTTATTGGTATATTATTGGTAAACCAACCACTATATTACATTATACTAATCATTATATGAATCATTCTACTGAACTGGTTTGAATCAGCGCTATAAACACATTTCAGACTTAATTCAGTTGAATTTTAAATTGAAATCTGTTTGCTTTGAGTGACTCTGTGACTTATGTTCATTTTAGAAAAATAAACAACTGAACATCCCATTTTGTCACTACCAAAATAATCATAACACTACTGAAACTTTACCAAATATTTTTGTTGGGTAAGGTTTCAGTACTGACAAGTTTAGATAATTTTGAGCAGAACTCAAAAATGCTGGCTGGTATATGACTAGCAAAAATGGCTTTGAACAGGTGTACACACAAAAAATCAGAATATGTTTAATTGAAACAACAAAAAAAACAAAAATAACTAACTATAACTAATAAAAAATGTGTTTCAGGATGGATTTGAAAATGTGGGACAGCATTTTTTAAATGAAAAAGTTTTTCATTTAAAAAATCTAAAGTGTGAATACTTGTTTTTTTTTTTTAATAGTTTTGTTTTTTTTTGGAACTGCAACTTGAACTACTTCAGTAGAATGGTCCATATACAAGTTCATAAGTGCATTCGCAATATGTTGCAATATATTCATCATATAGTATTTTTGTCCATATTGTGCAGACCATGCAACGTTAATGGTGCTAAGCGTGTTACCTGTGGTCTTTAGGTGTGTATTTGAGTAGCTCGCCCAGCTGAAGAGGATATTTGCAGATTTTCTGCACAGGCGTGAGCAGGAAACCAGCGATTGAAATGTCTATCATCTGCTGCAGGAGACGACAGGCCTCAAAGAAGTGCTTGTAACGTCCCTGCTTCATCAGACGCTGCAGCTCTACACAGGCTGCTGGGTGTGTGTTACAGTATTCAGAGTATATAGAGAAACCATCACCCTAATGGAGAGAGGCAGAGTAAGATAACATGTGTGGAGAAATAAGATCAATTTTAGTAAAAATTTAAATATTAAAAAAAAACTATTTATCTGTATGTATATATGTGTGAGCAGCCCACCTGCTGAAGGAAGCAGGAGCCTATCTCGCTCAGATGAGGGTTTTCTTTGTTGTATTTCTTTTCT